TAATTAAGTAGCCTTTTAAGGGATTATTATATAATATAATAGAGTAGTAATTCTCTGGTACAAATCAGACTCCTAGTACAATTATTATATAAGATACCGAAACGGTATTTAATATATATAAAGAGAGTATAATAGATTAGATTAAATTCGGCTACTAGTAGCTCTATCTCTTTATACTATAATATTTTCCCCGGATAATCGGAGAATATCCGAAGAAGAAGAAAGATTAGCCCAAGCTAACTATTAAAGAGCCTGATTCCGTAACTTGGTACCGGTTTGCCCTCTTAGCCAATTAGCTAGGCTTTGATTCGGAAGTTATTAGGTAGCTAAAGGCCAATAATCCGTATAAGGTCGAGGCTTATAACTTCCTTCTAAAGTATAACCCTTCTGAGTTATATACCTATAATTAGTAGCTCTTTAAGGAATATATAGAATAGATAGCAAGAATATATATAGTAGTTATTAAAAAGGACCGATAGTATATTAAACCCCCGGTAGTAATAGATGGACCCGGTAAACCCCTTTTACGATAGTATAGTCGGTTCTTTCAGACTACTTATAAATGCAAGCGGAACTATCTCTTTTTAGATATTCTCTATAATATTACTAATATAAGAGAGAAGGGAATTATATTATTCTTTATTCGGAGGTTAATATACTTTATATTCTTTAGTAAATACCTGCCCGGTACTATAGCTAAGGCCCTATAAGGGCTACTACCTCGAAATACGGAAGTTAATATAACTATAGAAAGTAATAGGGCATCTTCCTATAATACCGAGTCCGGGCCAGTACCGCTCTAAGCCCTAGTAGCCGAGCCTTTAGTACGGAAACAAGTACGGAGAGACCGCCTAATACCCCTGCCTCCGTTAAGCCAGGAATAGATAGTACTAGTTCCTGCTTTATAAGCTAGCGAGAATTTGTCGAGCCAGAAATAGATAGTACTAGTATCTATTTTATAAGCTAGTAAGAATATATATATTTATCCCTGTTCTCTAGATTATACTTTTTAGAAACTAAAGAATAATATAGATTATTATATATCTTAGTAAAAAAGATATAAACCTCTCTAGATATTAAATAGTCTTCCAGATATATTAGAAGAGAGGCCTTTAAGACCAGAAGCGCTTTATATTATATAGTAATCCTTTTAAGGTAAAATAAGTAGCTACTAAGTATATTCGGAAAGATATATATTTAATAATAATAAGAGGCTATAGCCTTACTCTAGAGAGATACTATAATACGGTAGTTAGTAATAATATATATACTATAGTACTAGTATTAAAAAAAAAGAGGGAGATTAATAAATTACTAATTATTTCTGGAATAGAATCTGTTATAAAAAATAAGCCCTAATTTATAATACCCGAGCCAAAAAAAAAGAATAATTATAGAGAGATAACTTACTTATTTTATAATTAGAATATAAAATTATACTAGTACTAATTCTTATATTATCTATAACTCTTATACTAATATATAAGCTTATAGAAGCTTAAAGTCTTATATAAACCTATATACTTTTACTAGCTTATATACTTCTACTAGCCTTACTCGTACTAGCCTGGATTCTCGTACTATTTATAACTCTTATACTAATATATAAGCTTATAGAAGCTTAAAGTCTTATATAAGCCTATATACTCCTACTAGCTTATATACTTCTACTAGCCTTAATTCTTATACTAGCCTGAATTCTTATACTACCTATAACTCTTATACTAGTATATAAGCTTATATTAGTCTATATATTATTAATAAATCTTTATTAGTTCTTATAGATTAAGAGCTAGATTATAATTATAGTATTAGTATAGATATCTAATAAATGCCCCTCTTCCTTATATACTAAAGCTCTATTTTATCTTACTATAACTATATTAGTCGAGAATATATAATTAGTTTACTAAGCGGCTAAAGTTATTATCCGGAACCTCAATTAATAACTATCTTAGTTATCCTCTTTAGGCCTAATCTTACTACTACTAATATATACTTTATTTTAAAGAGAGTAATAGGTGAGATAAAGATAAGGGATTATTATTAATTTACTATCGGAAATTCTTATTAACCGAGGGCTAGTTGCGCTTTAGGGGTACCTTATAATTGCCTAAAAAATCTACTTCTACTTTAGTAATATATAAAACGGCTAGATAGTATTTTTACTATAATAAGACCTTTATATAATAGAAATAGATTTTAAGTTTAGTTCTATAAACCCAGATATTAAGCTAGTTATAATTAATATTAAGATATAGATTTATACTCTCTATATAGTATATAAATATAGCCTTACTATCCTTAACCTTAATAGCTAACTACCTCTATTATAGAAAGTTACTTTTCTTCTAAAGATAGATAAAATAATAGAAGAAATCGAATAGATAATAACCAAACTTATAGCCCTTTATAATAAAGGCAACTTCCTTCCTATAACTTGCCTGCTAGCCCTTATAATAATTATAGTTCTTCTAAAGCTCTTATTAAAGGCTATAATAGTATAGATATATTCTGAATATACTAGTCCGGATTAGAAATATCTCTTAATTATATCTAGAGATATTATTATTACCTATATAACTACCTAGTTATAAATATAATAGATTAAGGTTAGATCCGCTATCTATATAGATAACTCTATTATCTATAGAAGTTAGTATAGTTTATATTCTTGAAATATATAATATATTTCTTATATTAGGGACTTGTATTTATAAGCGAGTATATAAATATTCTAAATTTTATATATAAATAGATAAGTAGGCAAATTTATTCTATATTATACTATTCTATTAAGTTCTAATTACTTATATAGCCTATTAGAATTATAATAGATGAAATAGTAACTTCTTTAAGTAAATATCCTTATCTAATATTTACCTTATAACCTCTCGGACCTATTCTCCTATATAATTATTTATATATACTATTAAGTTATTAGTTAATAGATATAGTATCTATTTATTACTAGACTTATATAAGATTATACTTCGACCCTTTCTTTCTTTAATTTCAGATCTAATTAAATTCTTAATATTAAAGCCTCTATAATTTATTATAATATAGTTATATTTACTAACTTAACTAACTATACTATATTCCGTACTATTAGTAATATAATTTCCGGTAATAAAGGGATATATATTAAGGACTTATTAGAAATATAGATTAGGGATACTCTAATAGGTCGCCTTAATTAAACTTATATATTTAGAGTCTTACTTAAGTAGATTAATTATTAATTATTCTATCTATTTCAAGTATTCTTTAGGGTAATTATTAGTAAAGGTTCTTCTGGAATTAACTAAAGCCTATTTTTAGAATTCACCTGCCAAAATAATATAATTCTTCTTATCTTTATATTATAATTATAAAAATTCTCGAGAAGCTATTTTATATAAGGTAACTAGCTAGCTATACTAATATCCGTTATAAATAATAAGACTATTCCGTATTTATTAAGATATATCTCTTTATTATAAGGTCCTTTAATAATAGCTCTCAATTTAGTAGGTTAGGATAAGCTACTACTACTAGAAAGACTTTATATAAATTCTATCTATTATTAAATAATAAAGATAATAATATTCTAATCTTTATTATATAGGTACTATTATATAACTATATATAGATATAATTAAAAGAAAGTATTATAGCTTGCTTCTGGGATATAGAAGTATATATATTAGCCTACTTAATACTTCTAGAGCCTTAAGATTTTAGTATAGATCTAATAAGTATTCGGTAGGGATTTAATAGAGACTTTATATAAGTATTTCTAATTACGGAGGTTCTAATAGAATATCTGGCAAGTCCGGAGAAGATATAAAGATACCTATATATAATATATAATAAGGAAATATATTATTAGTATACTAAGTAGCCTCCCCGAAATATGAATTTAAATAGTAGTTATAATAATTACTACCAGAATCCAATAGATATTTAAGAAGATCTTATAGAAATAATATTATATAATTAAAAATAAGGTAATTAGAATAGCGGCTATAGTAGAGGCAGCCTAATTTATTTAATTAGTAGTTCTTATTTCGGGGGAGGGAACTTATTACTAATACCGCTACTTGAGTTAATAAGTATAGATTAGATATCTATAATACTATAGCAAGAATTATATAAATTACTTTCTTAATTATAGCTACCTGCCCTATCTAATAATAAATAGTATTATAAGCCTTATATCTAAGTTTATAGCTACTAATAATAGAGTTTATATAACTTCCGAGAGTAAGAAGAACGAGATTTACTATAGATAATAGTTCTATTTACTATAAGGCCTTTATATAATTATCTATAAGGCAAACGATATTATCTATAAGAAGAATAATAATTAAAAGTATATAATATCAAGTAGTACCGCTTATATACTTATAGATCTATAGATAGAAGATATACTTAAGAAAATAGTATATTATATAGGTATATAGAAAGCTAATAGAAATTCCTAATATATAGAAAATAATTAAAAGGGCAGTAATAGCTATAAATACTATAGTTATAACGGCTGGTATTATATAGTTGATACAGACGTGGTTTTAGCTAAAGGGGTTAGTTTTAGCTAAGGTTCCAAGCTATAGTTCAAACCAAGCTCGCTTCCAAAGCTCGGCGTTTCAGTAGTTTTGGCCATACCTACTTATCCACTGCCATACCTCACTTCTTCTCTCCTTAGCTTTAGATTCTGTAGGATATTGGAAATTATTAATCTTTAAGTATCGTTCCATTACTTTATTCCTGCTATTACATAATCTAAAGCTCCTACCTTTCGGACGGTAGTTATTATTATTGGGACTCCTGTCTACTAGCCCGCTTTTACGCGGAGCCCCCTTATTATTATTGTCATTATTACGTAGCGCTATTCATAGTTCTACCTGCAAGGTGTCAAAAAGCTCGATTTTAGCCAGCTCAACCCCTTATTATTTATTAGAGCCCCTGGCTCACCACCTCATTAATTCTTTACCAACTTTACCGACACTCCCTTGAGAATGGACACCTTCCAAACGCAAGTCCAACGCGAGTTCGATGGCCTGCGAGCTGAAATTACCACCTTGCAAGCAAAAAACACCCAGAAATCGAAGCTCCCAGATCCAGAAAAGTTCGCTGGAAGTACGTACAAGTTCGACACCTGGCTGCCTTCAATTAAGGCCAAGCTACGGATTGACGGCCCGGCCATTAGAGACTCCATTGCCCAGTTTTACTATGTTTACCTTAATCTGGAGTCCTCTATCCAATTAATGGTTCTGCCACAGCTTTCCTATACAGAGCAAGCTCAATCGTGGGATTATAATACGATTCTGGATCAGCTTTTACGGGTATACGATAATCCAAACAAGCAATTAGAGGCTAAGGACCGTTTGTATGCCCTCCGCCAAGGCAACGATTCCCTTCCTGCCTATAATGCCAAGTTTGAATGTACCCTGTATGAAGCGAATGGCCAAAGCTGGCCAGATATTAATAAAATTTCCAGCTTTCGCAATGGCCTCAATTCCGCAATTCGCTCTCGTCTGGCCCAGCAGCTTGTTCTACCCAGGATCTATACTGATTTCCTGCGTACGGTTTAGTAGCTCTCGTCAAAAATAGCTGCCCCGCCGTACGTTACTGCTCCCAAGATTGCCAGCGACCCTATAGACGTCAGCGAACTGATAATTGACGTCGTTACACCGGTAATTGGTACGCTTACGTCGTCCTCTGAGCCAATCTTACCGGCTATACCAGCTCGTTCTACGTTAAAGGAGCTCCGCCAGTATTATTATCAAACCGGTAGATGTGTTAGATACAGATCCCAGGATTATTTTATCAAGAACTATAGCTTGGCTCCTGCAAGTACTGCTACTGGTTCTGGTTGCAAATGGGTTACAACTGCCGCAATTGACCATTACTCTGATTCTGGTAGTAATTCTAGCGATTCTGGCGATTCTGGAGGAGGGCCAACCTTGGATCCGGTTTTTAACCGTATATGGAGGGCTGATTTTGCGGCTGGCGATTGGAAATAGGGTCCTTTTCCTTTGTTCTGTTATTTTTACCACACTCGCTTTAGCTTTCCCTTTGTTTTTACTAGCGCTCGGGTCGAGCTTTTTGGAGGGGGGGGGTGATATAACGGCTGGTATTATATAGTTAATACAGACGTGGTTTCAGCTAAAGGGGTTGGTTTTAGCTAAGGTTCCAAGCTATAGTTTAAACCAAGCTCGCTTCCAAAGCTCGGCGTTTCAGTAGTTTTGGCCATATCTACTTATCCACTGCCATACCTCACTCCTTCTCTCCTTAGCTTTAGATTCTATAGGATATTGGAAATCATTAATCTTTAAGTATCGTTCCATTACTTTATTCCTGCCATTATAATAGTATATTATTAAATAATATCTATATCCTAGAGAATCTTAGTAAGATTAATATAGTATGAAATCCGGATATATAATATAGAAGAAATAATATAGGCTCTAATAGATTAGCTTATAAAAAGGCATTTAAATTAGAAGCTAAAAGTTACTATAGTATTTAATATACTTTATATCTTAATTATATAAGATATTAGACTCTAGTAATATACCTCTAGAAGTAATACCTCTAAAAAATAGCCTCTAGAAATAGCCTCTAGAAATAACCTCTAGAAACGGCTAGTCCTAAAATCACTTCCTAGACCTCTAAAAGCGGTACCTCTAGGATAGCAGGCCTAGATTCGTTATTAGATTCATTAAAATATTAAGGGTATACCCAAACTATAGCTCTCTCTTTAGTTAATAATTAAATTACTAAAAGCTTAATTTTCTAATTAGGCTCCCAGGCTAGAAACGGGTTAGATAGTAATAGGTAGGATAGAAGTATTAAGATATATAAGGATATTTCTCTCTTTAAATTAACTATCTATTTTATTAGATTATTCTCTTACTACTGCTTCCGTATACTCTATATAATTAAGATAAGGCTATTTACAGACCCGAGCTTATCTCCGAGACATTCGAGGATATTTAATTCTTCTATAGCTATATCTAAAGAGAGGTGGTTTATATTTGACTTGTAAATATAGTAGAACTTTTTTAGGTAGGTAAATAATTAATAGGAAACTGCCTTTAAGAAAAGGAAATAATAAAGATCTTATTAAATATCTAGATAGCTTTAGTTATAGTATTTAATAGTATCTATTTCTGAGGCAATTTTCTTATTAGCGGAATTACTAGTTATTAATAGTAATTTCTGCCAAGATAGCTATCTTAAATCCTATACTATTTAGTATTTAAGGGTACTACTTTATTAAAACTAGTTACCTTAACTAGGGTATAGGTTAGGTACTTATTTATACTTTAAAAAAACGGAGAGCTCGCAAGTTAATATAGCTGAATCTGGGTTATTAGTACCGGTATAAGCGAGCCTACTTCCAAGTAGAAAGAAGGTCTAATAAAATTCCGGCTAGAGTAACTAGTATAACAGATTTGGGTAGAACCTTATATAAGATAGTAAAGTTAGAATACCCCTTAAAGCAGGCTTGAAACCCAAGCTCTTTATAGCTATATATAGCTTTATAAGTAGATACTTTCTGGTTATAACGGCTTTTAGGAATTCTGCTTTATATTAATCTATTATACTTAATAGAGTCTAATAACGGATACCAGAGTCTCTAGTAGATATAGCTAGGCTATAAAGCCAGACTTTCTGCCCGTCTTATAATATAGTACCTTATCTATATTCGGCTTTATAAAGGATTTCTTATACTTTAAGGTACTACTTAAGCTTTTAGCTCCGATATACAAATAATACTATTATAAGTCCGTTGCCTCTACTATACTATAGAACGGATAATGGATATAGGATAAAAGATTCTTGGTAGACAGATTAACTTAATTCTAAGCTATCTCTTCTAATTCTTTATATAAAGGATTTAACCCTACTAAATTAATATATAGAATTACCGGTTATTATAAGTTATAAATACTACTACCCTACTACTATCTCTTCCTTCTTCTTCCTCTTCCTTTCTTAAACAACTATATAGTATAATATATAATAGTGTTTCTATATAGCCTCGGCCTAATCTTATAATTCTTTGACTTATTCCCGAAACTACTAGTCGAGCTATAGATAAATATATAGGAGGCGGCTTTCCGGAATCGGGAAGGCAGGATTATTTTCCTTATCCTTAAATATATCTCGGCTCTATACTTACCTCTAATAAGTAATATTAATTATAAATATAATAGAGCTAAGGTATATTAATAGTACTTGAGTTTTACCTACTAAAATAATAGTAGTTATATTATATAAATCCTATTATACAGACTTTAGTTCCTGCTTTACTCTATATCTACTAATAATCTCAAACTATTATCTAGCGGATATATATTAATATTAGATAGGGAGGGTTATTTAATACCCGAAACAAGCTTCTAGTAACTACAAGTTCCCTTTATACTAGACTTTAGTATAGCAGGTATAAGGAAGAGGTAAACGGTATAGCTTCTAGTATAGGTTATATTATAATATTAGAATAGTTATATATTTAATATATAATCTATTATATACTAGCTTTATCTTACTTAGATAGTTAGTAGTAGCGGGGGTATAGTAAGGATCTCTAGTATATATTTAGAACTAGGGCAGGGAGCTGCTTTATAAAAACAATTACGGTACTTACTAATAAGACTAAGGAAGAATTCCGGACTTCCTTAAACTAAGGATAGACAGAACCTATTAGTAACAAGAAATTTGAGAAGGAATCTTACAAGCTAGTATTAAACTAGATAGATAATCCGACTACTTTATAATAAGCAAAGCAGATATTAGGTCTAATACCAAAATTCCGGATCTCTAGAGCTGGATTTTAAGGGCCTAATAATCTTAAAGAAGCAGAGGAAGAAAGAGATTACTTTATTACCTTTTATAGCTACTTGCTTGCCAATCTTATTTTCAATTATATATAAGATTTCTAGTATACGGACTTAATATACTAGTTTGCCTCCTACCTTCTACTTAGAGCTTTTAATTATTAAAGGAGTTATATAAAGCAGGGGAAGTAATAAGAAGTAAGGAAGAAACTAATTTATAGCTTTATAAGCTTTATAGCTTTATATTAAAGGCTTAAAATAATAATAATAGTACTTATAGTAAGTGCCGTTAATTGAGCTATAATTCCGTACTCTGATTCTTTATACTGGATTGCCTCTAATCCGAACTATAATAAGCTTAAAGAAATATAGAGAAGAATAGAGCTTTATATAAGATAATTAGTCCTTTAATAATATTACCAAATACGGTTATAACCGTTTAGGATCTCCTTTATAATACTTGCATAACCGGCTTCCCCTTAACAGAACTAGAGAGATAGTAGTATAGAGCTTCTCAAAATGCTTTCAATTTCTTCCAGAAATAGTACCTAACTCCGCCCCTTTCTCGAGTATATTACAAAATCAAACCAAAACCTAGCGACTCTGGAAGACGGAGACAGCGGCCCAGGAATAGCGCAGATTTGGCAGCTAGCAGGAAGTCTGGCTTACTAAACTTTTTAAGCGAACCTCCTATTCGCGACCCCCTTTTTAGCTCGCTTGCCAGCCTATTATATCCTTCGGCTGCCCTATCTAACCAAATCCTACCCTTCTACAAATCTATCAGTCCCCCCTATAGGTTTAATATTTAGTGGGAGGAGTGGGTTTTCAAAAATTTGATTCCAGTGCGCTCCCCCAATCACTCTCATCATTATCCGGATTGATTGTCCGCAGTAACGAGATGCTGAAACTAACTTAGGGCTTCGCTCATACTTTTCGTCTAACGTCCATCCCTGCGTACCGAAAAAACCGGTATACCGAAAAAACTTTCTAGTTTAAGGGTCTTAAACCTCCACCACATAAATATATAAAGTTATAATCTGTTTGCTACTGTTCTTTAGCTATTTCTCTACAAGGGCTCGACTTATAGTCAGAAAAATACTGCAGTTTGGCTATACTATCGATCGTCCTATTAAGAGCGTCAAAAGCTGCTGAAGCTATTGCCCCTTGCTCTATTATGACTATCAACCCGTCCCCAGAACTCGGGGCCGTGGTATAGGAGCTTCTATTAAGTTCAAATATAACTCTAAAGTTTGAAGACACAGAGCACAAGGAAATCTGCCTGCCGGATTTATCCGGACAAAAGTGGGAGGTACACAAAATGTTGCATCTTAATAAGCGAGGAAGGATTTATCGCCCTTACCTAATATTGTATTCACAGCCACTCGAGTCGTATTTTGATTACGCATTTTATAGATATCACGTGAAAGCGTGGCGCAATGTGGCGTTCTTCTAGAAGTTTCTACAAGCCACGCGTCCAGCTGTGCTCGCGAGCGATTTATGGAGCATCTGCGGCTCTGCTTCATTTCTGCTATCATCAGACCTGCGACTTCATCAAACGGCTGTCATAGACAAAATGGTACTGCAAAGAGATGTCCAGGGCAGGGTTTACAAATTCAAGAGCAGGTCAGAATGCTTGGGTTTGGGCATGCTTACTCTCGATGTCACAGACGTGGTGCGCAGCCACATGGTCCTCGTCCTAGGTATTGTGCCAGGAAAGTTGGATTATGTGAAAGTCATGACAGTGAGTGCTTAAAAGTTTAAATAGTTATCTGCTAACTCCTCCAGATTACCTCGACGCGGAAGGATCAGAGCGAATATGTCCCTATCTCGCCCACACCGAAGAAGGGCTTTGCAATCCAACTTCGACTTCGAGACTACCCCGGATGGTATCACGGAGATGCTGGCCTGTTCTTTACTACACTGCGAAAGAATTCATACCTAAAGATTGACTCGTCCTACGAGGTACCGATACAAATGTTAGTCGAGGAACCAGATTGTCTCGGCAATCCTTTAATGATTTGGCCTAAAAATCGAGGGGGTCTGGGAGAGCTTCGAGATCATGTTCAACGTCGTGATTTGATTCGCAAGAAAGAGAAGCAGAGAGAAGTGGAGGACGGTGTTTAACAAGCACTTGTTCTTATGAAGACCTTCAAATCCGCTCACCCGAAGTACCAGCTGGAAAGTCGGTATTTCGGTACCATATCGCAGGACGACTGTGGATATGTGTCTGTTCAACGATCAGATAACGCTCAGCTTCGTTTGATGGAGCTGTCGACGTAGGGCTATATAATACTGGACCATTCCAGTATGATATAGTCGAATGGGAGGTTACGAAATTCATACGCAGGAGTCGAGTGGAGTCGAGTGGTTTCTCACAATCTATAGATGGTTTGCGCAGTCGATGTGTCATGCAGCAACCGCTTGATGTGAATGAAATGTGATACGAACAAAATGAATGTTTCCAGCAACCGATCCACCCAGTGCTTCCACCAACGTCTACCTACTATTACATTATCTCTTCAAAGGTATTCGTGAAAGATAGAGAGCATGTATTACTCCAGCTCTGCCTCTAAAGAGCTGGCCTTGTAAGAAACGTCATCCATCATAGCCTCTTTCACTGCCCTCTGCTCCTGCTTTGCGAATATGCCTTCCCGGTCTGGATCAAGATGCTCTGGTGGTGTGCGTCTCCTCGCTGTAGCTTCGGCACGCTCGAGAAAGGTAAGTAATGTTTCCGCCGAGATGTGAATGCTTTGATTCTGAAGATACAGGATCAATCATCTCCCCTAAGAAAGCGACATATCTGTTCAATCGTAGTCCGAATCATTCTTCCAATAGGGATCATGTCTTCTCCGGTAATATTCCTCCGTCCACTGCTCGTCCTCTTCCTCTTGCTCTCTCTGCCATTCGAGGAGGAGCTGCTCATGATTATATGCATCGCAATCTTCTTTGTTATCGAATTCGACTCGGTCATCATCACTGATCCAAACTTTCTTCGGGAGTTTTGTGACCTCGACGGTCCATCCACGGTCGCGTATCTTTGTCCGATATTCGCTTAGATCCTCTGCGGTGTACACCTGGAAATTGACGATGATCTCTTTCAGTGATGGGATAGCCTTGAAGCGCGTGTCGAGCAAATCTAGTGCCTCTGCAGAGATAGGCGAATCGTCGAAGGCGTAGTTCGCGGAATCTGGTGGAAGCAATAGTTCGAGAGTAGTGATGCTTGTACAGGTATCTCGGATGAGTTCCAGATTTTTGATATGCGCTTCGTGAAGCATAGCTCCCTCATGCCGGAAATCGTGAAAGGTAGGGAAGGTAATGCAGATGTGGCGAATAAGGCTTGCTTGGGATCCGATCTGGCGAAGGAATGGGGCGATGTGAGGACTGTCCGTGGCAGATGGCGTCGAAACAAAAATATCAGGAAATCGAAAGCGGTTGTTGGAATACAAAAGTGAGCTGGCTTCGCCGTGTACCTTCTTATTGACGCGGAGGAGCGCCGGACAGAGACCTTCCCTTTTGGACCGAAACAGGGGCGGTGACGGAGGGCCATAGCTCGCTACGAAGACGATGGGTTCTGAGTGAACAAGGAGTTCCGAATAGATCTTGAGCCGGATCTCGATGACAAAGTCGAAGAACCTGAGGCCCGAGACTCGAGAAGGGCTGGGTGGCGAAGGTGAGGACGATGCATTTTGGTATAAGTGGGGTGAGTTTGCTCTCTTGTTCTGGAGAGCTTCTTTGACTCGAAAGGTCTGGTATACTCCTTCATGTTCTTTCAGCTTCTGCCACGCCTTATAAACATCTATCGGGTCATGTGGAGCAATCTCGCTCGCATGATATGTAAACGACCGGCCCCCCTCCAACCAATACTCGAGGTTATGAAAGTATTGCTTGGCCACGATGTAGACCTCCCGCAGATAGTTGGCGACCTCTGGATCGTGCCTGACGAGCTTGGACGAGAATCGCAGGAAGTACTCGCATCGATATGGAATTATAGCACCCTCGCCGAATTGGAAGTATATATAGGCGTCTTCAGCTCCCGGCTCTCCGACAATACAGATGAGAGGTTTCCCTGTAACGGGGTGGACGGCGTCTTTGTATTTTTGCAGTACTTCTTCGAGGAAGTGGTCGTAGAGGCCCTGGCAGCTAGAATTGAGGGCTGGGTAGATGTCGAACCCCTCATCGACTCCCATTGTGTATATCTCATCGAATGATCGGCCGGTGAGTAATGTGTGGGAATTGAACCTGTACAGCACAGTTTGTTTGCGAAGATATAGGACTCTCAAAAGCTGGTCTCGTCAACCTTTCGAGATGCGGGGGCTTGGCCGCATCGCCTAACCAGAAGAGGAAGCGCTGGTGTTCGCTCGCTGGCGAGTCACGCGTGGTTTAGCCTCTCGTCAGCCACTCCTGAACAGCCACATGCTTTGCAAATGATTACATAATTGAAAATTACAGCGTAAATGTTGTGGGACATGGGTGCCAGCCTGCGGCTCACACGAAGCCTTCGAAATTGATTGGAGTATTGGAACATTGGAATGTCAATTGGAAAACGTTAAGAATAAGTAGCTCGTACGTGTAAGGTGGATGGAATCGAAAAGATCGACTGCAGTGAGGCGTCTGAAACAGCGAGGCAAGCCACACCACCAAGACAAGAATATTCACACTAAGCCTATATGAGTTAGCGACTTTATTGCAGGCAGCAGTCAATGAGGAGATAACGTTGACACTTTATTTACGTCATATGCTATATTCGAGGAGTCATAAACCACTAAAAAATGTCTCTACCATCTTATTACACAGCGTCCACCAAAGAACGCCGAGATCCACCCTTCAATAATCTCTGCGGCCAATGTAAAAAAGACTTTCCGCCTGGACAGACCTGGACCTGGACCTGGAAATGTTGCGAGGACATCGAAAAAGGCACAACTGTGAGAATATCAAGTACACGGAAGCTCATAGACTCTGCAAAAGGCGGCTGTCATCTCTGCATTTTGATATTAGGAGCCTTTCATGAGACATTCTTTGCTGGTACTGATGGCAAAATCTTCGGCTTCGATGAAGGCAAATATCAGCTACAGGCTGTGCAAGACATTCCTGGTTGGACACTGAAGCTCTTTCTAGACTGTCCAAATCTCCGACGTCTTTCAGATTTGAGCTTCCCATCGGATGATCTAAGAGTGGACTTACTACTTTTGTTGCTTCATGACCAACCTAAGGAATTCAACACAGGGAAAGGTGTTTGGACTCTTGATACCACTCGAGCAGGGACCATATCCCAGATGGATTCTGTTCAGATAGACTCCGTGTGCAACCTAGGCTCATCTGCCATTGTTCAGATCAAGACCTGGATGGAAGTGTGCCAGCGAGATCACCAAGTGTGCAAAAACCGACAGGATATCCCGTTTTCTGCAACCGAGCCTCAATTTCGACTCATTGATGTCGGTAACAGTGTGGAAAGTGCTGTTTATCTCGTATACAGCGGAGATATAGTTGGAGACTTCAATTACATCACATTGAGCCACCGTTGGACAGAGGAGACAGATAAGACAAAACTTACGCGATCCAACCTCCACCAATATCTCACGTGTATGCCATATATGGATTGGCCGGCGACGTTTCGTCAAACGATTTCAATAGCACGTCAGTTACAAATCAAATATGTCTGGATAGATTCTTTATGTATCATTCAGGACCAGCAAGACTGGGCTGTTCAGTCACAACTCATGCATAGGATCTATGCAGGCGGAGTATTGAACCTAGCAGCAGTTACAACGCCAACGATGGCAAATGGCCTCCAACTCCACCGCGATCCTTTGGAAATATCACCATGTATCCTCTCTGGTCGAGTTCCAGAATATGGTACTTCTGTCCGTTACTTCTTGTGCTGGCGCCCCAACGAATTTAGAGATCGCGTGGACAATTCACCACTCTACCAGCGTGGCTGGACTTTCCAGGAGCGTCTACTATCAAAGCGGACCGTTCATTTTGGGCCCCAATTATATTGGGAGTGTGCAGCTTTACACGCATCTGAGACGTTCCCGATTGGTGTTGATACCCCGGATCAGCCTACATTTGTTGACGACTTTGTGCAGAGGCTAAAGACTCAGCTCCAAACTCCGAGGCAAGGCGAGGATAAAGCACGAGCAGCTCGAGATCTACACAGCATCTGGTGTTCTATTGTGAGATTCTACTCAAAAACCGAGCTCACAAAAGAAAGCGATAGGCTGGTCGCCATAAGCGGTATAGCAACTAGTATTATGAACCTGTATGCATTCCAGTCCGACGAATACATTGCTGCCACATGGAAACCATGTCTTCCAGAACAGTTGTTATGGGCCCGAGATGAAAACTGCTCTCACTGGAGCAAAGACAAAGGGAACTTTGACTATGCACCATCCTGGTCGTGGGCCTCATGCTCTGGTAGAACGAGGTTTACGAAACTTAACTTCCGACCACCATTTGGCCGTACATACCTTATCAGAGTTGACTCAATTGGCGATTTTGAGAAGTCAGCCGGTATACCCCAAAAAGAGTCTATGCTATTGGGTGGCAACTTAATTTCAGTGGTATTCAAGCCTGAAATCTGGAAAAGACGACGTTTTGAGCGAAACTTCTATGTCGCTGCTTCCGAGGTGCACAAGAATACGTCTAGTAATAGCCAAATTCTCATCGAGCTCGATAGACCAGTCCCATCTTGCATTAGTCACACAAAGCTATTGCCCGTGTGGAATGAATTAGGGACAATTGAGGGTCTTTTCCTAGGCTTAATGAAAGAAGCCAGTAACGAAGTGGCAGTTTATCGACGGCTTGGTTATTTCACTTGCCAATCTCATGATTTGTATGGCGAGGCCGGTGTTTGTATGAATGAGCTAGAGTCAGAGACAGAGCACATTCTCCAGACAACACCACTGTTCAAATTGGTATAAGAGCTCAGGTTGCTTATGCAAAGACCCAGGCTATACCGTCTTCTATCACATCTCGCCACACCTTGAATTCTTCGTAGTGGGAAATCCAGTCGAGCGGAGCTCTAGCTCCAAAGTTTCGTGCAAAACCATCAAAAGGGGTTCCCTATGGCCAAGTGCAGTATTATTCTCACGATTTCTCAACCTAGAAGTTTCTTGCTACTGCCGTCAGGAAATCCAACCCTATACTTTCCCAATGCAGCAATTTGAGGTACATCTTCTTCTGTCATTTGACCTGTTCTAAACCTCTCTATTGCACCTGTCTCGATGGCCGAATATATTTCCGGATGCCGAACTTCTACAGATACGGATTAAATCAAAGAGATAAGACAGTTATTTGAGGGCAACTCACTGTGTTTCTCCAACTCTCTCTCGAAATTCCTATCTGATTCTACCTTCTTCTCGAGATACTGATTTTCGTACATCTTTTTGATAACCCTCGCAGTAATATCCACCATAGTCAGCGGCGTATTAATATACTCATGATCCATACCCAAACTTCCTTCGTGCTTTACCAGAATGACGTCCCCCTTGAAAAAGAGTCGTTCCGCTGGTGGGGCGAATTTAATAACGTCTCTGCAGGCCTGATTAACTGGCAACTTGGGGGAAGTGGTATAGTAAAGACAATAGTTCCCCCAAGTGTCCGGGTTTTCAGATTGTAACCAGTCCCTGCTTGGGTTATTGTCAACCTGGAAGTCGACGAAATCTCGTTCTAGGAAAGCGGGCTCCAGCCATGGCCTTAAGTCTGGGAGGTAGTCATAAAAGTCGACCGAACCATCTCCTTCGGATTTTTGTTTGATACTGTATGATACAAGCCGAACTGAGGTACCATCGGCAGGGAAAATAAGAGCACTCCGCTGAGTAGCACTGTTCGAGTTGCCAACTTCCATCATTCGTGACTTCTACCGTACTGTCTTGTGCTGTACTGTGGTATACTGGGGAGGTCGGAAAGGAGAAGGCGATCGACGAATAATACCGTGAGCCTACAGGAGACTGTGAGTAGGATACTAATAAGGGAAATCTAGTATGCAGTCGTACATTGGGACGAGCAGAAAATCAGGATAATGCTGGATTATAGGGAGTTGAGTGGTGGCAAGTGCGGGGAAAGCAGGGTTACGGTCTAAGACCGATTTTCGTGCCTCAGGCACCGAAGTCATTACTAAGCTAGATGTGGCGTACCAGGCCACAGAACCTCCAGCCACTAATCGCATTTGTGCCTAAGGCTTCATAATTGAAATTACAACGTAAATATTGCGGGGTTGTTTTGCACCAACCAAAATCGTCTCGCTTTGATCCGAGGTACAGATCCGCGTGGCGATCTTGCATGAAATCTGCACGCCACAGCAGCCACCAAGGCTAATGACGATTCCCTGCATCGTAGTGAGGCCTGAGAGCTCGGATAACTCCTTTATAAGTATTAGGGATGGTATAAGCTCGGTGGTGGAAGCTATAGTAGAGGAAGTCTATTACGCTATAAAAGGATACTCTTTGCAAATCAGGCGTGAGGGCGACGATGCGAACGTGATTTTCTAGTAGGAGGGGTTCAGGGTGTCCGGGAGTAGCTATGGAACATAATTTATTAAAAATTATAAGAGATATTAAAGTGTGCATAGATTTTAAAATGCTCAAAGTCAAAGTAACGTCTATCCCTGCGTGCCGAAAAACCCGGTGTGCCGAAAAAACTTCACAGTTTGGAGGTCTTAAATCTCCACCACATAAATATATAAAGTTATAATCTGTTTGCTATTGTTCCTTAGCTATTTTTCTATAAGAGCTCGGGTTAAAGGAAGAAAATACTACAGTTGTAGCAATGCTCTCGACCGTCTCGTCGACAGCGTTGAAAGCGGCTTTGTCTGTTCCCCCCTGTTTTATTATAGCCACCAGTCTGTCTCCAAGTTTCGGGGCAATAACATGAAGGTTTAATTAAGAAAGAATAATACCTCGAAGCTTTAAAGACACGAAGTACAAGAAAATCTACATGCCGAGTTTATCCGGGCAGAGGGGGAGGCACACAAAAAACTAAGCGAATTTATTACACTTATATAATGCGTATTAACAGTCACTTTACTCGTATTACTTTGTCCATTATACCAAATTTATATAAAGTGTGGCGTTCTTCTAGAAACTTCCATAAGCTGCCGCGTGCCTGCTTTCGGTCTACTGTGGGCGCTGATATACAGGTTCTTCCTTACCACAATTTGCGCCTTAGTGGTGGAAAGGTGTCAAGGCCTGAAGGGGCTGTGGGGATAAATATGGGTGTATATTGGTATATGTAAAGGAATGATGGTGCCCTAAAGGCGGGGAAGAAGCTATATATAAATCTGTGTGTGGCCTGTGCGTAGCACGTGACAAAAGGCGATGCATGGCTCGATCGCGCATCCGACTTGGAATGGCCCAGACAGCCGCCATGATCTTCTGCAGTGGCTAGCCGCGATCAGCTGGTCTGGCGCTTGTAGCGATGATGCGCAACCACGCCATGCCGCGAGGCTGTCGCCAAGCTGAGTCGTACGAGCACAACCTCGACCGAACCTGTCTCCCACCCAAACAAATATATGCATATCGACCCTTCGACAACTATCCACCGACATTATTTCGTTCAGAGATTCTCTCCGATCCTATCTGAGTCATGCGCCTACTACACTACAACGACGATGGCGAGTTCAGCCTGACGCAGTTCTTTGACGATATTCCCCCATATGCTATCCTCTCGCACATATGGGGACTGGAGGAGGTCACCTTCGGGGACATGATGGATAGGAACATGACGAGCAAGACTGGTTTTGATAAGATTCGATTCTGCGGAGAACAGGCCAGACGCGATGGCTTGCAATACTTCTGGGTCGATACCTGTTGTATCGACAAAACGAGCAGCGCTGAGCTCGCAGAGGCTATAAATTCTATGTTTCGCTGGTACCGCAATGCGGCGAAATGCTACGTCTTTTTTTCGGACGTTCCGAGACCGACCGTCGGTAGTGAGGACCGGCCCTACCAGCTTCCCTGGGAATCGGCACTCCGAGCAAGCAGATGGTTTACTCGAGGCTGGACCCTTCAAGAGCTTATTACTCCGGCATCAGTTGAAATTTTCTCTAAGGATTGGGAGCGTCTAGGTGACAAAAATTCCCTGGAGCGACTAATCTGCGAGATAACAGGAATTCCTAGCAAAGCTCTTCGAGGAACTCCGTTAGCGGATTTTAGCATGACTGAACGAATGTTATGGGCAGAACCCCGTCAGACAACTCGCGAAGAAGATATGGCATACTCGTTGCTAGGCATCTTTGACGTATATATGCCGCTTATATACGGCGAAGGGCGAGAGAATGCCGCAAGGCGGCTCCGAGAGGCAATTGACGGAAAGGAGAAGGGTATATCGCTCTTATTTGATTGAGGATAATAAGTTATATAGAGGTTATTGACTTAGATAGGGATCAAATACGAGGACTTTTCGATCCCGTTTAGTCTCTCTACAGCCTCTGACATCGAACATTTCGTAGCAAGAGAGGATGAGCTTGGAGAGATATACAAGGCACTGAGCGGCGACGGCTCCCGCCGTACTGTAGTGGGGTTTTTTCTCTCTTGTCCCGTGACTACCGTCACGTGTCCTGCTTCCCAGGCATGCTGGCGCTAGTTTAAGGGGTTGCATAAGACCTCCGTCCATACGTACGATTAGCCTTCCCAATATATCAACCTTCGGAGCCCCTTATTTTTGACTATTCGTATTATTTCTTTGCTGGTGCTGAGAGTCTTAATATTATTACTTCTACTTATTTAGCTTCCTACCCTCTTTACCTCCACCCACGCATCCAACGCCTATATATGGTCCGATATCCATATAATAATCAAATCCCCATTACAGTACCGTTATTCTTTATAGCCTCGGCGGAATCGGCAAGACGCAACTGGCTTGTCACGGTAAAACGTTGATGTGTATAGAAGTTGATTGATTCATGGCCCTTGTAGGCAGGAACTAACTATAAAGGTAGTCGCATCGGCTAGCTACGTCGAATGACGTAACAGGTGCCCGTCGCAAAAAGAGATAAACGACGTCCTCGTCGTAGTACGCTCTGCTGTAAAAAGAATAATCGTACATGGGTATAAAAGAAAGTAAAAAAAATTAAAAAAAAGGAAAGAAAAACAAAAACGAAACACTACGCTATAAAGTCCGTTCTTCTCCGTTTTCCACCGCCCTACTCTTCGTCCGCCGACTCCTCCTCAAACAGACCGTCGTTACCAAGGGCGTAGCCCGTGGGCTGGTCCTTTTTCTCTCCGCTCTTGCTCTTAAATCTCCCGTTGCTGAGGCGGGCCCATCCCGGTGGGACTTTAAATCATTATTTTTGGACAGGTTCGGTGGTCTCATTCTTCACGGCCTTCTTCGCAGGTATCTTCTTCTTAGTCTTCTTCGCCTTTGGTAGTGGTACAGATATATTATCGCCGGCCTCTGATACCATATGCCAAGGGCTAATACGACCTTTAAAGCCAGTTAAATCGGACTGGGTTTGGGGATATTCCTTGCCTATCTATATCGAGAACCACTTTCGAATTTCCTCTATCTTGGTATTATCGAGGGTAGGCGGTAGGTAGTTATAGATAGGAATAACTTTGATATCGTTGCCATAAAAGACTCTCATTATACGATTAATAATATCCGACTAACGAGCCTTTTCGACTCTTGTAGTAATGTCGCCGACATTGCTCTCCTTTGGATCACGCTTTCCTTGGATAATCTCAACTAATAGCTTCGTATTATTAAGTAGTATAGTCATAAGGAGGATTGCATTTACGCCGGCTCGGATTACTTCTTTACAGTATACGGCTATCTCCGTCGGGCTTGGCTTCTTTATCTTAGGAGCGGCCTTCGAGGATTTTGGTGGTACGACTACGGGGATATCTTGGTCATTATCAGTAGAGTTTTCGACCTTGCACTTTTTTCTGGGATTTTCGTCGTCGGTATTCTTGTCCGTATTATTATACTCGTCTTCCTCGGGATCTTCGGGAAGGACAGAGTACAGCTTTCATTCATAGACCTTCTTAGGCGGTCTGCTAGGACGGCATTTGACTAGAGTAAGGATATTATTATCGTCATTATCTTCTTTATTATATACTGGCTCAGCCGCCTTGAGAACGGACTTATATATCTTCTTAATATATACTACGAGAGCGTTTCGTTCTTTTGGGTACTTGTCTAGCAATATCTGAATTCTTGGGTAATCTTCGGGATTGCCGACGGTATCAAAGAAGTCCTTGAAGTCCTTATTAGTAGGGGCGTTATTCTTCTCTAGCTTCTTACGAACTCGGCAATATACCGGTTATAATAATAGAACGCCTTTAGTTAGTACGGGGGATACTATAGTAGTAGTAATAGCGAGTTATATGGTATTTTTCTATATAGTAGTATAATAATTATAGTAATCGCTATAGCTATACGTATTCTATACTATTTGGTATTAAGGAAATACTTCTTCGGTTATAAGGAAAATAAATATCCTAGTTTATACTAGTATATAGCTATAGAAACGTAATAATATTTCTTATATATATACTCGGTAATAATAATCATTACTCCATAATTACTATTCGGTATTTCTCGCCGGCCGACCGCATTTCTTTACGGGAACCATTCCCAACCGCTCTTTGTAATCTGCCACTAGTTCTAATACATTACCGAGAACCTCCGCTAGCTACTAGTTATTATACTCATTTCTCTATCCTATGTATTTTATCAAGTACTTAATATAGTTTCGTCTACCATACTTCACCGTTCTTTTATCTATGATATATTTGAGCTCCCAACTTTACTAGTCCTTATTATTACCCTGGATATCCTCTACTAGTTCTTTTCCTTGGATCGACTCTCGTCCATATAAGTCTTCGCCTTTTGGGGCAGGTTCTAGGTAGGCGACGGAGATTACGGGATATATCTTCTATTATTAAGGGAGTTCTAATTTATATACCAATCTTCTAACCCGGCGAAGTACTTTAAAAGGTCCCGTCCATTATTCCGTTAGTTTTCTATTCGGGTAACCCGGAAGGTAATATCCCCTATATAGTCTCAGGTAGACAAGGTCTCCGATATCTATCGTAATTAGCTTATACTTTATATTATAGTATTATTTGGTAGTATTATTGGCAAAATCCATAGCAATTTATATATCGCATTATCGCAGTTTCCGGATTATATCGGGTAGTTCGTTCTCGGTATTACCTACTAGAAGGGATAGGTTTGTAGCTAGGCGGAAGCCGCTAATATACTCGTTTAGTAATATTTGGATTATAGCTATCCAGATATTATTTAGGGCTAATTAGAAGGGAATAATCTCTATAAACCAAGCTTGGTCTGGATAAAGGAAAATAATATACCATAGACTAATCTCTATAGTCTAGTTCTTTCTTTCGGAAGTACTATCTATCTGTAGATACTATATCGTTAATATAAGGAGTTTCGTCTTTAAGTAACGGAATACGCCTCTCTAGAAGTTAGAGACGAATTTGCGGTCTCTATTAGAGATTATCCCTTACAGAATACCCTAATCGAGTAATAGCCAAAAGGTTATACAGATCATAGCCCAGTCTTCGGCCGAATACGTACTATATCCTGGGATAAGTAGTATTTTCTTACTCGCCTTATAAGATTATATTATTATATAATCAAAAAAGTTATATCCGTCGATTTTCTATGGGCTAACTACTAGAATTATTAGTAACGCCATTATGAAATCCATAGTAATAGTATAGTACGGAATTAAGATTATCTTAATTAGTTATAATTTGCCATATAGGTATTTCCTGGACGTTTAATTAAACAAGCATACGGGGCAGTAAAGGATATACTCTTCGAGTCGTTTTTTAAGCCAAGGGATACAGAATTCGTCTAGTTCGTAAAGTATTCTTTCCATATCAAAGTGGAAACGGTTATAGGCCATACTAATTACTTTATTAGTAACCGTATTAGGAATATATAGATGGAGGCGGGTACTAATAACGTAATATAGGAGTCCGTCCTTAATACGAAATGCCACACTATTCTTTTCTGCTTATTCTGGGAGGGAATCTTCTTCTGGGATTCCCAGAAGTCGGAATATACGTATAAACTTTGGGTTAGTCCGTAATCCTTTAATTAATTTTATCTTGAAGTCAGGGTATATAATGGTCTCTATTATAAATAGAATATATTCCAGTTTATTATCTGCCGAGATATCTCGTTATTCTATAGCCTTTAATTATAAGAGTATATCCGGAATAATATTTAGCCTGCCCGGATAGTATCTAATATCCAGGTCGAATTAGGATAAGTAAATAGAGGCATATACTAGTCTCATATTCGCTTTAGAGATATTAGAAGTATTTAAATTCGTTCGTTTATATATGCCTCTCGTTAACGTATGGTCGGTAAGGATAATAACGGAATGGTTACTAGATTGGATTATTAGGCGGAGCTTCTAATAGGCCCATACTAGTCCTGCAACTTCTAGTTCGGTAGTATAATAGCGCTTTTCTATAGTACTTAGTAGCTTACTCATAAATATTACCGGCTATATATATTTAGCTAATAGCTTGGCGGTTATCTCCGTCGGTTAAACGCCTGGTATAAGGTAGAAAACCATAACCGTAAAGCCTTACTTTACTAAAGCGTCTAGGTTAAGGAATAGGATCTTTCCTAAAAAGAAATATACCAGGAATCTCGGCTTTATTAGCATTTCCTAAAGAGCTTTAAAGGCCTTCTCTTCTGCGGGTATAAGTATATAGGTGGTTTTGGCAATATAGCCGTAACATTTTCCTCCCGTCGCTCCTATTTCTTTTCCTACTTCGAGTAATACTATTTTTCATTACTATATTAGCTTAATAACCTAGGTATAACTTGGTAAGTATAGTTATAGCCATCCGGTCATACTAATATATGTCTCTAGTACTTTTAAGGTTATCGGGAATTCGATATTCTTAAATACTATAACTCTATCCTCTATTATTAATATACCTAGGGCATTAATAAGGTAGCCAAGTAATCTTACTGAGATATATCCGATAAATGACTTCTTTATAGAGAGGAAAAGTCAAAGCTTGGAGAATAGTTAAAGGATAGTTTCTAAATAGTAAATATACTATTCTATTATATCTGAGAAGATAATAATATTATTAATAAAGTTTCGTATAAAGTAGGCATATATCCGCAGCTACTTATCTATAAAGCACTATATATATTAGACCGAGTTACGGAAACCTATTAGGATAACGTTTAACTATTCTAGCCCCCTATAGCTAATTACTATAAAGCAGTTACAATACTCTTTAGTAATAAGGAATTAGTAGAAGAACTACAAGCTATCTATAACGGATATGGCCTTCTTCCCTCGAAGTATATTAATGAGATCGGATTATAAAAACATAGAATAAGTATCCGGGACCACAAGCTTGTTTATAACTTATAGGTTAATAACTAGGCATTCCTTAGTAGTAACGAATACTAGTATTATAAAGGGGATTAGTCCTATAATATATTTCATTCTACCTTTCTCCTATAAATCATTAAAAACGCGATTAATAATAGCTCTGTACTTAATACTAATAGGGAACTTCTTTTATATAATTCGTTTATTCTACTAGCCCTCTATAAGTAGTATTCTCATGTAATCTTCCTATAGTATATTAATAGGGCCGCAATCCGACTAATACTTCTGGTAGTGGCTAATAAGGTTATATAATGCTATTACTATATTAGGGTTAATATTACAAATATGGATACCGTTTTCGTATATAATCTCAGGGATATTCTCTGGCTTATTAATACCGAAGTTATATTATTATTGCCTCTAGGACGGCTTCTCGTTATTACCGGGATTATCGGGAAACTCCTCCGTCCGATATTCTATATATCCATTATTATAAGTATATTCTATTATATAGAATACCTATTCTTCTATATCTCTTAACTTCCCGAGTTTCGTATCCGGAAATATTATCTTCGCCATATTAGAGTTATTAGTAATACTTACGAAGTTTATATAGTCGAGAATAGTATCCTATACTCCCGTATAGTACCCTTTAAAGAAGTATATTCTATTTACTAGAACTGGTTTATAGTTAGTAGGAATAAGTACTATAGAGTATAGTAGTATAATAACCTTTCGTATAGCTAGTATATTATGATTAATCTTGGGGAAACGGTTAATTACTATAATATTTATAATAAGATCTTTACATACCCCGATAGTAAGTATTAAGTCTCGGTAATTAATAATAGATAACGTTTGCTAAAGGAACTCTATACCAAGTAATAGGCCGGGTTCTAACTAAGTCATTACCCAGGCTATAATAAAGATCTTTCCGAATCATTCTTCTCTATCCAGTTTGCCTATAATATATATAGGAAAGATTACGCATCTCGTTAACGTAAACTCACTTGCAATGCCCTTAAAGGACATCTTCTATAAATCATTATATATTACTTCTATATGGCCTTTTAACTAGTTTTCTCTAATAACTAGCCGGGTATAGCTAGTATTAATATAGTATAACTTCTCCGCTTGGCTTAGCGAGAATCGGGTCAGTAGTTTTATATAGGTATATATGATATAGTTATTCTTATTATTATATTTACATAGCTCTGCTTTAATAATATCGAGGCCTATTAGAGTTAGTAGAGTTTTTAATATCTGTTTATTATAAGTATTTATAAAGATATATTTAAATATCTTTATTCGAGAGAGAAAGATCTTCTTATACTTTTTGCATATATATAGATTAATTACATTAGTTATAGCTAGGTAGCCAATATCTTGCGGTTTATTTCTATTATTATCGGGGAAGTATGGGTATATAAACTCCTCTATTATAATATAGCCGCTTTCTTCTAATTCTCTATTGTATTCCGTACCATAATCTTCCGGGATATTAATATAGTCCGATCCGTAGTTAGCTCCTTCTCCGTACCGGTAATATCTATAATATTACCCTATATACTCCCGCTTAGAGTACGGCTCTTTAAAGTAAGCCCGAGGGTTCCCTTGGTCGTCTCTATAGGATACTATAAGTAGGTTACGGGACCGGGCTAGTAGTAGCGGTTTATTCTATCTATTATTAGTATTACTATATACTGGCCCTTGTGGCTTCTATATCTACTATGGCCGAGTCTGCTACTATAGCCGGGGGATAAAGGGTCGGAAGCCGGAGTTTTAATATCGGTCATTATATCTCTGGCCTCCTCGAGAATCAGTACCTTTATAATTAAAGTGCGGCGGCCTCTATATATAGCAGGTATATACTCTTGCCGCAAGCATATTATACCATACTTCCTGCTTTACTACTAGATTCTTTAGCCATTCTAATACTACGGTTTTCTCGTCCGGAGCCATGACTTGTAGTCGGAATTCGGGGTCTAGGTTATTATAGATATAAGATAGCTACTAGTATGGCTTTTCTATTTCCGCTACCTTAGTATATCTCATTACTATAGCTACATAAGTATATATATCTCGGCCTTTCATGGCATTATCCTATATATAAACCTCTACGGAGAGTTTTTTTATTACCGTTAGTATAGAGTCCTTAAACCGGTTAATAAGGGCCTTGGCCCAAATTTTGATACCTTCCGGTACGAAGCGAAATACAAGTCAAGTAGTCTCTTTGATTTCTTCTATATACTACCGTTATATAATACCTCAGAGGCAGGAATATAGGTTTCCTCGAATAATTACGTCTCTTCCTTCTCGTATATTAAACTTGAATAAGTCAATAAAAAGATAAACGTTTTTCCATACCGTAGCCTTACCCTAATATTCATAATTAATCTCGTCTAGTAATATAGGGTCAAAAAATCCGATATCTTCTGGTAACTAACATATAGAAACGCCGCCGGCGTTTACTTGGTTAAAGTCATTACCGAATCCGAGAGTAAAGTTATTCTGACCGAGATTATTTTGACTATTATTATTCTGACCAAAAGAGCTTTGTTCATTTGATCCAAGGCCATTGGCTCCTCCTGAGCCGACTCCCGTATCCGCTTGTTCTCGTTATTACTATCTGTCTCGGGTATCCAGAGCGGTATTAATTAAGCTTGCGATCTCGGACGCTATTTCGGGTAATAGCAAGGGTTACTTGTCTCGCCGGATACCGGTATCCTCTCCCGCTTGCGCCCCGTCCGGCATATTAGTCCTTCGTAATATTTCCTCTGTAATATCGCTCGGTGGTATGGACTCGACTCGTTAACCGCTGGGATAGGTGCCCTGAACACCGCTTCCGCTTTTGGACGGTGCCTGCGAAGCGTCTGGTAGGTATCTATCGCAGAATGTATTAAATCTTCGTATTACCTCTCCCAATTTCGATCTATTAATTGCCTAATTAGATGGGTATGGGTCGGTCGGTAGAGGAACGTATATAATTAGGTCTGTAGACGAGGAACGACTATAGTGGCCCTCTGAAGTATATCGTATAGCCGAGAAGTGAGGGTATACGGCAACGAGTTTATCGATAATATCGTCGACGACCTTCGTTCTCTCGGCGTATTTGTGCTTCGTTATTCGGAAACTATATAACTGGTATACGAGCTTGATAAAGTCGTCTGGCAGCGACTGCATCGTTATTGAGTGCTTCTAGTCGCGGATAGGCTGGACGGATAATAGTCGATAACGACTCGATTAAACGGTTTTGGATGGGTTTGGATGGCGGAAAACGGGCTCGGGTCTGCCGAGGGTCCCCAGTCGAGTTATCGAATAGATAACAAGACAATTACTACCATTTGTTACGGTAAAACGTTGATGTGTATAGAAGTTGATTAATTCATGGCCCTTGTGGGCAGGAACTAACTACAAAGGTAGTCGCATCGGCTAGCTACGTCGAATGACGTAACATGGCTATTGCGTACGCAAAGCGGTATAAGGACAATTACTCGGCGATATTCTGGCTCAATATCAAGAATAAAGATTCTCTAAAGCAGAGCTTTGCTAAGGTGGCAAGGCAGATACTATATGAATACCCCTTGGCCCGCTGGCTTAGTAACATTAATATGAAAAACCTCGACAATATTATTAATGCTATTAAGTCATGGCAAGGTTTGCCATATAATACGAGATGGCTAATAATATATAATAATTACGACAACCCAATACTAGCAAGTAACAAAGATCCTGCTACAGTGGACATTACAAAATATATTCCCGAAGTATATCAGGGCTCAGTACTTATAACCATACAGTCGTCGGAAGTTGAGATTAGTCATCTTATACAAGTGAAAAAGCTAGTAAATATACGTAATAGTCTCAAGATTTTGTCGAATGCGTCGCGCAGGAAGGAAGTAATGGATGGTAAGCCCTATCTAACGTAGTATAAGTAGTATTAATCTTTACGCAGACGCGGGTGCATTAAAACTCGCTGAAGTATTGGCAGTGTGTCAAATGATTAGATTAGATTAGATTAATGGCCATTAATCTAATCTAATCAAGGAAATTTACCATTAATCATATTCTAATCATAATCTAATCAGATTAATCGATTATTAATTGATTAATTTGATTAATGGAGCACGTGATTAGACACGTGATAGCGCTAGCCGCATCGGGAGCGCGCTTTACCGCATTAGGGCTACGGCCACCTAGCGGCGGCCTGGGCCGCAGCTTACCAAGCTAAGCGAAGCATCCAGAACCTCCTCGATTTTTCGGTAGTTCCACTCCCTTATAAATCATATTAATTATAAATAAAATAATTAGAAATCAACCTTTATTAATAATAAGTGCTTTGAAATTACTAGATAATTTCTAATTAGAAGAAATATTAAGAACCCTTTAGAATTAAAAGTTTCTCTATATAAGAAGCTTGTTCTCTTCAATGATTTTTCTGATATCTAAACTTCAAATATTAATATTAAACCAACCACCACACCTATTAAAAAGCTTTCAACTATAAAGTTACTTTATTTTACTCGATATATTCGAAAATGTCTCAGCAATCCTCGATAAAAATTAACTTAACTCAAAATCGAGATGATTTTGAACTTGAACCGCTTGAGGAGCAACCTCCTCTCTATCGATTTAAATATCTTCAAAAGATATTAGATCCTCCCCAAGAAGATCCCGAAGATATTCGAACATATACTATTAAGTGCTTAGTTCGAGGGTATAGGTAAGTAATTATTATAATTTAAATTTAAATTTTAATTAATTTTATATTAGGAAAATCTGGCTTAAACAACGAATCTACGGCTCTACAAGTAATTATTATACCCATTTTCGACATTCTCATAAGTCTATAAGCCTTTTAAGCTTAAAGGCCGGTGAGATTAATAGTAAGTTAATTAATATTAATTTTTAATTAATTTAACTAATATATATATTAGGTGAAAGCGAGGTATCAAGCCAGCCTAGTCAATCTAGTCAGCCTACTATAGGCCAGCTATTTAATAAAAATACCGGCCAACGCGAAGAAAGCTTTACTATTAATCACTTTAAAAGATTATTATTAAATTTTATTATTTCTAATAATATATCTTTTAGAGCTATTACTACTTCTAGTTTTAAAAAGCTTTTAACTTATTTAAATTAGTAAGTATTCTAATTAACCTTATTTATTTATTTAATACTAATATATTACTAGTCAAATACCGCCTTTATATGCTAAGGTTCTTACGGATGAATTAGAATTAAGATATATCGAAAAAGCTCATTAATTAAAGAAGAATTACTTGAGAATATAAAAACTCAAGGAACCTTTTCTATTACTTTAGACGCTTGGACAAGTATAAATCAAAAGGCCTTTCTTGGAATTACTCTATAAGTTAATATCCTTTTAATTATTAAAGAAAAATATTAATAATTATTTAGACATTTTATAAATAATGATTTTAAATTAAAATCTTATTTACTAGCTATACGAGATTTAAGCGATATTCACTCAGGTGTTTATATGCTTTCTGTTCTCTTAGATACTTTAAGAGAATATAATATTGAATATAATATAACTAGGTAAGTAATTTTAATTTTAATTTTAATTATTATTAACTAACTTTAAATTAGTATTACTCGAGATAATGCTAGCTCAAACGATACCTTATTAAAGGCTTTTATAAAGCATTATAATAAGGAAGGCATTAAATTTCAAGAAGATATTCCTTATATAGCTCATATTTTAAATTTAGTAGTTCAAGATATTTTAAAAGCTCTTATTAAGAACGATTACGATACCTCTTATTCTACAGATTTATATAAGTAAGAAATAGAAGAACTCGAAGATAGAGAAGAAGAAGAAGAGGGAGAATAAGTAACAAGTAAGTTTCCTATATAATTTATAAGAGTTTTATTAATAAATTATAGATTTATCGATTTGGAGAAAGGTTCGAAAGACTATTATAGGTCTTAAATATAACCAAGAAAACCGACGGCTATTAGAAGCTCAAATTAAAGCTTTTAATATAGAAAATGCTCGATTCCCTCAACTTGGTAAGTAGTTAATTTTTTAATTTTTTAATTATTTAATTATTAATTAATACTAATTATTTATAGATCAAAAAACACGGTGGTCTTCGACTTATTATATGTTAAAGAACTTTTTACATATATATAAAGCTATTAAAGTAGTTATTAATAGCTCTAATTCGAAGGCTTTTAAAAATAAAAGTCTAGTTTTAACTAATATTGAAATTACTTATTTAAATAATATTTTAAATATAATTTCAATATTTGTTAAAGCTACGACTAAGTTACAAGCCGAAAATTATCCGACTATATATTATATTATACCTGAGGTATATAAAATATATAATAAACTTGAAAATTTTAAAAAGGAATTTAAAGTAAGTCTTTTCTTAAATTCTTCTTATATTATTAATAATATTATACTAATCTTTAATAGAATAAAGCATTTACAGATGCAATAGATAAGGGTATAGCTAAACTTCGAAAATATTATCCTAAAACAGGTGTTTTAGATAATAAAAGTAAAGCTTTATATTTAGCTCTTATTCTTGATCCTCGAATTAAACAAGAAGGATTAACTAGTATTGGCTTATCTAATGGTATGTCTTCGGATATATATAATAGATTAAAGACCGATTATAATGTGTAAGTAATTCCTTTAATTATTTTTTTAATAAATTAATAACTAATTTTATATTTAGATATAAATACGATTATAATTTATCTTACGCTAGATCCGATTCCTCGGATATTAATATGGCCGATTCCGACGGAGACGACTTAGATATATATGTTACTAATAAGTCTTCTAATATAGAAGACGAATTAATAACTTATTTAGAAGAAAAGAGAGAGGATAGAAAAGTAAGTAAAACTCACTTAAATTTTATTAAATAATTACCCGATATTTCCTTAATATTTTTTAATATATTAGTACTAATATATATATAGATTAAGCCATTAGATTATTGGAAGTCTAATGCGGCTAGATTTCCTGTTTTAGCTTTAATAGCTAGGAAATATTTAGGAATTCCGGCTTCCTCAGCCGCTAGCGAGAGGTTCTTTTCTCAAGGCGCTCTTATTATGTCTAAATTACGAAATAGACTTAATAAGAGTACCTTTGAAAAGATATCTTGTTTAAAGAGCTGGGGTATATTTAAAGATGAATTAGAAGAAGCTAAAAAAGAAGAGAAAAAGGGGGCAAATCAGGTTTTGGAAGAGGATAATCAGTTTATTATTATAGAAAAGGAGTAATTAGTTAGTTCTTAGCTTAATTTAGATTTTTTTATTATAATATTATTAGTTAGTTATAAGGTTATTTAATAATTAATAAGTAAAAGTAAAGAGAAAAGTAAAAAGAGTCAAGAAACTCCGATGTCACGTGATTAATCAAGCATTAATCAGATTAATCAAGATTAATTAATCTAATCTAATCAAAAAAAATCTGAATTACGTTAATCATAATCTAATCACATTAATCAATTAATTAATCGATTAATTTGATTAACGTGATTAATCCTTTGACACACTGCTGCTACTCCAAGCTCGTCCCAAAGCTGGCGCCTACAGAAGCTCAATAAAGGCCTGTAAAAGTGGCCAAATGAACGCTTTGAATAAGCCTGAGTAACCCCAACCTCGAGATCTCATTAACATCCCCGAATTAGGGAATATCAGGGTTTGAGTTGTTGATTGGTTAGAGCTCCGTGCTTGCATCTGTGCCTAAGTGGTATGATAAATATCATTATGTAGGATTATTGGGGGTAGTCATTGCGAACGGGTTGGTGGTCTAACCATATTCAGTTCAGTGGGCGACTGACCCAGACTAGGTGCTAGAGGACACCACAGTGCGGTGTATACAATCCAACCAGAGTATTCATGTCCACCACTCAGTCTGGATGTGTCTATACGTCCTGAATCCATCTCTGCACACTTAGGAAGCTAGTAAAGGCCTCTTGCCTCGGGCAGTAATTTCAAGTATCTCAACAGGCAGCTTCCAGCATTCTATACTGAATATCCTTCCAAATCAAAATCTTTGCCGTATAGTGGCGGGCTGTTGAAGATCACCTTGAGTTTGTGGACGCGGCAAGCTGATCTGCTGCAGGTAAACACGTCTTGGCAATTCAATCCTTTGGGATATTATTAACGATAATCCATGATCTTAGCTTGTGCCATACCTGTACCTTCTTTTTCGAGGCAAATACCATCTTTGCAACAACGATAGAGACATTGGCCTGGATACAGAATATTCCCTCTCGTTTTGCATACTAAGTGCAACGTTTGCATAATTAATCAATAATGTCAGTCGAGCTCCAAATATGGCTCGGGCTTCTTCTCTCGAAGATGAAATGGACTTTGTTTTGTCAAAACTTCTTGCATCTCCTCAGTCTGAGATGAGGTAGATCGGAGCCTTGTTGGAAACCCTTGCCACCATGTCCTTAGAGGCCGCGAGTTCGAGACGGTCAAGATCCGAGTGGGACCAGTGTGAGGTACGAGAGTATTTGTGCTCGGAATGTTTGAGATTGCTTGATGGTCGTTAAAGGCTCTGAATTGATACATGTCACTATTGCTAAGGTCTTGGCAATGTTTGTACGGCAATAATAGATATGTTATCCGCCAGACTAAATCTATAGCCGGTCCGACCCAAACACGACAAAATAAAAGAAAGTCCACCAAAATACTAATTAATATAAATCGTATTAATCGGAACTATCGTATATCTTGTAGTAATTAATTCCCTAGTCTCCGATTTTAAATACCTTTAATATTACAGGAGTTACAAAGCACGTGATCATTTTTATACGAGCTCGCATAGGAATTTTTGCGTTTTGTAAGAGTAAAAAATTACATCTCGTATAGTATACGAGGTTGCACGTGATTAAAATCATGAACTTTTTATACTTTATATTCTCTTTAGTAGTAACTCTTGATATTTAAGCTCTTACTAGATATACTAAGCTTATAGAAGCTCAAGGGGCCTTATAAGACCTTATAAGTCTAAGTTTAATCTACTATTTACTTGGGTACACGTGACTTTTCTGAAATATTTTTGCGTTTTGTATGGTCAGAAATCAAAAAAGTAAAAAGGGTCCGTGCACTTTAAACCTCGATTATTAATGAACCACAAATAGTATTAAAAATCTAATTAATAGGTGTTCTTCGCCTGGTTCTACTATATAATTGCATCGCTTAGTATTAATTAATTAGGGTTATGGTTAAAAAGTTATTATGGGCGTAAAAGAGTGACCGTTTTGTCGTGGTTGGGTCGGACCGACTGTAGGTAGCATAGACCAAGAGGCAGTTCTTCCGGCGGAAGTAATGGCCGAGAAAGCTCCGCTATCACCTCTCTCAATATACCCAGGAGCAATCAAGTTCCTCTTCGAATGCAAACCCTTGTGCATTACGTTGAATGGTCTCCGGCACTGTTAAACCTCTTTCTTTCCGTAGAAGCAAGTTCTGCAACGATGACCCAAGATGTATCTCAATTAATGAGAGGCGCTCTGCGATTCAATGATTCCCATCCAAAACCTCAATGCCGAGAGGCTCTCATCGGCATCTTCTGCCTTGGTAGTCGATTCACTAATGAGTAGTTATCATAAATTGGTCTTTCGTGTTGTGGATAGTAGAGGATAAGGTTGATTTATAAGTAAGGATACTGACTATGAGTACCAAAGTGCTTTTGTGCATACCTAGCTTTTCCAACCGTTCCTGGATATGGGAGCCTTTATTGCCCACCGAAAATAATCCAGGAAGCCAAGGTCGTTATCTGAACTCAGAGCTTCGACGAGGATATCGAGGTCCCAGAAGATCGAGACACAACCTGAGAGGATAATGACGATTTGATCCACCAGCAGTGTGTCAAAGAACTACTCATGCTACTCATACTACTCATGAATATTCATGAGTAGCGTAATGCCCTAAAAAATTGAGTAGAGTAGAGTATATACTCATGAGTAATATGAGTAGTGTAAGTAGTTATTACGTGACTATAATAATTTAAAGTTTACTTAATAATAATTAAATAGTAAAGGTACTTATTAAGTAGCTTATCACGTGTGCCTATTACGTGGATACTACTGTGGTGGGGATTTTACCCCTATTGGTCACGTGGCGCGGTCATGTGACCTCCGGACATCCGCAGTCCGCAACCCGCTTATATATTACCCCTCTTTCCTTCTCTGTTTTAGAAACAAACCAACCTTCACTCTCTAATTTCACGCCTCACTCGTACGCTGTGATCCCACGCTGTGGAAGCCCTTCAACTCTCTATATATTACTACTTGTTTTATATCCCCATTACACTACTCATACTACTCATACTACTCATACTACTCATGAGTAGCTTGAGTAGAGTATGAGTAGAGTGTAAGTAGCGCTCAAATTGGTTGAGTAGAGTATGAGTAGGACTCACTACTCTACTCTACTCTACTCATTTGACAGTTGACAGATTGTTTGACACACTGTCCACCAGGATTTAGCGAGGCCTGCTTTGAATTGACCTTCGCGCGTCCAAGCAACGTCAACTGAAGCTGGGAAAACCCCATCAGATGGTACCAATGTGTAGCTTGATGTTGCATAGCAACTGCAGGCTGGTCACGTGTGCTTGGCTCACGTGAATACACACACTATATTTAGCTCTAGCCGTCCGTGCCACACCTCTCTCCTCTTTACAATCTGATTATATTACAATACAACCGCATTTACTGCAACACTTGATCTCTCTCGTCTCTTTCGGCGGATTCTTGGCTTTGGCTATTAGTCTCAGAGTGACTGATATCTTGTGAGCTACTTGAAGCAGCCCAATCACGGACATGGCAACGCCCAGAGGATCCATGATCAAGAAATGGATAGCCAAGATAAAATTTCCAAGAGGCTACGTAATCTAGAAGGGGAGGTTGAATGCGTTCCACGGCTAGATAGAACGTGGCCACAGTTTGTAGAAAGTGCAAGAGCTGCAGAAAAGGTTTCAGACTTGTTCCACTCTATCCCTTGAGTTACATGAACACGTTATGTAATAATGAATGCAGTCAATGATCGAATTTGCATTCGGGCCGGCATAGCTAGTTCAATTGAGATGGCCATTATGCTTGACGAGGATTCGCTGCGAGTATAAACTTTAGTTAGTGCTATAAGTTAAGGCGCAGTAAAGATAAGGCCGAGACCGTAGTGAGGCCGACCCAGACGCTATATAAGGAAGAAACGCAATAAGTGAAAAGGTTATGAGTAATATAAAAGAGAGAGAGAGAGAGAGAGGGTTTCTTATAAATAATATTAAAAAGCAGTACAATTTCTAAAATATTAAATAATTTAATTAATTGCAGTTATTAACTAGTAATTAAATTAAATTAATAATTACTTATTTAATTATATAATATTATATAAGATTATAAAAATAATACAAGTATTATAATATTAAAATAAAGTTTACTCTAATTTAATTTATATATTACCTTATTATAATAAGCTTAGTAATAGCTATATTTATTTATTTAATAAACACAAAAATATTAGAACTCTCTTAATTTATTAGTTATAAAAATAAATAGTTTCATTAATTAATACTTTGAAATTAGAGAAATATTTTAAATTAAAAACTTATTAATAAATATAATAGATTTTAGAGGCTTTATATATAAATAAATAATTCTTTATAATTTAAAAATATATATTATATTAATTGAAATAAAAAATAAACCCCTTTATTTTATATAATTATAATTATAAGTATTATAAGATACATATATCAAAGTTATAAAACTTTATATTATAATATTTATAAGTAATTAGCTTCTAGTATATTTTTAAAAATATGAGTTATATAATAAATACTAAAACTTCTAGTATATTATAATACTTTAGTAAGTAAATCTATAAGCTCAAATATAAGCCAATTAATTTTATAAATACTCGAGTAATTAGCTATAATAACTTAAAATAAGTTTAGAATAAAATTATTAGCTAGCTGTAATGGGCACACGTGACGGCGCATGGACAGGTGTCAGATATCGTGGATCTGGTTTCCTATTTTGGGTAAAGCTTGCATCGGAATCGCACGGATCGCGTGGGATCGCATTTCCTAATTAAGTAAAGGGCTTCGTACGCTTGGCTAAGCACTAGGGAATATATAGGGAGACGCTCCTAGCTTTGGAAAGGGGCATCGATTAGTCTTTTATTGGATTCAACTCTTGGAAATCAGTTACACTTGCAAGCGTCACTCTAAAGCTTATTTACCTTGACTACTTGTGCATTACCCTGCTATTGCGTGCCTCACACTAGCCCTAAAGCTTATATAAGGCCGCTAGTAATAATCTTAGTAAAGTAGTCTTAAATCAATTAATTTATATTATAATAAACTTTCTCTTATTTTATTATTTTTAAATCTGACCGAGTATAATAACTAGCTCTAATTCCGAGTTTTATACTAAATCTCATATAAAATAAAGTAATTAATATATTAAAAAGAAAGAAAGAATTTTAATTAAAAGTTCTTTAAAGTAAAACTTTATTTCCTTTTTTAATATAGCCTTTAAAAACTATTAATTTAATAATAATACCCTATATTTTACTAAAAAGACAATTTGCAAGCTTGAGTATATATATAGCACGTGTTTTAGCTTTCTGCTTTACTCTCTTTATAACTTTATATACTTTTTGTAACGGCTGGTGTCACATGGTTGGTTTCAGCCAAAGGGGTTGGTTCCAGCTAAGGTTCCAAGCTATGGTTCAAACCAAGCTCGCTTCCAAAGCTCGGCGTTTCAGTGGTCTTGGCTATACCTACTTATCCACTGCCACACCTCACTCCTTCTCTCCTTAGCTTTAGATTCTGTAGGACATTAGAATTATAGATCTTTGAGTATCGTTCCATTGCTTTGTTCCTGCCGTCACACTTTTATTCTCCTGATATATTCGATATTTCTTGAGAATATTTGTATAACTAGTCTCAAAAAGTATTTAATCTTTTGCTTACTTGCTTGTATAGCCAAATATGGTCCGTATATTATTAGTTATTATGGGCTTTCTCACTCATATTACTATAACAAAAGCCTGCGGGGGTTATTATCAGTGCAAGAACTCGAACGGATCTCACTGCTGTGTATACGATTGAAGATACTCTTCCCGTATAAGAATTATTACTAATTTTTACAGGTAATGCCGGCTAAACATTACACACCACTTAGCTGCCCCTCTGACTGCACTGGCGGTACTGCATGGCCGGCCGAGTGTATTGGTACACTTGATGGCAGCAAGCGCCATCAGTATATTATCCTTATGAAAAAATCCTTTTGAAGTAAAACTAATACACGTCTTATAGATGTTACGCAGTCTAATACGCCGAAATCTCTAAATGTGGAATATTAGTATTGTGGGGTTTTTTGTCTCTTGTCTCGTTACGTGTTATATTCTTTATGCACGCTGGCGCTAGTTTAGGGGGCTATATAACATGTCCATCCATGCGTACGATTAGACTTACTAATACACCACACTTAAGAGCTACCTATTTCGACCTTTTATGTTACTTCTTTATTACTACTAAAAGTGTTAATTTTGATTACTTGGCATTTTACTCTACACGCATCCGAACCAGTGCCCGGAAGGGGTGGGTCCCCTAGCGCGAACTGCCCTAACTACCTGGATTTTACCAGGGCAGTTCTCTTTTTTCCAGAGAACTAGTAAAGCCAGGTAGGGCAGTTCTTAATATTCAAAAATCCAGCGCGAACTGGAGAACTGGTACACCCCTGGATTTGAGGACATAATCAGGCTCAAGGGGTCTTAGTGCGCGTTTGATCGCCATAAGCTTGGACGATTTCCCACATTTTGTACGGAGGTACAGCTTATAGAGATTTGGAGTATAAATCTTAGCAGTATATAATTATGCTTAATTTATTTGCTTAGTTTGCACGTGATATATTTGGTATCCCTGACATGTTAGCTGAGGTAGAAAGGCTCTTCTCAAGCGCTAAGTTAATGATACTACCCCATCAGAGTTCTTTCAAGCCTGAATTAATAAAGACAGGTGAGTATATTAGAAGCTGGGTAGCTAGTTGGCTATTCATTGGTGATTACTTTGATTATTTATCACCTGACGAACGAAATAGGGAGGCAGCGGAGCTTCAGGCTAGGGCCCCTTTTGGGGAGCACTATTTTTAGAAATATATCTTCAAAGTCGACCTGGTCGACCTGGTCCAGCGCGTATTTACCAGTTCTAAGACCTGCAATTCTGCGATTTCTATTGGGTAGGGCAGTTCTTTCTCAAAAATCGGCCCTACCCACCCATTACTGGCACTGATCTGAACGCCTATATATGGTCCGAAATCCATATAACAATCAAATCCCCATTACATTGGCGACCCAGGGAAAATTAAGCACTGGAGCTCTATCGTCACATATCTCCCTCGCGGTGTGGGATCACAAAGCCTTAATTGCGTCATTCATACGACGACGACGACGTCCTTCTTTAGTTTAAGACTCTCCTCTTGTGACTAATTACGACTATTTTACAGCTCATTTGGATTTCCAACGATTTACCAGCGACGCAATCTCCTCCTCTTCTCTCTACTCGTCTGCTCTCCTTGCCAAGCTTCAAGTTTTAAGCTTCAGTTACATTATCGACGTACGATTTCAATAGCTTCCGACGCTCCTTTAGTTTATTCGATTCAAAGACCAGCGATTCCTGTGGTTACAGCAGCAGTTATAGAGGTGCTGGAACACTTCTCTCCTTCGATTCCAAGACTAGTAATGCCTGCATTATGGCGGTAATCGCAGAGGTACCGGCACATACGAAATTGCAAATGGAGTGTTTACTGATGCTTTGAGAACGATGAAGTGGGCTGGTAAATGGTGTTTTGAAGCTTAGTGCATATACTGAGTACAAGACAAAGCATGCGATTTTTACGATTTATTTATGGGTGGCTTTTTAGGCTCTTGTTCTCGGGGTATACTCAAGGGACGAGCACCTGTGGGTGAGGGTAAATGTAAAACGACCCGGCCTCCCCCCACCGGGTGTCGATTGGGGGTGTCAATTGGGGCAGGGGTGTTGACGACTTGTAATTGGCTACCTAGCTCTTTAAAAATCTTAAGTTAGATTTTTTTAATATAAGTATAAGCTAGTATATTACAACCTTAGTATTATGATTACTTGCTTCCTAACCTATAGTAAAAAGATTCCTTAAAATAATATTTTAATTTAAAGGAGTTTATATATTAATTAATTAAGTTTTAGTTTTTAAGCCCTATAAGGCCCTATAAATTATAGGCTTATAGGGCTCTTATATCTGGTTTTAGGGACTTATTAGCTAAATTTCTAGGCTTTCTTAAGCTTATTTTAAGCTATAAAATGTGGAATTTTTAACTTCTTTAATTTAAAGAGCTATTATTAATTCAGTTTATAAAAAGTTTATATTTAAATAGCCCTTAATTAGCGCTATAAGGAAATAAAACAAGTACTAATTATATTAACTCCTTATAAAATTAAATCAAATTAAAGAAAAAGCCAGAATTTTGGTATTCTTGTCCGAACGCCTCTACTTTGGGCTACGAAGGCGCGTGGCAATGAAAACTGTCCATCTCCAAAGCAATGGAGGGTTTTAGAGCACTAGGACCTACTTTTGTTATTAACCCTCTAATCAAATTTCTCTAATATTTATAGATTCTTTTCTAAAATTGCAACTAGCATTTGCGAAATTATAATATCGTGCGGAATTATTGTGATGATTAGGCATTCTTGGTGTTTTCTGAAACATGGACGGTTTTTAATGCCGCGCGCCTTCGTAGTGGCTAGTCTGGCCCCCAATCGACACCCCAAATCGACACCTGGGGGTGGGTCGTTTTACATTTTCCCTGGCTTTAGACAATGATCACTCTTTTATAATATTCTTCATACTCCTGGGACCTGATTCTTCCACCTGGTGGAACTGCCATCAAAAGCCCCGCAGCTGTGGTTTTCATCGCTAACCTTTCAAGGGGATTGATTAGGGTCGCCCTAAGCTTCTGCACGCGAAGCGCCAACTCCTGACCTTCATTGGAAGACTCAAGACATTGAAGACACGTTTCCTACACTCTTAAAAATCAAGTCCTCCTTCCCAACTCGACTCTCCTTGTTAGATCGGCTCAACACCTAGCCCCACCCTTTCCCAGGCACCAGTTACACCGGACTGGCTTTCAATCGAACCGAGCTCTGCCACAAAGACGCCAGAAGAAGCAAAGGCGTTCAATGCTCTTGCCACACATAAAAAGCTTCTCCTGACCTTCTGAGAACACCGACAAGGCTGTTCCCAAACTCTTTCATCGCCCGTTGCCCGCATGCAAATGCAAGGCACGGGTCCAAGATGATACGTTCTGAGTCGAGGTGCATCCACGGGACGGCCGGGACGGCCCATTGCGGATTGTAGGCTGGTGGAATTGAGTTCAACACCTGCCGGCAGGGTGGAAGTATTGGTGGCGGGCGCTGACGGTCATGAATTGGGCAGGTAGCAGGTTCCTATTACATCCGTCTGTGTACGAGTAACCGATTGGACCAAACCGAAGTCAGACGTGATTTTTCGGAGGAGCAGCGGTGGATTGCATGGCCCCTCACTTCCTCAGCACAAGAGCAACCCACGGGTTTCCGCCTTGCAAAGCCGCTGAAGAAACAGAGCTGTATTGCCCCACCTCAAGCATGGCGGGGTAGCATCGCAGGGAAGAGCATGCACGTAAGATTAGCTCGTTACTTCCATTTATCTTCGATTGCATGACCCTTCAAAGACCCCCTCCCCTCACTTCCCATATTCCCGGGACGCACCAAGCTCTTCTCTGGCCGCGCCCAGTTTTCGTGTCACTTCAGAATTGACATCTTTCATGTTAGGTTGAGTCAAGCTGTCCATCATGGTGAGCATCTCTGTCAGCCTCTTGGGTGCTTTATTTGCTCTAGTATCTGCCCAGCAAGGGCGCCTCTATTCCAGCTCATTTGCCATTCCCGGAAATGCTTCTTACGACTATGTTGGTATGTGCCACTCCTATAAATTTAACTCCCGCCTTTTTTTACTGCTGCTTACTATTTCCAGTGGTTGGAGGCGGCACGGCAGGCCTAGCAATTGCCGCACGTCTTGCAGAGACTGCCTCAGTCGCTGTTATCGAGGCAGGAGGTCTTTACGAGATTGAGAATGGCAATCAAAGCGTTGTTCCCTACTATGCCTTGACCATGGGCGTCCTCTCAACATCGACCTCGTACGCAAGACAGCCGTTGGTAGACTGGGACTTGATATCTGAGCCCCTAAAAGGAGCTGGAAATAAGCGCATCCACTATGCGCGCGGAAAGACGCTAGGAGGCTCTTCAGCGATCAATACCATGGGATATCATCGCGGTACAGTTGGGACACACCAGCGCTGGGCAGATCTCGTTGGAGACGACAGCTACAAGTGGGAAAACGTGCTTCCTTACTTCAAGAAATCGACCACGTTCACGCCTCCCAACCTCGCAAAGCGGTTCCCTGCAAACGCCACTGTCCTCTACGATCCAACGGCGTTTGACAACTCGCTCCACGGACCTGTGCAAATCTCGTACGGTAATTGGATTGATGTGACAACGACCTGGCTTGCTGTCGCCATGGAATCGATTGGGTTGCCACTCTTTCCAAAGGGGTTCAGTAGTGGTACTCTCTCCGGCTGGGGCTCCTGGGTGACAGATGAGATCAAGCCAGAAGACGCGACACGCTCTTCGTCTGAGGCATCCTATTTGCGTCAAGCTATTGCGGACCCTAACTCGAAGATTACAGTGTATACCCACACTCAAGCGTCGAAGATCCACTTCGATTCCGGCAAAAATGCAAATGGAGTGCTCGTGAACACGGCAGGCTTTGAGTATACCATCTTGGCAACAGAAGAAGTTATTCTCTCTGCTGGTGTATTCCATTCTCCTCAGTTGCTCATGCTGTCAGGTATGTCTTTTATTCAACTACCAGCCGAGTAAATTGGCAACCCCAGTAATATTAACAGGTATCGGTCCTCGCGCAACGCTCGAATCTTTCAATATTCCCGTACTGTCCGACCTCACCGGTGTCGGCCAAAACCTCTGGGATCAAATTTTCTTCGACGTCCTCTCTGGCGTTAATCTCCCCGCCTTCATCCCCAACCCCGCCGCCGAAGCTGTTGCCCTGGGGCAGTACCTCCAAGACCAAGAAGGCCCGTACAGCTCAGCAGGCGGCTTCATCGCCTTTGAGAAGATCCCCAAAAGCCTGCGCAAGAATTTCACTCAGCGCACGAAAGATATGTTGTCCACGCTGCCGGATGACTGGCCAGAGATCGAGTACATCGTGCTCGCGTTCCCCGGCGCAAATAGTACTATTGGAGCAATTTCCGCGACGATAGAAGCCCCCTTCTCGCGCGGGACTGTCACAATCTCCTCGTCTTCCATCAAAGACCCACCAATCATCGACATGAACTGGCTTTCCGATCCCGCAGACGGCGAGCTCTTAGTTGCAGCATTCAAGCGCTGCCGCGAAGGGTGGAACAGCCCTGCGATCCAGCAGATCCGCGTCGGTCCCGAAATCGCTCCTGGCCTGGCTGTACAGACAGATGGGGAGATCCTGGCATGGATTCGCCTGAATTTGGGGATACAGTGGCATGCGAGCTCGAGCTGCAAGATGGGGAAAAAGGGGGATAGGATGGCTGTCGTGGACAGCAAGGCGAGGGTGTTTGGGGTGAATGGGTTGAGGGTTGTGGATAATTCGGCGATTCCGATTTCTATTCCCGGACATCCCAGTGGGACGGTTTATATGTTTGCTGAAAAGATTGCGGATGATGTTAAGAATAGGAGATAGTCTGCATTCTTGCCAAGAGAGTGGTAATTTGGATAAGAAAGCGTTGTCCGATTGCTGTGTCACCTGACCTTTTCTCAAGGTGGCTTATTGTTGCAATGTTTTGGAGGTTGACGACTTGATTTTTCAGCTCACGCGGGGTAAGCACTCTATATATACATCTGGTATATAAACTACAGTGTACCAGCGTACACTCAGTTCCAACACTTATGTTGAGAATTCAAAGCAAAAGTCACGTGCAATGCTTCTCAGACGACTGTCCATTTTGCAGTGATCTAAGGCCTATAGTTATACACGTCCAAATAGCCCCTATTACCACTGAAACCCCATGTTTAGCTGAATGCCCTGCATAGCTAAACACCCTTGCACAGCTGAATGCCCCTGCATAGTTGAATTGCCACTAGTAGCCTTAGGCACCAATTTCCAACAGCTTAATGTTTCGGGCAACAATTGGGAGGCCTGTTTGCTCCATTCCTTTAACACTTTAACATGGCAGTAACCTCATAATCACTGCTTCAAGAGAGCTATTAAACAGGGGCCTCCATGGATGAAGAAAAAAAGCTGCCTTATTTTTATTATTTGGGAACCAGATATCCCATAACTCCCTTTGCTTCCCAGATGTGAACTTACGCAAGGAAAAGCCCACTCCACACAAGTCCGCAGCGCTGTGGCAAATCAATCTGCACACTCAGGAGAAATTTTAATCATGATTCATGTCTCCTTCTACTCGGAGACGTATACCCAGAACAATCCGAGAAACATCTAAGTATCAGAATGCTGCGAGGTGAACTTCCCCGTACATAAAGGGCATCGGATTCCATGCTGAACTGCATTCTTCTGGGTAGACTCGACTCAAGATCCTTCCACAGAGACATAAGGACAATGCAAAAGCTACGAATTCTGAAATTACTATCTTTCTTGCGGGGTACTCTACTTTTTAAACCAGGTGCTCTTGCAGCTGGTCTTCCAAGATCCGTGCTTCGGTCTACTGTTGTATCCAGCCCTCAGGACGTCGATAGCTCGTATGATTTCGTCGTGATAGGTGGAAGGACTAGTACTTGACGGTAGCGGGTCAATTTACTAGAGATGGAAAATGTTAGAAAAATTCAAACTTGGTGTAACTAATCGACAGAGGGTAACAATACAACACAGATACAGTCCTGGTTATTGAACACGGACATTCTTGGTAGCCTGGTAAGCAATAATAGTTTCTCAAAATTAATCTGGCTTATGTTCTGGCACTGTTTGTTGTTATATATAGAGGCTATTTTTCTATGGGCGTACTCGGTATTTAGTGGAATGAAATGCTTCATTGGTGTGTTTTTGAAGCCGCCGAGTGCCGGAGTCGCCAAATCGCCAAGCGAGCTTAAGAAAAGGGGGGTTCACGCAGCGCTAGGCTAAGATCGTGTCCTAGGGTAGGGGGAAGTTGTGAGGACTTGGGCAGCAATTTAGTCTTTGCCCTATTTTGGTGATATACATGAATACTGGACTTGGCGTTTATGTAATTGGAGACACTAGTTTCTCCTTACATAGCATAGCATCAAGTTGCGGTGTACGGTTGTCCGTCAGCCACTAACACAATACGGCGCATAGTCATGCATCGGAAAATACTTGGGAGCCTGGAACTAAGTTGGTCTTGTGGAAGGCCTCACGAAATTGTTCACTAACTTCATCAATAAGGTTAGTCTGGTCATCGCTTCCGGCAATCCGCCAACGTTATACAATCCGCTCTTCCTGAGCGTGTGTCTCATGACTTCTCACAAACTTTAAATCTTATCATCACCAAACTTTTGTGTCTAGCTTATTCACTGACCCCGATCTCCTTCCCTAGCATCTAAGACGAAACCAACTGTGCGAGAACGTCCAGCATAGGCAAGCCACAGTTGAATGTAGACTGGCCCCGAAAAAGCGTCATAGAATGGGTATTAACAAGTTTGAATTCCTCGACGCGGAACTTATCACTATCCGCACCCATACTGCCAAAGTCGTTAATGACGTCGACAGCCCCTAGAAAATGGTTGGAATCAAGAGGGGATATAAGGGGAGTGGATTGAGTCTCGTGAGAGAAACTAGCTAAGTAGACTCTAAAACCTAACAAGGCAACTACACGTCACCAAGACTGCTTCCGGTTTCGCTCCTTCCACGCCCCTACTATCTCATGGAGAATATAGCGTTTGTCGGCGGTACGCGCCGCTCCATCTGGGAGACTAGCTCTGCAGGCACCTTTAGCCGGTAGCGAGCTTCCTTCGGTTCATGTGCACGACGTGCCCCAGGGACTGCAATGCTATTATTGGTAAAATAGTCGAAGTATGCATCTGCTGCTGCTTGGATGACTGCACGTTTGTCGCGGGCGTTTACAGGAAGAGGACTCCAATCCTCGAGGAATACCTGGTGCAGCAGGCGGTGGGCTGAACAGGCTAAAGGCAGTGAAGGAGATATCGCCGGTAGTCGTGACAATAGAGTCTATGTAGGTGATGTTGATACCGTTCGTATTGAAGCGGATCTGGATGCCAATATTATGTGGGCTTATTGTGGACGCGATGGTCAACTCCGAATAGGGTCGCTCAAGAGGTGGCGTCCATGAGAGAGTGGATGTGGTCGATCTTAAGTGGTTGGCTCAGTGTGCTATTTCTGGTAATGTCAACCGTCGCCAAGTTCTCAGCATAAGTCGCGTTGCTTCTTAGAACGGCCTGTATGGAATCTAAATGCCCTGTACTCTGGGAAGCGATATGGAGACCCGTAGCTACTTTGAGCTTCTCTCTACTGGAAGCAGTCTGGGTGAGCACTGTGAGGTATGGGCAGCAGTGGACTCCATTTTCACCCGTATTGTCGAAGATAACGGGATATTTATACAGAATTTCTGGGTTCAGACGAACATAGTCATGGTTATATGGCTAATAGCTGACAAATTTAGCTTACTCTGCGTACTATGGGGGGAGCAAAATCCTGGTGCTTACTCCGTTGTAGCTACCCCTATTTAAGCGAGCCAGGCGCTCCTTGGCGGAAGCACAGATGCTAAAATTTAGCGGTGTACGAATTCGTAACCTGGTTGTGTTATTGTATTTCTTATTTACTGACAAATCTTGCGACTCCAAATGCGACTCTCAACACTGACACCAATCATCAGATCGTCTACTCAGAAAAGGGAACGCAAATTACGCGACATGAAGTGATACATTTACTCTGCCTTTGGTGATTGGTTATCACTGAAAGTTTAAGGAGCATTGCTTTGTACCCGGAGTTACACCCTGGCGACATACCTCTGAGTAAATCTCATCATTGAGGAGAGAGTTCTTGCTGTCTGCAGTAAGCTGTATTGAGTCGTGCGTGCTTTCCTCACAAAACTACTTCCAGCCTCTCCTTCTTGAACATGGAGGATCTCCCGGAATAATCGTAGCCGAGTCCTCAACCGCGAACAACACTTGTCAAAACGGCACCCTTCTCAAGATTCATTTGTTTTAAGTTCCGCTGCCAGGCTTCATCTGCCTCTCTTGCAAGTCAAAATAGACAGAAGAAGCGGACCCAGTTTCATTGTCGAAGGTCAAGCTAGGCATTCTAAACACTTACCCTTATAAAGGTTCTCTCGCGATGCCGTAGATTCAGAGCCGAGTCCTTTTCGAATTTTTACGAAATGTTAGAATATTACAAGCCTCTCTAGACTAGATAAATGTACGATTTTTTAAGCACGCTCCGTTGTCGGTCCATATCAAGGCACTTCAGTGCCACCCCTTGTGCCAAGTTAATCTTACAATCCCAATATAAGTAGAACCTGCTGCAATTTGAGTCTTGCTAAAACAACTGCCACACCCAGAAATTTGCACGGCTTTCTTCACTGAGAAGTGCCAATGTCCCACTCAGTTTTAGGGGATAGCGCGGGGTAGTTTCGATTGTAGCGGGGTAGCTGACGCACCAATTTGCAACCCGGTATCAGAAGAGCTCAGGAACTTCCCTAGCCCTAGAACTCAATACAATTTTTCGTTCATTCGGTATATGGGTACTATCCTTTCAGGTTATCGATAATTGCAGCTCAGATTTTGCTTGTGTAAAATTAGAAAAGGACTCGTACCGACCCTTTGTTGTTCACTGAAACTGGGGAAAGAAGGCAAGGGATTCAAAGGCAGAATCTATTTTGCTTAGAAGGAGTGGGAACGAAGAAAAAAAAGCCAATGATGGAGAGGTGATGAAGGAAATAGCGGATGAAGAAGGGGTTCTGACCTTCGACCCATGAAAAACAGAGGGCACACTCTCAGAGGAGGGTGATGAAATCAAGAATGTGGCTACCACCCTAGAAGAGAGGGTAGTTTGTACCACGCATTAGAAGACAGATTCGGAGCTTGAAGGTCTTGGCTACTTCTGGAAACGAAGAGATCCAATCACCAGTGAATCACAGTTTCTCTCTTTTCCATCTTGCTGGGATCATTTCTGACATTCTTGAAAGCCGTCAACTTCGCCGTCTTGTTAGCCGTATCGATGTCAACCTCCATCGTGGTATTCACAAATTTGTGCGGAACATATTCCTCGTCATCTCTCAAACCCTCCTCCTCAATCTCAGCCAGCCACTGCGAATACCTCCCGATAAGCACACCATCAAACAGACCCTCTCGTCTAGGGTAAGAAAGGAGAAGTCTGATCGCTTCTTGCCTCAGCGCGCGATGCCGGAACCGATAACAAATTCTGCTCAAAGGTATAACAAAATTCATCTCCATGGAGAACCCACTATCATCACTAGAAGCGGTGGCTAAGAGTGACTTAATCAAGTCCATGAGCTCTTTCAGCTTAGTTGTTTGGCCGTAGTAAGCTTCCAGTGGACTCAACATGGGAACCATAAGTGAGAGGTATGCGGAGAGGAACATGGCCCTGAGGATTGTGGCACGCCTCAATTCGAAAGGATCGTTCGCTCTCCGAGCTTGAAGTAAGAGAGGTTGGAAAGCATTCGACCAGACTGCATATTCTTCGAACCTCCTTTCCCGCTCTGCACACCACTCTTCGTTTGAGGTGTACTCGTTAGGAGGTGGATCGATCGTAGATCCCATCGTTGGGGAAGCTAAATACCACGGCCACTCATACCCAGAAGAGCCTGACCAATGGTATTGGCGCACTTCTAGGAGGCAGAGCGCAGATCGAGCCTGGCGCATGCTAACAAATTCTTGTTGAAACTTTTTCCTTGTTATCTGGCGGCAAGTAAGAATTTGCTCCTGGCTCAGGTGAGAGCTAGAGCAGTCATAAACAAGCGATTGTGTTTCCAGCTCCTGGAAAGCTTCCTCAATTTCTTCATCAATCTTTAGGTCATGAGAGCTAACCCCCTCGCGTTTTTTGTCTTTGAGCAAAAAATTCATTGCTCGGATTTGGGGGACCGTAGATGATCTGTTGAAGTGGTATATCTCGAAGCAGATGAACAGAAGGCAGGCAACAAGCCTTGTTCTCAAATCCAGGGCTTTCTTCGATATCGCCTTCCTCATATCCCCAATCGCCATGCTGTATTGGTTGTATGCAAACTGGCGTCGTAGATTCTCCTCGGGGGATTTCGCACGACCTCTCCACGTTTTGGGATCCAAAGCCCCAATCGCTATGACTGCATGCCGAATCGACGAGTTACTCTCGCAGGCTTGGAGTACAAGATAGTTCCAGAGGCTCGAGGGAAATAAACCAGTCAGCTGGCTGGCAATCTGAGAAGTGAAGACGTCGAAATATCGATATTCTTGCTCATTTTTGAAAAGAGAACGCGGCGGGGCCCTGCAGATCGCAGTTGAGGCGACAATTGTTCGAAAGTCTGTTTCTGGACTTTGATTCGATGTTCGCATGGCTATAGGGGCATCTTTGGTCGATCGGGGATCAATCTTGCGTTCTCCCTTGCGTAGAGGGTCCCTGTACCCCTCACAACGGACACCAAATTTGACACAGCGTTGGCAGACGGGCAGAGTCTCGTCGCATTTGACACGTCGAATGCTAATGATAATTAGGGAGGTCCAGTCAGTTTCTATTATTGGGGCAAGAGGAATGGCATCGCAGGTATGGTTGGTGCTTACAGGCAGGTTCCGCAGCCAGTCCTCGACTTTTGGTGTGCTCGTCTTTTTCGGGTCTTGTCTTGACTTCTGTCGACAGGAAATTGCGGTGTGTCCATTGTCTTACTGTCTGAGGTAACTACGAGGATGGCGCAGCCAGTATGGGCGTTCTGCATCAACTTTGGAGGAATTTCAGATAGGCATGAAATGTGGTGTTAAAAGAAAGGAGAAGAGAAGAGAGTTTACGCACGAAGCTTCGAGTATTTTGTTATCAACAGTACTGCGTAATCTGACTGATCCTTGTCCATTCTGGGCTCGCTCTCGTATGGCGGCCAATTGGATTAAGATCTAGACAGCGATGTGGGGCTTGACCCCTCGGTACTCGTATAATTGGGGGCTGGTGGGGCACCACGGTGGGAGTTTTGATGACAAAAGTTATCCATCCATATCTTCCTTTGCACAGAGCTTGTCGACGAAACCGCAGCCAGACTGGTCGCCTTCGCTCATCGGGACGATGCAATTTCAAAAGATTTTCTGTGTTTGGCCCCGAGTTCAAAATTTAGAAGGCGTTGAAATTTCTGGATGAAATGGATCAATCCATTTGTCATCAATACCTCACTCACTCTTCCCTCAAGAGTCAAAACGGCTTCATTGCCCCGGGCCAGGGCATGTACTATCAAAAAGAGCCTTACACCTCGCGCTTCTTAGAATATTCGGCGTGTTCCCTATAATATGCTCAAACTCCTCCTCCTCCGCCCTGCTCCCCCTCTCATTCGCATCCGCGACGGCACTAATATGCCCAAATTCCGCCGGCGGTACATAGTGATGCATGAGTTCCGGAGTAACTACTAAACAAAACAAATCCTTCTTCTTGCAGCCGTTCTTGAGCCGAGTATCAAATTGTGTGTCTTCGCCTTTTCCGGCGAACTTCAATACTTTGATAGCGCCATGCCGTGAGAGAGCAATGGCGAAACTGCAGTCTGTATGTTGGCCCATCTGCACTGAGCGCATCCCAGGCGTAAGCCCATCCATATTCTCCTTTGACCAGGGAAACCAGAGGGGGGCAATGTACTTCCCCGGACGCGGCGCCGAAGGGTCATCGTACAATAGTCTCCTCGTATCATTTCTGGTCGGCTCGGCACAATGGCCAATCCACAATAGATCCCACGAACGCCCATACGGGCTACGATCCTCTTTGCCAGTCCACGTAAACTCCCTTACCGCATCAGAAAGCAGTTTCATCGAGTTTTTGATTAAGACATCCCAATCTACATCATCTTCGAGGATTAGAGCTGATTCGAGGTCTTGGGCGACAATATACTTGGTTATATCAAGGAAGGAAAGCCAGTTTTTAGCTTCGCCTCGACCACGAAGATGTGGGACACTCGTTGGTCCCATATTTTGAAAAGCATAGATCATCTCGTCGGTCAACGGGGGCTGAATAGGGATATCGAGGTTGATACCGCTGTACCCCGCGGCGGCCTTGAGACCCCTTGTTCTCCAGCTAGGACCTTCAGAGAGGACGACAATCTTTTGGAACTGAGAAAGTCAGCTCAAAGAGTCGAGAAATGCGATCATTTTTAGTTGTCTCATTAGATGAGTCGGGAGAAACTCACTCCGAGTGTAAAGTTACCAGCGGCGTCTCTCGGTTTCGACGACCTGAGTCGGAGAGCTGGATTCCAGTTGACATAACAATACGTAATGATCGCGAAAAGGCAAGCGGCAGCGAAGTACTTGAGTCGAATAAACGAGAATCGTCGGCGAGGCTTTAGATGAGCGGCCATCTTGGAGCTTGGATGAGGAGAAGTGTTGAAGGCTAACCCCACAGCCTTACGAGTGGGGGGTGCCTGCTCCACGGCGCCACCCAACCACACATGAAGCTATCCTCCAGATGTCGCGGGATATGTCTCAGGCGTGGGGTAGAAGTCGTCGAGACTGCTCGCTCGTCATTAGTTGGTGAGGATTGAAATCCGAGCTTTTTCGAGGTGGCTGGCGGTTGGTCGGTGAACACAGGGTGATTGGCGCCTGAGTAAAAACGGCTAGTGTGCTATGGCCTTGGGATGGAGAAGACGAAAGTTGTGTTCAACTACCGAAGCAAAAAAATTTGTCAAGAGAATCAAAAAGTTCGAATTACATTCCTCCACGGAGAAATCATCATCTACGTCTTTACCTGAAACTCCAGGATTTTTTCTTTTTAACCTTGCGGTCGGCCTCGTTGGAAATTTTGAGCATGCGGCGCGTATCCGCTACCTCTCATCCGTCTCATTCAGTTAGAGTGTTGATACTGCCAGTGAAGGCACCCACTCTAAGGACTGCCTAACAGCCCCGTTTACCAATTTTCTTCGTGCAGACAAAGTACTTACTCACTTACTTGATAACATTCTGGCAGCCTGAAAATGAAGAGAATAATTTGATCTCATGAGAAGGCAAACCACGGTATCGAAAAAGAAGATGGCCCCCCTTGAATACTCGATAAGTAACTTGGCTTGTGAAGCGCAAGCAGCTCATGGTTGTCAGCCACAGCCAATCTCGTGTGTAAACGAATAAATCCTTCTCAAAAAAGAATAAAGACTTCCAAAAATAAAATATAAAATATTAAAAAAAAGGAGAGAGAGATCAAAAAAGTTCGAGGCTGTCCAGGTGGAATGCTCTACATCTTTATATCCGACATGGCAAATCGTTCACCTTGCGGCTGATGCCAATCAGAGCATCAAGGACCATCTCACCTGCAATAGGTTTGTTTGTCTGTATGTGCCTCTGTGGTCTGTTTGTCCGTGACCTTGCGCAGTCGCTGCTTGCAGAACAAGCAACAGGGCGTCCTCTCCCACTCGTCCGAAGTTTTGGGTATGTAACTTATAGAAGTTGTATAAGCGCCATTAAATCACCTGCTTCCAACAACTACAGTCAGGAATGTGTGTTTTATCTCGGCTTATGAGCCTTCCTTTTACTCGTTACGGGGAGGCGGTCAGTGCGTGGGCGTGGGCCGCAATGTCTTTGGAAACTACTTTGGCCTTTTGTACTGTCCTATCCACTTGATACTCCAGTTAGAATGCAGGGAGGAATATGTTTGGTGCAACAAGAAAGTTGAATCGAAGCGCCGAAAAACACAATGTTGTCATGTTGAAAAGCGCAAATACGGCTCAGCCTGCGCAGAACGGCGCTAGGGTTACCGTAGCGAGAACTTCAACCTCACATCGCAACACCAACTTTTCTTCTCTGTACTTGATAATCGCAGCTAGCTCCCCTGCAACCTGGAATCATGTCGATGTTCAGAGCCAAAAGACTCGACCTTGGCTGCTTCGTCAATGTCAAGGTGATCCGCGATCACACCAAGCGCAAGGTGTTCGCAGAGCACGAGCCGGAACGGTATGCCTCTCATCATATCTCCTATCCCCTCGACAGGGTTACAGGCTCAATTGTCCTTCGGCGAAAACCATTAGAAAGCTGGAAGACATTTGCTGATTGATGGGATTGATAGACAAGCTCTGCGGTACATCATTCGCAACCTCAGCCTGCCTGCAAGGACACGCGCCCAGGCGCAACTTCAACTGGCGCAAATGCATTGCTATACACGCCCGACGCAGATTCGGAATCGGTGTATTGAGGGAGGGAAGGGGAGAGGTGTGTTGAGGGATTTTAAGATGACGAGGGTATGTGATCTGATGGGGATGCTTGGGGAAGGGTGTTGAAGGAGAGATGCTGGAGCGGGATGTTGGCTGACTCGATGGTTTTCACAGTACAATTTTCGAATGAATGCGCTGGCGGGGAGCATACCGGGTGTGAAGAAGGCTGCGTGGTAGAGGGCAGCTGCGAGAGTTAAAGGGGCGATGGATATAGGAGGAGCTTGGGGGGCATTATGAGATGGCTGCACATTGGCGGAGTGGAGCGGAAACAGACAACGGCTGTCGAATTAGGTGGACGAAGATATAAGTGGACGCGAACTCGCGGCGGAGGCTTTGTACAAATACTTGGTTGGGCTGTAGAGGCCTAGAAGTGTACATATTGGCGGCGTTGCGGACACCACTCCAGACCCGAAAGATCTATACAAACAGAGGAATTTTATTCCTGTGTCAACTCGGGTCCCTCGATTGGCAGCGTGTCGACTTCTGGAAGGTTCTTCGTTGGGACGGGAAGATATTGTGTGAGAACGAGTTAACCCTTTTGGCAGAGTTGGAGCTGGCAGCATGGACGAGAGCGGGTTCAGCCATTCCATGAATTGCGTCAAACACCTCGGCGGAGCTCACCTGGTGCACGTCCTCAGTTTTCGATATTCAGGGCAGGTTGGATTGGGAGAAGGTAACCTGCTTGCTTTGGTTGCTCTGTCCCCCACCAATCTTCTGCCAATGCAACTTTCCGAAGCAAACGAGATCCACGCTGAGTCTTCCATTCCTTCCTCGCACTTCTTTCCGTAAGACTCCGAGGTGATTGTTAAGCGGACACCTGAATCTGGACTGGAATTTCTGGTTTCCCCTGACGCTTCGCTGTTTGGGCTAACGCCACTCCTCGACTTCCTGCAATTGCACGTCGCGCGAGGGCACTCAGGCTCAATGTTGACATTGGGTTCGTCCTCACTGTTGCTTCTTTCTCTCCATTCTACGATCTTCAACAAGCTCGTGCTTCAATATCTGAGCATTTGAAATTGAGCCAAGTTCCAGAGTCCGCTGAACAATCGCAATACTTGCACACTTTGCTTTGGTTTACCACGTTCAGATTCACTTAAGCTTCCTCCAACGACTGCTCGTCTGAAATCTCGCGAACAACTTCCGCCTCCTCGCCGGCCACAAACCTCTAGGCCTTCCCTCTACCATCTCCTCCGTCTATTGCCAACCTTCTCCATCCATCATCCAAACCTTCCCCAACAGCATTGCGACTTCCCGCAATCAGTCAAAATGTTCCGACGTCTTGCATCCGGCCTTCCACGAGACCCCGTCTTCCCGGATACCATCGCGGGATTGGGGTAAGATATTCACCCTCTCAGTCGTTGCCTTGCTAATTGCAATCTAGCTACTTCATCAACGACAAAGATGAGATCCGAAGCATCGACAACCCAAAGGTATACTTCAAGTTCTTCATTACCAAGAATGATCGCCATAATTGCGTCCAACGAGAGTCCATGAATGGTGAGCCAATGTTGCAGGAGTCTACATGACCTCTGCTAACACATCCTTAGGTGCTATCCGTGAACTCGTAGCTCAACGTCTCGAGAACCTTGGCCTCGAAAAGGTCCCACTCCCCCTCGGCACAGAGGAAGGCGAGCCCCACGTTCCCATCTTCGTCTCCTCCAACCTCAATGACAAAAAGCGAGTGGTCATCCTCTTCTACGAACATACTCAGGACCTTGGCATCTTCGCACATCGTATCATTGGAGGCAAGGGAGGCATCGATCAGGGTTCTGCCGTCAACTTCGTCAAATACATCCAGGCCCAAGTCACCTCCCCTGGCAATGTCGAGTCTCCCGGTATTATATTGGCGAATTTGGGCCAGTTGAGATGGTGGCGTCAGCGCAAAAGGGCGGTGACACAAACAACCTGGTTTGCTCTTCCGCAGAAGAGTTCTGTCGAGGCCCCGTATCGCATTGATCCCATCAAAAACACAGTCCCTGGCAACAGGACCACGGAGGAACACGTCAACTACGTCTTCGGTCATGTCGTCGAGAAGTTAGTAGATCCCAAGGCAAAGCTTGATATCGTTGGAGTTTCAGATGGTGCTATTCAAGTCTCTGTCTTCTTGGAGAAGCACGAGAACTTCAGGAAGTGGGGAGAGAGGGTCGCTGCTTTCGCTTCTGTTGCTACGTGGTATCATGCGCGTGAGATTAAGAACGTTGATTTCGCGGATTGGTTCATGGATGTATGTTCCCCCTTTCCCAAATGCTTTAATCAAAATATTGACATCTTCACAGCGCGGCCGTGTCTACATCCTCTCTTCCGAGCCCGCAGGCACCTTCCTTGCTGATCACAAAGGTCGCAAGTACGTCCCAGCTTATGGCTGTCCCGTCTTCAGCTTAGGTGAACCTTACTACGCCGAGTCTATGCTTCCAAAGGGGTACAAGACCATCATCGATTGGTTTCAAGAAGTTGGCCTTAATCCTGAGTACACCAATCCCGCTTTCGAGAAATTTGATGTTGGTGGAGATGACGAGGAAGAGGAGAAGCCACTGGAAGGTGGAGTTGAGCTAAAGCGAATTGAGAAAATTAAGGACGACGAGGAGACTAAGACCGCAGATTGCAATTTGAAAGCTGAGGAGGAGACGAAGGCTGAAGCTCCGAAGGGTGTCGAGAACACGAAGCCCGGCGAGGAGACTTCTTAAGACCTTTCAAGACCTCCTACACGTCGCACCAGGAGTTTAGAGGTTCTCACGGGTGGCGGATACTGGTTTATCGGTTCATAAATTTGCATGCACAGATCAGCCAATTGATTACCTTTAATTTGCGTCCCCGCTCCACGTCTCCTTATCTTCCCCTCAACTTCTTGAAACTGTCTCGAATTTCCCTCAGCTCGGCTCTTTTGTCCAATGATCCCGAGAGAATAATGTTCCATGGCCCCGCCTCGAGAGGATAATAATTGCTTTTGCTAGGCAAGTCTCCTGATTGGAAAAAGGTGTTGATCTTGCTGAATGCGCACTTGTTCTGGCTGACGAGGGACATGTGCCGAGTTTGTTAGTTGGTGGTGCAATACTACGAAGATCACGGCATAAAGTGACGGGATTACAGGGCATTTGTGCTTTACAGCACTTCAGTGTCTTTTTTTTTTAGCGCACTTGGGCACTAAATTACCCTAGTAACTACCTATTTAGCGTCCAAGCGCTATGGTTGCTCTACCAGCAGCGCTATTTACCCCTAAGGACATCTCATACCTTGCGAATGTCTCACAGCGCCTCTTGAGATCTGCTTATGGCATATGGCCTGGAGCCATAGGGCCTTACAGCGGGCTCAAGCCACTAAATTGTGTCCTGAGGGGTGCCAAGGGTCCAAATGCCCTGTAATCCCGTCACTTTATGCCGTGATCTTCGTATAAGGATCGCAACAGAAAAGGCTACAGGAAGGAGTAAGCAAATGGCCATTGATTTGACATTCCTCAATGTGCTAGAGCTTTTTGGGACATTGAAGCAATGTGGAGCAAAGTTGTAAACCCAATATTCTCTCTCCACTTCAGGAATCCTCTTGTTGTACCAGAGCTTTCTGGAACTTTGAGACGACGGGGAATAACATTTTTAACCTTCGAATGAGTATTCACCTGAAAAGAATTGATGAGGACTTACACCTATGCCCTTGGTCGTGAGGAGTCCTGCAACATGGAAGATACGGGCTGCTTTTTGGCCAGTGTCGAATTACTTTAATATCAGTACTTTTCCGACCTCAACCTCCACAGAAAGGGATGGCGTTTACAGGCAAGACTCCCTTCATGGAATGAGTACCGGGACTGAACGTATTGCTAACAACCACCCTAGGCTTAATCGTCACAGCACCATACGGACTTTCAAACACATCATCAATGGTAATCGACCAGGTGAGACACAGCAACAAGTTCCCAGGATTTCATTGCCACTGATTCAGTCCTGCTTCTGCAAGATCTGAAGCCGTGTGCTGTTCTCTCCAAGAGAAGAGTTATAGAATTTCCCGTCAGTGTCAGAACATACCACCCCAGAAGGGCGCCGAGAGGCCCTGGACCGTGAACAATGTTTTTGAGACCAAGGACGCCAAGGAAGTCTTGTGCTGTGTCGGTGGTGATGTTTGCTGTCAGGCTCTCTATTGAGACCAGTGCCGTTGCGAGCGGGGAAGTGATCGATAGGTGCATAGACTGCGGACTCTTTGCCGCACAGGATGTACCTGATGGTGTTTGCGATGACACCCGCGTTGCTCCAGCTCTGCTCTATAGCAAGCGTAGCGTTTAGTCTTGATATCAGAGCTTCGAAGCGGAGGTACATGTTGCGGGGTGTGGAGCCAGTGTAGACCGACGTACAAATTTCTCGACCTCAGATAATAAAATTCTGTAGGAGACCTTCGTTTTCTCGAATATAGATAATTCAAGTAATTTTGGCAGTTGGTGAGGGAAGTCCAGTATATTCCGGCAGTTTATCTATCGAGACAAAGTCCATGCCCTATTATCTACCTTTCAGTGAACAAACCTCGAAATTCACAAATCAGCCTCAACCCCCGTGCATTAAGCAGAAAATAAAGGGGCAGACAAAACCTCAGTATCATGATGAACACCACCACCTCGTTGATTATAGTGACAACAAGACTTCGAAGGGTTAGGGACTGCTGCAGGCCAGCTCTCGCGCGCCAGAAATATGTGCCGCGGTATATCGAAAGAAACATACCAGCAAATTTGGGAAGCGGACCGTTTCTTGGGTTGATTCATAGAGATCAGTCAAAGATAAAGACTGTTTCTGACTGGGGACCGGAGAGTTTGGATTAGGGCCTGAACATCTGCGAGAGTGAGACTTGGTTTGCGTACTCCTTGGCTGCCATGCACCTGTTGTACTTCGGGAAGTCGCCTCGAGTCTGCCAAACCGTAATACGAAAGCACACTACCTGTTCATCGGAGGGCGTTATATTACTGCATGAAAGAAGAACTTATGGAGGCCTTGGATCTGGGAGAACTAGCTACGTAAATTTTCGAACTCAATTGAGCAAGTGAGACCCCCGAAACTTTACTGTCAAGCTTTCACTCAAACCCCAGATTTCTGTACTAATACATCATTCTTCATCTGGAATACAATCATTTGTAGTTTGCAAATCAGCTGAGCCTTACGAGGCCGCGGTGGCAACAATTCGTCTTCTTTGAGCTGTCCTTTGAAGAGATAATCATTTGGAGGCTCGAATAACCCACTCGAATTGTCCCGGGCTTTTCTGGATCAACACGTAACAAGTATGCAGGGTGCTATGCACAACTGCCCCAACCATATGCATCACAGAAACCGGGGGCCACTTTGATCCTCTAAGGCTCCAAGAGCTGATACTTCTGCTCAGACTGAAATACCAAAATCGCCGTATGGAAACCCTTCTAAGCTCGACAGTTTCATTGCCCACCCATCATCGATCTCTCCCAACTGCCACTCATCTCCAATCTTCACCAAGCCAATCCTACCAGCAAGCACCAGCTTCTCTTTACCTGCGTACTCAGCTACCAAAGCCTGGTGGGGTACCCAAACCACCCTCATCTTCGCTCTTCTACCTGCCTCGACACCTGGCACACTGTCCTCGAAGACCAAGCATTCTTCGGGGGTAATCGGGGCTTCACCCTCATCGAGACTGTCATTGATGCTTTGCAATGCTAAAAGGAAAATATCAGGGGCTGGCTTCCCTCGAGCCTTTTCCAACCTTGGATCGGTCCACAAAATACGCCGATTGTCGTCGAAATTAGCGAGTAACTCCTTCGTTTCAGGGCTTGAAGCTTTCAGTTCATAATTGATCTTGTTAGAGCTGGTGGCGAGAGCGATGTGTATCTTCGCTCTGTTTGTGTTATTTGCCACTTTGAGGGCGCGAAGCACTTTATGTGCACCGGGAAGGGGTTTGCACTCTGGGAAATAGATTCGCTGCTGCTCTTTCTGTTCCTTGTTGAATTGCTCGCGAGGAATAGGCAATTGAGCCCAGCTGTGAAAAGCGTCTCCAGTTGACCCCCCGGGGACACCCATCAGTTGCGCCTTGATGGGCCATGGTAAGTGGGGTCTGCCGTATTTCTCTAGAACGTTGTTGGCGCAAAGGGTGTATATATCCTCCTAGTTCCGTCAGAAATGAGGGCGAATGATTTGGACATTTACTCTTACGGTGTTGATGAGGAGGCCGTCCATATCAAAGATGCATGCTCGCACCGGGGGGAAGCTCCAAAACGCGTCAGTCTCGTGTTGCGCTGGAAGCGGCGGAGAAATGCTCACTTTGGCGTCTTAACGGACGCCATTGCCAGTATCGCGTGCCCTCGCGTGTAGAGACAAGGAAGTTGGTACTTTACCAAGCCGCTGCCCAGCTCAGCTCTTGCTGGAGGACAGTTGTGGGAAAAGAATTGACTGCGATCGCAAAATAAGGTGTAAGTTTTAGGTTTGACAGTTCAGGGGGCACACGGAAGAGTCGAAGGGGTGTTGGCGTGTTCTCGCTTAATTTGGAATGTTCGCCTTCAAGTGCTGAGTTTTCGGCACTTCCTTGCTTTTTCTCCTCATCCTCGCAATCACCCCATCATCGATCATCAACAACACCTCATTTTCATCGAAGTCAGATATCCCAGGTAAATCCATTATATTATTGCTACGGCTTACCATTATTGTAAAGAGTGAGGCGAGAGATTAATCTGTCTTTCAAGTGAGTGCCCCCTTCAGCCTGCCTGTCTACCATCCCGCTCTGGATCCTCATCAGACCACGGGCATCGCAGGGCGCTTGAACTTATCTAAGAAATTGCAGACATCCCTACAACAAGTCTCTAGCGACTTCTCTGTCTTCCAATCCAACTCCGTTTCCGCCCTCTTGGGCATCGCGACGCAACTCCCCACATCCCCTTCACGTCTGCCAAGGATTCTCAAGGGAATCTTTGACGACGAGGCCGACTCCACAGCACTGACCACATCCAACACCGAATGCCCCTTTCCACTGCCCAGGTTGTAAGTCCTGAATCCCTTCGGAACACGGCCGTCGAAAGCCGCTGCCAGTGCCGCGATGTGGCCACGAGCCAAGTCGGTCACGTGGATGAAGTCTCGAACAGCGGTGCCATCAACTGTGGGATAGTCTGTGCCGAAGACATCAAGCACTGGCGATACACCGGTGAGGACCCTTAGGACGACGGGCATCAAGTTGGTTGGCACGCCTCGAGGATCCTCCCTCAGGAGTCCAGACGCATCGCAGCCGACTGGGTTGAAGTATCGCAAGGCGAGTACTGTCCACTCTGGATCTGCAAGCGCGAGGTCCGAAAGGATGGCTTCGCACATCCATTTGGTTCTCCCATAGGGGTTGGTCAACCCGGTACACCCTCCGAGAACAGTCTTGGTGACGCCGTCGTGGTCGCTGAAGGCTTCCTCTTGGTGCGTGCAATGCTCTTCCCTCAATGGCATGCCTGAGTTCGCAATCGATCCGTAGACTGTCGCTGATGAGGAGAAGACGAAGGTCTTGATTTGGAAGCTGTTCAAGATTGAGCAGAACTCAACCAGGCCGGCAACGTTGTTCGCATAGTATTTCAACGGCTGCTGGATACTCTCAGACACCGACTTGTACGCCCCGAAGTGTATGACTCCCCGAATCCTCGATTCGATACGAGCTTCGCCTTCGAGTAATTGATGGGAGGTATGGGGTCGGACGTATTCCCCCAGTATCTGTTTCATTGCTGCCTCGTCACGATAGTCCGACACATACAGATGCATCTGGGGCATTGGTTCACATCGCGTATCGAAGTAGTTTTTCCCAAGCGTTTGGAGGCGAGTATAAACACTCCGAAACGAGTTGCTCAGGTTGTCGATGACGACGATGTTGTAGCCTGATTTCAAGAGTTCTAGGCAGGTATGGCTTCCGATATAGCCAAGACCACCGACGACAACGATGTACTCTCTGTCAGAGTCCTGGAGGTCTTCGCATGCATCATCGATCCCCGTCGATTGAGTGTCGAGGGAGGAGACAGAGCTTGAGTGCACGTGCCTCTGACTCGAAATATCGGAGTCTGAATGATGGTCCATCTGAATTCAAGCATGCAGCGCCTTGAAAACCGAGGAAGTAAAGCTTGAGTCAAGGGAGATTTCTTTGCTCCAACTATTCAGATCATGAGTTTGATTTACCATCAAAATGGATGAGACTCACTTGTCTTAACTGGAGGCTCCAATGTTCTGTTTTCGTCGATTATGCAAGGCAGACATGGAGGTATAATATGCCGTTGCATTGCTGGTGGTACAATCCTTCAGTGGTAAATGCCGTGAGCCGCAAGATTTGGTACATCTACGGAGAGGCGTGGCAAATATCTCATGTCCCTCAGACCTGACCGTGGCTCGTCTTACAATTTCCCATAAAGTCTCACCTGCTCCACCTCTTCATTCTCGTTCAGAACCCCCAACAACTGACTATCACATGAATCTTACAAGCCAACACACTAAGCGCAAATTTACAGCTTTCGGCCCGCGACGATACCTATTCTGGGCTCTCCTCGCTATCACGGTACTAGCCATAGCCGTACCAGCTGCAGCCATGTTCTCAAAGAGGAAGAAGACAACTCCACCGAAATCAAGCATCTTGGTACCACTCTATGTCTACCCTGCACCTGGGGCTTGGGAACCATTGTTCACTGCGTATGCCACCAGCCCGCATTTCCTCTCGGATGACTCCCAGCTAACACACCTTGACAGGATTGCCAGCCACCCAGGCCTCAACTTCACTATTGTGGTCAATCCTGCCAGCGGGCCAGGCAACGGCGCTGGGCCTGACGCAAACTACACGAGGGAGATACCCAGGCTCAATGCCTACGCCAACGTACGAACATTCGGATACGTCTCGACCGACTACGCGAAGAGGAATCTGGGCCTGGTCCTGCGCGATATCAGCACATACTCCGCATGGTCTGAGAACGCTACCTTCCCCGGGCTGGGGATGCACGGCATCTTCTTGGACGAGACATCGTCCCAATACGAACCTGCCAGCGCACACTTCTTCGAGACAATTGCTTCAGCCGTGAGGTCTGAGGCGGGCCTTGGACTCAATCCACTGGTTAGTGAACCTTGTTCTTTGCGAATCTGCTGTCAAAATAAAAGCAGCAACGGCCTTGAAGCCAAGAGCCTCCCCCTCAAAGCAGCACTGCTCAACCTCATGACAGCTTAAGTCGGCCCAGACCCAACCCGGCTAACCACATCTCACCTCCAGATAATCCACAATCCAGGGACCATCCCTGATGCCAAGATGCTGTCCCCAGCCATCTGCGACCTAAGCGTCGTCTTCGAAGGCACATACTCCACCTACCAGATCTATGGCTTCGGTGAACAGATATCGACACTTCAAGCCTCATCCAAATGCGGCAGAGAAAAACTTGCTTGCATCGTACATGCTGTTCCTTCGGCGTTGAGCAGCAATGATGTGATGGCACTCGTGAATGGATTGAGGACGATGGTTGGCAGCGTGTTCCTGACGGGCCTGTCAGTAGATTACTACGCGAGTTTCTCGCCTCGATGGGCTGAGTTTGCGGATGAGATGGCGGTCTAATGTGGTTTGTTCTTGGCAAGCGATAGTGTTGAAGCTGTAAGGCTGAGTGAGGGGTAATAATAGCCTTGTGTCACCGTCGTTGGCTTCAAGATTGCGTATGTTGATCACGGAGGAGCTGGGGTAGTGCCCTGCATCCTCGAATTCTGCGTCAGTTTCACGGCCTTCTATTCTTTCCGGGAATGTCCCGATTCTCCGAATAATAATCCGGTCTTCAGTTCGTTTCAAGAATAAGGGGGCCCTTTTGGTATCTGGACTTGTGCAGTAAAGTGTATTCTGCACAGGTGTTGTGAATGAGATTCATCGGGTCTAGGCCCCGCGTCTGATCCTATCCATTTATTTTTAAGTCTGTAAATTTGATGTTGTTCTTGCGTTACGAATGGCGTCGCTCCAAAATACCTGATTTGTTGTTGATGTGGCGTGTGCATTGAATGATGTCAAGCCACTACCCGTACAAGTCAGAAGAACTTTTTCAACGGGATGTTCCCAGGAGAAGTTTCTTCAGCGGAGAACCCGGTCGATTATCAGACGGTGGCATTGACGCGGTCCCAAGGAAAATCCTTCTAAAGAAGCTAAAAACCCAAGCCTTTGGCTTGGGAATACGGTAGCAAGATCTCAGAAGGACGCGCCAAGTTGTTTATGGTGTGTGTAACGAGTAATGTCAGTCTGGACTGGCTTTCGGCGCTGACCCGGTGAGCCCAAGACTCCCGCTAGAGGGAGCAGGAAGAACGCCGTTTCTCGTATTTCAAGACCGTTAGCTATTACTGGCCTAAGGCTCTGCGCCACGCGGCTAGCCGGTTTTCGTCCCCTGAAATAAGCGAGCCTGCAAAGGTTCGGTTGACGAACCGAGTTCCCGTTCCCATGATCGCCTTTTACCGAATCACACCATTCGGATACGGACCCGGAAGGAACGAGGGTGCGGGGAAGGACTTGGCCAAACGGCTCGGCATGGTGGGCTGCGCTGGGTCAGAGAAGAAAGGATTATTCCCTCAAGAAGCCACAATGATTGGCAAAACAAGCCACGCCCAATAGAAAGTTCAGCCACATCCCGCATTTGGACACAGGGGCAGCCAGGCACAGATCTCGCTTCAGTTCGTGGATCGCATTGTGGGGTGGGTTGGTCTCAACGGCGAAAAGAGGTTGTGGCGCAAGGATTGTCTCAACTCTTGAGTCCTGTCCCAAGGAATGGACCCGTTGGGCCTGGCCACATAACACGTCCATTAAGTGGCGAGATGGTCACGAGCTGCGTCAAAATATGCAGTTACATTCTTGCATTTGAGCCTCACGATGTTGTCGATGGCCACCCCGCGAATCGCACAATGCAGTTCCGTGTTCCACAAAAGTTGTGTTCCGCACTTCCCCTCAGTGACAGCTGGGAAAACTGGGAAAAGGCGTATTTGATGCTCCAGATTTCTAATCATAGTGCAGGAAATTATTATCAAGGTTAAAAATTTATTGCAAGCTGCGGTAATACTGTACAGCTCATTATCATGCTCGTCCACGTAAATCCTCCACGGCAAGCTCCAGACCTGTCCTATCAGTTCACACTGAGACCAATATCATTCTCTAGCAAGCGTCCAGCCAATTATCTAGACCCATATCCTTCAGGACCGTAGAGAAGCCCTGCGCCGAGTGGTCACCGCAGATTCCCTCCTTCACACTCGCACTGATGGCCGGGGCCGAACTCGGATACTCGATGTGAAAGACAGGCTTCCCAGCCCCGATGAAAGGCTGGAAGACGTCGCACTCTTGATACTCGAGACACTGCTCATTGACAGCCCACTGCATCATGTCGACAGTCGTCTTGTTGACAATCTCAGCAGCATTCTTGAGGCCTATCGACATGTTGAGCCCGTGTGCACCCGTTGTCAGAAAAGTCAAATAATCAATAGCATCTGCTTGGGTGAGGTCGAAACCAGTGTTGAAGCTGTACCCGTCGACATTGTCTGGGTCCACGCCATCGCAGCCTTTCGACGAAGCGAGCTGCAGCCGCTCCGTCATGATCCTTCTCACGTTCGACGACTTGGTGTTGAGCCAGTACTCGCCCGGCCACCCATCGAGCGGCTTGTCATAGTCGTTGGCCTGGAACTGTGAGGTATCGGGGCGGAAATCCTCGAAGCTGCCGGCCGAGAAATAGCAGATCACGCTCCTGTTCAGTGCGTGCAGCTGGCTGATGGTGGAGGCTGGGTTCTCGAAGAGGTCGATGTCGTAGACGGTTACATTTGGCGAGGTGTCGTTCAGGGCGGAGGAGAGCACGATTTGCCACGTTACGCCCGCGGAAGGTTGCCAGAAGTAGCCGTCCCCGGATGTGGTGGAGTTGGGAGGGGCTGGTGCCGAACCAACGGTGCTGGATTTGGGACCCCGTGTCAAGCCGACGCCAAGCCCGACTCCTAATGCTGCTCCGAGGGCGAGGAGGACGGTGCAGAGGATTGCCCAGAATCGGTTTGAGCGGTGGGAGAGGCATGATCGAGTAGGCTCAATGTTTGAAGCTTTGAGGCCGGCATGCGACGGTTCGACCTGGTCGAGAGGCTGTGAAATCCATGAGGGAGACATCGTGCAGAATGCCTGCTGTAGAGATTCAAGTTTGGCCGGGAGGGGAATGTGATCACAAATTATGAAGAAGATGACGGACTAGTTGGATGCCAAGGAGTGCAGTGGGCATGCTTGATGGCCGAGGACGGAAGTCCTCTTTTCCAAGACCCAAGCATAGCAACAGAGCACCAGCTATAGTGAAGGGGTTAACGAGGCCCGTCAGCCACCTTAAAAACGCCGTTGAAGTTCTTTTGTCTCAGAGGAGTGGAAACGCGGGGGTGGAGAAGTCCATAGAACGTGGATCGAGTCTTAAGATGCATGACATGGCAATATTGATTTTAGCGACCGAGTTGGTGGATATGTTTCGTGTCAGTTCGGACGAAAAGCGGGGAAGATATTATCAAGATCCACCAGATATGTATGCAGGATCTGATAATGCCTGATGGTGAGATTCTCGAGCCACAAGGCTCGCAGTCAAGGCCCTGCTTTTGGGGTTTTGCCACTTTTGGATACTCGGCTTGAAACATATCCATCAACATCGTTACCGAATCAATATTTCCATGCCATGCATGGTGATGCTGGCCGTGCCGCGGCTGTGCATGAGGTGGGATTCGAGGTTCGGGACTGGGTGTTGAGTTGCGGGGTTATTTAAGGGTTGTTGCACTGGTCGTATTCAGATCCCGCCATCTCGGAAAAATGCTGGGCACGACAGGCATGGGGGAACCAGTGGTCTGAGGGTGGGTGGATGGTGGCGTCGTCAGGAATGTGGCTCCGAAGAAGAAAGCTTTAGCGAGGGGGCTTGACACGTGCCTGCTCTAATCTGAATTGGTATTAATAGCATCCTTTTCCATTCGGCACTTCGTTGATGATTTCTTGGCTTCACTGCAGTCTCTGCGCTTGAATATTCCCGCTGTAGAACAATTTTCTCATTACCAGGCAGCTAGCCTATTTCCGCAAACGACAAGTAATAAGTGAACCACGTGATTAGGGCCCTCCATGACTCGTCTACGTTAACTGCAATTTTCTCTTGTTTCTGCTTTCCTTTCCTCCCTATATGCCATCGCGTTTCCAACGTTTAAAGAGGGACTGGAGTAGACAATCTGAAAGTAATTGGGCTTCCTGACATCTTGACCCAGATAGTGAGCGGGTCACTCCCAATCTGCTCGGTGGTGAAGCCTAGAGTGCTTACAACCTTGCCTGGAACCGTCACTGGTATCACAACACCGCAGGTATTGCCAGTCGTGGTGAGAGTGACGGCAGTAATAGTCGTCCCGCTGGTGGTGAATGAAAGCTTGGGGGCACAACCGTCTCGCGCCATGCGGTTGGCGAATGATGCTGCAATGTCATCATGCTTGAGGGAGATCATTGGCCATTTTACCCTCGTACATTCAATTAGTAGGATGCAAAATTTCAATGCTAGTTTCTCAGAGAACTTACAGTCTCATCATCTCCTGAGTAACAACTTCTACCCAGACTTGGAACATGGATAACTTTGACGACACCCCATTGATGGTGGTTTGTGGTGCAGTGACGTAGTTCAAGTTTGCTTGATGGAACATGAACGGATCATGGTAAAGGCCGAGGAGATGTCTCGGGTTTGTTGATTTTTCAACGCCCAACAAAGTATACCAGTCACCAGAGGGTTTCGGCGTGTTAGTATTGATCCATTCAGCAACGGTACATGCAGGGAGTTGGCACTTGAAATATTAGTGTGGCCCACTTGCAACGAAAATTATTGGGAACTCACGTTGTAGTAGATGTTTGTTGCCCAGCGTGGGGTGATTTGGACACCAGCATAGCCGTTCGAAGCGACGGTGCTCATGAGAGGCCACATCTCATTCTGTTGGTTTCTCAGAACGGGACGAGTGTTATCGCCCACAACGTTGACGATTCCTGCCGCAATCCAGGCACGGATAGCGTCACCATTATGAAGACCCGTAATAGCTGGTGGAACAAGTCCTTTGGGACTGAATCTTTTTGCACCAGCGATACCGACTTGTTTCAGCCATGCCGTATTCCAAGTCAATTCTTGATAAACATCAAAGTAGGTCGCATTATTTTGATCCTCATGGGTGAAAGTATGGGAGACATGCGCAAATGCATTCAGGTTCGAAGCCTTCGCCCACCAGGCCTTGAGAGCATCAAGATTGGTGCATGTCGTAGTGTATGGGTAGGTCGTCGGGGACTTTGGCCAGAGATTTGTGCCACTGCCGATTGGCTTCGCCCATTCAAGTGGGGTATCGATTTGTTCGGCATACTCGATGGGACCGGGTGCGCATTTTGTGCCGGTGGAGTCAATGTCGTTGGAATTCTGTAGAATAGGTCAGCGCAACGCACCAAACTGAAACTCGAAAAATACTTCAATGTTGCCATTGCCGTTGTGCGCAATTTCCATAAAGTAGCTGCTCCCCGCCGATAACCGTGAATTGAGATTCGCCATCCAAGTGATGTGCTGTGCCAAGTCGGCAGGCGTCACCTGGTAGGTTGTACCGGCAGGGCTATAGATGTCTGATTCGAGGAACATATCATCAACTATGTGACAAGGACATCAGCAACCAATCTCACGCCAAAGTAGATGGTGTTCAAGAACCTTGTGTGTTCAAATTGACTCGCCGATATCCAGTATCTACCACAAACGTCAGTTCTGAACCCGATTAGCTGGCGCCCGGATGATACATACATAAACCTCTAGTAGCCCAATGAATCCAGGCATGTTGGAGATAATTTGAGGTCAAGGCCCACTCAGTCGCCACCCCGATAAAGAACACCATCTGAGGCGTGTAAGCATGAAATGAGAGTATGAGTCCGATGCCTTACCTGTTGTCTTCCAGAGTAGGTATTAATGACGCCGGCGGTAGAGGCGGTCGCAAATCCTGTAGTGGGTGCAAATTGCGCAAATTCGACTGCAATGCTTGCGTTCGTGATGCTCGCAGGATAATGCCATAGCCCAATTGTGCTGACAGCAGCCCCTCTGTTGTGAAATATCAGGAGAGTGTTCAAAGTAGTGTAGCCTGGGGAGGGAGTACTGACGCATTCAAACCTGCCGTAAGAAAGGAAGACGCATTTGAAATCGAAATAGCCTGTTCTTGATTGGGGGTGCCGCAACAACCACCGAGGGCAACGGTGCCGGAGTCGGCAGATGGGAAGGAATCCAGTCGGACCATGCGTACGCCGAAGGCAGCTTGATATGCGTATATCTGAACCCATTGTGCTGCAGTAAGAGCACTTTGATACCCGAGGGTACCACCATAATTGTAGCTGACCTCTGACAAGATAACGATAGCTCCATAATTCCCGGCTGTTGCTGAGCTGTTCAGTGCTGGGAGTGTGATTCCCGCTTGTGGAACGACAACGACCTGGTAGGGGATCCCATAGGCGTTGAGGCCAGAGAAGGCAGAGTAAGCAGAGACTGTGTCTCTTGCGAATATCAAAACAGTGCTTTGAACTGTGGTTGAAGAAACGACTGCTGGGTTGGCTGCTGCAGGTACGACTAATGGAGCCGAAACGTTGGTGGAGACGGTGGCCCCTCCTTTGACAGTCACAAGGACCGTAGCTTTGGGGGCAGGGCCTGTCTTGACGGCAGTCCCGCCAACAGACTCGGAGGGACGGTGTTTCCTTGTAGTGACAGCAGCGGTAGAGAGGGCTGCTCCAAGGAAGGCTGCCCCGATAATGGATCGGAACAACATCTGGGCGGCTTTGCTGTTGAGAATCAAACTGGCTCAAGTTTTTTGTTGTTGAAAACGAGAGAAAGATGTCCAAAGGACGTGAAGTGTATGAGAGAGGTGAGAGCGCGGGAGGAGGTTAATCAGCAATGTAGGTCAGAGCTGTAAAGAAATCCCACTTGGGCGATTGGAAACCTTTCCAACCATGGCTCGCATTATGAACAACGAACAAGGGCAAACATAGTCGATTGAGGTCAGCCATCAGGAACGTAAGATGTGGAGCGGAAGGCTCGACTCGAGTCTCGGCCCCAGCGTCCATGTGATGCTCGTACACGACAGAATCGCAAGCTCCTGGACTGATATTAGCAATGGGAACCAATCTTGGCTCTTCAAACTATTGAAAGAGTGCAGAAACCCTCAAGCTGCCCCCGAGATGCGATCGATGTTCTGAGCTGGCAGTGCTGGGAGGGGAGCGGGGCAATGGAGGAGAGTTGGCGGTGACTGAGACAATCCTGTTTGGGCGGAAGAAGCTCGTCGTGTTCCACAACACAAGACGGGAAGCGCTGAGGTGAAGGAATGCTTGGCGGTTGCTGGTTGCGTGGCTGGCCGCGATGTTGTCGTGATGTTGGTCTTCAAGCGGCGAGGGTTTGCAGGGCGATGCAGCACAGCAAAGCGGCGAAGAGGCGGCTCACTTACCTAATCGCACGAGGGCAGGGGCTAACCTCAAGCGTAGCCGAGAGTTTCTCAACATCACGTCCTCCACAACATCACAACAGTCACCAGTCACGGCGCAAACGCCCTGTTCGGATGCAGGCACAAAATCACGCCAGCTATTTGCTGCATTAGTGGCCGCATACGAGGAAAAGAAACCACAACTTCCGAACTATTGCTGGGCGTTGACCAACTACCATGGCGCCTCTGCCTTCTAACCCCGCCATCAACCCCTCGTCTTCAGCTCCACAGCTCATGTGCATGTGCAAAGTGATAGCTATGCAGTCTAGACGGCAAGAAAGCCCTGCTGGAATGGAGCCACGATGGCTCTTTCCCTCTAGCACGGCTCGGCGAGGTGAATAGCCAGACATCCAACAGCTAGATTATCTGTTTCCCCACAGGATAATGCAAACATGGCGCATCATACGAGGTCATACCCAATCCGGTGCCCAGTCTTGGATCAAAAACACGATATGCAATCAGTGCAAGGTTACAGAAAGCCATGAGCTCATCTAACCTTACTCGGATGCAAAGCCAAGCCATCTACTGGAGGAAAGGCAAAATCATGCACACAGTGCAAGGGACGGAAAGCCATGGATTCGTCTGACTATTTTTGGATCATTGGTGCAAGCCCAAGGCACCCTTTGGCTTCAACCTCTCCACATTGTCTTCCACCTGCTGATGTCTCGGTCCGCAACCGGAGAAGTCATTGAGGTATGAGATGGTTCTGAATCCAACCATCAGCCCATGTAACGTGAGGTAACGGATCCGGAAACAAGTATTGATCACGTCAGGTACGGATAACGGTATGGCGAAGTCACTTTTCCCATCAGACCCCCAGGTTGCCAGCTATGCTCAATTACCTTTGTTGATTGCAGGAGCTACCCCGAGGCGTATCGAGATTTGAACATTCGTTCCAAAAGTTCTCGGTCTGTCAGCCGTTTTCATGCACCCTCAATCGAACTCACAAACCCACCTCATAGACAATAGCTCTATCCTGCTTTAATACCAACGATGGCAGAAATTTCTGGTGTTACAGCTGGGAGCTGGCCTCAGTTACTCAGACACTGGTGGCAATGGGTAAGAGGCATCACGTTTGGTGGTTAACCTGTGGGCATTATTTTGACGTAGTCTAGGGTCTTGCCGGCGTTATTCTTACATCTCTCCTGACGGGCTCGTTGTACATAGCTGCTGGTCTGATTCGGCGGTTCCTACGATACCAGGCCCGAAAAGTACGTTAGCAAAAGCCTGCCTCTTCATATGCAGGTGCAAAATTTAACGCGATGGCCTTTCAGAATGAACCTTCCAACTCTCTCACCCAGATTGCGGCAGATCGTCTCCGACGCTTTGCAGCCCCTCGTTCAGAGCGCAGCTCACAGACGACCGTCGAAAAATGTGAATGGATTAAGTCACCTTCTCTCGGAATATACCTGGGATCTTTCGAGCAACCGGCAACGGAAGCGCAAACCAAGTTTTTCGCCGACAATGATACGGTCATTCTTGATCCTCTACAACCCAATATCAGTGCTACATTGAAGGCCACTTGTGGGATGTCCGGTGCTCCTACCCGCATGATTGGTAGAATTGATTTGGCAGTGCTGCTCGGAAATCCTGTGCACGAACGCATGTCGGAATCATCTCTCATCTCAAGTCTCGACAAAATTATGAGTACTGCTTCAACCCACTTCCAGGGTGTAGATGGTGGCATTGACAGTAGTGGGTTCAACGGCATACTCTTAGCGGGTTGGGAAATATTTCCGATACCAGTCTTGAATCTACTGAATGCGGTGCTCACCACAAATGGGCTAGAAGTTTATCTTGAGACAGGTGGGCCCGACTTCTTGAAGACTCCAAACGTCTTGACGGCAGATTCTATTGCCGGACTGGTGATAAGAAATGCTCTCATGCATCCAAACGGAGATAGGCGAGACTGCTTTGATATGGAGAGTCTTCGACCGACAGTGAAGTCATTCATCTCTCAAGCTTGCCTGAGAAACTTCGCAGTCCTGGTTTGGGAAACATTGGATAGCGACGCAGTGCCGTCAATTGCAGCGCTGAAACGAACTCATACCTGGTGTAACTTTTATAGTGTTGTGCCCTGGATTGGGTCAAACAATGCGCTTTTTGACCTCTCAATCAAAAGCTCAACAGTCCAACCACTGAGCGCATTTGATTGGCTGAAAGAGCGTCATGTTTTGGAACTCCACGATCTTTGGAGAAACAACCGAGCTGTCAGTAGTACCCTTCGATCCGCTTCTGCTCCCCGCCTCAAAATGCAAACCAAGACTGACATAGTCACAGGCCCAATATTCAAATCAAAGTCAGACAGCTTGTCAGTTTGTGGCCACACTTCTACCATGCCTTCAAGTCGCTCAAGGAACTTCTGGCTGCGCACACGACAATTCAGCCAGTATTTCGTTGTCGCCAGTTCCACCCTCCGAATTCGATGACTGGTTTGTTCTGAAAGATGGAGCTCAAGGTGATCCGATTTGTTTTTCACCCAATGGAATGAGCTACGAAGGCATGGGCTGTTTCCCTCTCGGCGTCGACGTTACGATTGAAGACTTTCAGGATGTCTGCTGGTCTCAGCGAAATCTAAAAAAGCTCGACTTGCTTGATTCTCTTCCCACTGCTACTCTGCAATCATACGGTGCTGTCTTCGACCGTTTTATCACAGAATTTGACAGCTCTGTGAGTTCTCAACATGCCAGCTTGCTGTACGGTCAAGACGATATTCGGGAACTGTCTAAGCTTTTGTCCCAAACATCTGAAGAATGTATCGAAGGTATCCGGATCTTCGTTGGTCTTCACTCGGGCTTTCAAAAAAGGCCGCGACAGCAATTTTGGGCTGTTTACAATGTCCACAACTCCATTACAGACATATTCCTTTCAAAGGACGCACAGGACGTGATGGGCACCATTCTCCATACTTTTCTCTCCTGCCGAGGCCTCACTCGGCGCCAATGCTTTACCGCAGAGTTCCTATTTGCTCGCTGGAACGATACACTTGTTGTACCCAATGGCATTTTGAGGAGGACTATCCAAGATCTTAGTAGACTAACGCCAGAAGAGTGCATGGTCCTTTTACAGCAGATCACTTTCTCCGAGACAGAAGACGATTCATTCCTCGCCGGTGTGAAGTCAACTCTTGCGCAGCAACTGATCGACAAACCGTCAATGCACCAGCTCAAAGAACTTGGTACAGCTGCCTATCTCAATGGTAGTGTTACCAGGGAAGATCTTGTTGCTGCCCGACTACGCTGGCACTGTCAACGGAATCAGCCTCATCCGAACTTATCTGCCGCAGTGGATTTATTCTCCGAGGTTGAAGCGACCGTTATCCGCGTTCTCCGGGATCGGAATCGCGACGTGCTTCAAAGTTTGACGGACGCCTTGGACGGCTTCCTTGGCGAATCTATCACCGCCATAGACGCCACAGCCGATACATTTACTTTGTCACTATTTTGCACCATGCAAAAGCTAGCATTTGAAGAAGTCTACATGGAAGTGACAGACCGAAATCCTCTCTTTAACGACCAACCCGACCAAGCAGCTGCCTTTGCAGAACTATTTGCACTAGGATCCCGTTGCGAGTCATACTTTGATATGACCCCGAGTCAGTTTGGGGAGCTTTTATCAAAGAGATATCACGACCACTACAGTGTCAAGCAGCCCCCGCCGTTTAAAGAAAGCAAATTTGCTCTCAGCTCAGCATTTGCAGAAGCACAAATCGACGTTGATCCCAATTTTACAGGGCATGAGATGCCATCCTATCAGCGCTTTACTTTCTTGAGCGTGTTTGCTATCCCCGCCTTGATCGATATCCTTATGCTTACAACAACGGGCCATGGACTTTACCTCAGTTCCTATATGACTGAGCAAGAACAACACAGTGCGACGGTCGCGCTGATGCTCTCACTTCTTCTCTCTGGAGCTATTGGAACTTGGATCACCTGCGGCGGAACATACTACTTGGCATCTATGGCCTTCTCTGCGATGAACCTTTTTGTGATTACCCGCCTCCTTGGTGGATTTGCTTTTACACTTATTGTTGGGTTTGTCGGGTTCGTTGCGTTCACTTGTATGACCGGCGTTCGAGCAGGCATCGTTTTCTTTCTCTACTTAATAGCCCTTACGACATACCTTTGCCTGCTCGCTGCCCTTGCAAATTTCCAATTTTCTGGATCCACTTTCCAATCTGTATGTATCTACTGCGTCACATTCCGCTTCTAATACTAATATACAGCTTGATAGGGTCGAACAGTTATAATAATGTGCATACCAGTTCTCTTCATCTCACCGATAACGACAATCTTTCTGCCGCTTCACGATATCGACATCTATCTTCCGGTTCTCTATCTTTTCATTTCTTTATTGATTTTGGGAGTGCGACGCATTGGATCACGCTGGACAACTTGGTACCAAAAGATATTCCCCCTGGATGACTCGACCCTAAAAGAATGGTATTTGGACAAAATCTCTAGCAGTACCAGGGATGAGCTTGAGAAAATGTCCGAGCCAGCAATCCTGAAGCTTGCACGCCAAGCACTTTTCCATGATGTCGCCTTGGAAAACCGAAAGTGGTTTCTCTCACACCAGACAAAGGATCCTTTGGTGGTACAACTGGCCAAGTCATTTAAAGCCACCGACTTCTTGATGGTAATTGATCCTGTTACCCATGGTGATAGATCACCAGTAGCTAATATTTGACAGGACTGGTATTGTCGATACTCAAGTGTTCCCAAACCTATTCCATTCAGCTCTGCCTGGAATGTTCAAACGAAGGTCGCCCTAGATTCTTTGCAGAAGTCACAACTTGGGATTCGATTCCACAATGGATTTATCCACTGGCGGCAAGCCGGGGACGAGATTGGATGTACAGTCCTCTATTTCGTTATTGCCCTCTTGGATAAATGGGTCTCACTCATTAACGGCGCCGCACTTACTGGTTATCTGTCATCGGACAGCAACTTGAGGATGCCGATTGGATTCGGTCTGGCGTATTACCTGATTGGTGCTGTTCTACTTGACTTCAATGCACACAAACTGCACGAGTTAGCCAGTCAAGGAAAAGAAGAAGTCGTGCCGATCGACGATGATATTCCTGGAGCTGTGAGAGCCAAATTCCAGTCTCGAAAAACCTTGTACTGGACCACTCTCTACAAATATCTGCTGTGGCATGTGTGGGGCTTGGCTGTGACGGCGACTCTTCTCTGGCTGTTTTCGGGTACCAAGCAGGCCACCATCGTATTTCTCAGCTACGTGGGGGCATACACCGGTCTTCTGTGGTACCAATACACAAAAGTATTCTCCGGACCACATGCTCTGAAACCTCTCTTGGTGGGTGTGTCTTTCGGCCTTCCACTAGGGTTCATCCTTCATCACGAGCTACCGAATTTCCTATACGCTGAAATTATTGCTCTCGCGGCGGCTACTTGGACCGTTGCAATCCTATCTTTGTGGGCAGGCAAAATAGCCGGAACTCCGGTTGAGACCCCATTGGGCCACATCGATGGTGCATTCCATGCGTACTCCGCCCCAGGCGCAGATCAAGCGTGGTCACAGCCCGAACTTCAATCACTCCACGACAAGCTGACTGGCTTGGCCAAAGGAGAACGCTTTCCGGTCGATCCAGAATCGGACTTTGGCAAAAAAGTGAAGCTCAGATTGAGGGAGTGGAGATACATCGAGCTTCCTGAACTTGCAGCTCAAGCATTCCCAGAAGCTGAAAAGCTGCTTGAGCTGAGTGAAAAGCTATTCAAGGAAGGATCCGTCACCGTTGAGCTAGTCTCAGTGGAACATTTGATAAAATATGACCGAACCATGAGGGCGGTTAGTTCCCAGATCAATCAAAAAATCCGTCTTTTTGTCGGTTGCGAAACCAAGAGCGTGCCCCGGAATGATGATCCACTTCCACAATTTCATCAAGAGTAAGTTCCCCCCTTTATCTGATGACCAAGCTCACACAGGCTAATGCTATCATGATAGTGTGGCTGAACTTCTCATGCAAGTCGTTGCAGAACGTTTTCTTGGCTTCAGCACACGCGACGCAGTCCTTGCCCAGAGCATGTGGGCGAGTACCAGCGCCTGGGGTGAATCCGCCAACTCTAGCCTTCTAGAGCGCCAACTGCGGACCTGCACGAAGGCAGGTGATGCCTCCAGCCTCATCTCTCACCTGCGCAAGCAGCTTCTGAGAGACCTTTGTCTTGGGTTGAACTGCGATACCGAATGGGAGGGACTTCCGGAAGACCTCAGGAAATATCTAATCAACCGTTGTCTTGGTCATTCTGCCGCTCCCAACGACGACCAGATCCAGTTTCTGAGCAGCAAACTGAATATGTCGTGCGGCCTCGAGTTCGACACATTCATCGCGCGTTCCAATTATGCAGCCCTCACTGGTGCTATTACTATCAGTCGCGCGAGTGCTTGGCTTAGCGGTGACAAGTCCCAGAGATCACATTTGCATCTTAACCCAGTCAACACGATGTCTATCCTCAATCTGTTTGCCCGCACTGCGCCAATTACACCGCCATCATTTTCTGACAGAGTTCACAAATATTGTGGCTTCATCTGGCATCAAATTGGCGTCGGATGTAAGTTCTTTTCTGTCGCCTTCGTCGCAGATCCCGAGTACCAGAGAGAGGTGAAATGCACTTTCTCTCGTGGCCCCCATGTGACCCAGTCTATGACGAGATTTTTCTTCACAGGCATCTGGATGTGGTCTAAGGCCATTCAAGAGTTGTTCCTACCTACATTCCTTGTAAGTTAGCATCTCGCATTGATCTCATCATCCCCAGCAGTTCCAGGAATGAAACTGATATAATCGATTTGTTTAGTTCCACAATCGCAAACCTGTCGTCAACCTCTGGAAAAATGTCCAAGGAATTGAAGTCTCCTTGAAGCGTCGTCACATCACGATCCGAAACCTGGATGGGAATTTCACAGCATTCATCCACCCTGTAGATGAAGGCACATTCAAGCTTCTTCAATATCGTGGAGACCACCAGTCGGAGCCGGAATCCAAGGATGAGCTCTGTTCTATCAACATGTACTCCCACGGCCTAGCCCTTCTGCGTCGTGTTGAAATGAACAACGGGTCTACCATTAATGACTATGTCTACGAATACCGCCACCCGGATCCACGTGAACGAAAAAGACTCTCAAAGACCGACATATTGGCTTGCCCAATTACGAGAAAGGGGATCGCTGGCCAGCATAATTCTCAAGCCGTGAATTACAACTCGAAAGGCCAAATTGATTCTGGTTCCTGGATCAAAGACGGCAATCTCATCCGCTTCCAGTACCATTACCAAAAGACCGGCAAAGTCCAGGCTGCTCTACTGCGGGCTGAGTTCGTTCTCCCACACATGAGCTGTACAGTCTCTTGGTGTGCTGCACCACGATCTCATCCCGAGAGACTCGATACCTGGGTAAGTTCTTCCCCACCAAATTCAAGTGTCGAGGCTAAACTGTTCCAGATCCCTCATTCTCAAGTCACAGAAGCTACATTTGTGTGGGGCGAAGACGTCTGGGAGAACAAGTACCTGTATGATCACAAGTTCCATCCGACAATTTCAACGACCTTGAATGGTCGGACAGTCGACACTCCCCCATTCATTTTATACGATCATCTTGCCATTTTGAAAAAGCCCGATCACGTCTCAATCTTAGACGACAACCCACTCTTCTCATTTGCCTCGGTCAAATCAAACGCCATCACTCGCTGGCTGGGCCTCGCAAGCCGCAAATATCCTGTGTCCGCCTCCCAGGCACGATCACGTCTCTGGAAGGCTTGGAAAGAAGACCCTGGTTTTGACGGTATTGTCGTTCGTTGGCTCGACGAGCGTTTACTTCGTCGAGACCCAATCCTTCGCCCCTACTGGAGAAAGCGGGATACCGGCGCGTTAGATGAGGCTGAAGCGTACCTTGACCAAAATAGGGACGCTGTGATGGCCAGTGTTGATCTCGATAACATGATTTCAAGCTGGACGCCACTTGCCATGAAGATCAACGATCTATACAGCTTTGGCCAGGGTGGTGATGCGTGTAGCAGGACGAGATCAAATGCTGCTTCGCAAGAGGATGACGAGGATGAAGCTGCATTGCATGTCATTGCGGTCGATACCGGCACGTGGCCAAACGAGGTAAGTCGTCAGCTCCTTGCTTGCTGAATATCATTGCTGACAAAATACACAAGGGCGGCGGCGTGTCTGCGTGTCGAAGCGACGTGATCAATAATCTTCGAACGATCAAATGGCATATGGTCGCCGAAGCAGCCAACGACTTTGGCATCCCAAAACGGCAGATTGAGCGCAATGTCCACTCTCTAAAAATCATCCCGCTTTGGGGGCTTGATTTGATGACGCCAACTCACGGACTCTTCGCGAATCGACTGGACTCCGAGGTCGACCATAATACCACGCATGCGACGTTGCTCGATATTGAACGCACTTTCGTTCCTATTTTGGCAGCCATGATTTCCGGCGCTAGAGCCCTGGACCTGTCTATCCGTGATGTGCAACAAGTCACTCGGGCTTTGGTGAACCTGAATGCCTACTTCAAGGACTCTCGACACAACTGGAGCGCAGTATGGAGAAGCGATGTTGTCAAGAGTGCGTGGAGACGGCTCTGGCTTTCCAAGGCAACCTCAACATCAAATGCGGTTCCATCTTCCCAGTGGCTGAAAGTGGAACTGCCAACAATAGGACAGTTGGATCAAGGCCTCGAGCTGTGGTCTCGGTACCTCTTTATCTTCTCGATCCCAGTCCCAGACAAGATGCCAGCCGTCTTTCAGGCGTCGCACCACAGCGTGAGCGCCTCCTACGGGATCGTTTGCAAGGTCAAGCGGGGCTGTATCTTGCAAATTTGGGATCACGCAATCTCCTGGAGGGAGACAAATCTCTACATGTCTTCGGCACTGTGTGCTTTATCACCGTTCGTCAGAAACTCTCTCCTGGGGTTAATGAGAGTGACTTCTGTTCTTACCTTGCACCACGCCGACACGATCCTTCCATGTGCTGACTTCTTCAATCCGAATTGGGAGGTAGAGATTGGCACATGCCAGGGTAAGATCGAGCATCGCTCGGCATTCCGGCGTAAGATTGATCCAGTCGTGAATGGTATCACGCACATGGAGGTGAGTTCAAGGGATGCTATCCACTAAATGGCAATGGAACTGACAGAATGAAGCTATTTACTCCCGTCCAAGAACTCCAAACGAAGACTCCGACGGTGACGATGTTGTCGCATGTATGGTATGTATTGACCCAACTCCTTCTCGAGAGACCTCATACTTCATTTGCATTCGCTCATTAGTTTTTCAGGTATGCAAAAGATATCAAAACCGCTCTGTTGGCAGCAGACATCATTGTCAATCAATGGGGTTTCAAAGACTATCGACTCGAGATCTACGGTGCCATCGATAAATCTCCCGGGTACACAACCAACTGCCAGGAGATCATTGCTACCAAGTCTCTGCGCTACAACGTCTTCCTTCAAGGTGAGGCAGACCCGATCAGCGTTCTTCAGAAGACTGTAAGTAACCAGCCTCCTTTCCCCTACGCAGCAATGAAACTGACGCAGCTATACAGTGGCTATTCCTAAATTCCTCGATTTCAGAAGGCCTTCCCCTAGCTCTCGGCGAAGCCGCCTTGACCGGCGCACCTATCGTCTGTACAGATGTCGGTGCTTCCCTCCGAGTACTCAAAGACCCCGACGACGGTTCGTGCTTCAGTGCAGTTGTCGCTCCCAACGATGCCCTCGCCATGGCACGCGCACAAATCAAGCTCCTCGCTCTTCTCGAAGAGTGGAGTGCGTACGCAGACTCCACAGCGAGCAGCGAAACAACGTCCGATTCCTCATTCCCCACCAACCCAACATCAGAAGATGTTGCTAGGATTACGCAGCGCATGTACGAACAATCCGCTGCCCGTCGAGCCCTGGGCATGAGATCCCGGGCCATCGTCCAGAAGTCCTTTAGCGGGGAGCGCTATCTGCGCGAACACGAGCAGATGCTGTGGATTGGCAAAGCTCGCTACGATATGGCTCGCGCAATGGTTTCTCGGCCAGTGACATTGCTGCCAGCTCGAAGAGCTGTGCAGCTTGTTGATCTGACTAGTGCAAAGGTGCAGGCCGGGCCGGGCGAGTCGCTACAGATTCCCAGCCTGGCCTACGGGATAAGTAGCGAGACGCCGAGTATGGCGACTGACTTTACGCCTGGGACTGGAATCGAGGCGAGACTGCAGATTGCGGAGCAGGAGGTGATTAAGAGTCCGGGGAGGGCGGTGGTGAAGATTGTTGAGGTGGGACACCGGCGGCAGGATAGTGTGATGAGTGGATCTGGCCAAAATTGGGTTTAATGGTATGAGGTTATGAGCGATGTTTGATGTTTGAGACATGAAATTTAGTCACGTTAATTGGATGTAGGATGGAAACAAATGATACCTGCTCACTCCGCACTTGAACCGTAATCTTGGGTCTTTGGCTGCTAGTGAACTAAGTTGAGAGCTCGCCCAAAAACGACCCGATCAGAACGGGACAAAGAAAGGGAGATCTTTGTGAAGAAAACAATCGGGTAGGTCGCGTTCACCGGCAGAGGCTCAATCACATCCCAATGCTCAACCATGAAGGTGCCTTCGAAGCGCCAAAGATCCATAAATGCCACCGGCTACTAGCGAGGTAGGGCGATCTTGTAGTGAATCATGTGATACTGCCCATCGGACATGACCTGAAAAATAGTGGTATTCACGCCAGTGAAGTCCGAACCGGCTTCCAGGAGTGCGGAAAGAGTATTGTTGCGTCCGTGAGGCGGGAGGTTGGCGCTATGCTGGATGCAGTTTTCGTTGATGAAGTTCAGGGAAAAAGGAGGTGATATCGCTGGGCTGGGAGGAAGGAACTCGCTGGTGAATTGGTAGAAAGCGTCGCGCTGACATTCGGGAGAGGCGGGTCGCCCAGGCGTTAAGGTCTTTGTTAGGTTACTCCGTACGCTAGGTCGAACGAGAGGGGCGAATGCCTCGACTTTTGGCGCCCATACCCAGCCAGACTGAGAACGAGAAGGATGCTTTTGGTGAAGAATTGTATGATGTCTATCGAGTTGGCAGAAGCAGCGAGTAAGGGGCAGTTGAGAGTGATGATGAATTTCCAGACGCACACTTACCAAGCGAAGGGCTTGTATGTGGTCTCAAGGCGGGACATGACTTCTTGAAGATCCAGACAGCTGACAGGAAGTCTCTCCTTGCAGAAGCTCCCCTGAGCTGCGGGATCTGCAAATAGCTATGATATACTTCTCTCATTCCGACTCTACCAGTTCTTAAAGGTAGCATTCGGTACCTATTAGCCAGACCTTTGTGGGTGTCATTGCGAAAGTGATATACTTTTGGTGGTATGTGGAGCGGTACGAGTCTAAGCGTAAGACTCTTTGGGAAGATGCTGGGGGCGAGTGCAACATTGAACAGGAGAGCCAGGCGTGTACGACCTCGTCTGTAGTATTGGTAAACACGTGCTCGTTTCTCCTGGGGCAGAATACAGCACACTGTGATTGGAAGATACCCCTTCTCGTTCGTTTCTCCCCCTCCGATTTTAGGCAAAATGTCATGCATCGGAGCATTGGGGTTTTAAGGTGGCATATATACGTAACTCGCTTCGGGAAAGTCCCACGACTCACTGCACATCCACTAATGTCCTGTCAAGCTGTACCCGAGGGCTCGGCCCCCTACTATGCTTACATTTTTTGAAGAGTGGTGATAGAGTTGAGGATTAAAAACAGGAAGAGGAAAGAGAAGGTATGTGAACTTGAGGGCTGCGACAGAGAGGTTGCAACACCAGAAGTAGGAGTTGTGGGATCGATCGTGAATCGCAACCGATTTCGAGAAGCTGAGATGGGTGCTTTTCGTCCCGAGGTGATGATCCCAAAGCCATCAAAGGAAACCCCTGTACCCCACTGAAATCAATGATAGAGTGGCTGCCAATGCAAAGTCCCTTCACTTGGACATTCCCGAGCTTTCGGCTTCGGATGCTTTGTTTTTAACAGCTGTGTTGACTCTTTTCTCCACCGCAGCGGCGGCCTTTTCCTGGATCTTCAGGGTCCCTTCCAGAAGCGGCTTCCCATCTATATCTTCAGTTGTCTTGTCCATATACTCAGCCATCGAATTAAGCAGCGGCATCAAAACATGCTTCGGTATCTCTGTCCGTCCACCAATCGCTATGCTTTCAACCGGAGACCTGATATCATTCCTAATATTCTTCGCATGGTTGTCAGTACCGTGTGCTGTCCTCCCCAATGTTTCCGGCCACACGGTCTTCGGATCCAATGACAATATCTCTGCCAACTGCGTCACTCGATCCTCCGGATTTATTGTCTTCAACGTGTCTTTTGAATCAGGAACCTTCTTAGACAAGAACATCGCTCCGCTAGGAGAGAGCACAGATTGCTTCGCATTGTTCGCATGCTGTCTCGTTATGAACTTTCCACCGGCAGCATCTAGCGCATCACCAAGAGAAATCCCATACTCATCCAGTAACTGCACACTCCGTAGATTCCTGTAAATTCCTGTAGGCCTCCGCAGGCATGTATCCCTTCGCGGCCTCGATTGCGGCCGCTGCTTGCAGGTACGAATTAATCTTAGTCCCGTCCGAATCACCGATTGTGTGAGAATGAACCCAACCAGCCTCCCTCGTGCTTGAATGTTCGAAACGGTAGTGATCTGGCATGCCGTCGATGCCGTGGAAGTGTTTTGTTTTCACCCTGCAGCTGCATGTCCCTCCTTCCCTGCGTTGTCTCTTGACCTGTTGTTTCTCGCGCGAGGGCTCATTCTCGAGTTTACGGGCAAAGAGGCAGACGAGTCGGACGGAGTCGTTAGGGATTTTGTCTGTTCTATTTAGCTCTGGGCATGTTGGGCTTGAAGGGCTTGTAAAGTCAATTCCGCGACCCATCACGTTCGTCTCGTCGTATCTGGACCGGATGTTGTCGACAAGAAGCCAGAATTTCTCGAATACGTCTGCGCGCATGGAGAAGGGAACAGGCATTCCGAAGAGGAGGTTCCGGATCTTCCAGGTGTCTGGAGGGAGTTGGAGGCTGGCCATGATTGGCGATGTTGGATTGGCTTTGCTATCTGTGCCGAAACTCATGTGAACGGGCTGGAAGGTCTATAATCAATTGCAGCCTAGGAGTGGGCTTGTCTAAGATGGTCTTGAAGCTGTGCTGGCGAGGTGAGGTGTTGCTGCAAAATCTAAGGCAGCAACAGTTGGTGCCTGAATAACCCCGCCCCTTTTTGCTTTTCAGGATTTTGGGGATGGCTTCGCTTCAGCATCAACTTGATACAACCCATATTCTCTAGCAGGATCTTTCAATATCGAAAGTATTCCATCTACCAGTTGCCTACCTATGACCCCCCTGCCAGAAATGGCCTCTTTCTGCCCGAATTGGCGCCGAAGTTTCATCCTTCGAGGATCGTGACCTCTCACTTTTGCGGTGAATAGCAAACACATCAGCAAATGAAGGGAATCGCGGCCTTGCGATACCAGCCCCTCTTCCTTTACACAATCTTCTCGGTATGCCCTTATCTCATCTCATCACGGATTTGTTAACACATGCTGATCTCGAACAGAATCTGAACATCGCCAAGGCTCGCGTCACGTGGAACTGCTCCTCATCCTTGAAGGCACTCTCAGCCGCAGCGATCCAAAGACCTTAGCTGTCTTTCAGGTTATTTTGTTCTTCTCAAAACTCTAGAATTATCTACCTCTGATCTTCTTCAGCTTTGAAACCATTAAAGGTGATGCCCAGCACCTTTGGACGAGAAGTTCATCAGCTGAGGTCCCTGCCTCCAATATCAACTCGCGCAAAGGCCCGTATTATATTGCCATCACTTCCAAAGCAACTATTCTGATTTCTTGCTAGGATTAACTCGATTCTTCCACCATCTGATCCGTCGGAGAAAGGTGCGACTGCTATCAAGCACATCCGAGGAAAAGAATGCAGCCTCAGCACCTTCTACAAGAAAGATCCACCAGGATTTTCACCACGTACAATACCACAGAAATATATCTCACCCTGTGGTCCTCATGCCTTCTCGCCGTCCACTGACGCCGACAACATCAGACTCGATGGATACACCTTCCAACCCACCTCGAGATTTGCCAAGAAAGTTCGACGTGATGATCCCAAAACCGAAATCTCCAATACCTATCGGCAAGACCATCATTGAGGACAGCGAGGCTGACGGTAGTGCGGAGGAAGAAATCGTCACGGCTGGGGCTCGACGTACTCTCGACAACTTGCCACCACGTCGTACCGCTCCAAGACCAAATGTTACCTTCGAGACCCACCGACTACCAGGGGAAGAGTCCAGCGAGGAAGAGTCTTCGGATTCAGAGTCGGAGTCGGAAGAATCAGAGGTGCCGAGTGTTCAGCCCCAAGACACCGGGCCTAGACATGTTGGGTTCCCACCGGTTGAAGAGCTGCCAGATTGGTTTCCTGAAAACATCAAGCAGATGTATCGCGTTGATAGACATGGCGGTGCTCTGTCTTACAAGGTAAGTCGGCCATCACTTCTCAAGAATCGAGTCTAACAGAATACAGGAGTTGAACGAGATCACTAGATACCGAGCTGCATTGGAGATCATCTGCCGTCGCAAGTGGAGGGAGTACATCAAAGCTGGGGACGCTCGGTGGAAATTGCAGCAAGCTCTACACCATTTGAAGTGCCGACCGCTGACGAAGCCTTTCTACAAGTACCGAAAGGAGCAGTTTAGGGCATGGAAGGCGAAAGCGTTGAAGTTGTGGAAGCGATTGGAGAAGACGCATCGTGGAATTTTGATATTGGAGGAGACAATCAACATCAACTTTCGTCAAGAGAGGATGATTCACGAGAAGCATTTGATGGGATGACGGACGCGGAAGGCCCGAGGTCCCTCCAGTAAGCTCGTCAATCATGGGAATTGAGGATAGGTGCGAGCTCGCACTTCACGGAAGATTTCTGGCGTTCTCGGCGTTCTCGAAAGATACCCTACTGGAAAAGGCACAAAAGCAATGGATTATGTGCTGGCACGGATTTGCTCTCCATTTCGCTCGTCACAGAGCATTGCTGCTGGGTGCTTACAGCCCTCTCTTTCCTTACGGCCTGCATTTCTTCTTCCTTGCCATAGAATAGCACGGGAAGCATGACCTTGCATTTCCTGTGGAGAACAAACAGCTTCCTTAATTCCCCTTCGTCTTATTTATGTCCCATCTCCATCTCAGACGTCCTTGGCCTCTTGGTATCCCGACTCCCGAGCTCGAGCTCACTTTCTCGGCAGGGGCTTGTGCTGTGGCACAAATAGTTTATAACTGTGAGCCAATAATAGGGCCCTCTCCCGGCGCTGAAGCTTGAAACGTTCCGAATCGGATGCCATGCCCTTGGCGCGCTTGGCGGCCGGAACCCTTAGGATGGCAGGTGCTTGAAACGAGCTTCACAAAACTTTGGTGATGACAGCCAAGAGGCCAAGCAATTCGGGTGTTTCTGCGCAGTAAGTTACTTACCTGTGATGTTTGGGGAAGAGATTGAAGTCCTGCAAGAATCCCATCGGCACGTTCAATTGCAATGCCCTGAAGACTTCGCACGAGGTGACTGCAAACAGTTTTTGATTTTTGCTTGCACTGATCAAATCAGTTATCTAATCTGTTTACTAGATCGCATCTGTAAACATGCAATTTCAGATTTGTTACTTTTGTGGGGTGCAGGCACTGCAGCAGGATGCTCCATGTTTCGAGGATCATTCGGGCTGCGGCACCGCCAAGCTGTCGCACTTGGACTGCTAAGATCGAGGTGGAACAACCACTGCCCATGTTATCAGATGTGGATTCTGGTCTCCGGGTGGCTTGTTATGATCTTCGAGTTCTGCGACGAGGACTGCAAGTGAGAAAAGAAAGATTTCCGAGCCGGAAACTGTGGGTGGTTACGAGGCTCAACTTGGTATTGGAGAATATCAACACCTCATCGTAACACTAAACCTCAGATGTATGTATTGTTCATCCCCAAATACGTCTGATCTTTCTGATCATGAGGAGTATCTGCACGCTTCATCTGTTCTTCGTTAATCTTCAAAGCACATGGCTTTCCAACTGTACTCGGATCAAGCTGGCCACCACCATCAAGAGACTTCTGTATGTTAAGGTTGTCCAGTTTGTTGTAATTGCACCAGAAGGGCTCCTCCCCGCTTCCCATTGCCATCCAATCAATCAGACAGCCATCAGATGAAGTTTCAACGATCTTCGAGACGAAACTTCCACAAGCGAGACATGAAGCATTCTCACGCACCTTGGCACAGCTGGCTCCACGGCAAATTCTCCACTCCCTACTCCCACCATCTGGATCCGAAGTTAGGATGACAGCGCTGGACGCTTGGGCAGCTAAGCCGTCACGCCAAGTGGCGTTTGAATCATGCAGGCCCAGAAAAGGAACGCCGCATTCAAGTATATACCGCAGCCCCCCTTGGCGAGTGCTGCATCCTCTCACAATTGTTGCCTTTGTTGTCGTGTTGCTTTCTCGCCAGTCACTCTCTTTAAGATTCTACTGCACTGGATTTGCACTGATTTCTTGCCGTTCCTTTGCTGTCTCGATTGTGGATCGACGAGACCGAACATTCTTCTCAAGTTTGAGGGCAGGCTACTCCTCTTCACTTTTTGACCATCATGTTCTTCCCAAAGGCTGCAGCGGTGTTGCTGTGTGCGGTTGCTCTGTCTGAGGCATTCTCTATTCCGGACGTTGGATACTTGGCTGTTCGGTCGCCTCAAAACTTTGGCGGAGGAGGATTCGGTGGAGGACAGAACAAGCCCAACGGCAATAACAACAATGCTGCGAAACCTAACAGTGGAGGAGCGAATACGAAGACTTCAACGACTGCGGCGGCAGCTGCAGCAGCTTCGACCAAGGCAGCCACCGGTGCCAACAACAATAATAATGCAGCTGGCAACAACAACAACAACGCAGCGGCAGCCGCTACCACGTGCTTGAAGTCCAACGCTGTCCAGACAGGAAGTGCAGATGATGGAAACGCCACGCCGACAGATGGTCAATCTGCATCAGCGACGTCAGTATTCTCGTCTCCCCTATCAAACATGACTAACAGTTCCAGCGACGTCGCAAACTTCATCAACTTCTGCTCTGGTCAACCCCTGACCAACGGCCTGCAAGTTAAGACCGGCTCGTGCAACGGCATCGGTAATCCCCTTCCTTTTTAATCCCCCACTAAAAAAGGAAGAGAGCATCTAACATCTAGCAGTAATGGGCAAAATCCCCTCAACCTCCAACATGATCTCCGCAATCATCACCTCCCCCAAACCCGCCGAAAACATCGCCGCTTCCACAACCTTCACCATCAGCGTGCAAATGAAAGGCTTAACCGCAGGCTCCTTCACAAATGCAGCCGCCACTTACTACAGTGCACCCCAAAACCTCGCTGGCAACGGGCAAATAATAGGCCATACACACGTCACCGTCCAAGACCTCGGCAACAGCTTGCAACCCAGTACGCCGCCTGATCCAGTGCAGTTCGCGTTCTTTAAGGGCATCAACGATGCCGGGGATGGGCAGGGATTGCTTAGTGCGACGGTCCCGGGGGGGTTGCCCGCGGGCAATTATAGGGTTTGTAGTATGACGAGCAGTAGTAATCATCAGCCGGTGTTGATGCCGGTTGCGCAGAGGGGGGCGCAGGACGATTGCCAGAAGTTTACGGTTGGTGCTGCGGCTGGTGGGGGGAACAATAACAATGCAAACGCGAATGCGGGCGGGGCCGCGAAGGCGACGACTACGGCGGCTGCGAAAGGGGCGAAGAATACGAAGAAGGCAAGGGCGTATGTTGTTTGATTGTTCCAGGTTGTAAGTGGAGGCGGGATGGCGTTTGGGGTAGTGGGGGCTGATGTTTTTGGGAGAGGTATTGCTGGCAGATACAGTTTGAGAGAGGGGTAGTATGGACTAGACGTGATTGATTTAGAATGAATAGTACGAGGTGTATAATGGAAGATTAGTTCATGCATGTTACTTGACGTCTCTCGTTCTTGGCGCGTGTCAGGCGAAGGAAGGGGATTCACTATTGAGACAGCTCCAGTTGAAATCAATTCGAGATCCAAAAGAGAGACCGTGATTAGGGGTATAAACACATGAACGCATGAAGCTCCATGGTTGAAAGCCCAACGAGGGAATTGATTAAGCACGTGATCCGCATTCGAGACATTTTGGTTCGGTGAGTGCGACGACTCACTGCAGAACTCACAGCATTGTGGAGCTTGTTTAAACCATGCACTTTCTTGCTCAAAACTATGCTGAATGTGAAGGAACTATAATACAAGCACGAAAATTCCGCCATGAAAATATTCATGAAAACAAAATGTACATCAATCTTCCTGCTCAATTAAGGTACATCTAGTAACTTAACACGAATTTGATTTCAAAGGTATGGATGCAGCATCCAACAGACCCAGCACCGATTGTGACACCTATTCACATCATGAGATGGGGAATGGTCTTGAGGCTGCTGCTTGGCAAGGTGCTTGGTGGAGGTCGCGACCTTATGGAGGAGCCATGCTGGCACCCAAGAGCGCAATTGCTTTGAGTTGAGTGGCGGAGATGAGGCTACTTCTCGATGCTCGGCCGCGGCGTATCATCCGATATACTGAATCCATATGCTGCTGCGGCACGATGCCGATACCGAATGTTCAAGGCCTCAAGCTCCTTGGCAACCATGCACAGTCCTATCGGGTAATAATGGCCATAGTCCCCATTTACCTCACGTCGGACCGCACTGGGAGCTTGCTTTTGGGCCTTTTCGCGCTCTCTGGCCTTCAGGAACGCTGTCGTCGCCACCGACGGGCTTCGCTCGCGGTCTGTCTTTGCGGATGGGACTCGTTGCACGAAATCCGGCCGTCGAGGCGCCTTCATAGATGCATTCGCCAACGTTGTGGCCACATTCTTCTTGAATATACCGTGTGCACCGGCGTTACTGGCGATTTCCGCTTCAATTGCGGACGTTACTAGTTGCCGTTGACGCCGTTCCTTGGCAAGCTTCCTCCGGATCGGGCTTCTGCTCGACTCGTTTCGATGGACACACCCTCGGTTCTCCGACATAGAGCCTTTTGCACATGCGTTTGCGCTGGTTTGAACATCTGCATTCGACTTTTTCACAACATTGATCTTGAATCCATGATACTTTGCCATCGGATCTTGTGGGGAGCTCCGAAGGCTGGCAAGTTTCTGCTGTTGCAGACTGTTCTTTGCTCCCCAGGTACCTACAACACTCTTCCTCTCGGCGTCATGAAGTACTCTGCGCTCTGTTTCGGACGTGGCTGGGAGCGTAACATGAGCCGCTAGGATGGTCGGCGTTGTGCCTGCGACCTTTGCTGGGGGTGTTAAATGCGAGTATTGCGTTGTTCGAGATATCCCTGATTCAAGCGATCGTGGGACATCAACGGCTGACGCTGGCCTCGGTGACTTGGTACGTGCATCTCGCAATGCGGTCGAATTTGAAGACGGTTGAGTAGACCGTGCCATTCCCCACCTGGGCGGATGGCCAGCTTTCGCAATTGCGTCCAGGCTGGTTCTCCTAGTGTGAGTACCCTTTTCCGGGCTGCTCAGGGGAGACCAGCTAAATGCCACCGGCTTTAAAACTCCGACATTTGACAGTGGCCGAGGTGACTTGGAATTCGCAGGTGGTGTTGAATTTGTGAAGGGAGATTTCGTCGCTCGAGCCATTCCAGTCATTGCTGATTGTGAAAACTTGGCAACTATATCCTCAGCGGCTGACGGCAACGGTTTGTCGGACCGGACTTGTCCAGGATAGCGGCGCTGCGTTTTGCTTCGCTGTTGCTGTGTTGGGTACTTGCTTCCGACTCGTTGAAGAAAAAGGCTGCCTTTCTGGAGATGAAGAAATACTTGTTTGTGCAACTTTACTGGCTGTCTTGGGCCGCCAGGTTGATTCTGTGTTTGCTCGTGGTGTCATGCTCGCCAGAGAATAGTGTATTGACTTCGGTTTCGATGTTGCAAAGTTTGGTGCATCCCAAGCGCTTGATGAAGACTGGGTAAGAATACTTGGAGAACTCTCAGACGAGTTTTTTGGTGCATTATTGACAGCCGACCATGAGCTGAACGGTTTGAAAGCGGCATCTCGTGTCGGAGACGTGGAAGAAGACGGGGATACTCTTTGCTCTGGTGCTGTAAAGCTAGATGGCTTCTCAGTCAAAGAGGTTTGTTGTTGTGCGTGAGCTGGTTGCCGAAGGTCGAGGTCTAACCTTGCCATACCCGCTTGAATGTCCGCACCTCCCGCTGGCTTTGAGGATGAAGATACAGTCGCCTTCTTCTTGACCTCTGTTGTACAGCCAGGAGCAGTCTTGGGTCTTGTCAATAAAAGTTTTGCTGCGTCCAAGTTGACTGCTCTCCACCTCGAGGCTTCCACCGCGGGGATCGATTCTGAGCCGACGGATACAGCGGTAAACGCCTTTCCATTTCCCATTTGCACAAAAGAAGTTTGCTCTTCATTGGCGCCAGGAGTATTTCTGGTCCAGAAAACTTTGGCCGTTTGTCGTGGCTGCTGATTGTTTGGGTCCACAGGAGCTGGCTTTTGTGCAGGAATTGCATCTTCCACTGGCGTTTGCCGGATCGATATAATATCTTGCACTCGATTATTTTGTGAAGTGTCTGGCGGCGGGGCACTATGTATTTTCGATTGTTGAGACGGGGACAGAGTACGCGATACACTACAAGAATCAAGTATTGTCCATGCAGTCGCCATTTGCTCTGCATGTTGTTGAACATCTGGTCCGATGCTCATAACATTATCCTCACCCTCTTCATCCTCGGAGTCTTGAATGACTCTGTCGCTCCTCGGTGGGATCGGTGGGATCGGCCGGGGGCTTCTGACTTTCCTACGTTCAAATCGTCCGGTCTTGGGATTCCTGGCAGATCCCGGGCCTCGTTCTCTCACGGGTCTTGCTGGAGTGTCTGCCCTTTGCCCGACGGCCCTTTGCAACCACCGAACTCGCTCCTCCTCAATCAATTCCCGCGCTTGCGAAGACCCACCCGGGATATCAAATCGGGGCACGTTACGGAATTGAGCAATGAGTTGGTCACAATCGCAATGCTCTTCCGGAATCCAAGTCAGTTCGGTATAACCAACCCAGCCAAGGAGGTAGTCGTGCATCCCACGACGAGTTCTATGAGCAATCACCCGTTCCACCTCAAAGTCGGCGAAATCATCGTCATCACTTTCATTGTCGTCGTCATCCTTTTCGACCGATGGAATCAAGTTCTCCAAAGGTTCGTCTAAATCCATTATGTCGTCTCCAAGACCGTTCTCGCTATAGGTTACTGGTTTCCGAGGTCGCAGACGACGCTTTGCTGACAATGTTGCGGCTTCATCACCTTCCTCCCCAGACTCGGATTCTTTCCTTTTGTTCGATCTAGGGGAGCTGACTTGTCCAAGCCGCGGAGGAATGGTTTGTGGAAGGCGAGGTATTCGTTGGCAGGCAGATACCTGAGGGTTTGCTGAAAGTTGTCGAGAAATCGGGTCGGCATTCGAGGCCACGGTTGGTCTGATCGCCAGGGCTGCAAATTGTAAGGTGAAAAAAGGGTCGTTCCGATTTTGCACTTGCGGCTCGTGTTCATCATCGTCGTCATCTTTGGTAAGGTCGATAACGAGTGGACGTGGGCGTGGAATTCCCACCCTCCGCTCTTCGTAAACGAGCGACCGAAGCTCACTTGGGCGTATTCCGCAGCCCCTCACGGGCACGGGAGTTGCTTCAAATCTTGGAGCGAGCATCATGAGAAATGGGAGTGCTAAAGGGCGCCGTTGTTTCGGCAGCGAAGGAGGTGAGGAACCAGGTTTTTGTATCCACGCTGTGAGCAACGTTGTTTAGAAGTTGAAAGTCTGACAACAGATCAAGTTGGCTCTCGAGAGTGCTTGAAAAGAGAAGATAAAAAGCTCCCAAGAAAATGGATGAGAAGGAGAGAAGTTGGGAGGGGAGACTCGAGAAGTACTTCCCGACTGCTGGTGGCTTCCTCAAGCCGACTTCCAAATTCTCCGAAAGCCCCCCACGGTTCACACCTGGGTTTGATTGACCTCTCCTCAACCCTTGCGGAACATGCAAGCCGGTTTCCGACAACCATGTTGCCGGAACGCTCCTCTGATGCCCCGGTCCAACAAGGGAGAGAGAAATTTTGAACATTCAGACGGCATATCTCTTGACCAGAGCACACATTTCCACCCTTGGTAGAACTATTGGGTGAGCAAGGGGATTCTCCAGGAGACGCTGGCGCTAGCAGAAACTTCTCGAGCATGTCAGTGTCCTTGAATGAGGGGGGGCCTATTGTGATTCCTGTTTGCCGTGTTTACTCCCTGTTTTCTTCCCAAGCCACCGAAACGCCAAGGCTCCCGGGGTTTCTTTTCAGTTTAGATCCCATGGAACGAGTGGCTTTTGCAAGGCATGCAGTATCTGAAGGCATTTGAGCTGTCAACTCCTTGGGTTCGTGAAGCAGGCAAAAATGAGGGGGTTGGTCGTTGATCTTCATCTCCCACCAGCGGGGCACACACCGAGACGCGTTTGACGCGACTTTTCGCGAGGATCACCCTTAAGCGAACCTTCCTCCACGCCTCCAATTTCAAGTCCTCGTAAAATTCTATTTTCTGCCCCAAAAACTTGATTGCAAAGTTGCACTTGAAGAAAAGGGGGAGAGCTTTTGAGCATAGTCTGGTGGATACCCCAATTTCCTCATTATCTGTAGTGCCAGTTTGAGAGATCACACGCGGCAGAGCGGACGGCAAGTGCTGAGCGTAAACGCCACGAAACGTTTTCAATACCAGTTTGGCGGAGCATTCCAGGATCAGTTATCCTTTCTCGATCTCGGTATTTGAAACGATTATTGAATGTGGAGTTGCACAGGGGATCGGTGTCCCTTCAGCCTTGGAGAAAGACATTGGTCACGTGCCATTCGAAAGAACGGAATCCTGTCTTCATTCCATTCCTTTCTTCAGGCTTATGGTTCCGATCAGGAGTATGCAAAGTCCTTCATCGCGAAAGGTGCGTGCCGTTATGTACAAAATGTTGCATATTTGAGTATGAGAAAGCTATCATCAAAATGAAATTTCACAACAGGCAAAGCCATCACAAGCATCCTTAATCCTGCTCCCAATCTTATAGCAATACCTGGAATCTCAAAAACCCTTATAATTCTTATAAACTCGATAAATTTAGTGTATTATATATGCTAAGTTCTAAAAACCCGCTCTTCGTCGTCCTTGGCCATGAATTTCGAAGCGTACCTCTTGCTTGCAATGTGATCGGGGGATGCATCTCCTAAGAGTTGAACAATGAGACATAGATAGATGCTATAATTAAAAGAGGTCATGAGAGAAAGATTTGAGATGCATTTTCTGGGCTTAGTATACTTACAGGACAAATAACGAAAGGCTCAGGTTGTAGCAACCTCGCCAACGCTCAAATCTTCCATGATGCTTATCTCCCCAGCCGTGTAGATAGAGCTTCCTAAGGATATGCCCAAGTTCAGAACACAAACCCGAAATGTGACAAGCAATTCGAGACTCGGGACCGGTTTTGGGGGTTCTTGAGGGCGTGTTAGCAGCACCAATGCTGGGTTTGCAATTGCAGGGTATCAAACCTCTTCATCCTCTGGCCCATACCAGTCGAACAACACCATCTTTGGTTTTCTCGTGGGTCAAATTGCCTTGATGAACATCGCCCCGGGGACCCATATGCAGAGTTAATCTCAGCGCCTTGTTTCTCTCCTTTTTCTCCACCACCACCTTCATTGACTGTGTGATCACGGAACTTAGCAAAACCGTCGGAGGTCGATGAGGTCGCCGTTGTATCATCTAGAAGACAGTGTATCCATAAATTTGGATCCAGTTTATCGGGGAACGCAAGGATGCTTTTCCTAGAAATTAAGCGGACAAGTTGTTCGAAGACTGTATCGCGGAAGTGATCACATGGTGGTTTGCGATTTCCGTTGCAATTATTCTGTCAGTAGAGAACCCATCCCAGTAATGTGACTAAAAAGTATTACCAAACAAGTTCTCTCTCCTTGGATTGACAAGAATTGTGATGTTCATGTAGTGCATCAGCTTTGTGAGTAAACAAACCGGATTTAACGGACTTTGAAAATAGGACCGATTTTTACCCCTATTGGCAGTTCGCTTAAGGACATGATCATCACGGAACTGATTTCCCCCACTGAGGAACCTCAAAAGATGACTGGGATTCTCCTAGGTCCAGAGAAGAAAACTGAAATAAGTGAGGTTAGTTCTCCTTGCACGTTATTCAAGAGTAATTATATAATGTTCGCTTTCACGGCGACCCCTTTATCTCGCCTAAAAAGGGGCGGGTCGAGGCGATCGTCTAGTGATGTTGCTTATATCAGCCATTTCATCCCGGCCGGCAACGGTAATGCGTATTGGGGAACTCTCTCTCCGGCGGCGGCCTGCGAGATCTCACATACTGAACCGGGTTGGGTTTTAAGGGGACAGGAGAAACATTTCCAGAGGAATGAGCATTTCAAAAATAGAGGTGTGAACAAAGAATAGATATACTCGTCTTTAAAGGTACGAAAAAGCCGCCTCGCTGAAATTCAAGTCAAAATCTATTGATTCCCTTCTCCACTATAAGTAACTTTCACCGTACTCGAATTCGCAATACGGCCCAAACCATTCGCCTTCCCACTCCCAAAATCAACCACAGCGACCGTCAGACTCGAATCACCAACCTGCACTTCTGTTGAAGCAAATTTTGAGGTTCTGCAAAGAGCATATAATTTATGTAAATCAGATAGTTTACAGGGTGCCCAAAATCAGAATTATATCCTTACGCCGTCAAGTGGAAACCAGTCATTTCAACAAACTTTCTTCCCCTCAATGCCAGCTCTACAAGCCCTTTAAACATAGAATTTACCAAATGCAACAATTGGTAATGATTCGACGTCTTCAAGAATAAAATCAGGAAATCGCAATTTTGATCGTTTTTCAACCACCGTGAGCTTTCGGTCTTGTTTTTTGCTCCGGTCGCTTATGACGGTGTTTATCGTCCTGTGGTTTTTCATCGTAATGGAGATGGAAATTACGGCCTTTCAAGTAATTGGGGGGTGAACTTTCTCTTTGTCCTGAGGATACCACTGCCACCATGCCCCAACTGTTAGTCCCCCTCGTTCCTCGGGTTACAATACCAGCCTGCAAATGACTCCGGCCGTTGTATTTGCGAACCCTCTATCGTCTATGAAACCCACCCACTCAGGCGCGTCGTCTGTGCTGTGGTTATCGGCTTTTACTGGCATGGATGGTTTGATGACTTCGAACTGCATGGAGATGGAAGCAAAGGATTGGTTGTTGGTGCGACCATCCATGCGCCAGACCAAGTTTGAGAGGTGCCGTTTGTGGAGGCGTTTCTCTCTGATGGATGAGGGATTGAAGAGGGGACGCGGTCTGAGGTTGAGGGCGTTGGCTGTTACTGCTATGATGAAGAGGGCCGAGAGCCTCATCGTCAGAGAGAGAGAGAGTAGTCGTGAGCGTTGAAACAATCATTGAAGTGCTTAGAGAGGAATATTTCTCATCTGAAATCATCTGAAATGAGTTAGAGATTCATGATTAAGCGAGTGCGGAGTCGAGATTGGTGCTTTGAGTCTGAAAGCAAACCAGAATATTGGGTCGAGGAAACACTTTGTTGTGGTATCCAATTTGTCATATATATAAGTATGGCGGTGGGCGAGGTTGTTGGCTCTCAGGCCGGTCTCCCTTCCGTATGAAGTAATCTGATGTATGCTGTACGAAATTGCTCTCCTCCAAATGATCTTGGGGGTATGATTGGCTCAGCCGCGATATCGATGTTCCGTTCATCAAACAGGCCATTTAACAAGAATCTTCCTCCAATCAATATCCGTACCTCATAATACCAAGTTACCAGTTGTTTTAGATAATGGGACGATGTTTGTAAGGCCAAGTGGTTTAGTATCTTCCCAGTAGGCGAGGATAAATTAGCGAGCCCCTGAATGCGATTTCAATTCCTTGACTGCTGAATTGGAGGTGTTTCTTTCTCGCGCTCAATGTCTTCCCGGTCGCTACTCAAGTTGACGGCCTCTTCATTAGCCCTGGTATCTAACTCGACCCTTCGAGCGATTTGCAAGGCGACAAGGCGAAAGGGAAGCATCTCAGTTATCTGCTGCAACTTAGCTTGATACTACAAGAATTAACAGATTTGGGAAAGAAATACTTGTTAGTGTGTTAAGAGAGCTAAAAGACGATTCCTAAATCTTGTGTCAAGTCTCTTTAATTGCTGTATTCATTCTGCTCTCCTGATTATGAATTTCCGTTAAAGTGTTGAAGGAGGCACGTGCCCCGCCTCCTTTCGCAGTTTCCATTCTGTTTTCGATGCGGCTCGGCAACCCCTATCACGTCAGCCATTGAATTGCGCAGACAACCAAAAGTATTGCTGCAAGAATTGGTGAAATTAGGCAAGAGATCACTGCAAGCAACCTGGGAAATTGGCTCTGTTCTTGCAAAGCCCAACATCTTCAGGAGCCGGCCGACTTTGGATCTCAAAACTGCAAATGGAAGATAGCCGTAAGTTCCTGCTAATAGATTTCTAGCATGCAATTTTGACTGTTTAATCTGCATCTAGCAGCTCTATTTTGGAGCCTTTGCTGCAGCTCGGAACGGAGCTTCGTTGAGGTGTTGGTCGTTTGCTTACGAGGCGGACCACGTGATTTGGTTCCGACTCCCGATTTCGTTTGCTTCCTTTACCTCTTCCGGCTCGCGACAGCATCTCCCACTTCTTTCTCCTTTCAACCCTTTGTTCGTCGCCACTACTACGTCCGCATCTGCCAAGGCAGCCACCGCGTTTGTTCAGTAGGTAAATAGGCCACCTCCTCCTTTTCGGGAGACTACTCTCCTCACCTTACTGCGTTCCCAGAATCATCTAAAGGTCACCTTCAAGATCCTCACCGGAGTTGTGTCGAGTCGCCCAAAGTAACCTCCGTCTCTCGTCAATACACCAGGAAGCTTTCCACGCCGAAGGATTGTAAGTAACCATCCTCCCGCTTCTTCTAGTCTCTTTGCAACCCTTCAAAGTCTGCAGCACCCAATTCTCCAGAGACGCGAAAGCGAGAATAGCCACCAATATCGAGATCAGCACGCGAGACCTTTGCTCTGCTTATGCCCTGACCCGAGACTCCTGCTAACACGCGCGTTGCACGCAGATCAAGTCAAGATGGCATGCAAGCATCTCAATAAGGTTCGCTTGGGCGAGTGAGTAAATCTTTGATCCCAAGACGCGTCCCGCGATCAGGCTAATTCGTGTAGTGACATCGGTGAAGAGATGCTTTCCATCACGGTTGGTGGAAACGAGACTGGGATATGCCGGCAGACTCTCCTCTCCATTTTCTGAACTTGGCTGACCCTCCATTCAGCGCCAGACATTCTCGATTCACAAGGGTCTCTTGAAGAAGGTTACGAAGTATTTCGACAAGATCATCGCCTCGGAGGATGGTCAGAAGGGCATGATCCTCATGAAGGACGAGGATGCTGAGATCTTCAAGATGTTCTATGATTGGCTCTACACGGTATGGCCCCACGAACAGCGTGACTCGAGCTCGAACTGACAAGCGAAGGGCAATATCCCCAAGGCTCCGACTACATTCAGATTGAGTAGGGCTGTTTCCGAAGCCGAGATGGAGCGCCATGAGACTGAACTTCTTGGCCGATTCGATGCCCATGTCCGAAAGCTCTGCCAGCTCTACTGTCTCGGAGAGAAGTATGAAACCGAACACCTCCTGAATAATACTATCGACACAATCCAGGATGCCTTTCACGAGTATGGAACCGTCTTTGGACCTGGCTTGATATTGTTTGTCTTCGAAAAGACACAAAAGGGTTCCAAGCTCCGCGAACTCTGCATTGCTGCCAACGTCATCCATATTGATAGGGGCTGCGGTCAATTACGTGAAGAGCTCATGATGGCTGCAATGTTGACTGAAGACTTCCTCTCCGAGATGATGAAGTGGATCTCCCGCAACTTCGTCATGTTCGGTCGTCGTCAAGCTGAAGGATTTAATCCCGCGAAGCCTACCCAAGGTTTCAGCAGTAAGTCACCCCACTTGCCTGTCAAAGTAAGATCCACTCAAGAACTCGACCCATGATAGTGCTCAATCGCAAGAAGCTCTGCCCTTGCCACTTCCACAAGCACACGTCTTCCAAGGACGCTCACAAAGGCCATAAGAAGTGCGCCGTTCCGTACAACAAGTGTGGCCATTCCGAGAAGGACGATGACGGAAAGATGGCTACACCTATGGACGCTTTGAATATCTCTCCACAGTAGCATGCCTATGTCTTTATGGTGTCTCGTCATCTTTTGTGGTTGACATTGAGACGTTCGGAGAGCTGTCGTTGATTCTTTGCTACGGTAATGATGTTATGAAGATTGAGGAAACGTTGGGTTGCTTTGCTGAGGAATGATGCCATGGGAGCTGGGGTAATTGATTCGATGCTTGACATGAGTTTATCCGAGCTGTTATATTGATGCGTGAGCTATTGAAACTAGCTTCACTTTACCCTTTTCCCAACCCCTCGTGTAAAATCCTTCGCTTCTGCTTCATGCTCTCGTAGTCGTCAAGTTCACCTCCCTCCCCATGATTCATACAAGTTATGGTAACCCTGCACGTCACGACTTCTAGTGCAACCTCAAATTTCGCACTAGTCCCTATAAATTCAAGTAGACTGCCTCTACATTGCACAAAGGCACTTTAAAATACCAAAAAGGATATTTGAACCCTCCACTGCTAAACCTCAAGCTCTGATTCAATACCCTGCCCTGTTTGTGCCCACCAAAACATGTCCGCATCAATGTTTAGACTCTCTTCACGTACTACTGTGCTCCTTCATCTCCTCACACTTCTCAACCTCGCCGCCGCAATAACCACAACTCACATGCCATTAATCGCCCTCACTTTCCCACAAAACATCACGTCGACGCTGCGAAACTTCACCGCCTCTCTGACATACGCTCCATTAACTCCTTCAAACATCACCTCGACAACACTGGATAATACGTCCATCTCTATCGCGACAAACACTAGTTTCCTCTCCCAGAGCGCTGCTCTGCCAATTCAATACACATCTTCTCCGCTACAGGCTACTACGACGCCAGCAATGCTTCCGAACTCCAGCCTCTCGACGTCGCCAAGCCCTGCCCTACAGACAGCAACATCAGCTGTTCCTCCACCGCCTCCGCCAACATCAATAAAATTATGCAAAGACGCATGTCCAGGAACAGGCAAAGTCTGCGGTTCCCGTATGAAAGGAGATTGTAAAGCAGATACATTGTACTCGTGCTACAATAACTGGGATCCGCCGTTGGAGGGGGAGGATAAGGATTGCAGTATCGTGGATGGGAAGAAGGGTATTTGTAAGTAGGTTCAGCAGGGGTTCTGGGATCGGTTTAAGGGGAGTTTTAAGGATGGCTGTGCGGCTGGTTAGGGAGAGGTGGCAGTTGGGATTGAGGTGAGGGAGAGAATGGGCGGGACGGTGATGTTTTGCAAGTAATTGAATAGGGAGAGGAACGTTTGGAGATTGTCAGGTATTAGAAGAGAATCAAATCGAAGCGTTGTCTTGAGCCTTTGTCTATAGAAGGGCAAGACTTCTACTTTGTTTCATCATCAAAGTATAGAATGGGTTAATTTGTGAAGTTTTGAAAGTACGGATGCAGTTCTGAGATACGATAAGAGACTTGATGTGCTCAAGTCGTGTACGAGCTTTATTGACCAGATATTTGGTCAAATAGCTACTTAAAGAAGCCTTCTTTTATGCCCCTAGCATACCCTAGTCTCTGAGCCCGTGATTCCGCTGCTTCTATGCGGCCTCGCGTCTTCCTCAAAACTTCTACTTACAGAGGAACATGTAATAGAGTTTCGAGTCAGGCCAATGGTTAACTTCATTGGGACCGTAAATATAAGCTGACTCGCAACGCTTCAACGATTCACAGCAACATTGTATCTGCAGCAACTGTGAATGCCGCCAGCTCTTTACACAATCTTCTGCCCTACCGCGGGTATTAAATCTTGGTGGCCAGCCTGTTTCTCGGTGTGAAAGCTTCAATTTCCACAGTTCTTCAACACACAAACTTCTGACAAATCTCACTTCGCGCAACGCTTTCTCTGGGCAGCTCATTTAGCACATATCTTCCTTCAAAAACTCCTCAAAATCTTTTGAAACTTTCTCAAGCGTCAAAGATTCTTCGAAAGGCTTCAGCTCATCGAAGCAAAAGGACTTCCCGGACCCCCTCAGCAATGCTACACCACAGCACCAAATTCATCATTGTACCCGAAAGCCTCTCAACAATGCAAATTCCAACATCATTTATCATCTTCCTCTTCTTCACATTCCTCACACTCGCAACCGCAAAGAACTCCACTCACAACCTCACAGCCACAATCCCAGAAATGGCCTCGGCCGTGAAACTATCCGCAATCGCCGAAATAGCTTTAATGGCAAAGTCCTCTCCCTCCGACATCAATGGAACATCCACTTGCCAGTGTCTCCAGCCGGGCATCTGGTGCGGCACACGTTCAGGCAACGGAACCCTGAACGACATTGTCAGGGGACGTCTAAATGGGACTCAACATGGCGATCACAATGCAACAAGACCTGAAATTAGACAGCAAACGCTAAATGGGACGTGTGATTGGGATACGGTGTATTTGTGTCCGCCTGAAGCGGACCTCGCTCAGAATTCTTTGCCTTGCAGGGAGGACGCGCATGCCGTTAAGAAACATTGCTGGGAGTTGGAGAGGAGTTGGATTGATATTTGTGATTGAGTTGTGTCAAGGAGGATTATGGGTGCTGTACTATTTCTTACTTTTGAAGATTGGAAAGGGGAGTTAAGGGCAGTGTGAAGGGATTCGCGGTACATGGATCATTTGAGTTGCTATTTCGTTACTTTTGCTGGGTTTTGGGGCCAGAATTAGAGATGATGTGGCATTGTGAAAGTAATTTTTTTTTCAGGAAGAATTTCTTTGTAGTTAAGAAACACTCGTTGAATTAGAAAACGATGATCTAGACTTCACTTCTGGAAATGTTCCTGGCAAAACCCCGCTTAGTGATAAACAAGGACCACCTATGAATGTAAGATTATCACCGCGAAAAAAACGCTGCTGCACCTGAGCCCCTAATGCGGCTAGCGCGCACATCTCTCACTGCCCGAGTGAAGCCTGCGCCTGGTCGCAATACCCCTTTAATTAATTAGTACAACGATAATGAGCATTTTTCTAATAAAAGAAATTAATAGAGTTATAGTATAGTATACTCATAGTAGCTCCTTATTCTCTGTTTAAGGAAATGCCTTATTACGGGCAAGTTATCTCAAATTGTAATAAAAACTGCTATTACCCCGCTATAAAAACCGAGATTTTGATATTCGCCAGGTAAAATAAACGCTGCCACTCGCGGCAGCGTTTTTAAAGGAAATTGACCCACCAGACCCTTATTCAGAAAATTTGGGTAGTAGCGGAGGGTTAACTAATAAGGATTCCGTATACTTAATTAATTAATTACTAATTGATTACTTATTAAGTAGTCTCCTTACTTCCATTATTACTAATCTTTATATGGCTTTTCTAAATATATCTTTGAACTAGTAAGGAATATAGCTACTCGCGTATTACACCTCCCAGTGGGGAATCTGGCTATTCTCTAAATAAGCTATAACAGTGAGGGATATATGGCTATTCGCGTGTGGCACCTCCTAGTAGGGAATAAATGGCCATTCTCCAAATAAGCTATGCCAGTGGGGAATATGTGGCCATTCCCAAATGGGCTATGCCAGTGGGAATAAAGCTATTCGCGTATGGGCTATGCTAGTGGGAATATATGGCAATTTCCGTGTGGCACGTACTGGTCACGTGCACAGGCAGCGTTTATTTTCGGAATGAATGATTCACACAAGAGGTCTCATATCTGTCTATAAAAGCCTCACTTCGCGAGGACTTACGACTTTCAAACCTTCTCCAAACACTACAAACTTTTAAGCATCTCAAACGGGCCGGAGTTTACTCTGTTCTTACAAGTCAGTTGCAGACACTCCAAACTGCCATCAAATATTTCTCATCTTGGCAAACTTCATTCCATATCAGCAAACAACAGACACTCAATCACTCCAGGCCTCGAGCACCATTGCACAGAGAAATTGACCCCGAATCACATTTTTCGAGTTCACTTAGTGCCAGTAAACATGCAAAAGATCAATTCACTCTACTTCCTTCTCATGCTCGCCTTCCTCACACTTGTCACAAGCTCACCTGCCACCAACACAGGCCAAGGAGGCTCTCATTCAACCAACTCAATGGAGGCAAGAAGCAGCTGTCAGTGTATTGAACCTGGCCATTGGTGCGGCACTCGCACAGATCAGCGCAAGTTGAGCGGCTCCTGCGACCCGAACACGTTATACCAGTGTGGAAATCCCACCAAATCCTTTGACTGCAGGCAAGCCCAAAGAGCTTGTAGGCAGAATTCAGGCCACAAGGGGGATCACTGCGCTTGAAGTTTCTGGCGTTTGGCTCTTGGATATGTGTTGTCATGTTAGAGTGAAGAGGGGTTTGGAGGGAAATTTATTGATTCTCTGCTGGCTTTTTCGTTGCTTTCATGGTGTTTTTGAGGTCTGGAAATGACAGGTGTTCGAGGAGAATGCATGCGCTTGCGTTTAAGGGTTGGTTGGATTGGAACTTAAGGGCTGGTGTACCTGTATGATATCACTGTGTTGTCTTCGTTGGGGCTAAGGGTCCAAGCCGAGGTATAGATTGGGGACCATGGATTATTTGCATGGCTTTCTCGATGGTTTTATGTTGGTTCTGCAGGGCTGGCTATCTGAAAATCATGCCTTGAGCAATTACTTCTGAGTTTTTGTGTGTGTCATGCCAAATTTGTAAGTCTGAAAGACAAGGCATCCTATTCCTTGGTTAAAGATTCACATTCAATTAAACAATTGGCGCAACAGACAGAACATTTTGATACATAAAAAACCACTGTGATGCTAGAGCTGTGTATAAAGTGAACCATTTCCTCATCAATCCCGAAGGCTTCCCATCTCTAATACTACCACCAACATCAAGGCCCCGAGGAAGTCTCAACGTTAACAAGATCCAAGCCCTTGTTCTGCCCAGCCCAAAGACAAAGAAACACTCCAATCCGAGAACCAACCCCAAAACAGTACCGTATCAGCACAATACTCCAAACCACAATGCACAACCTCACCTGAATCTTTATCGTCATCCTTGCTCTCCACACACTTGCGTCAAGTTCTACATTCCCGGAGCTGGAGCAAAGAAGAGAACCCTGAGAGCCTTGCGAATGTCTCGCTCAAGGCTCGTGGTGCGGTAGCCACTCTGGAAACGGGCAGCTGATTGGGTCCTGTGAATGGGACACCATCTTTAATGCAAGAACGACTCTAGCTTTCCCGGCGAGATCACCGCTTGCGGTAGCGTTGAACAGGGCCGCAGACGCTGTATCGAATATTGCTGCAAATTGACCGAAACGAATCCACAGTTGCAGTTGTTTATTGTGCACGTGGGGGTTGGCGTTTTGATGTGGGTTGCTCGGTTCCTATGCTAGTCGAGAGGTTGCAAGAGTTATGATAGATACAAAAACAGTGTGCCCCTGCCAATCCCTGCAACATCCCTGTTTTGCTCGCGTAGCATTCCTAAAACATGGGTGTACGCCCAAAGGGGAAATAACAGGAGGCCAACTCTGATTAGAATGCATAAGCACCCTCTCTGGGTAAATCCTAGAACGGGTGCTCATGCAATTGAGAATTGGATTCCCTTCTCTTTCCCCGCACTTCGCAAGCTAATTTTTATAATTTTATCGTAAAATAAGGCTTTTTTTCCCGGCTATTCTTTAGCCCCCGGTACACGCACAAAAGGTGGGCAAGACGCACGTCCCTCTGTCCCTTACTTGTAATCGCCTAGGAAGTATATCCTCAAGGATACACGTGCGCTTCCTGTACTTTGTTGAAAATCAGGGGCTGTATACCATATGGCCCACTTTTAAGTGAAGTCGTAATTTCCAGAGTTTTAAGGAAGCTGAGCTTCCATAGAAAAACACCACAATCAAGCTTCAATTCAATACACTTAAGGTATACGTGTGTATACGCTCCTGTGAGGTGCCGAAGGCGCCGAACGGGGTGCCCCTAGCCTATTAAGGTCCTAATATTAGTAGAGAAATAAGCTTTAGAACTCCCAGAACTAGCGCTCTGTCTAGTTTTAACTACGTAGTTTTGGGCGGCGTTGAAGAATTTGAAATTCTAAATTTTGAATGAGACTTGTGATGTTTATTACCCTGTCTACTGCGTTTCTCCATCTGTGGGGTGTTGGCTCAGCAATATTGCAATACACAGGCGCCAATAGGCTCATACTTGCACGCCCGATACCCAGTCCTGGTCTTGAACTGGCTCTCTTTTGGTGCTCCTCATTGTTCCATTCTCTAGCCAGATCGAGTGTTGTGGGTCTGAAACCCCCGCTTCTGCCTTGCTCAGTTGTGGTATTTCCTCAAACCAGCCAGCGATGTCCTGATGTGGGACGATGGGTTGATAGTAGGTGGGCACATGAACGTTTGTGGAGAAGGTGGTTTGTTAGAACGATGTGTACGGACTAAAGGTTGCTTCGTCGTTGAAGTTGAGGTTACGAATTGTCAGTATGATGCCCTTGCATCCAATGAGTACCTTGGCTTTTCTGAACTATATTCCATGAGTTGGGGCTGAGCACCAATTAGCGTAGTGTCCCTCTTCAGCCGGTTTTTCTAACCTCGTATTTGTTCCTTGAAGGGTATTTCGCGAGGAACCCAACATTGATCTTTTATATATATTCCAAATCAGCTCAGAGGGATTCTCAACTTACCCTAGCTTATTTTTTTTGTAAGCTGAGTACACATTAATTTTTCTTAGCAGTTTCCAGAGAGAAGCCGAGGTGGAGCAAGTCCTTGAACTCTTTGAAAATTTCACGTTCAAATTCATGGCTAGTCTGAATTTGTGAAGTCATGGGGACGAGGTTCTTTTGGCAACCCTCCCGAAAGCATGGTCAAAAACAACTACGTTAATAAGTGAAATGGTAAAAGAGTTTTAGGACGAGATTTTTTTCAATACCTTTGACTCATGAAGCAATTTTGGGTGCCGAGCTGTAACCAAACAATCTCCGAGGGCTTTAGTCGAGTGTCAGACTCTAATGAATCACAAGTAACCCATAATTGAGAGCCCAAATCAAGTCAACTCTTGAATAACCAAGTCGCCTAAAGACTTCTTTAAGAGTTTCTGAAAACTCCTTACCTTCTTTCGACGTCTTCTCTACAACAAAACCGAACGAGAACCTATTCTCAAAAAAAACAAAAAGTAAAAAGACTGTCAACCTCTCAAGAGCTCTTAAAGCAAGAACAATCAAAGTCTTTGCTAGAGCTCAAAGGTTCAGTTAGCTGCAATACACCATCGAGAAAATGCATGCAGCAACTTCACTCCTTCTCTCCGTCCTCATATTTCTCGCCTTCTCACTTGTGTTGGCAGACTCCACAACAACCGTAACCACCACCACCCCAATGACGACAACAACCACAATCAAAGTTACCTCCTCAGCGCCTCCAGCTGGCCCTGCCCTTCCCTCCTTGCCTTCAAACACAAACACCCCAAATAAATCCAACACTCTCTCCACTACTCACGACCCATCATGCGCCTGTCTCACCGCAGGAGCCTGGTGCGGCAGCCGCGGCTCAAAATTGCCTCAAGTAGGCCTCAACGGCACCTGCAACACAAATTCACTGTACCTATGCAAGAGCGACGGAGATTAGACACCGCAAGAGTTTCCCTGCACCAAGGTCCTCGAGAGCATCTTCTAGGGAGAGGCGAAGGAGGCAAAGTGTATGGAGGCTATGTTTTACGGTGATTTCCACGATGACTGTAATATGCCGAAGCATGGAGGTTCTTAAGATTAGGGGCGTGTGAATCTTTGGGAGAGGCCTGTGGGAGAGGGGGCCGGGGGGGTTATGTGTTGGGTGTGTTAGGACGGCTGGCGAGGCTAGAGAAGATTGTAATGTATTGTTAATGAGAATGGAACGAAGATTATGAAAGAACTAAATGTGTAAATTTCGAGATTGTGGAATTGCAATGCTGTCTCTAACAGCCAGGCCTACAATACTGTTTTCCCCCCTCCCCTATATCTTTATCTTCCACAGCCAGATCTGTCCCCAGCCAAGTCAATCCCTGCGCAATCTTACCCACTGCACTTCGTGACAATATACTTTAACAACACCCAATTCAACGTGCCCAGCTCAACCCTGTATGCAACAGCGCCTCCCACTCCCTTCCCTCCATGCAACACCACTGAATCCCTAACACTAGTCTGACTCTGACAGGTCCTCAAAGATCAACAGCATCCCACATTCCTTCGCGAGGTCCGCACTTATCCCCCTGCGGATCCTCAGAACACCGATGACTCTCTCCATCCCTATTATAATATGAGTCACATTGGTCTGATATCGGCCCCCCAGTGCTCTCCTTGCAATGTTATAACGTGTTTCTTCCGCAGTCGCCAGTCAAGCCCATGATGTCGGTCCAAGATTCGCACCAGTAGCCGTAAGAGGTGCAGGTGAAAGGTTTTTCATTGCGGAAGTCGCGGGTTAACATAAAGTCTATTGATACCAAGTCGAGGCAGATGAGGAGTAAGAAGGTGAGGAGAGCGAAGATTAAAACGGGTCGTGTTTGCATTGTGTTGTATGGAGGTGATTTATGTTGTGAGAAGAGACAAAGCTTTCGGTTTGTAAATCATGAAATTGGTTTAGGTTTAAGTTCGCAATTTTAGTTCTTTTATTGGGGAGGTTGAGAATGTGAAGCGGAAATTTGAAGTTGTTCAATTAATACCCATTAGTGAGAGGGTAGTGAGTCAAGAACTGAGAGGCTCTTTCTCGTTTGTTCGTAGGCCGTGTTAGTAAACTAAGCAGCTGTGATTCGCCTCCAAACAACCGAGACGGTTTAGAAGATCTTGTAAACGAGGTATCTCCAATAATTGGTGTTCAAAAGGGAGACTAAGAAGCTTCGAGGTTTCTTTTCTACATTCTAGCACCGTTATTTTGGGTATGGGTAATGCTGGGAGAAATATTCTCAGGGGAGGATAGCTCCAGGGTGAAGAGTTGGGGCTAAGCTTGGGAGAAAGCATGTCCTCTGAATGCATAAAGATTCGCCGGATGGTTGGACTGAAGGAAAAAGATACTGAATAAAGAGACATCGAGCATCTTACTCTATCCACGATATCATTTGAATCACTTGGTTCCTCCACATGCATAAAATCTGCCAAGGTCTCCAGTTCGTGTACTCTGGGCCCCCACTTACACAACTAAATACAAGCAGCTGACACATCATTAATGGATCGCAAAAATGTCTTTCAGAATACTTTCAGTATCCGGAACTTCAACTCCGGTTCATATCAAACCATTACCCAACTCTTCTCCCGGACTATCGACATCCAAGTCTCAACGTCTGACGCCATCAAGGCGTTGAAAGACTTTCCAAAAAGAGTGTCGACTTCAAGACTCCAATTACTCCCTCTTCATAAATTCTTCAACAAGCTTCTATCGAAAGGACTACAAGCAACCACATCAACCTCAAGACCCACACTTCCAAAACTCATCGAAATTTGGAACTTCAATTGCAATCCCTTTCACCATATCAATCTATTGAGAATACAATATTGCACGTGAATCCAAAATCTAGCAAGAACTAAGAACAGCAAACGCTCTAAACCTCTTTCCGAAATGGGCTTCACGTCCATCATCGCCGTTCTCACTTCCATCACACTAGTGGCCAGCTCACCCAACGTGGCACCCCCAGAGGACAATTCAAATCCATGCACGTGCATGGAGAAAGGCACCTGGTGTGGTACTCGTGCAGAATCGGGTCAACAACTGCGAGGAGGTTGTCTCCCCCACATGTACCAATGCAAGTTCGTTTGGGGTCTCCCAAGTGTTTATGATCCTTGTCCGAAAAGTGGGCATTGTGTTCAAGGATCGACTCAGGTTCACGGCGGAGACGCTTGTCATGTGTAACCATAAATGAGGCTTTCTAGTGGGGAGTTTGGCTATTCGAGGCAGGATCTGTGTAATTGAGTTTTGTAGATATAAAGCTTCTTGTGCGAAAAAGGCTGAGGATTTTGTAGATATTCGGTTTTGGTAAGGACATTGCATGCGCGACTTTAATGCAAGGACTTTTTTAATTTTGCGATATCTGAAAATTGGATACACCCCCTGCACCAATGCCTCTCCAAAAGACTTTGTCCAATCCATCTCGCCAGCATATGCAGAGAGCTATTTGAGCATTTGGGCTATTAAGAGCATGTTGAAGAAAATGCCGGTCTTCTCGAAGGTGGGAGTGAAATTTGATGTGAAATAAAGACAAAGAAACGCGGCGCATTCACCTGGATTACTTGGCTTGCCTTGCGTTTCCTATTCATTGAAGATATTTTGATTTCGTTAACTTTGGGAGAAGGTCAATTGTGATAATATCGATATGTGGAACTTCTTTAGGAGTCCATCGCGTCCAAAAGATAGATACCTTCAAGTGAACCGTGTTTCGTGGAGGAGTGGTGCAATTTTCATAATGAGAACCCATGTTCAGAACTAACGAGCCGGTGGGCAGTAGTCTGTGCGTTCAGGCCTGTTTTCGGGCATTTTCAGGCTTCGCAAATTCGCTTACAGGCCTTGGAAAACTAAAGTCTGCTTAAATACTTAAAAGTTATAAGATAGCAAGGAATAGTCACGACTTAATATTTAGGGTAAGAGAAGTAAAGTAACTAAAGCATAATTTGATTAATTAATTTTTAAAGATTTGATCGTTTGAAAATTTTATTTGTTAGTAAAATGCCCTGAGCGCACAGACTACTGTCGGGAGGCTCGTAAGAGACAGCGAGGAATAGAGGCAGAAGCCACAAGCGAGCATTCCACAATAGGGGCTCTTTAACCACAACAAATCCTTGCCACATATTGCGGCTTCAAACGTAGACAGTAATTTCCGAGCAAGAATCGATGTTTTCTTCTAAGCAGAGTGACACAAATGAAAAGCCAACTTCATCTACCCGTATTCAATCCCGACAAGCGTCACGGCTCTTTTGGGTGTTGTAATTGGAATGAGTACAATTTAAATCCCTTAACGAGGAAAAATTGGAGGGCAAGTCTGGTGGGCCTCAGTCCTTGCTGACGCCAGAAATAGGTGGACTTCACACTAGTCGAGCACCCGCAACCTGATGGGGGGTGCCGGCAAGACAACCTGGATCGGGGGAAGCTACCGGCGCAAATGAAGCCTATGCTGATCCCGAGCGGAGCCTCTGAACGGGGCCCGCGTAGAGCGCGCAAAGGTGTCGGCTGCCTCTGAAGAGGTGGCTTAAGGTACGTGCCATACCCGTGCGAAAGCACGCCCACTGTTCAAGCGCCATCACGCGAAGACAGGGGAGAGCAGCGACGCAACTGCTCCTGTATTTGAATAGGCCAGCAGCCGCGGTAATTCCAGCTCCAATAGCGTATATTAAAGTTGTTGCAGTTAAAAAGCTCGTAGTTGAACCTTGGGCCTGGCTGGCCGGTCCGCCTCACCGCGTGCACTGGTCCGGCCGGGCCTTTCCTTCTGGGGAGCCGCATGCCCTTCACTGGGTTTGTCGGGGAACCAGGGCTTTTACTTTTAAAAAAAATTGGAGTGTTCAAAGCAGGCCTATGCTCGAATACATTAGCATGGAATAATAGAATAGGACGTGTGGTTGGATTTTGTTGGATTTGAAAACCGGGGTGTCGCATGCAGTTCACAAGCGCAAGGATTTTGGTGTCACAGGAAGGTTCATCGACTGAGTGCGACATCTGGCAGGGCGATAATTTGGATCTATTGCAAAGCTGTCGGAGCGAAATCCAAGTTGGAGGAAGTGAGAGGGGCTTCTCGGGGTAGAAAGGAGGGCCGGGCGACTTTTAACCGATTCCGAGTCCTGTAAATTTAACCTTCTGCTGAATGCTTTCTCTATTTTCTTGATTCCCAGACTTGATTCTTATGCCATTGTCTTTGGGCAGTGGAGCACAATCAGTCCGGCGATACTTAATTTTTTAGTGGCAAATGAGCAACCTCACTCCCAGGCCAGAGCAACAATTACCATCTAATCCTTTCTCGTTAAGGGATCCAGAGTGTATTCGTTCCAATTGAAAGACACCAAAGAGTCCTGTGACTGTATTTATTGGCTCTTACCCTCCCCTGCCGGCATTGGGTATGAGTTAAGTTTTGTCTGATAATTCTTCACTGAGTGGACTGCATTTTGTTTGCAAGGAATTTTATGTATTCGCAACCGGGATATCGTGAAAATTTTCTTGGTTGAGAAGCCTTTTGTTTGAGGTCTCGCTCTTAAATGTTGACCCCTATCTCTCAACTTGCCTCTCCTTCACCTAAATATTCGCTTGCAAAATTGTGCACCGCGTATAATTCCTCTATCTAACACTTTTATCACCTGTTTTTGTTGCACATTGCATGCGATTTATATGCTCATATTGCGATCTAATGGAGTCGAGTCGACGAATTGGCGGTTCAATCAAAAGAAAAATCCCCGTTGACCCACCCCCTACCGCCACCAATTCCCTTCTTCCTTGGCCTTCCTTTTTCGAGTGGAGAAGGCAGTCCCGACTCCCGAGCCGCATGCTCCCGATACTCCCGGTTTCCCTGCTTGAACTTCTCCCGCAACGCCCGCAGCTCTTCCTGAAACTCCACCAAGTCCCACTTCTTCGCGAACTTTAGCAATTCTCCCTTCCTGCTGATGTCCGCATTCTATAGCCCCAATAGGGCATGGGGCCGCGGAAGGTCTCGAGCAAGGTGTTCGAGAAAAAGCTTGAAGGTTTCAGTGCTCTCGGGGATGCGGTATGCCCTCCTCGGTGTTCGGTATGATCGCTCATCACTGCCGATGGGTATGGGAACAAGCTCCGCGTATCTGAATATCTTCTTGAAGACTTCCGTCGCCGCGTCGGTGATCTCGAGAAAGCCGTCATGCACGCGGACTTGGCGGTGGTCTGGGCCGACGTCGAAGTTGATGAAGGTTTGGTTCCAGTTGCTGCAATGCGTCATTTCAGCAGTTAGTAGAACAAACAAGTCGAGCAAGTCAAACGAAGGAAAGTCGATGGAATTAACAGTCAACGGAGGACTTACTCAAGGGAAAAAGCATCCAGAGAGAACGGTACGGCGCCCTCATACATTAGATGTGGATCCGGCTCGTCTGGGTAAGCCAGGTGCTGGTGAGGTGCTCTCTTGACTTCAAGGCCCCTGATAAAGATAAGTCAACAATAGGGATCACGTCTCGAATTGGCTGCATCACTTACTCGGTACAAGAATGGTGTGACCCATGGTATCCAAGGTGGATCTCATCTTCGTCTCTATCAGGGCAATCTGGAGGACATTCATGCCAATTCGGGTCCGCGCAATGATCGGGGTGGCATTCGGGGCCCCAGAGATGATACTGAACCGCATAGAGTGGTTCCTCAGCTTCCATTCTCCGTTTTGCTTCCGCCACCTGCCTCGCTGCGGCTTCTCTCCTATTCTGCTTCTTGATTTTGCGCTTCTGTTGTCGCTCGATGATCGCAGCAACGATAGCTGCATTCGGTGAGCCGTTGCGCTGCCGTCGTAGACCCGTGCTGGCTCCATTTGAGGCCCACTTGCGCTTCATTGTCCGTATCGACTTCTCCCTCGCAGCATCCTTCTTCCTCTGCTTCTTCGCAGCCTTCCTCGCCTTCTTGTCCATGAACACGGGAACATCATTCAAACCTTTATCCGCCACTTCGTGCTTCATTTCCCTCTTCACCAGCGTACGAGACTCGGTTGGCGTGGAGATAGATCCCGTCTCTTTCTTCTTCTTCTTCTTCTTCTTCTTCTTCTTCTTCTTCTTCTTCTTCTTCTTCTTCTTCTTCTTCTTCTTCTTCTTCTTCTTCTTCTTCTTCTTCTTCTTCTTCTTCTTCTTCTTCTTCTTCTTCTTCTTCTTCTTCTTCTTCTTCTTCTTCTTCTTCTTCTTCTTCTCCTCCTTCAAACCCGGTCTCTCTCGTCTGGTCGTCCGGTGAAGATCAATATCCGTTGTGACCGGCTGCTCGTCAACCCCCATCGACGGTGAATCAGCTGCTCTCTCGAAAGGAACCTTGGAGAGCTTGGCCTCAGAACTTTGACTGGAGGGCCAAATCTGCGAGATGAATCTCCTCATGTCGGACTGCTGCCTCGTGATTTTGCAATTGCAACAGAATTGGGGGATGTTGGGGGGCGGGGACGCGCCTCCAGCTCCGTCGCGTCGGAAGTCCCAGCGCATGCACGGGCTGCAAGCCACTGCAAGGTCCCGCTGCGAGTTCGGCACAGGTGCCCCGGAGTCGGGCACCGGGGCGCTGAGACTGGGGGTTTTAATTTCCGGGGTGAAACAAGATGGCGCGCTTGACTCGTGAACGCGTGGGAGACTGAGGCGATGTGACTCTGATTCGTGTGGATTCTGGTGGCAAGGGGCCAAGGGGTTGGAACGAGGTCTGTAGAGAGAGCAAAGGCAGAATAGTGGAATTGGAGTGGGATGATTTTGGGGAAGATTGGAAGGTCGACTTGGTATTGAAAACCATCTTGATCATTCCATTGCACATTTTGTCAAGTATTGGACTTTGGAGCGAGAGAAAGATCTTCCTTGCAAGATGTCTTCATTTGGTAATTATGCTCAACTCCGATGATAGCAATGGGAACCAATGTGGCTCAACCTTGGGCAGAAAATCCTCGAAAACCGAACTCTAAAGCAAATATGTAGCAATGGTATGAATGCGCTGTTCTATCATACAATTTTTCCTCGCATAACGGCGAATGCTCGAACGATGAAGCATCCATGCTCTGGCATGCTAACATACGAAAACAAAATCCGTCCCCTCTGCCCGGCGTTTCCAGCAATACTTATGCCAAAGTGTGCTTGGCGGGAGAAATGACGGAAAGAGAGTTATGCTGGCGCGGTGAAAGCCCTCTTTTTGGATTTTGCTCGCTTTCCACTGCTTCGAGTCAGGGGAAGGTGGTCCTCAACCCGCTCCGAAGCAGTTTCCTCTCTATCTTCGTCAAAGTCAGAGTCTTTGCCATCCTCTACGGCCTCCATCTCCGAATCAGAATAGATCGGCGGTGTAGACTCCATTTGCGTGTCAATACTACCGTCGACCGGCTCTGGCGTGAATGCTTCGTAGAGAGTCGTCGGGGTATCAGCGCGATTGTTGGCTTGTGAATTTGGTGATAATTCATAGATGGGAGTAGGAGTGACATGGTAGTCGCCGGGATCATCTTTCTTCGGATTCTTGGCCTTGATTTTCGTCTTTCTCATGAGCGAGAAAACATCATATACCATGTCCGGATGCGCTGAAGCAACTTCCGAAAATTGTTCCGTTGTCCATCTCAACTTGTCCTTCGTGGTCGCAATTTTGTGGAGGAACCACTTGGCCACGAGTGCGCGCAGTGGCGAGCCTCGATTTGTATTCGCATAAGCATATGCACACCATTTGACATCCCAACGGGGGCGGCTGTTTCTCAAGTAAGCCATGATGAAGTCCATAGACTCATTCATCAGTTTGATCTCTCCGTATGCTGCTGCAAGACAGTAGAGCTTTATTCTGTTGTAACATTCTTCTGCCGATGTGGTTGTGGTGACTTCAGGGAGCTTAGACTTGTAACACCACTCGATGAGCGTCTCGATCGTGTCGCTCAATTCTTCCGGGAAGTTCAGGATGTGTTCATTTGGTTGTACTCGCTTCAGTTCTTCCTTGAAAGCCGGAATCGTGTCACATAGCACCTTTCTGTGAATGAACGAAGGGAGAATCTGGTCGCCAAATCGAAAGAAGATTGCCTCTGTACCAAGATTGCTGCAGAAACAGTCAGGACGTGTGCGATTTGATGATACAACCAACTTACTGTGCGTAGGATAAATTGATTTGCTCGGTATTTGATGTGCGAATGGAGGGCGCAGCGACAGAGTCCAACATGGACTGAGCTGTCGACACAATGGCAGAGCGGCTGTCAGAACCAGGAAGGGCCTCATTGGCAGAGGCATTTACATCTATTGGGGGAGGACTGGTGTCTACTGTCTGACCCGGCTCGGATTTTGGGGTCGGCCAAAGCGGGAGCATATCAATTCGGTGTCTCTTAGATGGAGTTGGGTCCATGGTGGCATCAGAGGACTGGGGCCGCTTCGAAGGCTTGAGGAAACTCGAGGCAGACATCGGTGGCGTTGCAGACGACTGGGTGACGTTCCTGACCGGAATTTCGACGTGGGAGAGTCCCCTCATTGTCGTTGGGGCAGTGGGCGGGATGTTCTTGGGGAGAATTCTGGTTTCCATCGAGATTATGTCCGGATCACCTCTCCAGCTCCGTTGCTGGTGCTGCGAATATTGTGGGCGCCTCTGGCTCATCTTAGAATTCCACTGCAGCTTCCACGTCGAAGGAAAGTGACGATGATGTCAAGGGAGAAGGAGAAGGAGAAGGAGAACCGCCTGCAGGTGTCAATTGATGTACCCCAACACGTGACGATGGTGAAGGCATAAATTTTGGGGTGGAAAGAAGGACGAAGTTCGCGAGTCGAAGCCGAAGCCGAAGCCGAAGATTTGTGAATTTCGGGGAGCTCTTGCCGGACAGGGGATGGGTAGCTTCAGGGCCGCAGGGCAGCCTCCTCCCTGCAGTTTTAGCGCGCCCACCCCTGCTAGCCTTGCCTCGCCTCCACTGTTTCGGGACGACGCATCTACGCGACTTCCTCGGCTCCATTGTCCACAATCTTCCTCAAAAGGAGTAGAATTGAGAAATCACTGTTGGCAAACCTAAAGTGCTATATCGAGTTCCCAAACGAAAGTTCTTGAGTATTGTGCCGTATCTTGCAGACTGCCTTGGTGGTCTTATGGTTTCTTACTTGATGGGACGCAGGAGCGTCCCCGGTGCGATGGCATTATGGATACGAATCCCATTTGTGCACAGAGTCCCCGCCGACCCGTGGCAAGGTTTTGGGGATGCGTTGGGATGAGGGTGAGTTGGGTTGCTGAGAAGTTGTTCTGCGGATATTAAGCGAGGGAAGCAAAAAGGTGGGTTGTAAGCGAGGGGCCCTGGAAAAGGGGTGCGCATTGACCGCCTGTTTCTCGGGCGACCTTGTCTGAACGACAGCCCTCAAATGAGCTCCATATCCACCACCACTTCTTCTCCCCTCCTCAACTTCGCCCTCTACACAACCGAATTTGACCGGTCTTCCTTCAATTGCCTTTCCAGAAACCATTGAAAGCTTCGCTGTCGCAGGCACATATTCTCTCGAACATCCCGCAATTGAGGCCATAGACGAGAGGGCATTGAAAGCTCCATTATCGGCCCACGCGTGGGGGACCAGCACAATGTCAATTCCAGAAGCTGGTAAAGTTAGCAAGGTGGAAGAGCAACTAGCAGAGAAGCCTCTGCTTCCTTCCAAAGAAAGTAAGGTCGGCGAAACGCCATATATGGAGTAAGCTGGAATTTCCCTTGCGGCGACTTCAAAACTCACGCGGTGCAGTGGTGTCGGCACCGAGATGGTCGATGTCTATGTCGGCCCTGGCAAAGCCCTCTTTCGGCTCTACAAATCCAAAATCTGCGCCCGAATCCCTTACTTCGACAAGATGTTCAACGGCAATTTCAAAGAAGCTTCCTCCAACGTCGCACATCTCCCCGAGGACGAACCCGAAGCCTTCGACTTGCTCGCAGAATGGGCAAACCATCCCATACCAACGAAGAGCCCGAGACGGATAAGGGAATTGGTTACCGTCAAAGACGAGAATGGCGAGGAGATGGACAGCTGGGATGCGATTGGATTCTACGGCTTGGCAGAGAAATTCTGCTTGCCGGAGCTCCAGGACATTATCATGGATATGCTGATCAAATACCACAAGAAAAAAAACGAGCTGCCATCCGTCGATTTCACAAAGCGAGCTCTGGAAGAGACTTCGGAAGGGTCACTGTTGACAGATTATTGCACGCGAGCTATGCTTTATGTGATGGAGGAAGGACAGCAGGATACATGGAAGATTGAAGATGTGGCGGACTTATTTCAGACACCGGACTTCACGAAGAGATACCTCACGCTGCAGTGCGAGGAAGGTGCTACGGATCCACGACAGCTCGGGAAATGCGATTTCCATGCTCATAAGGATGGTTTACCGTGTGCCGCACTACCCAACAACAAGAAGAGGATTGCCCCTGAAAGCGAGAAGGCGGATCAAGTGAAGCGGCTCCGGGTTGAAACGCCAGAATCGGTCGAGCGTTAGTTGGGTTTCGCATCTTAGGCCGACCCCAATGTTCTCTTGGCCATGGTCCACCCAGCGCGGGTCTCCCATCCCCAAAAAGAGGCCACGACGCGGATCGGCGTGGTGCATTTCAATTCAAGAAGTTGTCTGTCCCTTGTGGCCAAGCACCCGTACTGAACAGCGGAGTCTCCCGGTGCCTGGGAGTTCTCGGTAGCTTACTCCCGGTCAAGCTACTGGCCAGGCATTAATGTCATTTCCCACGGACCTCACCCCTACCACATCTTGTCCTGAATGATTCGTAAGGTAGGCCATTGTTTTAGACCATGATCTATGTCGCCAACGCCCCATTGCAAGCCATTCAGGACCCGCGCTTCTTCTGCCAAGTCTGGCACTTTGATCGTTTCCTTCGTTCCCTCGGCTACAGTGGCCTCAGTAGCCACTTTATCAACACCTTAGATACATGCTTCCGTGTAGTACAAATCTACTCGGAGTGACATGTAAGTACCGAGGATATGCCTTCTAAAGGTGTGGTACCACTTGTTTATGGTTTGCAGCGTGCTTACAGGAGAGAAGCCTGGAAATATAGGGGGCTTTAGTGGGTGAGTGTGGTAGAAAGTGGCCTGAAAGTGGACTTGCGGTACAAATGCCCTGTAATCCCGTCACTTTATGCCGCAATCTTCGTACGTTTCCGAGACTTCTTGCGGTTAAATATGGTTTGGCTGGAGAGATTTTAAAACAGACTTGTCGATAGTTTGTGGGAATTGTGCAAGTTTGTAGACGGCTCGGAATTAGGGACAGGCAGACTATGACTTGATTAGAGGCCAATTTTCTCATTTCTTTCCTTGCTCGAGGGCAAGCTATGGTGTTGGAACTGAGTGTACGCCGGTACACTGTAGTTTATATACCAGATGTATGTATAGAGTTCTTACCCCGCGTGAGCTGAAAAATCAAGTCGTCAACCTCCAAAACATTGCAACATGTTGAAATTAGGGGCCTGAGGCCCCTAATAGGCTTACTAAGCCCTGGAACGGAACGCCATGGGGCTGTGTACTATGGGGCTTACCTCGTTAGTACCCTGTACAGCTGGAATACCATGTATAGCTGGAATCGGTTCAGCTGGCATAGGGTAATTAGTGCATGTGATTTGGGGGGTTCAGGGCTATATATACGGGCTACTTACCACTGTAGAGCAGCAGTCAATTCAGTATCGTTTACTTGGTCTACATTGCACGCACGTGACCCTAGCTTTATTATTTAGCTAGTTCAACATATGGGACAACCATACGTATTAAGTTTCAAATGATCCTTAAGCGAGGTTTTCCTCGTTGTGTAGTGAACGAGATACTCATTACCATTGTTGGGAATAGTAGGTAGCATGATCTCCAAGCGTAGTCGAGCTTAACGTAGGCAGGATACTGATTCATAGCAAGGCAGCCGATATCTGGACTAGAATTCTTTGTGGATATTATGCTTCAAGACGGAAAAAGGAAATTTTTTGGGATGCACAAATCAAAGGGCTGAGGGGAGAAGGAAATCGTGGCAGGGAAGACAAACCTTTCAGCGAGGCTACAATGGGTTGATGTGTCTTTCTCAGCAGATGCTGGTAGTGGAACCACGTTGCAAATAATGGCTGACTAGTCAAGCATCTCACTGGTAGATTCAACAAAGTACCCGGCACAGCCACTGGACGCTATTGGCTGGCTATAAAGCTGGCCTCGAACCTTTGTCAAGCACCGCGGGCCGCCATGGGATGTGGGTGGGAGAAACCATTTTTTCTCGATCCTATCCAATTCATTTATATACCACTGAACAATGCCTATTGTCACTTGCCAAAGATTTACGTCAAGTATCAACCTGCCTTTGTCAGTCGGTGGTCAACCCCTTCGCGAGGCTCCTGCACCTCAGTCGCAAGCTGGGCCATAACCAAGCAACCTGACTTGCAACCCGTCGACTTTCGGTCGCAAAAATTCATCAAATCCCTTGGCAATTAGCCTCTTTTCTTCGAAGTCCCTTACAAACATGGAAAGCGAGGCCCACTTTACATATGGCCCGCCGCTGCAGGGTCGCAATATACGGCTCATCCGGATCAAGCTCGGTTCCGAGAAGACTACACTAGAGATCAACCTGGTTGAATGTAGGCTTGGGAGCGTGAAGTTTGAAGCCCTTTCATACGTGTGGGGCAAGCAGGCGATTAGACAGCAGATTAAGTGCAACAGTCAGTCGATGTACGTTGGAACGAGTCTCCTAGACGCCTTTGGCGAGCTGGCTCGCCGCCGGTCGACTGAACTCGTCTGGGCTGATGCGATTTGTATTAACCAGAAAGACGACCAAGAAAAGACTCACCAAGTCCGCATGATGCGCGACATATACAAGAAGGCGCAGAGGGTGATTATCTGGCTCGGAAATGAACAGGCCGGCGATGGGAGAGGATTCGAGCTTGCGCAAAGCCTGTATCAGAAATGCGACGGCGAGAATTACAACATGTATGCTACTACCTACGACTTCGAATACTTTGACTGCGGATCCAAAGGAGTTCCCACACCTTTGGGTGATCCGGGTTGGACTGCACTGTTCGCCATCCTCAGCCATCCCTGGTTCAGTCGGATATGGGTTGTCCAGGAATTGCTAGTGGCCCAAAGATCCATTATGTGGCGAGGAGGCTTGGATTTTGATACCGACGTAATTCTCTGGGTGACGATGCAGATCGCTCGCCATAGAGATCTCTACGAGTGCTTCGATATCTTCATGGGCAGCCCGCCGTGCTCGGCCCTCATGGCCCGCAACATCGCAACAGGCTACCTCGAATATAATAGTTTGGGACCGCTCTCTATTTACGATACGCTTTCGCGGTACAACGGCATGGAAGCAACGGATCTGCGGGACCGATACTTTGCGCTTGCTGGTATATCGCTCCTCGACGCAGGCTTCGTAAACTATGAGAAGTCGTATCGCGACGTCGCTTGCCTGGTAGGCAAGATGGCGCTGCTAGGTTTCCCCGAGTATCTGGTCGATCCAGAGGGCATTGAAGTGTTGCGTTTCACGGAGAAGCCTGAAGCTCACAGGTTCCTTATCGAGTGGCTGGCCTTTCACGCAAATCCCCAGAACCACAATCTCGGCCTCCCATCGTGGATTCCTGATTTGGTATCACCACACAGCCCCGGCTTTCTCATGTCCGGATTCTATAACACCCTATATTTGCAGGGCCTCAAGGAGATCCCATCGCCGAAACTGCGACTGATGAGACAAGGTGCCTACTTCGAGTCCCCCAGATTTTCGCCGCCTCCGTGGATTATACCTGTACCCGACGTAAGGAGAAGTTCAAGCTCTTCCACTGAGAACTTACTGACTAGAGCAATTCAGGAGATTGATATAATGGGGGCAGTGTTCGACCGTGTCGGCAGACTGGCTAGCAAGAGGCCACCGTCACCCCGCCTAAGTTTGGAAGAACAACGACAAATACAAGGTGGTCATATTAATATCAATATCCGGGAAGCAATGGAGTCTGTTTCCCTATACGAAACAAAGATGGTCTATTGGCTTTCGGAGATCAGAACTTTGGCAGACCCGACCTTACAAGCACGGAGCAGCATCCTGTCAGGATCACCGGCGCCTTTCAATGCCTTCTGGCGGGCCCTCGTCTATAACCGTGAACCACAGTTCAACCATCAGTCCCCCAACCAGAAGCCAGCGGACTGGCTCGGCATCAGCTTCGGGTATTGGTACCTGTGGAAGAAGCTGAAGATGAAAAGACTATGGCAGGAGAGTATCCTTCAGGAATTAATTTATTCCCAAATTCTAGAAAGGTTGGCAGCCCCGTTTGATGTGGCTGAATGCAGAGTTCGTGATGCGAGGCGCTTCTTTGTTTCCGAGAATGGCAAGTTCGGATGGGTGCCGCTCAGAACTGAGGTCGGCGACCAGGTTTGCGTCTTCAGGGGGATGAGAATACCCGTAATTATGAGACCACGGGGCGATCGGTGGGAATTCATAGGGGCTTGTTACGTCCAAGGATCAATGGATGGCGAGATCTGGGATCTAGAGGCCTTGGAATGGAGGTACATGTCTTTTGTGTGATGCATGTACGTCTTTCTATCCCTTCTAGCTGAGTGACTTTTTGCTTATTCTAGGACTGTACTCAAAATGAAGCCAGAAGCAGAAAAATAAGATGCCAAAGTTCGATATTGTGAGGACTATCTTAAGCATTATCAACCGAGAAATCCCGATATTTCAACACAGGTGTCTTGATTAAATCGATTTCGCATCGGTTAGGTCAGTTGGTTAACGACACGATGAGAAAATTAATTACCCTTTAAGCCTCAAGCATGGGTATGAAAACAATAACTTCGATTCCATCTCTCCCACCAATTAGAGGTCTTGGTTTGCGTGCGAAGCCTCCACGCCCAGGGTAGGTGTTGATTGGGCTCGTCGTGCAGCCCCCGTGACAGCCCACTTACATTTCGTGCGGCGGCTGCGAGTATCCAACGGCAGCCTCATGGTTCAGATACCTTCACAGCTCCAAAACATTAGGCAACCGCTAGACAATCTCCCAAGTGCCATGGATCGAAACGAGGATAATGCGCAAACTAATCGGAAGTTGGATATCCAGGCACGGCATCACCGGATACACAAAGCGGGCTTCCCTTTACATTGGTGTGACACCTGCTCTTCATCGAACCCGCAGAAATTTTCCAAGACAGTCGAGCCCGAAACGGTGTTGAGTCCTAGTCAGGATGGTGTGAGTGCTCAGGGAGTGATCTCCGGAAGCCCCTCGAGCAAAGCATGCTTCACCTGCGCCAATCTGGACTGGGACAGATATTTATATCGCAGTAAAGATGGACTCGACACAGAACGTCGCTTGGAAATCAGTTCGAAGTCACTTCAGCATTCAGCAACGTCAGGCAGATGTACAGAGTGTTTGATAATATACTCAGGCATCCGTAACTTTGCTGTAACACTTACGAATGCAGAGTACAGACGCCGCCTTTTCAGTTTTGATCGATGTTATAGCGTCGAAATCATACTGAGACGGAACAAATGTCTTCGGGTCCTGGTACATGATACCATAAATGAAAGAGGCCCCTCTCAGTTCGTGCTCGCAGACGCTGGCTTTGAGCGCTTGAGCTCAATCCTTGATGGGGCTGGGGGACCATTGATCATAGAACTTGATTATTATGGGCCAAGCTGTGAGTATGTGAAAAGCTCCCGCAAATTGCAGGTTTGTTGACGTGTTTTATTTGACAGGCCATCCTCTCTCTTGGGATGCTCTCGGACCCACGAACCACATCGTATCGAAATTGACGCTACCAGTCGCATTAGGGTTCGCAAGGTGGTGGATTTCGTTCTGTAAAAAGAATCACGATCCAGCTTCATGTCGCCCAGGAGGTCGATCTCCAATTCTTCCTACCAGAGTCTTAGATGTTGGCTCGACAAGCTGCAAGGTTCGGTTGATAGAAACCCAAGGAGCGAGGGGCCGCTACATGACCATGAGCCACCGCTGGGGGGAACAAATGGTCACAACTACACAAGCGAACATTGGGGCACACCTACGAATTATCCCGTGGGCGGTGCTATCAAAGACTTATCGTGATGCCATAGACTTCACTAAGTCACTGGATTGTCGATATCTATGGATAGACTCGCTTTGCATTATCCAAGATAACAAGGACGACTGGGAGCATGAAGCGGCTAATATGGGGAATATATACTCCAAGTCTTATTTAAATATCGCTGCGAGTCAATCGGGAGAGAGAAACGATGGACTTTTCAATGAACGGTTTCGGCTGGAAGGAATGAAACTCGGCAAGTCGTCAATCGAGCCAGCCAGAGTACATGTGGGTGGGGACAGTATTCTGGTACGCCAAGCTCCATATATAGCCCATGATCACATCCTCGGAAGGGCCCACAGGGTGACAACTGGACACTCGGACATCGGAGGCTCCTTCTCTCCCCTATTCGAGCGAGCTTGGGTGTTTCAAGAACGACTGTTAGCTCCGCGCACCATCGTATTTCACCACGAGGAACTAGTATGGGAGTGTGCCAAAGCAACCTGGTGCGAATGCGGAGAAATCAATAGCTCGTCCACTCCTAGTGCAATTGGGTATGATGAACTGTATCTGAAGGGCCGGCTGACTCGTCTCAATTTTAATGCAGACGGGATCGTTTACTCCAAAGAGCATATGTTTAGCTTTTGGATGGATGCCGTTGAGCGCTACTCGCTCCTTAGCCTCACAAAGGAGTCGGATCGTCTGCCAGCACTAGCAGGCTTAGCACAACGCCTTTCAAAGCGCTTTTCGTGCCGGTATCTAGCAGGAATGTGGGAAGAAGATTTGGCAAGGAACCTATTATGGAGTCGAGATCCATGGCGAGAGACAAGGTCGTGTAACGATCTAAGCGACTACTGTACGCCAACTTGGTCGTGGACGTTTATACGGCTGAGGACAACCAGCAACAATTTTAAATCCTTCATTCGATACGACTACACTCAAGACTATTTTTTCAAAACCGATTCTAGATTTGAGCTCGTGGCCACACGTTGCGAATATTCCAACCCGTGTGACCATTTCGGGCGAGTCAAATATGCAAGTCTTGAGCTCAGAGGAGCTGTCATTGAAGTGGTCCTTAAAACTTACGAGCCAATCAAGAGCGACTTCCTGACTGCCACTATTTTGCACTTTCAAGCTGAGTCAAGTCATTTTCGAGGTGATGTCGGTATGATTCCCTACGAGTCTAGCTTTTGGAAGGTTATGTGGATAAAGGCCCACTGTTTATTGATTGGTCATTCCTGGGCTAAGAATCCAGGAAGTGACAGCTTTGGCCTTGGTCTAGTTCTTAGCAGAAAGTCTTCCGGAGCATATTTCCGTGTGGGATTGCTTGCACTTTCCAAACTCCGAAAGAGCGACTGGTTCAAGGGAGCAAGCATCAACACAGTCATTATAGAGTAGAATTAATATCCCCTTCGAGATCCTAAAACTTCCTATAATCCCACATTATGACATTTATAATACTACTTGGGCACAGACGCAAGCAGGGAACTCTAACTAATTAAAAGCTCAAAATAGCCCAATATTTCCTAATTCAGGGGTATCAACGACATCTCGAGATTAGGGCTACTCGAGTTTATTTAAAGCGTTTAATTAGTTACTTTTATAGGCTTTTAGTAAATTCCTATAGCAGCTAATTTTGGGATAAGCTTAGAGTAATAAGAAAGTAATAAGAGAGTCTCTCATCCATGAGCAAAGACAAATCCATCACACAGGAGGGATATCGTTTCCCTGATGGCCAAGACAGCCAGCTCGAATAATGTTTCCGCCATAGTAGAGAACTCCAATCGCCTGGCATTGTTCGCCATGCCCGACTTGTAAAACTGAACCGCCAGAATTTCCTGTGATGGTTGGTTACAGTTATTTGCAAGGGTGGACAAATAAAGGGACTAACCGCGGCTGGTGCGAAGAGAGTATTTCAATCTGTATTCATCCATCTCGAGATCATGAACTGCAATGGGACATTCGCTCACATGCATGGTCTATCCTTCCTCATGTTTGGGGACGTCACTCGGATATCCGACCACCTTAATCTTGGTTTCCTTGCCTTTTGTTGGAGTCTTGCCCCAAATTATGGGTCTCGCATCTTCAAATGGAGCCTGGAGGCGAAGAACAGCAATTTCGTACTTTTCATTGCTAGCAGCATAACGACCCCAATGAATTCCAGCCGATTCAGAACGCTGATACCCCATTCTGTTCTCGGGTGCGCAGCGTGCCCCTTCGTAACCAATACAGACCAGGACATCGACTGCATGGAATCTTGTTTCCTTACGGTATATGTTATGTACAGTTGTGACAACTGTCCCTCGTTGAACAACCACCCGGACCCCGTCCAATAAGATTTTTGGATCCTTGTTCTGGAACCTCATTAAGATCTCGCAGATGCCCAGTAGCAGAGGATGAGTTTGAAGTTCTCTGATTTGCAAAAGGAGGGGTCATCTTATTTGTAAATCCCGCTCTTCATGAAATCTTGTCCAGGAATATTTGTCAAAGAGACTCTCAGGGATACTATCTACAGGCTCCCCTAAACGTACAGAAGCAAGGTAGTATTTAGGGAGCAAAGGGAATGGAGCCTCTTTACCGGGTGATTCTTCACAGGGGAAAGTCCACCAGGCCACCACTGCAGGATCTTACTGAAGTCGGGAAGTGGAAGATCACTTTGCTGAAGATTTCCTAAGACAAACTTCAGTACATCAAGCGAGGTTTCCAGCGACGGCGGCAGCAAAAGAAGCTTCAAAGACAAGGCGCGGCAATTCGTCGAGACAGTTGGCGCTGGGTGAGGCAGGGCTACGCAACCATCTGTTTGTGTACCTAGCACTTACAAGTGCAATTGGACGCCTCATTCTGGAAGATAATAACATAAGAACCTCTTCAGAGCGTTACTCCGAAGCTCCAGCGCTTGCTTTAAACCATAGAGCTCATCAATTGCTTACGCACACCAAGCCTGAACATATCCGAGCACTCATTAAGATATATAGCATTATCATATATATCGCTCACCCACCACCCCAAACTCCACTCACCAGCCGTCCCTCACAAACTACCCATCCTCCCCTCCCCACCACGAACCGATTTCCTCGCCGGACTCGCAACCCGCAGAATCGGGCTCAGCTGCGACATCTCATGGACCGGCGGCGGCATTTCATAGGGGAATATCGGTTCGCCGCAGACCTCGTACGGCATCGCGCTTGGATCCGGACCGCTTGTTGGCGGCAAAGGCGAATAGCCCCACGATTAAGAATATCCTTGGTTCTGTTGCGGGTATTACTGGTAATTGTGAGTCTGAGGATACTCCTGACTAGCATGTGGCGGATATCCTCCACCTTGGTTCTGTATAGGATACATCTGCGTATGCTGGTTGCAACTAGGAGACTGCAACTGAGGGCTCGTTTGGAATTTGGGCTCGTAGATGGTGCCGGGGTTGAGGATGCTGCTCCTGCTCCACCCGCAGCTACGTCTGAACCTTCGCCCTTCTTTGATTGTCGCCGCCAGCAAAATAAGAGTAGGATGCCGACTATTGCTGCCCCGGCTACTGAGGCGACGCCGATGCCTGCTTTGGCCCCGGTAGAGAGACCACTTGCTGAGTTCTCGTTACCAGAAGACCCATCTGTTGGAGCTTGAGCTCGACCAAGCCATAGTTTGGCGACGAGGGAACCGTTGCAGTCAGGATCGCAGGAACGTCTTGAACGTGGGTCGGCTGATGATTTGGGATTACTTTGTGGGTTGCAGTGGCTCCGCATCCTTGACCCTCTTCCTCGATAGCGGAAGTACGTTTCACCACTCTCGCTTGCCCTCCCATAGCTGATACAACCACAGTCGTCGATGAAGTGATGGTCACCGTCTGATATAGCGTCTGAATATACTGTCTTTACTGGGCGAAATAGTCGTATACGGTAGCCCAAGAGGTGTAAGTTGATGTAATGGTTGCCCTAGTCTTTGGTCAGGATTTCATTGCCATCTGGTCTCTGTGCCTGCTGAGGAAACCGCGTACGTTGGGAGAATGCACCCGCTTGTTGAACAAATCGCTCCGTCGTTGCAACATCCCCCCTTCCCACCACTTTCAGAGTTACAGCAAAAGCACCAGTCTGAGCACAATACCATCCACCACTGGCTTGCGTGCAGCAGATGCCACAATCTGGACAATAGGATCCGGAATTGTTAGCAAAGCAATAGTTGTCTGCCGTACATGTTTGTCGCGGTGCCAAAGCTGCTGCATGGTTTGGAGAAAGGCTCTCTCCGGTATGAGTCGGCGTATTCTTTCCAACTTGAGGCGGCATATGAACATCTTCATTGGGAACGCGATTGGGGGCGGAACCAGCTCGGCCTCAGGTTTTGCAACCAGGCTATCCATTGAACTGGCATCTTCGTAGCTTGATAGAGAAAAGGATTCATCCGGCTCGGTGTAGCGAACGACAGTAGCAACGAGTAAGAACAGGGGGGAAAACATCATGTCGATGTCCAACAAGAGACGGGGACAATCGTTTCCGCACCGTGGACAAAAGGTCCCAAAAGAACGGCCAATTTAAGAGTCTGTTCGAATGCATATGTACTCCAACTAGGGAAGCTTCGTGGTGGGGTTAAAACCATCATCCACTGAGCTTCACCTATGCGAGCTTTGTGATGGCGCAGGAGGATCGATGCAACATGGCACGGGAGACACATCGCGGAACAACGGGGTAACGACGGGCAACTCTTGTGCAACCCTCGCAGACTGCTCTTCCCTCCTCTGATAGCCATCATGCTAATTCAATTGCATCAGAGAGATTGTTCCCGGGCTCAGATCAACAGGGCAGCCCATACATCTCCCCCAAAAGTCATCTGGATACTTAAAAAATAAATCGAATTGCAGACACGAAGAGTAAGCGAGGCACAATCAATCTTCGAGCCCATCATAGAGAATTGTGCGCCCACAACGCACTCGCGTCTGCACGGGGCTTAAATATGTCACCTAAACCGAGGCTCACCTCGTATTGATTGGCCCAGTGGGAGGTGTTCGAGAAGGAGCGCATTTGCAGGGTGCATGCAGCAAAAGAGGCGCAGCCATCTCCATGGTATTGGATAATCCAGAGCTCCAGAACGAGTTCGGCAGGGCTCGTGGAGTTTCCTCAAAACATTGTCCGAAATAGCGTGAAGCAAATGCCCATGAGTGGCAGACCCTGGAGAACAGTTGCGGGCCCCAACCGGGGCTGAGCTGCGGCAGTCCTCCCCCGAGAAGATCCTCTTGCGGCTGAGCACGTGTCTTGGGGGTATTGAAGGAAACTTTGTCGAATTATGAGTGGTTAAATTCATTTCAAAGCTTTACAATCGTACTCTACAACATTTGCGCAGCTCGAAATGTTGGTAAAGCGGCATTCGTTGCCAAGAATATTGCATAGCTCCAGTCATCGCGGAACAGTATTCGAGCTCACACAACTTACTTGACATGGCAATCAGACGTGCATCAAATGAAGGTTTGGCTCATTGTAATGGGCGTTCTTGCATTCTTCCTCGTTTCAAAATCTGAGGGCGACGTCGGCGAGAGCATACTCGGCACGCTGAGCATCATGGTTCAGATCGAGAGGTGTTCGAATGGCCCATCCGTCACTCAAAAGGGTGATGGGAGAGGTCGCGATGTTCTCCATTCCTTCTACCAGTCGTGCTGATGCTTGTTCTGAAGTCAGTTCTGTCCAATGATTTTCAATAATCACCAGAGCGGATCCCATCCCCCAGTAGATGTAGTCATCGTCGCAGGTCCTGGAACGATTGAAGAATGGAACTCCTGCATGAGATCACCCACTCCTTCCCATTGCATAGTTGGGTCGAATTCATTCATATCCAGACCCAAGTCCTGCATTGCAGAGTCCTCCAACAGCCATGGCGTTGGAGTGATGGCCACAGGATATTGTTGTGGCTGAAGCCACTGTTCTGGGTATCCTCTTTGATACCCTCCCATGCCCATATACGGAACATTCTGAGCATTGCCCAGGATATCCGTCCCAAAGTTGGTGCTCGCGCCCTCAGCCAGCGAATTTGAATCCTGCTTCATACTCTGCTCCGTGGCTTGTTTTGCAACCTCAGCTCCCCGTGCAGCACTCAGATCCATCTCCCTCTTATGCCTCGCCCTCGCAATCAGCTTCTTCATCGGCAGCCAGAGCACCCCCGGAGCCCCTTGTTCCCGGAAGTTCGTCCAGTCTTGAAATACTGAGTCCAGTACATTCCACGCCCACGTGACATTCTCATCAAAATCTCTGACGCACAATTCACTCAATAGATATGCGACAGCATGCCACTGCACAATTGTCCGAATGTACCAGTGCCATTGTTTAGTCTTCTCAACTTCCAGATTCCGGCGAAGTTCAACGATCTTGATGCTTTTGATGAAGACCTGATCCGAGGCTTCCTTGGCGCTGGATGGTTTTGAGTCGGCTTTATGAAAGGGAAGCAGGAGCATGCACTCCATTTTGTATCTGAGAAGCTGGCACATATTTTTAACGATCCAAGACATTGAGCTATCGTCGGTACAGTGGCGGACGTATCTGTCCTGCAGGTGTTGGCAGAACTCTTGGATGATAGTGTCTTCTCCCGTCGCGGTAGAGCCAATGATGCTCGGAAGTGGAGCGTTGTTGTTCCTCGCTCGTTGTAAAGTAAAGACTGCGGAGGCGAGCTCGCATGCGATGAGCGTCATTGTCATTTCTGTGAGGCCGGTACGAGGTTCTGGAGCGGTCGCGGCACTGGGGATAAGGTCGGAGTCGTTGATATTGAGCGGGAGATTGGTGTCATAAGTTCCAGCAGCAATGGAAGGCTCCGTTCCTTGTTTTTCCGAGTTCCGGAAATCAAGAACGCATAGCTGCCACCATAACCTACGTCGCATCTCGCACTCGAAAGGCGGCAGACCAAAGTGAGTGCCGTCTCGGTGCAGCCCAAGTGATTGAGCTACCGCAGTAGCGGATCTTGATAAAGCCCACCCAACACGGGACTCGTTTTGACAGCGTATAATAGTCAGATACAGCACGAAAGCCTGCAGGGTGGTGAGATCTGTGGAATCGAGGAAGCCGGCACGAGCAAGTGCTTGCTCTAATCCAAAACAATAACGATCTTGAATGAACTTTTTGTCCGACGCAAAGTTCATTTGCACTTCATCAGCAGTCATACTGTGTGTTTTTATCAGCATGAGAGAAAATTTGAAGGGGATGGGAGAGGATTACCTTGCAATAACAGCGAAATATATCCCAAATAGCAAAGCTTCTTGGCTTCTGCCCACGGAGTCAAGATCATCAGCTGCTTCTTTCATCATCTTCTCCAAAGAAGGCTTATGCAGCATCTTGAGCACCGGGTCGACCTTTTCGACATAAACTTGAAAGTAAAATGGTAGTTGAGATGGGAGCGGATGAAGCGGTCGAAGATCAACAGTAGAGGAATTGTATCTGAGGACGAAGCTCTGTTTGTTGTTTTCGGCGGGCGAGCACTCTTGGGTTTCTGGAGAAGATTCGTTATCGTCTTCTTTGTAGTCCTCGAATACCAATTGGACAAGATCATCCACCTAGGTCAGAGTCAGTGGCATACTAGAATGTACAGTGTTTCACAGATATACCTCTTCAGTTACTCGAGCCCAGAAGTTGTGCTTAACGTAACGGCGTGTCCCTTCTTCGGATATCACCAGTGTGCCAAAATCCTTCTCCATCGGCGGCGCCACGTTGCTGAGGCTTCTCAAGGTAGATGCAACACCTTCGTCTTGTCCTTCACGCCCCGCCTCCAACTTTGGTGGGGTTGTCTCTTTGTGTTCGTCGTTCGGAGGTTCGGGTTCCCTCACAACATTCTCTTCACTTTCGTGTGCTTGTCTGCTGAGCTGCTTGACGACACCTAATCGAAAGATATATTAGCCATTGTACTAAATATGCCTCGGCCTGCGAGTACCCACCTTCAAGCTTGTTCAGCCTCTTGATCAGCTCGACCTCCCGCGTACTAAGTCCGTCCGTCTTCCTTGGCTGTCTCGGCGCCCTCTTTCGCGGCGCATACTCGCAGTGGAGTCCCAGCCTCTGACAATTGGAGCAGAAAGGTTTCTTGTCGCATTTAACCTTGCGGCGCCGACAGGTTACACAACTGCCCTGTTGATGGAGGGGCAGCTTGGCCGCAGGCTCGCTCGACTGGCCTGCAAGAGGATCCTCGGGACTCGTTGTGGAAGCCATCTTCCCGATGCAGCAGACTAGATGACTGTCGGTAGCGGCGCTCCAGGTGGTTATTGTACAATTTCCATGGTGTTGTGTTGAATGGGATGTTGTTTGATTTCGGATGACCAGGGAAGGAATTAATCGAGCGGCTCGTTGCTTCGTAGGTGGATGGATGCACGGCTGCGGCGCAGGGGTTCACAACCCCGCAGAGAAGCCAAGGCCCTAGGAAAGCGAGTTATTAGTGTAGGGGCTCAAGACGTTATCTTTGGAAAAGCTCCTTAAGTTTAATATTCAACTTAATTATTATTCGCCTTGAATTACTTTCCAGTATTCAGGCGTCCAGAGCCTTGCTGCGGGAGTGCCCGGAGTTGAAGCCCCATGACCTTCACGAGGCGTAAGCACTTAAACATTTCAGTAATTAACGCACAGCTGATCGATAATCATGACGTTTGAACCGTCTAGACCCCAGCCATTTGCTAGCAAATGGGAGCGAAAGTCGACAAGAGACAAGAGGGGACAATCCTCCAGCATTAGCAAGAAAGGAATTACCAGAATCATAACACTGGCAAGGTGCAATTTCAAGAGAAGCCGCTAAACCGTTAGCGATTGTTTTGGATGCGGAAATGGGTTTAAAAGGAGCGACTTGAGGTTAACTCACCCTTCCAGGGCAGCCCCGGAAGGGTGCTTATGCAAGCAGATAATAATTGTCTTAGCCCTTCCTAAGCCCCCACAACGATTGGGTATTTGACAAGATTACTTGGCGAATAGAAAGTGCTAGAATTTCGAGGCTTCTAGGGCTCAAAGCCTTCTTAGACTTGATTACAGACCAAGTCTTGCTCAGTGCGAGAGGCTGCCTAGGGTGCCCTACTAATCAGAATAAGTGCTTTTACCTTTGACCCACAAAATGGTGGGTCTGCCCTTTAAACCAGGGGGGGTTAGTAAAGTAAGGCCTTCTTTTTCGGCTACATTTCAGTCCCCGGCGCGTGCACGTGAGATAGGCAAGAAGCACGTCCCTCCTTTGCCTTCACAACCGCTTAAGAAGTATATCCTCGCTTGCGCGATCCACGTGATATAGACCAAGGAGCCGCACCGAAGTTGCGCGCTGAAAGCGCCTAATGGGGTGCCCCTGGGCTATAAATAAGGCTCAGAACTCCCAGCAACAACCCACTCTCTAGTTCCCTTCTTGAACGACAGTTGTCGACCTGTCCAGATCCAAATTATAACCACTATCCGCAGTCAGGGCTGCCATCAAACCTCTGTTGTCCCGCAGGCCAAGGACGTATACCACTAGCCTTTCTAGTTGCTGCGATTTAGGTTTTAGATGTAATTATAGCGACAATGGCGATTTGATTCGGAAGGAAATATGATGGCAAGATTAAGTAGGCACCTGCCACACTTGAGTTCATGACGGATACGGTCAAGAAGGGCACAGAAGGCTGCGGATGCGTTGGCGCGGAATCTTTAATGGAGCTGGAGGAGATCTGTGCTGCGATCTCTGCTGCTCACTGCCCAGGCTGGTTGAAGGTGGGGACGCGGTCAATTCTGCCACCACTGAATGATTGTCCAGCCAAGACCAAAGAAAACATTTGAATTTCTTCGCAGGTAGCATACGCCTATACAAAGCCCAACACAGAACAGATCACTGAAACGAGGTTTGCTACTCTAATCGCTCCGAACCAAAAACCCCAATTTGCCACCAGACACTCTTCGCAATATTCAGCCTTCATACCTGATATTCTCAAGACGCCAAGACTCTGTCAGGCTTAATCCCAACAATTGCTGCCGGATTGATTTCCCGGTTGATAAATGTCCACAGACATAAAAGCGTTTTCCTGGAGTTGTAAATGTTCCCCCTCCGCATGCGCCACATCTCTTCTGGGACCATCGGCAGGCCCGAATCTTTGACCCAATTTGTTGGTACAGGCCCCTAGACAGGAGCAGGTTGTTGAGTTCTGAAATTGAGGACGCAATTTTAATCTGTACTTGCCAAAAGAACCTGTCGAAAGTTGTGGATTTTCCCGAGAATTTTTGGGGCGGTGATGTGGTGCTTGAGAACTAGTGGATGAAGTCTCTCTTCTGCCCAGTACCTTCCCCAGTATGTCAGCTAGAATATTGCAAGATAAACATGAAAGTACCCACTAGTAATCCAGCGGATCGAGTATATCACTCTCATCTTCGTAGTCATCATCGTCATCATTGTCTATCGCCTCTCTTTTGTCCTTCGCCCTCATCTCTTCCAGTTGTTCCATCCAAGCATTAATCTTTCGAATGCAGGAAGTACGAGAATTGGGCTCTTCACTACTCGACTCAAGCATTTCAATCACCTTCTTGAAGAACAATTTCCCCTCATTGTATCGACTCTGGTTTGCATAACGGAACCCAACTTCCTCGCAGCAGTTCATAGTGTAGTGGTGTGTAAGTCCATACATCTGTGCCTGGAGAAGATATTCCTTTTTACGCCAACAGACTGCTCCACGGTGGCGACCAGTCTCGTCCAATATATCCGCAAGCTCACACACTAACCGCCTATTCATGGATGGCGTCATGTAATTTGGGTGATATTTTAAAAGGCCTCGAAGTATTTTCTCGCTGCTTTCGAATCGTTTCTGATGCCTGTAGGTGCAAGCTCTTTGGTAGTGATATACAAAAGCAGCCCAACACCTTAACCTGGTCGCATCGGCTAGCAAATTATGTGCGAACTCCAGCACGTTTTCGCTTTCGTCATGTCTCCTATCCTCCCTCAATGATCCAGCAAGCTGAGCCACGCCCCAGAGGGTATTAAATTGGTTTTTGCAAAAATCCCCTGAATCCTTTGCTGTCTCAAGCCGGAAGTGTAGTGAGGCCTCCAACAGTTGTTGAGCCTCGCCATGTCTCTCGACCAGTTCCAAACTGGCTCCTAGACCCTCCAAAGCAAAAATCGTTTCCGGATGTCTCATTCCAAGAGAAATTAGACGTATTTGAAGTACTTGCCGACGGATAGCTTCTTCCTCTACCGGAAAGCCTAGCCGTCCCAGTAGTTCTGCGTTTAATTCTCTTGACCTAACAGAGACGTCGTGATTAGCGCTGAATACCCGCTCGATAGTGCCATGCAAACCCTGCTGAAGTTGATGCGCTTCTTTGTATCGACTTTGACATCGGAGGCACTGGGCAACTTGCAGACAAGCCCACAAAGTTTGGTGCGGCTTGTACCAATTCACGAGTTTTTTCGCCCTAACCACGCCCCGAAACCAAGTCTCTGCAGTATCATAACTGTCTTGGTAGTACAACTCCTCTGCTCTGGCCCCCATAGCCTCCATGAGATGAATTATTTCAGTGTCTTGCATGTGTTTCAACTTTTGAAGTTTAATTTTGCATTCCAACTCTGATAACTTGGACTTGAGTGAGCGGCTCGGAAAAAACCACTGTCGGCGGACAACAAAAGGCTGTCTGGAGGATGTAGGAAACGGATACAATTCGAACTGTAGATTAAAGTGCGACGATTTATCAAAGTCTCCAAGAGTCTGAAAATTCTTTGTTGAATTTGACAGCCTCGTCGACCATGACTGCCTCCTGGATATAATGTTCTCTTCTTGAGCCGAGTCACATCTACCACATAGGTCCATTAAATCGCTCCCCGAGATATCGTCGGTGCCGAGATTATCGGAAGCCAAATTCAGAAGTGTGATATCACACTCTTCAATAGTCAAAGCTCCAATCAATTCGGTGAGACCCGGCGATCCGATAACATCCACGGCGTTCCAGTCGAATGAATTATCGTTATAACGAAAAACTGAGACGCTCGGCGATTCTTGAACTTGTAGATCCAACTCGCTTTGCTTTTCATAGTTTGGGGTTTGTGTGGTGGGCACTGGTTTTTCCGAGTCTTGGTTCGCCGGTCTAAAGTTCAGTTCAAACGGCACATGGCTTGCTTTATAATAAATATTAGCAAGATACACCAAATCCGAGTTGAAGCAAAACCTACCTGGATCATATGCTATCTCATTGTTTTCAACCAAAGACTCCTCAGAGGTGACCTTCTCCAATCGCATCCATCGATTCAACTTCGCCGCATCAAGTGTCCGCCCTCTCAGCGTCTGCGCCTCAATTTCCACTTTTCCCAGTTCAGGGCCAAGATGCTCAATAATTGCGCGTCTTTCATTCTTCTTCACGTTCTTCTCAAATCCCCACTGAGAAATTCGGTAAAGGAGTTGCTTCTTCCTATCCACATGTCAGTCCTCAAGTCGACCACCAGAGATACGTGCTTACGTGGGCCTGAACCCATGGTGCTCTTCCAGGTATTTGGAGAGTTGTCTGAGTGTCTGTCCTTGATCTAGGTACAGTTCTCGAACCGTCGGCTTCAAGTCATTCCAATTCTTTTTGGCAATGCCCTGGGGCTTCGAACTTTTTCGATCGAGGGTATCGCTAAGGTGCAAGGCTGCGGGAACGTCGTTCTGAAGTCGCGCGTTTTCCATCCTGAATAAGTTGAATAGGTGAGTCGTGTTTGCTTGGCCACGTGCTCTCGGAGTTCTCTTGGACTCGCTCAGTCATATCGAGAGGGTGATAGTCTCGGAGCTATATAGCAGTTGAGAATCTTTATCTGCGCCTGGCGCCCAAGGTGCGATTCGCTGAACAAAAGTCCAATGCAGCGCCGCCACGGGACAATGTCACAGCTGGCTACAGGCAGGCAATTGGCTCCAGCAAAAGTCCTGCGCAAGAACGCCACAATATGCACTGTGAGCCGGCGGTTTTGCCCCGCCTGGGTATCGGCAAGGTCATTCGCTAAAACAAAAGAGCAACGCCACACAATGCCTTGGAATACAATTGGCTGAACAAAAGTCCAATGCATCAATACCTGTGAAATCAGGTTGTTTTATTTACTGTGCGTAAGTTGCCTTAATTTGATTGCTTTACTGTCCTGACGCAAAGCTGCCCATTTCTCCAACTCCAATGACGTTAACATTGGATCTGAATCAGACAACACTTAGACTCGTGACCATTTCATCGAGATGCATTTCTCCCGCAACTCGTTGGCGATATCGGGTAGAATTCACGGCCTTATCTCATATTCCTCCTGAATCTGATTGAGAATTATGAGCCACGCAGCCTTCGGAAGCTTCAACACATCAACAAAAGAATAAAAAGGGAGTGGAACGGATGAGAGACTCCACAAAGTTGAGTCTAAAAAGCTAAATTCATGCCCCAAGATTATTGCAAAGGCGGGGGGGGGGCGGCTTTGAAAACCCGCCATTTCGCCAGTGCAAGGAACACCAAAATTTCTTAGTTTGGAAAATTGCGCATTACAACGCCACCACCTCCCAATGCTTTATATTAAGTATTATGAGATACGGAAGAAGCACAAGTATCTTTTATCGTGCTGTAGTGATTATTAACTTCTGGGGGGATTTATTACGACTTTTTGAATGCGAGGGAATGATTCTAAATGGTCCCGCTTAGCGAAATGGACGGTTTTCCAAGCCATCCCTTTCGTACTCACGGTGCTTCAGTACAGGGGTTCGCTAAAGCTTTAGCGATTGTTACCCTGGGGATGCGCTTTGACCCCGACACGTCCCCCAAAATTCTCGACGCGTCTCCCAAAATTTTCCCTTCTCCTGTCTCCAACTAAGAAGCGACCGATCCTCAATCATGGCCGGTTTACCCACGGGCGACATTCTCTCCGGTGCAGAGTCGCAATTGCTGCGTACCTTCTGCACCTCCATGTCCTACACTGACGATGATCTCGACGACTACGCCCGCCTGCTGCAGACCGGCCCACTCGAGGCCATCCGTAGCGACTTCGACCAAAGAGTCGAAACCAGCGGCATAGACGCAGCCCGACAGTCCCTCCTCGACCTCGCATACGGCCCCACGAAAATCCCCCTCTACAACTACATCCTGCAGCTCACCATTCTCGTCCTCCATCGCCGATCAATGTACCTGTCCTATTTCCGATTCCTCGCCCTCGAAGCCAAGGTCCCCGTCGACTCTGCCGATCTCAGTGGGAACACGACACTCATGTATTCGATCTCCACAAAACCATATTTGGACACCGAAGTCGCGGAGATCTTGCTGCAGGCTGGCGCGGATATCAATCATCGAAATCGATATGGATCTGTGGCTGCTCACGACATCGTGATGGCAATGGACTATTCACCGGCTGGCAAGAAGAAGGTCGTTGATGCTCTGAGGTTCTTTCTTGAGAATGGGGGAGATATAAATATTGCGGATGGCGATGGGGTCACTGCTAAGAGGATTGGAACACCCGTTCAGAGACTGATTCCTGAGTTGGGGCCGTTACTGAATGGTGGAGGTGGAAGTGGAAATGCAAGCGCGGCAACTAAGGCAAAGAAGGTTGGCAGGAATGATCCCTGTAGCTGTGGAAGCAAGAAGAAGTACAAAGTGTGCTGTGGCAAGGTTTAGGCTGGGAAGGGGGAAGACCCTTTCCAGGTCCCAGCAACACCCGAAGTCCACACTTGTACCAGCGCGATGCCGAACATTTTTGGCTTGACCACAAGGCCTGGCCTCGCATATGGTCGAGAAATATCGGAACATCTAGGTCTTAGGCTTAAACTCGTCCCTGATTTCCCAGGATCTCAGGTGCTTGGGGCGAATTTCACGCAAATAAGCCAAATGAAGGGAAATCCACTCTTGGAAAGGTCTTTGGTCTCTATTTATGACTTCGTATTCCTGAAGTCTGCGTTTGACAACGAAGAAAGAGTTATTGAAGATCCGATTTGCCAATGAAGCATGGCAAGTGTTAGCACCGCCGGTTTGTCCCTCTCCCCTTCCTCGTCGCCTCGTACTTCTGCCAAAGTTCTCTGACTTGCCCCTCCGCTCCTTCCTTGGCTGTTGTGATGAGAGTGAGTTGTGATCTAGTGAAACCTTCCTAGATGGCTATATGTTCCTCTATGGTTACAGTTGATGACTGTTGCGAACTAAATGTTGAGTCTTCAACCAATGAGGGTATCCCCGCTCAAGAACACCTTCTCCTTTCAACCACAACATCAATTTGTGTTCTTCCCAACTCCTCCCTCCCTTCATTTGATCCCATACAACAACTGAACGGCATCATCGTTCATCAACATCCATCCAACCACCAACACCTTCCGTTCATGCTATAGGTCAAAGTATCTTAACCTGCTCCAAGTTCGCACATCACCTTCATTCTATCATTACACACCAAAGCAAACACTACTTCTCAAACACCTCGCAAGGTTGGTGCTTCGCCCTCACTGTCAACCTGAGCTCTCCAAAGTCCATCCAACCAGCTTGCAGTCCTCCAACCACCTTTATCGCACCTCAGAACCCTTTCTTCTGCAACAACCAAAGTCAAGCCACAAGTCAGCTTCCCGCCCTCCCACACACCAGCTGATTCAATCTTACTCATTACAAGGATTCGCTATGCAATTCGCTAGGCCTCTCTTCACCCTTCTCAATTTTCTCACCATCTTCACCCTCGGCATCGCCCTTCCTCTCACCAACAAGATGTCCACCACCACCAATGTTGCCATCACAAACTCAACAGTCATCCACCGCCTCGGCTCCCGCGATGTTGTCTGCAAACCAGTGGCGGCGCACACTATATCGGCGAGGAAATGCCACGTCTTCTCGCTTGCCTACGAAGAAGACGGCACCAACTTCATCGCCGGCTTTGATTCCGGATGCACGCCAATCTCAACAATCAAGAACGCACCAACGAACGTCAAACAACTCGTGGATATCGGACACAAAACACAGAAGGCGATAGTCTGGTTCTACGACTGGAAAAACGTCCCGAGAGTGCGGTTCATTGCGAAGGATGGATCGCTTGGGAACTATGGTTCTGGGGTTCCGGACACGTTTCATTGCGAGAAGGGGAATAATGATGATACGGGGTTGTATTGCATTACCCAGTTCCCGTGCTAGGATTACGCGTGGAATTGCACCCGCTGTTGGGCTTGAAACGGAGCTACAGTGTGAGTTCGCTGCATATCGCCTCAGCGGCCGGCGTGGGAATTTGTGTGGGAAACACTATCTATATCTTGCGAATAGTTCTGCTCATTTACGAGTCGACGGCGTTTTTCGTTGCTTTTGAGTTCTCGCGGAACATGGAGAGTTGGGCAAGGGCCTGGTGGGCGAAGACTATAGAAGACTTACTGCGTTGGGTTGAATTATAATACATGGACTGACTTTTAACATTCGATCGTGCACGACCGTTGACTGAATTTATTTCATTTCATCGACTTCTCCAACGCTGCCGTTATTCATTTGCTTTCCCACTTTCTTTCCTGCCAGCCCCCAATGACTCAACCTGGAGGGTTGAACAGCGGTAGAACATATGCCAATAACACACCTTTTTGAATCTATACAGCCCGTATTCTTATTACTGAGACATAAACTACCAGCTCTTAATTATATCTCACATATGAGACTAGGTAGTAAGAAGCTGATGGCATTAATGAAGCCTGGAGTGAAGTATGTCTCTTGGTCACGTGACTTTATTTACTTCATTTGAAAATATTACCAGAAGCATAAGACATACTTATAGGAGGCTGGATATAGAATTATGAATACTATTTCCCATCATTTTTGGATACTTTCAAAGATTAAGGATTAGGTCCTCCGATCAATCCCATCTCCGCTGGTACCCCGCCCCCTTTTGCAGTCAAGATCGCTAAGCGAGCACAGCCAATTGTGGTAAAATCACAATATCCCACCGACTCCAATCGATACACTTAAATGATGGATCTCTCGGCAATTGAAGGAATCAGGGAATGCGTGTGACAGTGTCTACTCCACCAGACCTCTACAAGGCTACTGCTACAACAGGCTAAGCAATTACAAGGATTCCGCGCCCACTCAGCTGCAACGCCACCGTTGGATTTGAAGGTTCTAAGGCCTGTTGATTCTTGGCATTTGCGACAGCTATCTGTATACAGAGAGAGAGATGCCAGTCCGAGATATTTCAGCTTAAAAGCCAATCTGGGATCTTCACCCTTAAAGTTATTTGTTCTAGCTGGTAAAGGCAATTACAAAGGACACCAGCAAACCGGAGCAGCCTTACCATTTATGCTTCGAGAACTGTAAGATTTTGAAACTTCGTTCTTGTGTGTAGCCGGCCAATGAAAGAGTTAGTTATGCATCTACTTCCACAACGATGGTTTTACTTCGCATCGAAATCACAACGCCTTTCCTCCACCCCACAACATTCTGCATATTATCTCTGATAGGAGCAGCCCTCTCGCTCCCAGTCCTCAGTTCCACACCAGCGGTTCCGATTCCCTATCCAACCCTCAGCTTCCAGCCCGCGCTCCCGTCATCCCCACCAAACTCTTCCTTCATCGAAGCCCCCACAGTACCACCATCCTCGCCTTCCATTCCGGCGGCGCTGTCCCCTCAGTCTGGGTTACCCATTACACTCACCTCCACCTACGCACCAGTCCTATTTGGCGGATGCACCAGCACACCCGACGTCTGCGGCCCACACATGAAGATCAACAACGACCACATCGCTCTCAGCACCACCTTTTCCCTCCATATCGACAGCGTCTTCGCCGGAATCTTCAACCTGCTAAGCCATTCACTCAAATGGGGGCTGAATCCCATGGTGGGTTAGCAAGCTAAACTTGTCTAGGGGGCTTTTGGACTCGAGACTCCGGCTATTGATTGTGCGATGGGTGATAGAGGGCACGCTGCGGATTCACATGCGGCGGTTCACGGTTATATTACGGGAACGTGTTTCAAATATTAGAGTAAGGTAAATTGGGAGGACTGGATTCCAGCTTTGGAGGTTCTCAACGTCAGGGCTAAAGCTGGGAATGAGTTTCCTGGACACCTGGAAATGTGCAGATGAGCTATACCCGAGGCTATATAAGGGAAGCATTGATTCGCTATCGTTTTGTTACCGTGGAACTTCGTTCAAGGTGCATGTTTGCCAGGCAGAAGCTTGAATGGAGGAGTTGGAATGACATTTGGGGATGGACACGGGAGGATGCAGGTACAGAGAGAATCGCATTTCAGCAAGCCTCGTTCGCATCAAGGTAAAACGAATGAGATTTCTAGAACAAAATCATGAAATTCTGCTGTGGAATTTCAAGTAGTGAATTAAAGTGAGGATTTGGTCCGATTGCCGCCTTAGCTGTAAGAGGGGATTAGCGTCGGTCCTAGGCTCCCCCGCTACCCAGCGCCATCGTTTTTCATCAACGTAGATCTTTCTAGCCAGAGGATTTGTTCGACAACTTCAAATCCTCAAGTCAATCCACAAACTCTTTGTAGACTTGCTTCAGGTAAGCAGAGGGTTCAATCCGGGGCACACCTCCAACACAACGCACAAACCCACGATAATCCCAGGTGGCGGGATGAACAGCGACCGGACAATGACGAACAAGGTGGTACACAAGGAGGCTTCAAGAAATGCGACAGGAGCCTCTGTGCTCCCACCATCTGCACCAACATATCAAGTGCCAGCAATCACCGTTTCGTCTGCCGAAAAAGGAATCCTTTGGCAGGAGCCACTGGTAGGAGATTCTCAAGAAACAGAACCAGAAAGTGCGTACCATTTCTTCTTTTCTGCGAAGGTCATAGCTCCGAGCCCGAAACATCCATCAACTCCGTTGTGCAGAGCTTGCTAACGCTATGTGCAGACGTGAAGAACTACCTCGGCATCCGGATCCTCATCACCATTGTTACGACCTTTGTCCTGATCTCCATTATTCCCATCATGCTCATCGACCTCCTGCCTTCCCCAGAAGTTGCGCTTCCTCTTTCCAATACTTCCTCGGACTCTGACATTGTCCACCGTTCGTTTCCGCTCGACTCTCGGTCCGGGAATTCTAAATGGAACTACGCCAAGCTCTGCGAACCTCGAGAGGGCAAATGCCAATTCGGAACTTACTCCACAAAGCACCACCCAAGTAATAGGACGCTGTTGTGGCTTGATGAAGGGTGCGAGAAGAGGCATTTCAAGGCATACTGTCCGCGGTGCCCCGAGAAAAAGACGTGGGTTCTTGACACTGCTCAGCTTCATGGATCCGTCTCCTCTCCGGGCACTCCCTTCTTCCCATTCCAGCTGCTTGTAAAATTTCCCCATCCGGACAATTTCACTGATATTCCATCCATCATTTATTACGATGAAGAGTCTTCTCGGCATGGTAAGATGGTTGGCAGTTGGTACAGTCCTGATTCGGATCTTGAGTTCTTCTCTCTGCTCTGGTTTGACTGTTTCGCGGGACTTGATGTAAAATGACCACCGAGGTACGTTGCGACATGATGGAGAACCTACGAATTCTACATATTTCATGTTGATTGAGCATTTGCTAATCTGGGGGAGTGGACAGAATGGAGGTATCATGGGTGGAAACTGGGGGTCGTGGTGCGGGTTACATAGGTGGTGTTCATGATGCCATGTTTGCATTTGCATTTGCACAGAAGTTGCTAGAATTGACTTTGCGACGGCGACGGCGACTTTGGCAATATGGCTTTCATGACATCGAAAATGCCAAAAGATTAACACAGCGATTTCCATCAATTCTTTTGACCTTTGCCTTATGCTCTTACGGCTATTAAATCTCAATAACCCTTAAGCGCGTCTGAGATCCCGTTCGATTATCAGAAACACTTTTAGACTCATTCTTTTAGTTGCTCCCAAGCCAGTAGGTACATTGTGGCGGGCCGCCGCTTTCTCAAACTCGGAAAAGGGGAAGAGTCACGGGTTGCTCTGAGTACACAATCGACCGGGCATACTTCTTAAACCAACCTCTCGCCAAGCGCTGAGGTCTCCACTCTATTTATCTAAGCCGCCGAGGTGATTTTCCCTTTCCTCGGACCACACCTTTACCTGCTACGAAGATACCAAGCTCAAATCAGTACTCGAACACCAAGAGCAAGACTTCAACTTTCTGATAGATACCAGTCCTGTCTGAATTCATGTTTCGAATCTCCCTTGAATTCAAGGCCTCACCCACTAAGACGACAGAGGATAAGGTTGTTGGTTATAGACCCCAAAAACTTTTATTACGATAATCACTCACCAAATTCTCTCAAATTGTGGAGCTCCTCGCGTCCGTAGGAGTTCTCGCATGCGTGGGACATTGTGAACATCAAATCTTTCCAAAGGAGCAACCGCCTAATACATGGCTTGTCGGGAATGGAAATTAAACCTCTCACGAAAGAGAAAATATTGGCAAATATGGCGCCTGCGTAAGAACTCCACCTCTTCCAATGGGAAGTAGTTCCTTCCAGAATATCCACCAAGTCTGCAGGTTACTCCAGGAGAGATATGATGTCGAATTTCCCACTGAAGAATGCTGCCTTTGAGTACACATTTCAGAAGAGGTCAATAAGGATTTTGGACTCAAGCTCCTCGAATACCTATGTGCGTTCCTCTGGGCCATGGAGTTCCAGCAGGACCAGTTCCACCCTGTTGACATAACATGGGATCAACTGACCGACGGTCGCTCTAAAAGATGACAATCCTTTCGCGGAGTGTGGAATGATCTGTCGAGACAGTATCAGATGCAATTGAAAGAATTCTAGCCTGTAAAACTAAAACGAAGCCATCGAGTTGATGAGCCACACAGACATTCAGGGCGATCAGAAGTACGAACCCCTCTCCTTGGAGACCCATATCTAGTGGGACAACAGGGGCGCAGCCGGCCACCCAATCTATCTTCACCAAGGAACCTTGGACGGTGACCGTGTCACGAATTAGGTGCGAGTCTGATTGGGAATTATCCGTTTCTCAACGACTTTGATGCCGCCTTCACCACTTGTTTTGAATACCTTATTAAAAGCGTACCTTGCTGCAAGGGCTGTTCTCTGGAAGGGTTTCTAGCTGATATCGGACTTTCAGTGCTGGTTGAGTTCTATAAACCACAGTTTGACGAGCATGCAAAGCTCACTGAAAAATCTGACAAGCAGATCAAGTGATCCATCATCAACGGTTCATGGGCGCCTATCCTCCCTTACTTGTGATTTTATTTTTCTTTTGAATTCAATCCATTTTTCTCGAGGTTTTATGATTTTCATGCGCAATAACATTATGAGACAACCAAATTAGGTCCTGTAAAACCGAGCATTATATCTTCAAGTGGATTGCAAGGAACTAAACAAATTTAAGCCTCACAAATCAAAGGGTCTCAGGGCATCTTCCCCGAAGTTGGCTCTAAAAACGAAAATATTGGAATTCGTGGACTAATATAATGTCACGTGCTACGCACAGGCGTATATATAGCTTCTTCACCGCCCTTAGGGCACCATCATTCATACATATTTACACAAACACACCACATTCCACTTCCATAGCTTGTCCAGGCCGTGACATATAAGCATGTCCTCTGAGAGGTCTAATACACTTTACCAAGAGCCCGTCGTCTCGGTCGAAAGATCATCTAGAGATCTCGGTGAGAAACCAAGTCGAGGTAATCGTCCACCAGGCGCTGGAGTTTTGCAAACCATGAATCTATCCCTGATACGCAGGTTCAGTCATCTATTATTGCTGAACCTGACAGCGATGTGCGACCTCCTTTGAGCCAGCTAGTTGAGAGCCAAGACAAATTACGTTATTGGCACAAGCTAATGACTGTCTCGCGATGGGTGTCTCTAGAAACAGCTCAGGGAAGATTTCCATTTGTGTTGCTTACGAGAAAAGAGAATCTGAGTCCCAAAAGTTGCACTCGAAAGCACCTTTATTGAGCACTGAGGCGGCGGAGCCCATGAGAAACACGGATTTGTAGGGGCGCGAATCTAATGAATCCGCAGCAAAAGATATATGGTTATCAACAGAAACGGGTAGTAATAGACAAGTCGTAACAAACCTTTCTACGCTTGGAAAATGATGACCACGCCACGAAGCGGGTCCCTGGAAAGGGCGCAGATGAGACCCATGTGACTGAAGTGCGAGAATCCAAAGGTCGAGAATTGCACACCGAAGAATCTTCAGTGAGCCCAGGTGGCGTGGGCTCACAGGAAACACAGAAGTTAAAGAGAGTGAATCAGATGAATCTATCCATAACACCAGAGCTATCGACATTAACAGGGGTGGGTAATAACGTTGAGGTACTCGATCAAAACTCCGGAGTTGAGTTTAAGTCACAAGTTGACCCAAGCAAAACCGGTGATTCATCTACACAATCGAAGGATCTCCTGGATACATTCGATAGAATGTTTTCCCAGCGGAATTCTCGGATATCGAGGCATCAAACACATAGTGAAGGAATCCAGTTTAAAGGTACAAACACGAAGACTCCATTTATAGACAAGAACTAAACCTTCAATTTTATCTATGTTATCATAAGTTCTTACCATAAAAACTCCTCTCCCACGCTCTAGATAATTAAATATCCCGTCCCAAGCTTGTATAATCTTGACGTATTTTCCGTCCACAATAAATTAATTCTCTCGTGTACATCAGATCAATTTAGTCATTGACCACCCACCCAAAGAAACGCGGGCACCAACAATCATACAGGTCCCCGCGAGGATACAGCAAGCAGAAAACAACTGCAATCCCAAGAAAGACCCTTCTTCTGCAAGGATAGCTCCCTCAATCGGCAATCCAGTAAGACAGCTGCAATGTGTAAGAGACAAGTGCAAAACGCAGGAATAGGATAGAACTCACCTAAAAGCCATGACTAATTGAAAAGTTCCAAAGCGCGTTCCAAGAGTTTTCAAACTTCCTGACTTCGCCGTGCAGGGCATTAACAGGCTGATGAAACCACCGCTGGTGTACCCATATACTGTTGCAAATACAACCAACGCAGCATGTGAAGCATAATAGTCAAAAGGGATCCATAGAGCGAAGATGCTCACCGCCGATGAGAGTGAAATGGCCGACATCATGTTGAAATAACCGTACTTGTCTGCGAGCGCCGCCATGATCACACGGCCAGGAATGGAGCCAGCGCTGGAGGAAGTAATTAGCGGCTATCTAATCATATGATTCTGTTTATTTGAAAGGGAAACTTACTTGATGATGGAGATTAGGTAAATAGACATTGAACCAGAAAACGACGAGGTAGCTTGTGCCATGCTAGGAAGGTAATCAAATGGCGCCCAGAGTCCCCACCTATAGATACGTCAGCAGTGAAAACTATACCATAGAGGAAACTAACATAACAAGGAATGCCCCGATGGTGTAAAGTGCGAACCCCTTGTCGTTGAGCAATGTGAAGTCAATCCATTTTCCTTTTGAGTTCCAAGGCTTTGGTGGGAGACGCGCCGTGATAAGGCAACAAGAAATCGCCAGGAGTATCCCAATGAGCAACGCTGTGTATCGAACGGCACCGTAGAATCCGATATCTTCTGTGACTTTATTGACGAAGAGCGGGAAGATTACACCACCTGCTACACATCAGCAACTTCGACTTGCCGTTCATTAGGCACTTACCTAAACTGCTCCCACCCGTCACAATGCCAAGAGCGAGGCCCCGCCGCCGCACAAACCACTGCCCAGCACAGACAAAAGATGCTGTAAAAATCCCACAAGCTCCAATTCCAAAGCCTAGTCCTTGCGCTAGGATGATCTGGTAGTACTTCGTGCTGAGACTGGTCATGCAAAGCGAGAACACACAAAGCACACTGGACGGTAGCAAGACAGGTCGCGGCCCGTACGTGTCAATGATTCGTCCAAAGAGCGGGCCTGGGAGCCACATCAAACAGAGCTGGAGAGCGAAGATCCATGATATTGTTGAGGGGCTGTATTCGCTGAGGATATTGGCTTGGTAGAAGGTTTGGAACACGCCTACCCTATTTCCTTGCTTAGTTTTTGAAATCTTAAGATGTGCGCAGGAGATAGTTACGCATTCAAAAAGCCGAATGTGCTGAAGAGGCCACAAGAGCAGCCGATGATGGAAAGCCAGCCTGCCAGGCCTCCCTCAGGAGGGATGCCCTCCATTTTTTCGCCCACGTCGATAATTACTTCGGTCGTTGAGGGGGCGGGCAGCGATGTGTCGGGTGTTTCCACTGGCATGATGAAAACACTTAACGGAAAATTAAGTGTGAAGAGTACTTGCTTTAGAGTTTTGCCATGGCCTCAGCTACTTAATCAATGGGATGGCAAAGCAGGAAGTGGGTGCTATTTATTGCCACGAAAGACTCGGGATTGAGGACCCAAGCAGTGACATCTCAAAGCTCATATGACAACATGTGCTAGCATAAGCGGAGTTAGAACGTTAATAACCAGGAGATACTGCTATTGGAAATCACGAAGCGTTCCTCTTGATAATCGTTTTGTGGAGGGGAAAGCAGCAGGCTCGCCGGCCGCGCCAAACGGGAATAGCGGAACGGACGGAACTGGCGGATGGGGACTCACATTTCCCGCTCTTAACTCCCACCCTTGCACTCTACCGAGAATGTAGTTGATTCTTAGTAGAATTGTTATAGTTCTTTAGTAATAGACTTCCTTTTCTCCATACTTAACTCCTTTTATTAAGGAGTTATAATACTATCTACCACTACCACTATTTATTATTCTTATCACTGGCGAGGTTCCCCAGTGCCCTCCCATATTAACTTCCCCCGAGTAGCCTACAGTCACCTGAGTGTTTGGTCGTCTACAATCCTGGGAGGAAGTTCAACTGTTAGGAGGTGACTTCATAGTGCGAAGTAGCGATCAAGTCGAGGTCGGAGGCGGATCTGGCGCGCTTACCTTCCGTGCATTCTCGAATGTCACTCCTTCACAAAGGTGTAGAAGGGACAAACTACCGCGATCCTCTGCGCGAATTTCTTTCGCACCATTCAGAGAGCGTATTTCCGAGCTCATAGGAGCTATTGAGGGTTCCCTTCTGCTGTGCCAAGGTTTCTTTTTGTCGTTCTCTTCGATAGCGACCGCTGGTCTATCGATACTCAACCTGCATCTCCCCTGCATCGTCGAGCTCAATCTCCGAGTGGAGTCGCTTCGATCGCCTCTGAACTCCGTCATGCCCCCCTTTTCTCTGTCCTGTTGTTGAACTGTTGCTGCTCATCTGATCTTTCTGTGGTTGTTGTGATGTGTTATGCTGGAGCGAACCAGTTTTTGATGATGATGGTTCTAGAGCTGTCGCAGAAATATTCTGGATGAGTCCAGTGCATGTTGGCAAATTTCCTGTGTGGTTATCATCTTGGGATTTCATCCCCACGGATCTGCGAGCTCGGGTTGTCATGGTAGGAGCAGCAACGCGTTTGTCACTTGATCCATCGCCGACAGCTGTCTGAAAGACGCTAAAAACATGCTGGCCCGAAGTTTCGGCACATTCGTATGCAGTAATGCCATTTGAGTCCTTGTTCTCTACATCAGCGCCATGCTTGATGAGACGTTCGATGGCTCGCTCAACCGCCTGCTTGTGATCTTTCGATGAGACCTTCCCATATTGGTCTACCAATAGATGGAGAGCCGTGGTATAGATTGCACCCTGTAAAGGAATTTTCTGATTTGGGTCTGCACGATATTTGAGCAATAAATCGAGGACATTCTCCCAGCTCGCTTCTGGATAACTTGTACCGATACGAAGGTAGTGCTGGAATGTGTGCCCCCAAATCGTTTGCTCTCTCCCATTGTCAAACCAGCTTTCATTGAGTTCCAATTTTTTCTTGAGGAGTAGCTTGAGAATTTTGAGATCCACGGGTTCGTGGGCCCAACCGGGTGGGTTCATGGCGTAGAATAGAAGGGGCGGCCGACGTTCTTTGTTGACGAGTTGAGAGGTTGATTTCTGTTCCACGTAGAGCTTCAGCTTGCAGCAAACTGCAAGACATAAGATGTCCATTCCATGCACCTGATGAGAGGTCTTGTGATAATAGAACTTGGAAACCCAGTCAGGATCAGCATGTGTCAGAACTCGGTTGAGTTCATCGATGTATGCCGTCTGGGGTATGCGGAGTTGAGTCTCCAGAATTTGAGCGTAGTTGAAAAACTTCGTTATGGCGTTGTCTGGGGCCCTGCGTTTAATCTCTTCTTCATATTCAGCTTCGTCTCTTTCATCATGATCGTCAAAGAAAGACTTTTGAGTCAAGCTTCTCGGAGACTGGCTTTTTTCGCTCCCACTCTCATCTTTTGGTTCGCGGACTTCTTTTAGCATGAGAGTCTTGGCGGCTGCCCAATGAGGAATATGAGAAACTTGGCATTTCAGAAGCCGGAGGTAAGAGGCCATCAGCAACTTATCGGCTGAAGCAACTATCTCCATTCCTGAACTGGTGATTCTATCACGGATCCTCTGCTGTACTTCTGTTTTCTTGAGAAACTCTTTCAGTGTAATATGTATGAATGTCACATTTTCCCTTCTCAAGGGATCCCATCGTCTTAAAGCATATTTTCTGTTCCGAATTTGTATCAAATTTCGACAGCGCCGTTTTAGATGATCTCTCATCAATTCTAGCTTTTGGAACAAGAACTCGTCGTGACCGGCTCCGGAGTGGTACTCGACCTCACAAGTTACGGCTTCCTCGGGCTGCTGGGCTGCAACCAGAAATTGCAAGAGTGTGAGTGTGCACTTATCGCCAGGAGCACGGAGGAGAAGACGGAAGTATTTGAATACCGCATGGAGGTCTCTTACCGGTATCTCGCTGATGATATGCTCGTATAGATTTTCGAGTTCAGGAGGGAGCGCTTTGAGACGTGATTGAAGTTGTGATTCCTCTTGGCATTCTTCCAGACCCGATTCCAGATCAGCGACAACAAGCTTGGCCCAAATGAAAACCCCCTCTGCGTTTCCGACTATATTTGAAACGAGCTGATCCCCAAAGATCCTGTGGCTCTTAGAGCTCAATGAGATTGATCTCCTCACTGCGTCGTTGAGGTGGTCTTGGACATACTTCTGGATATCGTCCCTCGTCCACTCATGGAGTTCTAGCGAGGGTCGTTGAAGAGACGGTTTCAAACGTCCCATTATGTCATGGATATATCGACTTGCAATACAAATTTTGACCTTGAGCCCGCTCGCCTGCATCTTGCCAAGCCAAGAAAGCACAAAGCCGAGGGTTTGGCCAGAATCTCCCTGACATTCATCGAAGCCATCGACAAATAAGCAAATTCTCCCATGCACATACTTCTGCTCCGAAATTTTCATAAGAGAATCTTTCAGATGTTCGAGGGACCATGGCGAGGTCAAATTTCCAGAGGTACCGCAACAACGAGGTAGCACCTGTTGAGTAAAGAGGTTGGAAATTTTCCTCTGCAAATTAGGGAAGGAGCTCAGGAGTTGGTAAAGAATGTAATGGAGTAACCCATCAAGACTTCTTTCTTGCGGTGTGGACAGCTCGCTCATGTCGTAAAAATAGTAACATAATAGCTTGTAGGCTAAAACACCCGCTTCTGTTGCTATGCATTTTTGTGTGCGTTCATCATTGACGATGAATTTCATCAATGTTGATTTTCCAGACCCTGGCCGCCCTGTTATCCAATAAACGCCGTTGTGACTTTTCTCTAGCCAATTGACGAAATTGTGTTTCTTCTCGGTCCAGATCCATCCGAAGGTATCCTCATGAGGTGATGGTATCGTAGCCTCGCGAGGGTTCGCCGCGAAAGGTTCAAGGCTTTTCAAGATTTCTGTTAACTATTAGTGGTAAACTAGGTCGAATACTTCCTCTATGGTTTACCATCCATGTTGCTGTAGCTTATACCTAACGCAACTTGTCAGATTTAGTGGACGGTTGGATGAGTAGCGGATACCTGGAAGGGAAGAAATTGGCTTCAATCGACAAAATCAGATATATTTTATGGACCACTCTATGAATGACAGGCTCGAGGACTTACTAAGGTCTCAAACTGTGAAACCTTTCCTGTAAGCCAGAGTCATCAAGAGGAGAAACATCGGTGACCCTGTTCAACCCACTCCCAGGGAACTCCGGTAGTTGAGGCTCACCTTCTGCAAGCTGCTCCGAACAAATCCGTATCTTCAAATTCACTTCCCCTATATTCAAAAATTTCTCAGCAGCATCTTTGATCGCGTTGAGTTCCTTCGCTTCGTCTAGAGCAATGTTGCCAATGTTCGGAACGTTGAAACGAAAGTACCGCTGAGAGCGGGCTGCTTGTGCTCCGTCCCTCCTGAAGAAGGAATCCGCCTCTTTTTCAGTCTCGGTTGCGAGATCTGCCAGCTGTTTTCCAACGTTCGCGAAGTTGGGATTGAATAAGTTGCCGGATAAGAGTCCTGTTCCGAGGCTAAGAAGAAGAGTTTCTCGCCCAGGAAACATGTCAGCCCCTTCTATGTGAACAAGTTGTACTGGATTGTTGCAGAGCAGGCCCCCGTCGGAGTAGATATCCTCGCCAATTGTAAGAGGTTCGAAAAAGGTTGTGGCTGCAGATGTTCCCCGACATGCCTGCCAAATTTTCAAGGTCTCAAGTCTAAGTTCCGCAAGTTAGCTTCAAAATATAATTGGCTGGGAGGAAATGGTATCGAACTTCTCGTTTGGCCTTTCAAAGTTTCTGTAGGACCTGAAAATTGTAGTATGCCCCAGTATGTTTTGGAGATGAGAGACCACGAAGCTGTGTCAATTATTAGCAAGCTTGGGAAAGTATTTTAAGGCGAAGCGGTGGCACTTTACACTTTGCAAGGGCCGCTTTCCTCGTAAAGCAATGCTTCGTCTGGGCCCACTCCCAAAGTGGAACCAGCAGCTTCAAGGATTTCTCTGATGGCTTGCTCAAGTGGTTCCACTTTGAAATTTGGACCAACAAAAGGGCCTCCAACAGCTTTAGAGAACATGTTTTTGGGCGTGAATGCTCTTTGGGAAAGCTTCATGTAGGCTTCTTTACATTTGTCGAGAGGCATTCGAAGTCGGCCAAGCATGATTGCAATAAGGCTTGAACAGAATTAGCCAGGCATGCACGCGAACGGATTGTATTCCTTACCCTCCGGTACTTGTACCTCCAATAATATCGAACATCTGCCAAGGTTCCTGACGTGGAAGACCAACTTTCCGTCTTTCCTCGTTAGCAACCTCCATTACTTGCTCAAGAATCACCAGAGCAGCCAAGCCGCGAACGCCCCCTCCATCTGCGCAGATTATTGTTAGCTGAAGCTAATTTTTTTTTAAAAAGATTGGAAGGCAAAAGCGGATTTTACCAATGGATAGCAGCTTTACCAAACCTTGTGAGGATGCCATGATGTGGAGTTCAAGAGCTCAAAGAGGTGTAAAGTCTGGTGAAAGCTGAAAGGTTTGCCACTTTCCGGAACCCAGCGTTTAGGGACGATCCGCGGGCGGCATCTTAGATTGACGGAGGAGTCCGCACACCATCACACTGACCGAGCGCAGGGGGGGAAGCAAGCTGGCTGGACAGTTGGTGGTGGAGGCTTTGCCATTTTCGAGGCTTTTCTGGCGCCTCATCTGCATCTCAAACGAATAGCAGACCACTGTGAAGCGCCTGCCAAGCAACGAACTCACGGGCTGTCGGTGAGGCTTCCAGCGGTAGCCACACACCCAAAACCACATGAAGAGTTGGGAACAGCATCACAAGGCTGGGAGAACGATCTGTTGAGCGACGGCTTTACGTTTCATATAGCAAAGGCTACAATCATGCGGAAAATTTGGAAAAATCATATTGGTATTAACTAGCAGCTCCAAACTCCTTCCGCACACGGATACAGGCCCAGTATCTATGTATAGAAGATGTGAATAGCACGTAACGATCGATCAAGCAAGGAAAGCGGTTTCAGATAACGTATCGTTCGCACCTGAAGGTGAGGTCGACCATGGTGGGGCTTCATACCAAGTAATTTTACTTGTGACTTTGTCAACATGGAACCAGTTCCCCTTTGCCTCGTCTCTTTTCCAGAACTCATGGAACTTCTTGTCATGACAGTCAGCAGTTGCGATGAGTGGTTTGTCAATCGCCTTTGGCCGTCTCTTGCGCTTGCCCTTCTTTGTCTTTCGAGTGGGTTGGTATATTGGATCGCGGACGTCTGCTTCGATTGCGGCAGATTCACGCGAGATGGCCTGGATATCGAGGCTTTTCGAAGACAGCGATATAGAAGAGCTTGCGCGTAAAAGTGTCGATGTGCAAGGAGAGTCGTCCCTGTCCATGCCTGAGAATAAAAGCTCCTCTTCCGTACCGGCGGGAGAGCGCCTCGAAGGTTGTTGACCTTCCGGGATTACTCTCGACGTTTCTGGGTCTTGGAAGACTATTGGGTGCTCCTCGGCTGAAGCTGCAGAAAGAGAGTTGGAGTCTGAGGAGAAAAGATTTCCATTGGCGTCTGGGTTTTCCCGTTCGAGAGGGATCCCATCGTTCAATAAATTGGCTGCTACGCATCGACATGGGCACCCGACTCTGGCGTTACGAACCTTGGGTAAACGATGTAATTCTTCGGGTTCTCCTGTTAGTGAGGACGATTGCGGTTCCAGGTGAGTTCGTTTGTTCCCCTTGAAAATCGGTTGCTTCGAATCGTCTATCGCGAGTGTGACAGAGCTCAGCAAATTAAACTTGTCCCGTTCCGGGATCTTAATGATAACAGGTGCCGTCGAATCACTTGGATCCTCGCCACAGAAAAAGCCCGCCTGGTCTCTTATGCGGCGGGAATCAAACGTGTTCAACGCCTTTTCTTTATCATGCTGTCTCTTCCTTTCCGAGCTCGAGCCCAGTTGGACAGCAAGTTGACCTTTAATATCTGCCAGAGATGGCATCCGAGGACTCCCGGAAAGATAATCCTCATCTGCTACCCGTCCCACAGGCAATAAAAAGTCGTCCTTGATGCCTCCTTGGAATGATTTCCAACGAGGCAGTTCAGTCTTCAATGTACCGTTGTTGATCCCGTTCTGGAACTGCTGGTTTTGATGGTCCGGAGTATTCTGGTTCTGTTCGTACCCAAAGAGCAAGTCGAAGTCTGCATCTTTGGCGATCCAGAAAACCGTTCGCTGCTGGTACCTTCCCAAGCCTTCACAGACCCATACCAGCCAACAGTCGCGGTCGACATCTTCTTTTGTATTATTGTCTAGAATTCGAAGTCGATTCTTCGCAAACTGTGAGGAGACATAATTTCGATTGCATGATTCGTTGAAGAGCGCAACTGTTTCGATCTGTTCAGCGTGCTGGTAGCTTGCTCCCTGCACAATCCTGAGCAGGAATGCATACGTAGTCTATAAATCTCAAGTGTGAGCGTTTGAAGGGCGATCTTCGAATTCTACAGAAGGGATTTGGTGAAAGCTCACTGTGCTCCTTTCCCTATTTTCTTTTCCATCGCTCCGATTTTTGCCTAGAGAGGGGCCTCGGAAGTTGAATATCTGCATAGAAAGAACCCAGATAAGGCCGTAGAACTACTCTGTGACGAGAAACAGCAGAAGGGAAATTTCGGCAAGTCATGAAGAAAAGATTCTGTTGACCATTGGAAGAAGATGGCCAACTGTGTCGAGAAAAAACGGAGAGAAACTAGGCAGCAAGGGCTTCAAAGGAGGGCGGCGATTGAGAGATTAGACAGACGAAATCGACCCGGAGGCACTGTGGACGACATTCGGCAAGGCGATCGAGGGGGTGGGCACAAACCTAGGCTGACACATGTTTTCTGATTTCGCTCACCGAGACATGCTGTGTAGGCTATGTCCAAGCCTATCGAATTCCCTGTGTGGCATGCGAAGGTGCATAAGAAAATCATTTGTGTCACCCCAAGGCGGAAAATCCTCGATATAATTGGATCCATTCTCGAGTTGCCTTTCAACAGTTCCCGCTTTGTATCAGCTGAGGGTGTGTGTGACGTGGTCTTAGCGCGTGTGCCCTATTGAGACCTTGGTGACGCCCAGGAAATCGACCGATCATCATCCTGTTACGCTCAAGCCTCAAGGTGACCCGCTCGAGTTGCCCACACTTCCAACAAATACCACCTGAACGCTTGCGAAACTTGAATGATCGCTGGTCAGCCTCCTCTTCTTCGTCATTAGGGGGAAGACTTACGCAGCAGTTGCTGCAAATATCTCAATCCTTCTTGCTTTGGTAGCCAACGCCAGAACCAAAGAAAACATAAAAGTAAAAACACAAACTAGACCAAGTCGAATCTTGACACTGTGAATAACATACAGGACAATGATGGAGATCATAGGCGCTAATGAAGATGCAACGGTTCCGATAACGCCGATCGTTGCATGAATATGCTCATCCGAATAATAATATAGGGAACTTTTGTTTCCAGGCCCAGACTGACTTTCAGGATCGAGAGGAGCTGGGGTCTAAAAATTCTGCGGCTAAGCAAGCACGTTCCAAGCCATCATGGAACCATTTAATACACACCTTGTGGCGATACCAAAACTTGTGGAATAGCTTCAGAAAAGGCCCGGAAAGGAACTGGCTCAGGAAGTCGTCCTCTCCGGGGCTTTCGACAGGGCTCACAAAATCTCCCTCGCATCTGGCGTCATATGCGGAGGGCTGGACGAACCCCCCGAGGTCTCGACCGATAAACCCACAACCACCACCAAGATGAGGACTTTCGATCCATTCACGAAGTGTCCGAACCTCAGAATCCTTCGGACGATTCAATGATGAAACCTGGTTATATTGTTGGAGAGAGGCATCTGTAAAGTTAGACGGTCTTGCATGTATAGGAATTTGGGCTTGTACAATATTCCCTCAACTTTCGTCTGATCTCCAGGGCTAATGCCCACTGCTCTCCTCCCAGTCCACAATTCTCTGATTGACTAAGATGCCACCATTCGAAAGCGTAGAGATGTCTTTCGTCCCCTTCGTCGGTATCTCGATCAGATTTGGCCACTTTCTGGTATTGAGACTCCAGATGGACAAGCTCCGCTTGAAGGTACAAGAGATCTCGGGCGGCTGAAGCCTGGAATTGACGAAATATTGGATAGCTCTTTGTTACCATGAAATTCGAAAGCTTGATGTACCCCATGATTGAGGCTATCCTCTTGCTGGTGAGTTTCTCGATGAACACTTTCGCTCCTTTAAGAACGGCAGGAGATTCGATGAATACATGTAATGCGAATGTGGAGGTGGAAGTGGGCAACTAAGAAGCATGCTCAGCCACCCTCCTCTGGTCTCGTTGGCCAATTGTCACCGTAAACCGCCGCTGGCTATGAGCTGGCTGTCCAAGCAGCTCCTCATCCGGCAGCAGCACCTTGGATTTGCCGCGCCAGCACCAACAAGCACACACCACCACAAAATCAGGTTGGACAAGGGCCACTGGTCTGAGAAGAAAACTTCAACATTCGTTCCGCCGACGTCGACACCACACCTCGCCAAACATTCCACACTCCAAAATACAACTCACCTTCTCTTCTCTCCACGTCAACAACAACGACCATCACCGTCTCTATTACACACAAAGGACATGCTCCACCTACCCTTTCCATCGCATTACACAGTTCAGTCGTTGATCCTGCAGCTGTAGCGGTACGCTGACGTTGCCGTCATGCTTCAGCATACGGAGCACAACAACTGATAATCTTGCAATTATCGCAGTTCCAAACCACACACCATTTATTCTTCATCATTGTCTTTTTCGACAATGGAGTCCGTTCAATATGCGAAAAGGAAGAGAGACGCTGTTGATCCAAGCGATAGCGATGACGAACACGCGCACTTAACTCGACAGTCAAGCACCTACCTCATTCCGAATAATTCGGAGACTGGTCAATGTAAGACCAATCGACCTCGCCGCGCAGGAGTCAACTACGATCCTAAACCTCAGAGCCGGGCGTCCACTTTCCCGCGAGGGGGGAAACGACCGAAAAACATACTTGTTCTTCATGAAGGCGAGAGAACGCAAACGCAGGTTCGGCAGTTGCCACCCAATGAACCACCACGATCCGCTTCCCTGGTCCTTCTTCCATCGGAGACTACAAGACCTCGGACAACCGACCCCAGTGGCGTTGAAGCGGAAGTTCCAGAAGTTCGAGAGCTTATCAGCGGGAAAGCCCGAAGCAACGACTTGGTAGTCAACAACCCAGCTCAGAGCACCGCACCTGCCACCGTCTCTGACATAACATTGGGCCTTGAGCTATCAGATTTCAGTAACAATTCTCTAGGTGCCAAACAAAAAAAGGCAGGGGTTCTCCTCACTCACTGGAGGCAAGGATCCGATGTTGAAGGGCACCGACCAGACAATAATTACGACAATTCGGGTTGCACCAGGGAACCTAAACCGTCGACTGCAAGGGCAAGTACAGTGAGAAAGATGAACCACAGTGCCACATCAACCGATTCGAGAATATCCCCCCAAAACCTAGAATGTGCCACCTCTAATGGCGGACCTTCGCACTCACCCAACCTTGTTAGAGAGGAAAGCCGTACTAGTTATGTCAAGTGCGACGTGAACGAGCGCAGCGAAGTCTCATTCGAAGACATTGACACGTCGATAGAGGAGTCGTCCGATGGGTCGTCGACACAAGATGAAGGAAGGGAAAGTGCACCAACACCTCCGCCGCCGCCCCAACATGGGTATCCAGGCACAGTGGATGGATATCGAGAGAACGTGCCGGTGCCAAATGCACCAAGATGGGAGGGGTCCGCGATCGTGTGGGATAATCATGACCACCCGGATTCCTCCCGTGTGCTCTTCGACTCTGGGTCTAAGCCAAATTTCGTTTCCTGGAAACTAGCCCTCCGACTAGGTTTCCAACCCACGCCGCTCCCAGAGGAACAGTGGAAGTTGTTCAGCACTCTTGAAGGTCAAAAAGATCTCGCCCAATATTATGTCAAACTTGATATCGAGATGAGATGTGTGAACTTCAATCGGGAAACGACTTACTTTCTGGTGGTAGAAACGGATGAGATTGATATCGTTCTTGGCCGACACTTTCTGGATCAATACGGGATCGCTAGGAGATTGGTCGCAAACGCTCAGACAAGGACTGCTAGCAACGCATTTGCAATCATTACTTCGAACCCCACTTCCGGTATGATCCTCTCAAAAGCATGTCCAGTTATGTGAATTCCGCTTACTCACATTCCCTTTCCAGAACAAATTCGAAGCGTCTTACTAGACAAAGAACGTCGAAAAAAGCTCGCCGAGAGAGCCAATGCGAATATAGAGGAGCAGACCCGAATGCTGAGGCGGGGCCCGGACGCACCTTCGAGGCAAGGCACATCTTATACCAGTTCGAGTAGTACGGCAGGTGTTCCGGGGGAAGGCGTATATGGGCCAAAGATGGCAACTTTCTTGAACAACTCTTTTGGGCCTGCCATGGGCCGAGACCAGGGGACCAACATGCGGAACCATAGGCAGGCATCAATGGGTAGCTCCTCTACCGACAATTCATCGTTCCGAGACTCCCTTGACTCATCGCCGACGAATTCGATACTTCCCAGTCCTGCCACAACATTCAGCTCGAAGTCGACAGGCAGTGCAAGCTCGGGCTATAGTCGCATGAAACAAAAGGTTGGCAATCCATTTCGCAGCAAAGGGAAAGGGAGGAAGAAGGGCGAAGAGTGAAGGAGGGTGGGGTGATTATATACAGATACGGGCCCACCTTACGGGTGTTCGGGAAAGCTGGTCTATAAGGCCCTCCTATGCCTAACATCAGTCATCACACGCCAATCGTTTGGTCTAGGCGGATCAACCGTGCCAGAACCTGGCATTTCGGCCTGGACCGGGTCCTTGACTTTCTCAGGGTCGGCAGTTATTCCCGGCGGCCCCACCACATCGTCGGGGCCACCCAGCCCTCTCATGAATCGCCATTGGCTCTCCGGGTCCAGGGTCTGCCAGCCCCAACGTCTGTCGCCTTATCAAAGTATCAAGGCGTAGATACCTAGGCTTTTTTTTTTTTCGCGACGTTGTTTGTTGTTTCTTCGATTTTCGTAAGGCACTGTTGCAGACATACTGCCACGTCAGTTGGGTAACCACGGTCGAGGCCGGGGCCCACTGCGTTGTCGGCTGGAGCTTAGGCCGGGAAGCTCCAGAACCAAACCCTGGCCAGAGAGAATCAGCCAGGTGGAAATACCCATGAAGGGGTGAGAATGAGAAGATGAGAAATGACTCCATGGCTTCTGGCTTCTAGTTTCGGCTCTGATTTGAGTTTTCTCGTTGGTGGTGGGCTGCATATTTCTGGTGTTGTTAATTGGCTTGGCTTGTGACTACGGTAGAACTGCAACACGGATTCCTGCATGTTAAATTTTTGCAGGACCACATATTCACATAGAAAGGTCGGCGTCTCGTTTTAGCGTCGGCAATTTTACAATGAATATTTTCTTCCGTCCTTTCGAAGAGCTGTCAGAAGATGAAGTCGCTGTTGCCTGTTTAGAGCATCTGCAATTTGGGAGGATGCCTATCCAGGTGACCAGAGTCACCCACACCTTGCACTTACCATTGTCCTATCAAATATCCCTGCTGCTCAATAGTACAAAGCCATCTTCACGCCTCAGAAATCGTTAATCTTGCTGCCGTAATTTGCTGTGTTACATTTTAATTAAACGGTGTCTCATCAAGCAGTCAGTCAGTGATCAGTTAAAGATACATCTCAGCTGACTGACTGATGTGTCTGATCGATCAGGAATGTCTTAACTAGATTTCCTTAACTATATATTATATCCTCACTAACTGACTGACTGATTAGCCACCGACTTACTGGACACTCTAACATGAACCCGCGTGCCGTGTAGAGTATAATCCTCTAACAACTAGTGCCTCTAAATACGACGTGGACCTCTCTGTTTCCTTTCGATATTTTGTAGAAAGGGGCTCTTTTCTTCCTCCAAGTTCAGGTTTTGGGAGGTATTACGTAGGTGTTCCAGGGTAGCGATCTGCCACCATATGATCCACTTGAAATGAGAGCGAAAGCCTGGAGTTCGGCTAGTTAACGCTCGATTTCAATGGGTTGCATCTGCTCGGTGTTCGGAGTTAGGGACTGATTTCACGAAATTCAAATTTTCTGGCTCTTTCTCCCTAGCATAATATATATCCACACCGTTTCTCTATCTTCCTTAAGTCAAAGTTAAATCCACAAAGGCCTTTTTTTATTCTTAATTGTATTACTCTTCATTATTCATTATCCTGTCAACATGGTAGCACCAACTGTAGATTGGAACAATGGAGACAAGTCTGACTCGTTCTCGGTTGGCGCCCACAAACTCTATCTCTCAGTCTCCGGCAGAGCAAACCTTAGTACTAACATGTACTTTAGGTCTTTTGTTATTCCAAATTTTAGGGTTTATATTCTAAAATTGGCCATTAACAAAGCCTTTTAGACTTACATCTCCCTTTGTCTAATCCCTTTGTACTAGAAATAATATTAAACTGGTTACTAGTAAAGGTCGTGGGATTTTTAATATTCCTATTATGAATTGCAGACAAACTACAGAACGCCGAACAAAGTATACTCAATTTAAGCCTCGCCTCAAAGTGATGTACCAACCGTGGTTATCGTATTACCCTCTCGGCACCTCCGGACCAGAAACGTGGTTGGTCTAATTGGCCTCACACTGTACACATGACTAACAAATCAATTCGCAGATAACATAGCACGAGAAACGCCCAATTACATTCTGCAAACAACAGGGGAAAAACTTGCTGCCCTCCATCTTGTGGATTGCACACACCTACTCGCCCTCACTCAGCCCGTCTCTTCAAATTTCCCTAGCCAAAAACAAACTCCATTGTGGCTCGTGAGCATAAAACCAAAGGTCGAGTCTCAACATTACTTCGTGGGGGAGGAAAGGGGAGGGTAAGAGGAGCTCGCTGCTGGATTCAAGAATACCATATGGGGAATAGCGAGAGCATGTCCTACCTCGCCGAGTCTTGCACATGACCCGAGATGAGCTAACATGGGAATTCAATACCACAACTGTCTGCAAATGTTCAGGTGCGCTCAAATCAGAAAGAGATGGCACATCATTAGCTAGCACACCACTAAAACGCAAGTCCAACTGGGCGATGGCTCGGTCCTACGAAGATCCCGAAAGGCGGCACCAGCATTGTGAGATATTGTAAGCAAATTCATGCTGAGAAATCTTACCTTGGAAAGGACAACTTACCGGCAATTTCCGGCTTGGGGAGTTCCCTTGCACTCCCTAGGTTTGGGAAATTCCTGGCAAGGGCTAGGAGAAATACATCATCGCGACCTCTTATGGCTTGCTTCTTGCCCTCTGAAAATCGCCCGACAACACTATGCCAGGCGCCTACTTGGTCATGGGCATCTGTGAATGGGAATGTCTACTTTTCGAGTTACTTCGAAGCATGCGGCCCCGTTGTCGAAATACGGTCAGCGGAACTCGTTGAAGTGGGGTGTGATCTGGCTACAGGCGGTACCTTTGGGAGGGTGGAAAATGGCAGTTCGTTGCCCTTCGCGGCACTTTATGCCGTTGCATATGTCAAGGTGGACACCCCTTTCAGAGATGGGAATGCAATTGTATCATGCAAAGACCTCGGGTTTGTCTCAACCTTCTACGCTGATGGCCCTGGTGTTGAAATTGGTACGCTACTATAGCTAGCTTACCAGTCCTTCCAGCACCAGGTTCAACCACTAATTTAGGGTTCTCCACTCTCATTTGTCATGCGTCACTCGCCGAGCTTACCAAGCTTACTAGTATATCGTCATTTTGATTACTTTTGATTTATTGGCTGATTGATAATATATCGGAGAAAGCAGGTTCGGCATCATCGATATCGCCGATAGGTAATGGGGATAAAGACCCTTACCTTGAACACTTTCTCCTCTGTTTTTAGACTTCACTCTCTTGTATCTAGTCATTCTGCAGTCTGTCAACCTTCAATATATCGATTTTCCATCAATAAATCGATTACTTCTCAATACCTGGCCATGAGGCGTCATGTGGGCTATCTTCTGGAGATGAAGTACACTGTCTTTTTTTAACTGGTAGCCGTGTCGCGCTTGTTCTTAGTACTCAAAAAGTCGCAGTCCGAAGAAGAGACTTTTTTGAATGAGTCGGAATCACATCGTGTCGATCTAGCCTAGATCCCAAAATGTGCTTATGTAGTAAAGTGGGGGAATTCACACCGAAGGTTAAGAACTTAAGATTGCTTAAGAAGGACCAAAGGGAATCCAGAAGGAGTAGTTCAACGCAAGGGTGAGAGTCTGGCCCGTTAATTTCCCTCGGAATTACCTAAAGCTATACTTTCTATTTTTTATATCATTAATTTCTCCTTACGTAAGTTTATAAGTCGGGTACATGCGTACTTCTCGTAGCCTTTCATTACAAGAATCTCAAGACCACCGGCATCCTCCAACCAATTATCCAAGGCCACAATTCATCATATCCGTGAACAGCTCTTCTTAACTCTCAAAGCCACTACCCCTGTTGGAATACCGAAATTTGAGAATTTTTTTAAAGTGCTTAGAAAATTCCCAAAACTTGTAGAATTGGTCGCCCAAGCTTGCTGCTGATTACGAATATTTACCCAAAAGTTTGCTTTTTTGTTGCTGTTTTGGTAAAAGAAAAATTTGGGCGGTTGAGTGGTCTGGGTGGTTGGCCAATGAATACATCTACTTCCCCAACAAGCGAGACTGAAAAGGGGGACAGTGGTCACCTGACTTCGGATTACGCACTTGAAAAGTTTGAATAATTTAGAAACGATGGAATGGTAAGCTTCCGTATTAGAGAGCAATGGCGTCCTAAAAGACTTGGACGCCTCGGCATGGTATCAATTATCGTGAGTAAATGGAAGTCACAACACCTGCCAAGTTATCTGGCTGCGGAGTCGATTCGACCGCATCTGACATTTTTATTCTCAACCACGACCTCGAAAGATCCACGCCGGTATTTCGGGACTGGGCCGGACTCTTGGACCTCGGACACCTGACTCCCCCTTGGCTGAGAAAGTTGTTTGTGAAAGAACGAATGTGAACCTTCCTTTCTTGGATTACTTATTATTAAACGGCCTACTGTTTGCCGATATGAAGAGGCACAGCACCGAATACCCGGTACGCGAGTGTGGCAGTGCCGCAATCAGGGGCGGAGTCGGGCTAGCCAGCCCCCACGACCTTCGGCGCGTCGGTTGATGTCATGTTCCTTTCATCTTACTTCTCAGTTATGCGATCGTGAGCTTCATGTTTTGATCTCTCGCGGGGTTGCGGTACAGCTGTGGTGTGCAGTCGTTTGAGATTCTCCACTGAGCCGTGGTCATGCCACTGCGAGCAGGCACCCTCCTTGCATGGGTCGTGATCCTCTGCGCAGCACTTGTCGCTGCAGATGTGGATCCTGTGATGATCAAAGTGAGCTTCAACCGCCCAAATCCCTTCCACAATCGTTCTAATGGTCAATCGAGGGCTCACATTTCTTCTACCATACGAATGGCTCTGAATTCTTCATCCGAGGCGTCACATATCAACCGCCATCGAACTCGAATAATACACAAGTGGATCCGTTGGCAAATTTAGACTGTATGCGCGATATCGTGTTCCTCAGCCAACTCAATACCAATGTCATTCGGGTCTCCTACATCGATCCAACGCAAGATCATACAGCCTGTATGAGCGCACTGCAAAATGCTGGCATATATGTTTTTGTTGACCTACCCACAAACCTCACCATCAACAGCACAAACCCTCAATGGAACTTGGACATATACAATTCCTGGACACAGAAGATAGACGCAGTAGCCGGGTTCAACAATTTACTGGGATTCTTTGTTGGGAACAATATTATCACGAACAGCGGTAACTCGCCTGCTGCTGCGTTTGTGAAAGCTGCAGTCCGGGACCTCAAGTCATACATCAACAGTAAATATAATCGCGACATACCGGTTGGGTACGAGGTGAATGCTGCTGCCAATTACGATATCGTGTCGTCGTATATGACGTGCGGCAGCAATACTTCAGCAGCAATAGACTTTCTTGGTATATCAGACTTTAATTTGTGTTCCAACAATACCAGCCAGGGTTTCGACTTGATTTCCGCGGAGTACGGCATCTATCCTGTCCCCGTGTTTTTTGCGGACTATGGATGTAGGGATTCGCCTGGCAGTGCAAGGATGTTCGCTGAAGTGCAAAACATCTACGGCAATCCTATGACGAACATCATTAGTGGAGGCATCGTGTTTGAATACTTCCAGGACGACGAACTCAATGGTATGAAGTCCCGACGCGGTGGAACGAACCTTTGAAGCTGATCCCAACCTCAGGACTTGTCTCCATATCGGGAACCCACGTCAACCCCTTGGCAGACTTCACCTCGTACTCGTCCCAAATTGCTAAAATCACCCCTTCTCCTACTTTAGTTTCCAACTATGTGGTGTCAAATACTTTCACGCCGAGCTGTTCAACAGGGGCTGCTTTCTCTGCTTCTCCAACCTTACCACCAGTCGTTAACCAAAATATATGTGCCTGCATGGTGGGTTCTCTAGATTGTATAGCCAAACCAGGACTAGAAGCCGCAGTGGTAGAATTCAGGTACCGAAGTATCTGTGGGTCAACATCAGAAAATTGCCCTGCGTTGCATGGAAACGGAAGTAATGGCACATACGGCGCATTCAGCATATGTACAATTAACGATCGACTCTCCTGGGCTCTGAATCAGCTTTACCAATACAGTACAGCGGATTGCTACAGTGACGCAGATGCTGCTATAGCTCACACTAATTACTATTCCAGCGGCGGGGATTGCGCCGAAGCCTTGTATGAAGCGGGCCCGTCTGGCACAGGAACCATAAGTACGTTTCCAACATCGACCGGTTCAAGCTATCCTGAATATACGAATATTGGTGCCGGGGTGCCATCACCAGTTCTCAGCAACGGCGCAATAGCCGGCATTGTGGTAGGATCCATCGTCATTTTTACTGCATTTGTTCTCGGATGTGTACGGATCTGCTGTTGGAGGGGAAAACGGCGAGGCTGTGCTTGCTGTATACGAAGACGAGGCATCAAGTTCCAAGAAGATGCGACGAAGGACGAGAACCAATACCACCCAGATTCTCGACATTCAAAATCTCCAGACCAACCCGGTGGTCTAAGAGGAGGCGGATCTTCGATCATCTCGGATGATTCGCGAGGGATGGTGGAATTGCAGCCTTGGGACGAGAGATATCTACCACCAAGGAGTAACAGCGAGTTCCAAAGCACCAGTAGCAGATCCGAGATTCCAGCGCACGGGTTGGCCAGTGAGGGGAGTGCGTATGTTTCTCATCAACGACATCACAGCTCGACATCGCAGCATTCAGGACCCGAGTTGGTAAGCTCACTTGCCGCGCCATCACCGATGGACTCGGTGAAGGAGTTACCGGCATTTCGTGCACATGACCAGCCGGAGGACAAGTCGTTGGGGAGTATGAAGTTGCTGTCGCCGGTAGTGAAGGTATTGCCTGTACCAAATGCTGATAATTGAAAATTTTGGCATTCGCCTTCGGCTCGTTACACTTTCGAAGGCGCTCCTCTCGGAGGCCTCTCATCATATGTAGTGGCAATGGTTCTAGCGAGAGTGGAGCAGAATGACAGGACCCAATGACCTGGTATGCCCCGTTGATAGAATTGGGACCGGAATTTTCCGATAGCAGCCTGGTCCATGAGCCAAGAATTTAAAAGGAGCCCTGACCACCAAGTCTCTCGAGAAGTTCCTCATCTGGAGGAGAGATCGGTTACCGACAGTTCATTCTAGGGAAGAAATGATGGGGTTTCATTTGACTTAGGCCCTCTTTTTGACCGGCTGGATCTCATAGTCGTGGAAAGTGTTGGTCGACTTGATGATCAACCTCCGAGGTTTATGATGGATCTCTACTTCAGCAGAGATAAGATGGAGGAATCTGTTGAACGAAGTTCAGTTCGAACCATGCATTCAACACCACACGAAACACAGCAAGCCCGCCGCGGGGGAGCTTCGGCGCATTGCGGGTTGTTCAACCGTCGGGGTATTGTTTAAAAATATGGAGAGACTGGCTGTGTCTTACCTACATGAGGAAAGGGTTCATCGGAGCTGGTGGGTGGCAAGGTCAATGATCTGATGAAGTAGCGCTTGGACGAGCCTATGCTCAGGAGCTGTCGAGGATAGTCTGAAAGTGTTCTCCCGGGAGGTTCCAAAGTGGAATGCCTAATTTAAATATATCCTCCTTGAAATCCTCACAGTTTTGTCAATGTTTGACCCGTTGTTGGAAACCTGTCAACCCCCTTTACTGGCCTAACCTTCTCGGGCCCATCGGGCTGTTTCATGCGAGCTTCTTCCTTAAACTTTTTCTCTCAAAAAGTTATTTCAGGACTCCTAAGAGTAGATGCAGCATGGGAAGTTTGTACTATAAAACGTCTATCGATCGTCACCTATCAGAGAAGTTTTGCATTGAGGCGGAAGCTCGGTGTCGCTGCATGCTTACCACGGTATCACAAAGGCTGAAATACGAGATATTGAGCGTCTCAAAGTTCACCGGTACTGGCTTCTAAGATCTCGCATCCGAGGAGCTACAAGAACTGGGCGAATCAACATGCGTGCAGATCTTCAACATCCCTCCACCTTCACGCTGTGAAACGGGATTATCTCACGCCAAGACGGTCAGTTGCATCTTTGCCCATCACACAACTTTTCGTGATGAGTACAATTGAATCCTTCTAGGCTTGCATAAGGTTTGTGGTGCAGAGGATTGCACCTGCTAACTCGGCATAAATGTAACTCAAAGGACGTTGTCTCTCGCCATCAATATTACCTCTCCGCCTTTCTCTCCCTTGCGTAGATACTACATCCTGAATCGTATCACGTTTCCATACTTACTTCTCTCCTAATCCTCCAATTGCTTAAACTGACTCCCGGAGCGATGTCCGACCCGGTCAACTCTCCAGCAGGAATAACTATTCCAGCCGGCTTCCAGATACAGCCGGTTGATGATAAGTTAGACCCTAGCCCCATGCCGAGTAACCCTCCCTCGGCGGCAGCTTCTCTCGGAGTCTTAGCAAACTTCAAGGGAAATTTCGCGGGTACTGGCTTCAACCTAATCTTCCGCCCTAACAGCGGGCCTCCCACGACGACGACGTTCCCCAACCCCGTCGCCCCAGCGCCGCCCACCCCACCTAGCGAGAACGTCCTCGAACTCAACCTGACAACAGAGACCCTCTCGTTCTCCCCTTCTCTCGGAAGCGTCCCCAACCGCGGGCTCGAGAAACAGAACGACATCTTCCTCAACGGGATTCCATATGTGCAAGCCATCAGCGATGTGACTAACATCGCAACCGGAAAAGCGGACGGCACACCCGTCCCAATACACTTCGAGCCGGGGCTCTGGATGCATATTCCCGCAACAAATTCAGACCCATTCCTGGGCGAATCACTCACACGAATGGCTTCCATCCCACACGGCACCACGATTAACGCACAATGCCTCGCACCAACGACCAGCATTGCTGGTCCACCCACCATCGCGCCAGTTGACATTACCCCGTTCCCCATCGGCGGCAACCAACAGTCGGGAGGAATCAAGTTCGCAAGTCAAACTGCATCCGCCACAAATACCCCGCGGTTACCACAGGACCTGAGCAAGTTCATCGCCCAGGGCACAATCACCCAAGCCATGCTCACGGACCCCAACACCGTTCTGCGCAACGACAATGTAGGAAAGACGATCACCAAGACTTTTGTCTTCACCGTGTCCACCAAAGCCGTGAGCCCGGAGCTGGCTGGTGGGACGGCCAATATTGCTTTCTTGCACGGTTCCTCGGCTGGGCCGAACGCGGATGCGGCGCAGATGTCTGCGACGTTCTGGGTCGAGATTGTGCAATATAGTCTTGTGGTTCCTCCTTTCAAGCCTGGGCAGGTATGTTTCCTTTATCCATTCCACTAGACCCCCCTTTCGAATAAAATTATAGGTGTTGTGCTAACTTTGTTTGGCACATACAGGCGCCCCTGAAGATCTCACCCCGAACTTCTCATCCCGGTGCTCTTGTGCCGACCTTCCACGTCAATCCTCCCCTTGAGACCACAGTTCCCAAGACGATTGTCATCACCGCAACCCAGATTCAATATTCGCAGGTGGTGTTTCTCAACTTTGCTGGCTTGACGTGGCCACATGTTTCGGTGGCCACTCTTGTGCCGGCGACGTTGCAGACAGTGCCGGCTTCGGCTTTCAACTGAAGCTCCATATGGCTTTGTTTGACCATTTTGGAACAATGTTGATCCAGTGGACGTGGCCAGTTGTGCTAGTTGGTGTATTTTCGAGCTAGAATCATTGAATTCGTTTTTTTAAAGTTGATAGCCAGAAATGAGAGCCTTGACGGCGCCGCTTGGAATTCTCATTCGGAGCTACATTCGCTTACCTTATCTTTTGCCCCTTTTCTTCAAGTTCATAATGCTCAGATCAGCCCATGCACCGCAGTCTCTCACCTCGTCCAATGATTTAGAACTGCATATCACGTAGAGGCTGTAAGGTTGGAAAGATTGGGAATTATCTTACTAACGGCACAGAAGCACAAAGTAACAGGGCAGTTAGGGCTTATGACACGGCTTCCAGGCTCTCTGCTCTCGCGTGACACAGAAAAAGTGACCAATGAGTATGAGAAAAAACGATATCCATCAAAGCAGAGGCAATATTTGTGCTAAAAAGTCTACCACCTGCACATCGCAGCCCATCATATGGCGCCTGGATGTCTATGTTGCTTAAAAGGAAAAAGGAAAGAAGGTTTTCTCTAATGTCCGGAGTCCAATGAACAACTAAATTCACCTTTAAGGAAAGAACTCCAAGTCTTTAGCCAGTGTTGATCAAAGTTACGATTTTGCCAGTGCAGGATCCAGACCAGCAAGCCCCTTTCCCACAGCCCTGTTGATTCCGCCCAGTCTCTGGCTTCCAGGTTGTTGTTCAGCTCCACCGATTCCAAATATCCGAGTTTGGACCCAATAAATGCCATATAATGTGTTAGCATCTGGCACAGATGGTTCCTCAATACGTCGTAGAGAGTTCGCGAATTTCCAGTTCTCATAGAACCGTCCTGGGATGTCCCTGTTAGCGAAGGGCAGTTTTGATGAGGCAAGAGCCCCCACTTACATCTGGGAATGGCGGAAGAGCAACAGCGGGATCAGCGAGTCCCACTGTTAGAGTTGTTCCGAAAACCATGAAAAAGATTGCGCGAAGGCGTTTGAGAGTGCATGATGATAAAAAACTTGGCCGGAGTAGTCTTTCAAGTATCTTCAGGTATTGATGGCCGGTAAAGGCAGTGAATTTGAGGTTCTTAGGATTGGATTCCTCGAGTAGCAACACCGATGAATGAGACTCTGTATTTTCTGCTAGCCCCATAACCGCTGCTCGTTCTTGTCTCCCTGAAAGATCCCAATCAAACTCAAGGACTTCAGCGGCGGAATCTAACGCCGAGAGATTCATTTGATATAGGAAGGTGTGAAATACCATAGGAAGATCGTCAATGAAGTTGGCATATAGGAATGTGTAAAATACCATAGGAAGATCGTCAAGGAAGTTGGCTTGTGCGAAAGCGGTGCTCAAAGTGTTCGTATTTCCAAGGTGTCCTCGCTCAATAACTTCTCCAAGCCAGGAAGGCCTGAAAAGATCCCTCTGTTTCACTAGAGATGCCCAGGAAGTCAGATCAGCTATGCCCTGTTCGATGCTTCAATCATCGGGACACATTTACCGTGTGGAAATATGCTCACATCAAGTAGGGATGTTCGAACGCAGCTCACGAAGCCCAGCACCCGCTTCTCGTGGTTGTGTGACATCTTGGCAGCTTGCAAGCAGGTGGTACATAAGTCATCGTCAGAGCACTGATGTACCATTAGGATAGACAGTCGAGTAAGAGCCGGAAATTTCGACACTAACCTTGATCTTCAAGAGTCTGCATCTCATACATGCGCCACGCTTGCGAACATTCTTGACTTGGTGACGTCGTTCAGAGTTGAATTTACTTCTTTTGCGGCTCGAGTTGGTCTTCTCGGCTCCTCTCAAGGGAAACATGATCACCGAAGAAGGCAGTGGCTTAATCTCATCCCTGTACATTCCATCTTGAGAAGCCGGGGATGGTGCATTCATGCTGGCCGGAACTGTGAGCGAGACTTCAAGAGCAATAAAGATGAGCGGAGAAGGATAGAAGCAGAAAGGACAATAGGAGAGCTTTTATAAACCCAACCTCCGACGTCGCCTAGATAGGGTCGGATAGTCTCAGACCCTGGCCTGGTGGTGGTTTGGTTACACAAACCGTAGAGCTGACGCAGGAATCAAGCCACACTTGCGCTCAATGACTCAGCTTTCAGCACAGCGCTTACTCGAACTTCGACTCAAGGGCCACCCTCAAACAAGGCAAAGACGTTGAACTCCAATGGGGAACTTCCCAAAACAAATTCCCCTGCCGATCTGACTCGTCCGTGATGAGGTAGGTTACACGAGCCAATAAGGGGTATTATGATGCAAGCCACGCTGCTCTTGCATCTTGCTTGATGCCTCTTTGGGAATAGTGGGCAATCTTGACTCCTGATTCCCAGGATTGACGTAGCAGAATTCTGCGGTAGCAAGAACAAGATCGAGCGCGGAATTTTCGGGTGCCCAAGTCTTTGAGAATCAGGATGAAAAAGACTTTCGAATGCCTTCTAATTACACTCTTTTCTTGTGGATGTTGATATGATCAAATGTGTTCTCAGACCGTGGTCGTTTCTGAGGTGTTGGGCCAATGTTGGTGTTGTCCGGTCTTCGGGAAATGGTTCTTCGACACTGTGCAAAACGGCATTGACGACCTTGACGTCCCGCGGCCGCAGAGGAACCGATGTGCTCATTGTATAAGCCGTATCTCCGACGCGCGGAGGATGGGCAGCTGTGGAGGGCACAGGTCTCTCAGCATCGTGGCTGGAAGCCTGGAACCAGCTGCCAGAACGTCTGCGTCATCCTCGTCGAAATGTTCATAATCCTCCCCGTCAGTATGAACTTCTGCTTGACTGGTGAAAGGATTAGCCTTTGGGATTGTTGCTGAAGGAGAGGTAGTGAATAAAGCTCTGTTTACTTATACGAAACGTGTCGGAGCTGGTGGTAAGATCAGTGATCTGACCAGGCGAGTGTGTTGTCAATTGACGCTCGTTGCCCCTTTTCGAATCGCCGTCAGAAGAGTCATCGCCGACAACCCGTATCTCAGACACAGATGCCATTGCAGGACAAGCTGTATGGAGTGCATGCCAGCTTGAAATCCAAATATAGCGTCGTCGAATTCTTGTCCTAGCTAAGTCGGACCTTGTCACTTGCAATTGTCAATCGGCCCGCCATCAGTGCCATAACAAAATACTCGAGCTGGGAAAGTACTACGTACTTTCTTTTGCCCAATCCTGCCCATGGCGGGTAAATTGAGCCTGCGGAGGACTTTTAAGGGGGGTTATGAGAGTGACGCTTTTTGCGGGGTAGGGAAGGGGGGGGGGAAGTAAAACGACGCCCCTCCAGGTGTCGATTGGGGTGTGACGTATCGAGTTGGGGCAGGAATGTTAACGAGTTGTAATTGATTACTTAAGCCCTTTAGAGACCTTAAGTTGGATTTTTAATCCAAGTATAAGCTAATATATTATAAGGCTTATAATAAAAATCTCCCTTAAAATTTAAATTAAAGGAGTTTATATACTAATTAATTAAGTTCTAGCTTTTAAGCCTTATAAAGCCCTATAAATCAGGGGCTTATAGGGCTCTTCTATCAAGTTTCAAGGACTTAATCGCTAATTTTCTAGGCTTTTCTAAGCTTATCTTTAGGCTATAAAATATTAACTTTTTACTTTCTTAATTTAAGAACTATTACTAATTTATATTTTATTAAAATGTCATATTTGAAAAGCCCTTTATTAGCGCTATAAGAGAATAAAAAATTATTGAATTCTATTAATTCCTTATAAAGTAAATTGAATTTAAAGAGAAAGCTAAATTCTTGGTGTTCCTGTCCAGGCTCCTCTACTTTGGGTTACTGTAGTAGGTTAGTCTGGCCTCCTGGGGTCTGTCGTTTTACTTTCCCCCCTTTTTGGAGCGCGATCCGTTCTGCTGTCCGACTTTCCCATTTTCGGTCTGGTCTGGACCTTTTTTGCACTTACAACGCCCAATCTTCCTCCAACACTTCACATCCCTCTTTCCACAGAGCCATTAACACTCCCAAGACGAGGCAATAACGTGGGCGGGGGCACCCCAGCGCTGGCAACAACTGTGGACTGGAATGAAAATCTGGAATGAAAGCCTCACTATCCAATTCTGTCGAGGCACAGGGGTGGTGGGGAACATGGCAGTCCTTACCTCATTCGCAATTGGTCTATCGACTAAAGCTTGACCCTTCTCGAGAGTGTAAAGAATGGGTCCTTTAGTTTTTTAAAGAGATTTTGCTTGCTTTTTTTCTCCCAATATCACTCTCGTGCTTTTTTGATAGAGCTTTTCTCGACTCCCTCTTTGACAAGTACGCCCTTGCATTTGTGTGCTATTATGCCCTGTTATTGGCTACCACTGTGTTCCGCATGATTTTACCCCGCATGACACAAAGTTTACAAGTACCGAGATCGCCCTCTTCTGATTTATATCAACAGTTTTCACCACCTTCCATTTGCATGTCTCACACCTTCCCAATTGCAACTTCACACAAGCTCAGTTACCTCCCTCGTCCATTACTCTTATCCAAATGTCTTCCCTCTCCCAAGACGCGTTGACCCTCCACGGCGGCTGCGACTGCACGAGCATCCGCTTCACAATCTCAATCCCCGCTCTCGTCTCCCGTCCGGTTCTACCATACCCGGACCTCTTCGGTGCAGAGATTTGGCCCCCACAAATCTTCTTGGACCACTGCAACAAGTGCCGCCGCGTAAGCGGCGCTCTCGTCCAAGGCTGGCTCACATGTCCACAGGATTGGGTTGAGTGGGCTATCAAATCCACATCCGGTGAAGAATCCCCAAGTGCGACCAAGTTCAACACAGTAGATCTCATCTGTGCCAAGCCTGGGGTATTGCCAGTTGTCAACTATGCATCGACTGAAGGGGTTACGCGGCCGTTTTGTGGGAGGTGTGGCACGAATCTAGCTTATGTTTTTGAGGGGAGAAAGGAGAAGAATCCGATTCCGATGGTGGATATTGTGCTGGGTAGTTTGGATACCGAGAGTCTTGAAATGCCGGGCGTGAGACCTGAGAGGCAGTTTTATTGGAATAGTGGGGTGGAGTGGATAAAGAGGTTGGTAACTGAAGGCGATTCTAGCGTGGGTGGAGAGAAGCTTCCTAGACATCCGGATGGGAGTAGGATGCAGGTCGTTTGAGGAGGATTCTGGTAACCGTGGTTGGGAAGAGTCATATTTCGTATGGACTCGTATTCGAGGGTCGTCTATAGCCAAATATGTCGGCATGGTTTTCTTCATATTCGCCTTTCAATTGGCCCAACATTGCCGATTTTGTGAAGATTAACACATGAATAAGCAAGATACAGTTGTTGCTGAGTTGAGATGACGCGCTGGAACACGCTCTCAGGTGACGCTGAATTTCTGCCGGCTACGCTGTTTTTGGCCTAGTCAATTGAAGGCTTGCCCGCCCGCCTAGCTCCTTCTGAAAGCTTCCTGCTCCAAATATACCATCAACCCCAAGCTCCATCACAACATTCCAAGATGCGCCCACGACTGCCCGCACGAAGAATACTCTTCCTGCGACCTTTCAGACCGCCCAATGCTCCTCGCCTCTTCACACAGAACACCCTGACTTCCCGGCCACAACTTCCCTTCCTCTCAACTTCCCGCAGACGACAGACTGCACGATTCCTCACAACAGAAAGAAAGCAATGGATAAAAGATGAGGTCTGGCTGGCAGGGAAGTATACAGCATTCCTCTGGGTCGGAGGTAGCTTACTGCTGGTTATCGCGTTCGGTGTGCAGCAAGAATGGCTGGATCGCAAATTTCCATCCCCCAGCGAATGGTCGTGGGTTACGAGGAAGGATTTCAGGAGCGCAAAATGGGACGAAGACCACGAAGGAGTGAACGATGGCCTCGTGGACTGGGCTCGGACGGGAGAGGCATATCGACGACTGCTGCGGCGACTGGAAGATCCAAAAATAGATGGCGCTGGGCTGCAGGATCAAGACGAGGGAGGGATTCTGGTGGCAGGAATTGGAAAGACTGGATTCGATATTTCGAAGAAACCGGAAGCTTGGAGACGTGGGTATTACGAGGTCTTGATGGGAGCTGCCAGAGCTGCAGAGCATCTTGATGGTTGGGTGCGAGACACAACGAGGAACATCGCCTTTCCTGCTAATGTTGTGATCGGTCTTTCAAATCCGAACCCGCGTCCGGTTCCTCCTGGTGCTGCAACTGCACCAAGGGAAGAAGACTGTGAGCCAGCGTTCGAAGCTCCGGAAATATATTATATGCGGGTTCTCACGACAAGTGGTTTCACGGAGAAGCAGAGAGTGGATGCTGCACTGGCATATGGAGCATGGTTGGAATACAAAAAGACACCGGAAACTGCATTAGAGATGTACAAATGGGCATTGGACATTGCAACTTCGAGCTCAATATCTTCCAAGTCCATTATCAATACCACGACTGGCATTCTCGACCCATCTGCCGGATTACCGTCTTCGAATCTTCTGTCTGCTGCGACGGCTCTAGCGGTATACCATGCTGTCCATTCCGACCTCTCCAATGCCCTTCCAATATTCCTTTCCATCCTCCGCGCACGAAAATCCTTGCCGGAACAGCCTGTGACGATGCATTCAACTCTGAACCCGGACGAGGAAATGGCCGGTTTCTGGAAACGCGCCATGAATCTCGTCCACAGCCTTATGGTCCCCCCATCATATCCACCTCCTCCAGGTGATGGCACAACACCACCAACACGAAATCCGAAAGAACGCTGCGAGGAAGCAGGCATTATGACATACATTGGAGAGATACTCTACGCCTCAAAGCAAACCAAAGCAAGCAGGGAGGATGGATTGGCCTGGACTCGAGAAGCAGTCGATATTGCAGAGGAGCAATTGAGAAGAAAGGGGGTTGACAAGGATGGTAAAAATACGTGCAAACAGTGTCTTGAGGTCGGCTTGGGAAACTGGAAGACAATGGTGTCACAAATGGCGAAAGAAGAGAAGGAGGCAAAGGCGCAGAAAGCCGGCGGCTGGCTTGGATTTGGAGGCGAGTCTCAGAAAGATGTTACTGGGAGATGGGAGCGTGAGAAGCAGGTTATCGTTGAGAGGCAGCGGAGGGCCATGGATATTCTTGCATCTCCTTCACAAGCTCCTCCGAGTAGCTCCTATTTGCAGGTATAAGGAGCGTGGGATTGGGGTTGGCTTTGTGGTTGGGAAATATAGGTGTGCATGATCTTTCGAATTGAATACCCAATCCTACTCAAGCCAGTTAGTCCTATCTTCTCTCAGTGACCTTCCCCACTGACGCCGAGTGGCAATGCGGAAGCCCATACCCCCAATACATTTGACATCTCCTTGCTTCTTGTTTTCGTGCATTGGACGTCCCTTTTATTTCGCTGTCGGTACCGAGTTGCACGCGGCAACCTTAGTCCGGCGGTCTTCTTTCCTTGGTTACCAGTTGGATTTCCTCGGTGGGGGAGCTGCTTCTCCAACATCCCTGCATCCAGGCTTCATCCAAGCTCAAGTTGAGCCAAGCTGAACAAACTTTCTCGGCGACAGTCGAACCTTCAACGGCTCTTTCTCCACCAAGACATATGTTTTCTGCTTCGCCCAATCGTAGTCTGCCATCCCTTTCGGCAGACTGAGATCAAAGTTCCAAATCATACGAGAAAGGATGAGCCGCAGCTCAGCGTATGCCAAGTTCTTTCCAATGCAGTTTCGAGGGCCAAATGAGAAGGGCTGGAGCGTGTTCTTCTTGTCGGTTGCGAATTGCGAAGTCCTGTTCGATTGCAGCCATCGCTCGGGGATGAATTCGTTTGGCTGCGAGAAGTTCACTGGAGATCGGTATGCGCTCCATTGGCTGAAGGATATATTAGTCCCTCCCGGAAGCCACTCGCCGCATACGATACCTCCCTCTGCTGGTGTTACTCTTGGTAGACCAGACGGAACAGGTGGTGCCATTCGCAGCCCTTCTTCGATCACAGCAGACAGATACGGCAACTTGCCAAGTGAAGAAAGATTTATATCCGTTTCTTCTTCGAAGTTGCATCTGATTTCTTGGACCAAGGTTGCCAGACACATCGGATTCTTCAGCAAGTAACCAGTCGTTCCAGCTAACGCCGATGCTGTAGTCTCACTCCCTGCGATGATCAAGATATTGAAAGTCGTTTCAATCTCTTGCAAAGACATCCTCTCTTCATTCTTCGGATCGAGAACATACGATATGAAGTCTGGCGAGGCCTTTGCCCCCTTGAGTCGACGATGAATCTTCTCCCTACTCAACTGGAAGTGTCCCTGTCGATTCGACACAGGTGACGGCAGCCACCACCGCAGAAACCGCTCAAGGAACGGATAAAAGCGGACAGAAGTCACCAAACTTGCAGCTTTGAAATGCGAAAAGACCAGCGCCGACCACGAATGATGCCGCTCATCCGTCAAGCACCCAAACGTCTCCCCAAAGCCAAGCTCTCCCACAATATCAAACGTCGTCCAGCTAAACCACTCCACTAAATCCACAATCGCATCCCCCCAACCTGCCCTCGCCTGTTCATGTAATCTCCTCATCAACGTTCCCACATACTGCTGCAGAATCGGCTCCTGCTCTCTTAACGCCTTATCCGAGAACGCATGGCTTATTAACCTCCGAATGCGATGATGATCCTTATCACCCGCGCTTAGAATCGAGTTTGTGCTGTTCTGCTTTCTAGACATCCAAAGCGGGTTCTTGCCAAAGTTTTGCCCTGGCTTATGGCTACCGTAGATGTCGGTCCACGCTTGTGGGTTGATGCATGATATCTCGTTAGGACCAATGCGGATCATTTCTCCGTACTTCGAATGGAATTTTTGGACCTGGTGGACCAATGTCCCCGATTGCATGGCTCGCATGAAGGGCCATCGAGTTAGAATCCAGAGTTTTGGTCCTTGGAACCTTGACAGAGGGTGGTAGAAGAGGAGATAGACGGCGCGTGCTGTGAGATACTGGGAAAGTTAGCCTGGTCATGCTCTTTGTGCAGGCTGCGGAAGGTTGTGGAAACCTACAAGCAACAAAAGAAAGGCCAACACTACAAATATTTGGAAATTATTGAGCGGCTTTGGAGCACGGAATGTTGCCCAGTGGAACGGCTCCATGTTTTGTGGGATTTCGAAAGAAGAGAAATTTGCTTCCATGTTGTTTCTGCAAGAGCAAAGTTGCTAGATAACCGGTCGTTGAATGCGAGAACGACTTCTTCTAAGTTCTACTAAAGATTGCAAGCATGCGGCGCAGTCTCGTCCTCTGATCTCTTCGTTTGTTTATTTTCCACATCGTTGGCTTTCTGGATTTCATTCTTCGGGGCTGGTTCTCCAAGAAGGTTTAGCCTCGGCGAGTTGGCTTTTTGGGGGCTGTCAAAACCTCGAATCATTCCCATCTCTACAGTCCCGCCAAGTCTAAATCCTAACCCGATCCAATCCTCAACATCCCTGTTGGGAAACCTCCGCATCGCCACCAAAACGGGAGCACTGGCTGACGTGCAGGCAGATAGGCGCTGATTAGCGGAGATGTGTTTAAGCGCCCAGCCCCAACCCCAGATATGCAAATGCGCGTGTGGTGACGCTGACGAGGTATCCTCGCTTCTATCCCCATCAACGCCATCGGCTCCAGAATTCGGGGTCGAAATGGAAGGTAGAGGTGACGCACAGGTCAGCATGTTCCCCCACCGGAATGTTTGTTCTTCCCAAGCCTATGTTTCACGTGAGCAGCGCCGCCTTTGCTCAGGCTCGGCTCAGGCCGGGCTCATCTTCGGCTCAGGTTGCTCACCCTATTACGCGACGCGGCGTGGCGTAGCTAAGAATTAGGGACCAGGAAAAAAGAAGAAAAAACTCTTTTATAAGTGCTATAAAAAGTAATAAATACCAAAAACTCTCCAAAAGCAGACGTAAAAAAAATGGACAACTGCCAAACAATCTATCCTAGACATTATCTGGCCAAAAAGCACCAAAACTCAATACATTTCCCTCCTACTTCTCTTGAATATTCCAGCAGCTCTTAGCAAGTGTTACGAGACCCCTTTCCATTTGGCGTTACTAAGGGTAATAAGTGAACTTGATATCCAACCGTTCTAGTACTATAGAATAAGCGGACGGCCGGTCCCTGCCTTGAGGAACATTAGTACAAGGCCACCGAACACCAGCTGGGCCAGCCCAATCCACAGGTGGTACAGACTGTCCAATTGGCGAGTACATCCCATACACATTGACAACAGACCTCTCTGTTGGCCCCAGGTTGAGGAAGCCCTGTGGCATGGCCCTACTATATGGATATGCGACTCCGTCCTGAGTGGCACTGGCAATGGCGAGATCTTCTGAATAATATTCGCTATAGGGATCTGATTTTCCAAATGCTGCTTTCCATACAGGCATATTTTCTATCATTGAGTATACGAATACAAGTGCAGGGCCCCATCGACTCGGTATCGACGCAATCCAACAGAATTGCCTTGGGATGCAGAAAGATGCGACCACGTTGTCCACTCTCCCGGGGGGGGGGGGGGGGGGGTTGTGCGGCGACATCCACGAGCATAGATTCATAGCCGTTTTTTGCAAGTGCCGCCCCGAAGTCCTGCAACGGTCTGGATTAACCGACGAACAGGGAACCCTGCCAGTCCACACATTCGTCCATTGCATATTAAACCAGGGTTGCTTCCCAGCCCTAGGCACCAAGGAGTATCTTTCGAGGGTAGCCTTGTAATCAATTGATCTAGGAATAACCGACTGGTCTGCAGAACTATGTGCGCAGTCTGCAATGCAAGCGAGGGCCAGGAGGCCGAAGTGTAGAGAGGATAGACATCGTGAGACTATGGCAGAGAGGTTTGAGCGTGCCATGACCGATATTTCGATGAATAGCAAAATCGATGAGATAACGAAAACAGGTGTTTCTGGCAAGGAATAATAAGTGGTGTATATTGCAAGACAGTGCTTGTTAAGATGTGTAGCAGTGCTCAGAATGTTTATTGCAGATGGCCGAGACAACTGGAAAGATGAACTCTTATATATATCGTTATCTGCAAGTTCATATTCCAAAATACCTTACTCTTGACTAGTATAGATTTCTCGACTTGGCAGCCGTGGCTGTGTCATATAGAGAAGAAGCGATGTGTTGACATGGCTATTTTACTCGTGCCGCCCAAAGTCTGTCTTGGGCCTAGCTCCCGCATCCCTTGCTTATCCAACCAGTTGAGCAGAATCGAGTGGATTGGTGGAGGGATCTACTTTGTTTACTTGCCCTCGCGCTAGGCCCGAGACAGACTTTTGGGCGGCACGAGTAACGTTCCCTTTGCGGAGGCAGACTTTTCAAGCTAATATTGAATTGCGGTAAGAAGATAGATTAAAGGCTGCCTGATCGAAATCTTTTTGGTTCAGGCGCAGTGTTTCATTCTCAAATGCAGGTTTGTCACATTTCGGTAGCAACTCAGGCGCGTGTCCACTCCCAATACAGATACTGGTAGTAGAAATCCTTCATTAATAACCGTCTAACAGTGGCGCAGTGGGGCCAAAACACAACAATAGAACCAAACTCAAGAGGAGGATCGAAAATAAAACGGTCCAAACTTATCCGTTCAGCTGCGGCCAGGAATACATGGCCCGAGCATAGCAAAGCGAAAACCAAATGAAATCCCGTATTTCAAGGCTTTAGAGACGTCTCTCCTGAAATTTAGCAAGATGGTCTCTAAAATACAATTTTGGTGTTCCTTGCTTAGAAAGCCGGCATTTCTGGCTGAACGGATAATGGAGTAAAACCAACGATAGAATAAAACCCCCAACGGAAGGATTAAACCCAATCATAGGGTCAAACCCAAAAGTAGGATCAAAATAACAGAATCTAACCAATATATAGCCAACTTCGAAATAGGATCTAACAAGAGAATTCTAAGGAGTGGGACCGAGGTGAAACTACACTGCCAGTTCAATTTCACGAAACCACATTTTTTGGAATTTAATAACGCTAATAATAGCTAACTTGGTAATTTTTTGGTCTCTTTCCTGGGAAGGAACCCGACAGAAGTTGCTATCGCCGACAGAGTTTCGCCACGACCATTACGAGAAATTCTATATAAGTCCCATTCAGTCTCCTCTTCCTCTCAATTATTAGAACAGCAGAACTCCAAATACTTTCCTCAACGCAACTTCGATTGAAATCACTTGAAACAAAATCTTCCCGCTTCCTCAGCTTAAACTCTTCCAAAAACGCCCCTCATTTCCCATACTTCTGTCACCAATTATTCCTACCGTTCCAACATATCCGCCATAATAAAGAGTACAGAAGCCCCTTTTATACTGTATTCAACACAAGATTACTAATATTTAATCAGCAACCACCATTGCACTTGGGTTCTTAATGAGCTATATTTCTGGGAGATCTTTTGCCCTTCCCACGAATACACCGCTCAATAACGTCCTCTCATCTTCGAGTAGTCCTTTCCACGACTGCATGGAATCGGAAAATGCTATCTGGACTGACTGCAGAGCTGCCGCAGGCCTCACAGCTCAGTCAACCGGTTCTAGTACTGTGGTTGTTGGGGGCCTGAACACCCGAGCGCTGCTGCCTTTCCATTCTATTGGGACCATCATCGACTTAGGCCAGAAGTTGGGCGGATCTGAACAATGTTACTCTGTCAACGATCTTGGTGCCACTGGCTGGCTCACAACTACCGCAGTCGCAGGTCTGAAAACCAAGATATGTACTGCAGCAGTCAATGGGGCAATTGCTTCAGGGCGCGGATGTTATAACGAACCTCACGGAGGTTTCACCCAGCAGGGTGCAGGACCCGTGGCCACGTCCAAAGTGAATCTATACCTCGACATTCTCCTCACGGGAGCACAGGCTCTAGATCCAACCATCGATATCACCCAGCTGGCCATTGACCTGTGCGAGAAAGGGATTGACCATCTTACCGGGGATAAGGGATGCACCGCACAAAGGAAGGCCGGAGTTATTGTTTCGCATAATTCTGTGAATGGTGGCGCGATTGATTGGGCACCGAATGGCCAAACTCCCCAGTTTGATAACACTGGCGTGAATTGCGGGAATTGTTTCATGAATATGATTATGGAAGCTTCTAGCATTGTCGACAAAGATGGCAAGACCGGTATCCCCGAGGATGCACCTCCCTCTTAGGGATGACGGTCTATGTTTACATGGAAGTCGAGGGGGGGATTAGAGCACGGGTCAGGGAGTTAGCATTCCTGAGTTTGTTGAAGTACTGTATCTGCTTTGGAGATTTTCTTTTTGTTTTAGCTTATCTTTTGATTGTTTAGTCTAGTCTCTCGTTAAGTTTGTAGTTACTTGTTTGGTATTTGTTTGTTTTACTCATCAAGTCCAGTGTTATATCTTAAATTGAATCTTTCTTCCAACCCTCTGTCTTTTTAATCTTGTAAATGTAATAGAGTCTCGTCTCTACGGAGAAATGTTCTGTTCAGCCAGCTCTGATCTGTGTACCCTTCGATCAAACATGCTCCTCAAAAATGGTATCCGAGCTCGCATACGTAATACATTAATTCAGAGTTCGTTCTCCAAGGCATATAAAGACTTGGTAATAGAGCTGACGAGGCTCGTTCGTATCAACTTTATAACAGAGGCTACTAGTACCGAATATCAAGGTACAAATAGAGAGAATTTTTAAATTCAAACTTCCGAAGCTTCACAGTATCCACTGACAAAGTACCTGAAGTCGAGTTATTAAATCCTTCCACACTATGCATATTAAATTTGTGATTGCTTTCAATATAGTTCTAGTCCCGTTATTTCTATTAATACATAGTACATTCAAGGTCCTACAGCAAGCACTTGCATCGAGGATTCAAGTCAATTATATCATTCTCTGTCACTGAACCTCAGTTGACGTCTCCGATCTCCGGCTTCGGCCCATTGATTGCTATGTAGCAATGAAAGACGCCTTGCCAAACGAAATATGAGCCTTATCTATAGAAATCCCTTGCTCAGTTGTAATAGAGATGGAAACTTAGGCACTTCAGTGATTCGAGGATTGCATAGACTCGGGTGACACATATGAAATAATGGGCAAGGATCTTGCCAGAGCGGTCCCGTCAGCTCCTTTCTTCTCAGCACGTACTTCGCAATTCTCCACTCGTCAGACGCAGGATGGCAACCATGAAACTCAGGGTGAGGGTGGAGTTCGTCTTCCGTGGCTGGCAACACCTTTACATCCCAACTGATGCTTTCCATCATTGTTTGCTGATCTTCGAGCTCTTTTCGACAGTCATTTCCTTTCCAGAGTACCTCTACTTGCTGTGCGTGAAGTGATCGAAATTTTTCAATCAGGTTTGGAAGATCCATGCTATACCACCCGTTTTCGGGACAGGGGTCGGTTGGATTGCGCAGCATTCTCCCTCCTGGATATGAACATCTGTTAAGGTCCATAACAATCGTGACTTTTTGCTCCGTTGTCCTCTGGCCTAGCAATACGAATATCATTTCGACGGCTGGGTTGATATTTTCTGCTCGGCCACATCGTAAACGCCCTTCGGTGGTGGGGAGCTGCAAGAAAGGATGCCGTGGATATATCTCCCAACGGGTTTTGCCCTCTGCGTTCGCAAACCTCTCACCATTTGAACATTGCCACACGGGATCCGGTCGCCCTGCGTTCACTTCTATCGAAACTAGGGAGGCTCGGTTTGCCGGACCAATGGTTCGGAGCCATGAGACGATAGGATCCCAATTATGCTGTCCCAGGAACGCAAACGTGTTCTTCGTATAGAACATCCGAGCTGCCTCGTGGCTCACGGTCTTGTTACACAAGATAAGATTCACAGCTAGAGGTCGGAGGCTTGCTAATATAGCTTCTTGGTCGACCTCTTGCCAGTGTAAAGCAGAAGAAAGACGTCTCATCCTCTCATTCGATGGCCACGCCTCCCCTTCAGGTTCAGGGTGATAATGGTATTCCCCTTTCCATTGACCCTTCCAGACAATGATAGGCGACGTTGATACCAGCCCTAAACCATAGATTTCATCGCGAATTTCGCGGGAGAGGGACAGAAAGGTGAGCGGGGGCGAATTGCGCGGTCGTTCCGGGGCAGTATCTCGAATCAAAGCTGTACAGCGGTTTCGAATCATGACGTTAAGGGCGATAAGATAGGTTGGGTCGTTTGTTTATGAATCACAAAGTGAAAGTGCATTCGAGGAGGCCAGATGACTGTTGTCAAGCGGTACTTGTAAGGCAACGACTTCAAGCGTTCTATTTTTAGCCTGTTCCAACAAAACCTAACAGAGGCCTTTGTTTCACTAAGCACCGTTGTATATGGACACACCCACATCGAGTATATAGACACCCTTTTCAAATTGTGAAATTTGCTGAGAAGAATTAGTCTTCAGATTCAGGCGTGAGGAAACCAGGCATCAATCAAGATTTCTTACTAAGTCTGAGTTATTCGAGTGCGGCCGTGTGAGAAATTCATACAGTACCTATCTCCAGTTTATCTGCTTTGTGTGTGGGGCACGTGACCTATACGAAGCGGTATAAATTGTTAGTTTCTAGGTGCCGAAAAAAACACCATCGAAACGACGAAGCAAATTTTCGGAAACCCCCTATTTACCTCACTCCATCTCACGTTATCCCTTCGTCCGGCAAGACATAGTCCACGCTAGCAAGGGGGCCTGGCTCAGACTGTAAAGTCGTACCTTTGCTAATAAACTTATTAGTCATCTATCACTTTTTCGCCCTGAGCCAGGCCCCCTTGCTAGCGTGGACTATGTCTTGCCGGACGAAGGGATAGAGCTTCTGACTAACCTTACAAGGCTATAATAGAGAATTTACATTACACCATGCGTTCACGCAATCGTTGAAAGACACAAAATTCAGACACACACACGGCGAGATGCGATTCGACCCCTCAAATAAGCCCTCACACGAAGTCCTTGGACAAGCCTATAGCCTGCCTCTTCTAAGCAAGTAAATAGCTCGAAGAGTAGTCCTAAAGGAATACCTTTACAAGCATCTTCACGAGTATCTCCATGAGCCTTTAATATATTAAGTTAACCTATAGAACCTCAGAGCGTTTATATATATATCCGGCGTATTTATGGTATCTCGAGGCAAAAGACTACGAGTAAGCTAACCATTTGCCCTTATCAGGAGGCACTATACCCCATATATATCGTTACCTAGCTATTTGTCCTTCTACGTATTGCTGGGATGTGCCAGGACGGCGAGGGACAAGGGGAGGAGAGGAAGGGAAGGAGGGGATAAGGTGTTACATCAGGACAGGAGAGGGCATTCTTCAGCTCCCTTTTCCCACAGGGTTTTGGAGCTGTTTACTGAAGCCTAGGCAGGGTCTTCTTTGCACGCGTCTTCTTGTTAACAAGAAGTGGATTAGTCAGCGAAAACATTACCTGAGGTTAGAACTCATATAGTTAGTCCCCACATGGGCCTTTTTAGGCCTAGAACGGAGTATGAATAAAACAAACAAATAAACAAACAAACAAAGTTTCTAGGTGCCTGAGGCTATAGAGGGTGCATGTGGCCAGCCACGCACAGCCTGCCTTCAACCATTCTAAATTAAACCCTCTCGAACCTATTAAAGACATAGGTAAAATCTTTTGACTTGAACGCTGGAGGGAGGGGGGTCCATGCCCTCCCCCCCCCTCTGGGAGTGGGCTTAGGCTTGGGTCAGGCTTAGGTCAGGCTTAAACTCCCTATCGTACTTACCTTGACTACTTGTGCATTACCTTGCTATTGCGTGCCTCACACTATAGGGCTTTGCACCTATACATACAGGCTACCTACCACTGTAGAACAGTAGCCAATTAAGAACGTTTAGCCTTGGTTATATGCTTCACGTGACCTCCCTATATAGCCTGGAAAAGCCAACAGATCTAAAAAAGGGTTCTGGAGGGATCCCTGTCGGAGCCAAAATAGGACCCGCCCCTAGAGATAAGACGAGGAAAGTATTACCGGGCCTTAAGAGTGCCAAAACGAGCCCCTGCAAATACTAAAATGGCTCTTCAATGCATGCTCAGGTTTACTTAGCGCGTGCTCAGGCGGTGCTCAGGAATGCTCACCTTCGGCTTAGGCTAGCTCACCCGTAGCTCAGTCTAAAGCAGCAGCTGCTCAGGTCCAGAGACGGAAATGGAAAATGTCATGAAATCATTCCGGTGGGGTTGGCCTGCACCACCATCTCGGCGATCAGAGAGACGGGCCGCTGCTGTGCCACATTCGCTCTCACAATGGGGACCGGTTATCTTTCCACTTGCGGTCTCCCTATCAACACCTTCGGTGAACTCAGGTCGAATGAGGTGCGAGGCTGAGCGAGTAGGCTCGGGATGGTCGACCTCACGGGTGCGTTGCACAAGGGTAAGCCGTTTCTGCGCCACCTTCTCGCGTCTTGCAGTCCACCCAACTTTCTACTCGACTTTACTAAGAAGAGACTCTATTATTCTCAGCTTACTTTTCTTAAAAGATTTAATAAAAAAAATGATATGGGAGCCTATACTTATAAAGCACGGGAGCCTGTAACTACAGCACATGTAGAAGGGTCGTTATAGCGCATAAGATCCTCTTTAAAGCCTGCATGTGATCAAGTGCGGGGCTCAGCTTTCAATGCACCAGATGCCCTCTTCTGAGTTCCACACCCATTGGCGCGAGTCGCACGAAATATTAACGGTCGAATGTCGATATTGTGAGGAAGAACGTTGTCAAGTATTCCCAGTTCTAGCTTGATAGCAAGATATCCGCTGGGTTGTTGAGAGCGGTTGGTTTACCCATGGCCGGCTTTGATGGGGGTGTAAACATTTGGGGGAGGAGTTTGGAAGAGTTTAACGGCGGTAAGTAATTTTTGTGAGGAGCGGAGTGGTGGGGTAAGGCCGATGAAGAGTTTACTTGAGGGTTGTTGCTCCAAGATGAGGAGACGTTCTTGGAGAGGGTGGGATGAGGAGCTGAATGGATGAGACGAATTGTATTGCAGCACACACCGAGAGGACGATTTAATCGAAGTCGGCGTTGTTAACGTGAAGTAGAACATCTAACATACTTCTACGCATTGCCTTCACCCTGACCTCTCTTCACATCTGTGTCTCTATTTTAGGTTACCTGTGAGTGCCGCCTACCCCTTTTCGCAAAGTGAATTAAGCGAACTGCAAGATAGTGACTGTTGCCGCTGTTCTTGTATCCTACAAGTGGCGAGGCCTTGAAATCTCAACAAGAAGATTAACTCCTTCTGGTAGTCCTACAGAAACGCCAAAGTCGTGAATTGCATCGCCATGCCGAAAACAGTCACGTGAAAGTCACATGACCCTGGTATCCAATATTTATAGAAGAGGGTTTCCTCGAGAATTGAAGCGATGATCACCCTAAAATCTCAGCAATATTGCAAAGACAAAGAAAAGGGATTCATTGAAGAGAACTAAGGAATCGATTGATTCATCAATGGAGGAGCTCGCTTGCCTCCGACTCACCGCATCTCATTCAGCTGACAAAAGCTCCCTCATACAACTCCAACACTCCTCTTCAAGTGAATCGATCCACCCTATCTAGAGCACCATCTACACAACAACGTGGTATAACTTACGGATTGCTCCTGCCAACAAGTGCAAGTTCAGTGTAGCTTCCCGGGTCGGCAGTGACTCAACTCAACAAGTTCAAGTTCAGTGTTGCTTCCTGGGTCGGCAGTGACTCAACTTCCACCCGGTCAACAACCAACGAGTCACGTGGTGTGACTCGGGACGCAACTCAACTCTCCTGCCCTTCCCTTCCTATATCTCAGTAACCAGGACCAGTACCAGTTTGTGCTTTCTGATTCCCTTGTGCTCTTCGCCTTTTTTTCCATCGCCTATCAGCGATTTCTTCCGCCCAGCAATCATGGAGCGGATCACCAAGGCGAGTCCCAAGCAATGCCCGACAGCTCTTGGAACATTGTGGTCGCATTGTCCAATAGTTCCTGGAACATTTGACTCATAATGTCCAACAGCTCCCTGGAACATTCTGAATGCTAACCTTCTCAAAGGTCGTGTTCGACCCACTCGCAACCACAAAGGCACAGATCCGAGCCCTCCTCAATAATCTGCCAATCGGCTCTGCGCACCCGTTCAGTCCAGAGCGTCTGCTGCTCTGTCGGGCCGCTACAGGAGTAGAGGAAATCGATATCTCATCGTATCCGGAGAGTCATTTCTTCAATGCGGTGGACTTGGGTGAGCTCGGTCAGACGCTCCAAACGCGCATGACCAAGTTTGCTTCCCAGCTTCGTAAATTACTGCGTGCCTCCTACACTCGCGCCTGATTACTGACACAAACTCCACAGAAACGTTCAACGACGAGTACACTGTCCAACAAGCCCCGACCGCGATCTTCAAGGTCCCAATCGAATCAGACAAGATCGCCATCCTCGCGGTTTCCGAGCGCTACCCAACATATTATGACTTGTGTGTTGCAGACGCGGAATGCAAGACAACTTGCTATGGTTCAACCGCCTCTCTCACTGGCATGCGACATAGTGGGGATATCAACGTTGGAAACGATCTTCTCCATCATATCAAGGTCAATGAGCGGCTTCAGTCTGGAAAGGAATTCGCTGTGTTTGTGTCGGGCTTTCAATGCACCAAGTTGACGAGATTCCACGACCGCAATCCGGTAGTGATGATTGCCAACCACACTGAAAAGGTACTTCGCATGCCCTGATCCTGCTCTAGGCATTTTCCAAGCTAACTATCTATTTCAAAGGCTTTATACATTGTCCCAGTCCCGCTTGATGCTGCTTCGATTGGAGATGCAACAATCTGCTCTCCGGTTGTGTTCAAGCGTGATGGAGAATCGCTCATCTGCTCGATACTGCCAACACCAACCTCCGATCTTGGAAAGATGTGCTCAGGATCTTCCTTACAGAGTACATCGTTCCCTGAAGCCATCCAGCGTGCCGATTGGACGGTTTCTGCTCCTCCTGTATCCCTGAGATCGCATCGTGAGTATATAAAGGTTCTTTAACTTGAATGTACCAGAAGAGCTGATACATTCCAGCAGCAGCATCCTTCAATACAGCCACTCCCGACATTGCTTCGACCTTAGAAGCAGTATCCTTGATCTCCACCAAACAGAATGCTGTATTCGTCACTCAAACGACTGTCTTGCCCTCAATCATTACACCAAACACGACGCAAATCATCCGTTTTGGAACAGGACTAGAGTTTCTGTCTGAAGCACAAGAGATCGCTCCAGAAAGCAGTCCATCAGCGGTGGTATTGCCATGCATTTTCGGCTCCCGTCTAGAAGGGCCATTGTTGCTTGCGACAGGGAAAACCCCTGAAAATGTACCTTTCCACGATGAACAGTCACTTCGGGCCTATTATGAGGACTTCGAAAGTGCTGTTGTTTTTGTTGACGAACGCATGACCGATAATGCTAGAAACCTAGCTACGCCATGGAGAATGAACGCCGTTTTCATCCTTCAGATGACCGCGCTAGCGGCACCCAAAGATGGAGATGTCAAGGCAAGTCCCGAATCCTCGGAGTATCAAACCATCTAGTGGCAATGTTCAACAACTCAGGGGACATTCTTCTCCTGGAAATATGTTAACGAAATAGGCTGACTCCGATATCATGTGAATAGGCAATTTTGGACTTGATCAATATCAGTGCTGTGACAGCGCTTGCTGGGCCACAATCTTTGGTGTTGGTGCAAATCACTGAGAAGTATTACTTTTACAGAGGTAAGTCCTATCTTCTCGGAGTATTATATTCTCTTGTTGCAATGTCCAACAGCTCTCGGGTCATTCTACTATCAATGTTCAACAGAGGCTTGAATAATCTACCTCCGAAAACACCAGAAAGAGGTATGCTGACTCTTGGGAATAGGTATTGCCAACCGATCCATTCTCAATACTTCAAATTTCGCTTTTGGATCAGATGTCACGAAGACTGTTGAGTCTACGGGGCTGGAGTCTTTACTGGACCCACGAGCCAAGCGAATGATCAATCTCCGCGACGCAAACACTGTCCTTCTCCCTAGCTCTGGGAAGATGGCTCTGCCACAAGACCTCAAGGACCTCTTCCAAATCCTCTCTCTCAACCAAATCCACAACCTGGAAGACGACATCTCTGCGATCGTCCCACAATTGCAGGTAGGTCTTAACTTCTCAGAGCATTGACATCTCGCATACCGATGTCCAACAGCTCTTCGTACATTCTATTCGCAATGTCCAGTAGCTGCTGGAACATTCAAAGAAGCATGCTAATCTCTTTTTCTTGGGAATAGGTCCTTATGAACCAAAAGGATCTGGTGGATCTCTCCCGAGCTTTAATTTCCGTCTTCTCCGCGAAAATTGGTGACGCAACGGCCCCTCGAAGAACTGCGTACATCAATTTCCTGACCAAAGAATACGAAATGTTGAATCCGGATTCGGTTAAGAAGAAGAATTCGATGCTCGGCGATCTCAGAAAGGACAGCAAACGAGTACAAAAGAGCCTCGAGTCAATCATCACTCATCTGAGCAACATGATGTCTTCCCAAACGACTTCCAAGCGGACACATGACCTCAAACGCTTAGAGCGGCAATCTGCTATTCAGAACAATGTCGAAGCGGTTAAGTCCATGACTTTCGATACTTTGGCAGGACTTCTGGAGATGAAAGCCGCAGAAATGGGAGTTCTACTTTTGAACATCGAGACCACGCCTTACAAGCAACTCCTAGGAAATTTGAAGGCTAATTCTCTTAATGTCAATCCATGCTGCGACCTAGACGCGAGAGTGAGTACAACCGGGCTCTTTTGGCTTCCAATCTTGAACGTGCTCTTGAGATATTTGTGAGTTAGAAAGATACTGACTCCCGATGTTCTAGGTTCTCTTCCTCGAAGGCTTCGACGCCGGGATCATTTTGGAACAATCACAGTCCAACCACGATGGCCCACTGAAGCACCAACTCGGAGCCTCTCATCCCGTCCTCGCGCTTCCATACCTTTCTCAAGAGCGCGGCACCGGTTCGATGCTGGCTTGGGTGTGCTGGGACGAGTTCGTCAACCTCGAAACTCCATTCGAAGTGAGATGGATGGAGAAGTGCAATGAATCGCATATCGCTGCGCTGAGGGTCATGATGCGAGATACTCTCAGTTCAGCTGTGACATCAAGAGAATATAATATGCAACCTGGAAGCCCCGAAACAGGTCAACTTATGAGCGCTCTGATGATGGCTGCAATGTCCAAACTTGCTGCTATGAGAACATCAGCTCCAACACGTACAATCACAGCCCAGGATACAGTCACGAAGTTGATGCGTGGGTTGTTCGGTAATCTTCTGACCACAGCTGGCTCAGGAGTTCGCCCAATGAGTATGGTATGGCAACTGTTTGGCCGGGAGCCAAAGCTTGAGGTTCCTGCAACTGCTGTAGCCTGGAGCTGGTACGAGACTGTGGTTAGATTGTACCCATTCACTGGCTGGCCTCAAGAGCAATTCAACCTGAACTTGGAAAAGCTGCTCGACAAAGCTCTCCTCGCCATCATCACGAAGAACGAGATTACGGAAAAGATCAAGATAACTCATGTGGATAGGATGGTAAAGTATTGCCAACTTCGAAACATTCAGCTTGATCATTCCCGATCCATTGTCACCATCTTCATCCAAATGATGAATAGCGACGTCGACCGCAGCGCAATCGCCACCCGTCTCTTGGCCGCTCTCCCGTCGCACCTCCCAAATCAAACCCAATCCTACCCGAAAATGTTACGCTACCTCAAATACGTTGCCTCGACCGGCTCACATCGTGAAGAAGATGACATTGTGGTCGTCAGCGTCTACCTCAAACGCTCCGCAGTTTTTAAGGCATTCAAACAATCTGTCGCGCAAGCATGCCGCGACAATAACAACGCAGAAATCAAGAAGCACTGTCTAGCGTTGATGGCGAAGTTTAATGAGATCGTCGAGAGCTGGAAACTACAACACGCGAAGCTGATCATGCAGAACTTCAAGGCCTATCAAGGACTGCTGGATACGCATTGCGATGAGGGAGTTGAGATGGAGGACTTCGCCAAGACACAGCGTAAAGACCTCATGCACCAGGTCATCAGTGATGCAGAGAAATCAAGGGTCCCGTGGCAAGTCGGCAAGGAGGGAGAGTTCGGAGACGACATCGAGCCGGTTGACGAAGCATTCGTTCACGAAATCATGACTGGTGAGAAGGCGCCTGTTTTCAAAGTAGTAAAACAAGTCGTTTCCGGAACACACGTCGCAGTCAAGCCTGTTGGAATGATGCAATTCTCCTCCCTTGTCAATGGAGACTTCATTACGAAGATGGAGAATGTGATTACTTCACAGGATGTCTGCAAGATTATGAATGTGCCTGTCTCTGCAATGCGGGCCTTTGCTACTGCACTCAACCCGGAATTTGAGATAGAGAAGCACCTCGGTCTGAACTTCAAGAACGTGGTAATTGCCCTTTTGTCAGACCGGAAGGAGAGAGAGAAGCAGTGGCCAGTTAGGAGATTGTTTGGCATGGTTGAGAGGGAGTCAGAGGGTGGAATTGGGCCTGGGATCGAGATCGAGTTAGAGGGTTGAATTTGGTGGTACGATGATGCATGCGAGCAGGGGCCAAGGAGCATTCATTGTATTGGTATTTTTTCTATTTTGGTGCTTTGAGCGCACCCTAATTCGCAGTTTTGCGGCCTCTGTGGATCGAACATAGTGCCTCGATTAATGATCTGAAGTTGATTTCTTCTGCCGCTCTCTCAACTATTCGGAATCCGAGCATTGTGAGCAAGCAAGACTAAGGTAAACCAAAGCCTCACATCTTATTACAGAACTTATCTTTATTTTAATTTATAAAATTTGTTAAAATATTGTGGCTCTCTATTAACCTGTTATAAGAAGAAATATAGAGAATATGTGAATTTCCCCCAGCAAAGTGAGGAATTGCCGACGAGTAACTACTCGATTTATATAAAGCTGAATTTTATTATTAAATTTTTAATCTGAAATATTTCTAGAATCTGTATTAAACCCGAGCTCTATTTAATGTATCAGTTCTACTAAAAGGCAGTCCTAATTCGGTATATTTCATATATTTAAAACATAGATTAATAATCAAACACATCATCGTCGGCTTCCGCACCACCGGCCGGCGTGATGACTTGCTCATAGAAAGGCTCAATCAAGATTTTATACCCTCCACCATCATCAACTCTCCTCGCCCTCGCTTCCGCCCGCGACCCCTTCAGCTTTTCAGCAAACGCAGCTTTGGCCGTGGTCCAGGCATCCTCGGCATCGCCGTGGACCGTCAAGATCGTGTTGGAGAAGGGGGTCCGCAGCGTGAGCTTTACCTTTTCGATGTGCTGGCCCCGCTGGGTCACCTTTGCGATCCCATCGAGGAACTCGGCGAGGAGGAGCCCCTGGAATTTTCCTTCGTTCCAGAGTTCTTCCGTGTAAAGCGGTTCCCGGGTGATGATCCAGAAGGGGATTTGGATCCTCGGGCGAGGGACCGGGGTACTGGGTTGAGACAAGGCTTGCGGGACTACTGGTGGTTCTGGGGTTGCATGCTGCATTTTAGTGGGAAGCGGCTCTCTTGCTGTATTTGAAGCAGTCGTTGACTGCAAGGAAGGTGTCGGAGGCTTGCCTGGCGGTCCGCTGTAAGCATCATTCGTTGAGAGTGAACCGCCTTGCAACGATAATCCGGAATGCTCTCTTGCGAAGCTCAGAGGTACCACGTCGTTATCGTCGTTTGATGAAACTGATGCTGCCTTCCTTGGAAACGGTGGCGAGGTGGGAGTTGATTTCGGTTGGCGTCCAGTTGAAGAGGCCACATTGTCCTGTTCTAGACTCGAAGAAGCCGGCTTACCTCTCACAGCTTTCTTAATCTTGGTATGAGAAGTTGCAGATTGAATGCCTGCAGTGGGATTGGGTGGCAGTGTCTTGGATTTTTGAAGTCGATCTGAATGCGGCATCTCCAGGGGGACATCCTTCATAGATGGAGCAGGTTGATCTGTCGACAGAGATGGCTGCGGTGCCGTGGGCCGTTGGGTTGAGATCATCGGGGCTGTCGGTGCAGCAAATGGACCATTGGGCGAATCACTCTGGTCTGATATAGCATGTGCGAGTCCTCCCGAAGCGGAAATATTCGGGCCTAGTTGTAGACAGACTGTCGAGTCTGACTGCTGTTTCTTTGACACACCTGACAAAGGACTTGGGGGGCCAATCTCAGCCTCAGCGTCTTCCATATCGAGAAGCATATCCACTACCTCCGGCGGCACTACATCGGCCAGGGAGCGAGATTGCCGTTTTCGTTCAGTTCTTCGTGGCGACTCTTCTGTTTGGTGCTTTTTTCTTTTTCGTGCTTCATTCTCATCATCTGGTCGCTCATCTCGAGAATGTTTGCCTGTCTGAGCAGATGGAAAGGCTCGTGTTGGCGCGTCTTGGTCATCCTGGCTGCATGTAAGCGGGCGAGCGTAGAAGATAATTGGAAAGTGTATGTTGACGTTGATTGCAAACTTACCGAGCTGTCAGGGACGTCGCACATATGATCAACCTCATGAGGACCGTGGGTGGCTGCATCCCCTCGCCGTTCCGCGCCTTCGGCGATTACTGGAGATGCCGTCGCGACTTCCGTTGGCCTTGTGGGCGCTGCGGGCCTAGAATGCTATGATTAGTTTTCGCTGCTGCGAATACGGCGGACGAGAACGACACTAACATCTTGTTCTCATTCTTCCTGTTTTGGCCTGGAAGGGATGTGGTCGAGGGAGAGGTAGCACACTTCTCGTGACTCTCGCGTGCAGGCGTCGATTGATCAGTCGAACCGCCGCGAGAACGAGAATCCGTTGATTTGCCATTGTAGCGAGAGTTGTTGTTAAGGTATCGATTTTGTTTCCAGAAGAGTTGCACGAGAAGGTCGATAATCCTGCAATATAGAATAAGCATTATAAGCGAGCGACTTTGAGGCGAGAAAGGTTGGGTGGGTGCTGGCAGTCTTACCTGTCTCTGTCCTTGGGATAGTGTAAATCGGACGGTTGGGCCCAAGGTCTGGTGGGGTTCCAAAAGCGCTCACCGTTGCCATTATCGTCTAAGAACTTCACTGCGGCAGTCCTGAGATCTGTCTGCACCGATGGAAGGTTCCAGTCAACGAGCGTGGCGACGAGAGAGCCACCGATCGTTTTGCACGACTTCCTGAAAGCGTGGGTCGCATCCATGAACACCGTCGAGTCTTTTAGCGAAGCGTGCTGAATGCCTAAAAGCTCGGACAGCCGTTTGACAGAAGGCACTTTGCTGAGCGAAGTAGTTGGGCGAGGAGTCGAAGCCATGGGCGGGCGGCGACAGATCAGATCAGATATGGCGAGATGAGAGAGAGGCCGTGGTGTAGAGATGGCGGTGCAATGGCCGTGGTGTAGAGTGCAGAGCTGCTCGTTGATGACAGTCCAGTCCTCGGTGGGTAAGGCAGGTTAGATGACGTTGTTAAATCCCTCGAGTATGAGCGCCACAAAAGATCTCTTTCCTTTTCGCCGCCCAGGAACCTTGCTTTCTTGGGCAGATGCTGCTGCCTACTTATTTCCCTCGATTATGCGCGCTGCGTGTCGGCCGACCTGAGAGACTGAAGTGTACATACAAGGTTGTCGAGCTAGAAGCGGGCGCGGCGCAGGTTTTGTGTCTAGGAGGCCAGTCTAGGTCGGTGTCCAAATCCATCTGAGCTCAGCCCCTGGTTGGCGCAGTCCTAGCCCTAGAGCGCTGCTTTCTACGCAAAGAAGTATTTCGGGGCAACTAGCAGTCTCCCAGCGGTCCAAAAACATGAAACTTATATCGGCGCACTCTGCGTGCTCTCGAGAATGCTGTTGCGTTGAGAGCACTCTTTTCGTCCCAGGTAACGCGAGATAACGCGAGATAACGCGGAGAAATCGCATCTTAACGTCAAAGTCGCGCCTGTTGCCCCTGTTCAACGCGCCCTGGATACAGCAGAATCACATGTCATTGTGGCCCAGTGTGCCTTATGCCTGCTATATCTGCTACAATGACGCACCATAGCGCTTGCGCTTTGACTATTTGCCGCTTTCTCATTCATGCGATCCCATGCTCATTCATGTGATCGTTAGGTGCCAAGAGTTTTAGTATACTATAAATTTACAGCCAAGGCCTCTTCAACTTCGAAGGTATTATCCGCATCAATTGATTATTATCCGCATCACCAGATCCCACCCACTACACAACTCCCAAATAATTTATTTACAAAGAGCCAATTCAACGGCAATATGAACCCAACCATGGCGCAGTATCAGAGTAACTTCCAGAACAACCTCCAGAACAACTTCCCGAGTAACTTCCAGAATAACGCCACGATGGCCCCAACAGTGATCGTGTACGGAAACGTAACCAGTAAGTCTTCTTTTTCACGACCCGAACGCTCACTCTGTTCTGTTGCGAGATCCCCAATCTGACACATCTCCAGTCCACAATCAAGTTAAAGTATCTAAGCGGGGCAAGAACCGCCAGAGGGCCCGCCAGAATCGTCAGGACCGCCAGCGCCGACAACGTGCAGAAAGACAGAGACAGCGGCGCCAAATTCGAAACCTCGTACGGAGACTTAAGGAGAGGGCCAATAAGATTAACAAATTTGAACAGAGTTATGAGCAGCGGACTGCAGAAGGAGCAAGTTATAAATACGAGATAAAGAGTGAATCAAGCACGAGGTAAAACTCAGAAAGGTATTTAATTATTTACTTGATCGCAGCGATCTGGCTGGCTCCTTAACTTATTTTCGCTGCTAATGGATGTGCTGCCCTGCTAGAATTTGAAAACTACAAACAAACTATGCCCCGCGCGCCGCCTCTGACAGCGAATGAACGCCCCACGACCACCTCGTCGAGCCGCCCCGTAAAGAATTTGATTTATTTGGGAGGATTTTGGACGTTGTAGAGAATGCACTTGAGCTCCCCTAATCCCTCTGCTTTGCTTGCTTGTTTTGCTTGCTTCCATTTCTTTGGGATTAATAGGGTTGCTTGCGCAATGGGGAGGATCGCACTGGACAATAGATAGATTCGCTAAGAAAGTTCAATTAAAAAAAATGCGTTGTCCACAATATCAGTCCCTCTGGTCAGTTGTGTGTAAGCTATCGAATTGAAATCTTATCGCTCCCAACATCACCATTTCCCTCCATTTCCCTCCTGTGTGTTATCAATTGCACATAACACGGCGTCTCTAGCGCGAATCCGTTTGCTCTCCAGTGATTTTGAACCGAACAGCCATTGAAAGCCAGAAGCAAAGCCATGAGTCACGGCCCCCAAGTTCAGCGGATTTTCGCACGCGCGAGATCGAAGGCAACTTGCATATGCTCTGCTCTCCTCTCCTCCATGACGTTGCATCAGACCACGATCTTCTGCGAACTTCTGCAGAGGAGCGGGAATCACAATCTAGAACCTACTTCTTAGCTCTAGGCCTGATCACTGAGCGAAATATGCCTAGAGCGTGCGCATGAATTCTGGAATTCTGTCCAATCTAGCTCCTGTGGCTGAGCCGGGGAACTTCCCCGCCCAACGTCTTCGCCACTTGGCGCCTCATCGTGCGGCATATTAGCACACTCCTGCCCTGCTTCGCGATCATCAATGTTTTCTTTGGGGTTCAATGTCCGCGATGGGTAGGCACCCCAAGGGACACGCACCGCGACCCGTTGCTGTATTTCGCAATAATTGGGTCCCTGTTTGATATTCTGCGTCATCGCTGTCGTGCTGAAAGCGCACGCGGGCGATGCGCGCTGGCCTTCGAAGCTGGGGGTGCGTGCTCCAAGTCTTCGATGACTGAATGAGAGAACTGGGGAGGGGAGGGAGAGATGGTCTGCAGGCGCCACGAATGAAATGAGCATCATGCAGAAAACTGGTGGAAGCTTGAATAAGCTTATTGAAACTGTTAATCGGTTCATCAAGCGACCCGCTTTAGGGTGCAAGTTGGGCTGCAGTGTAGAAACTCCGCGCATGAACTTGGAATCTCGAGGGCCGCCCAAGGTCATTATTGAGACGACCTCTCGATGATTTTATGACTCATCTCAACTTAATCATTGACGATCGTCAAATACGAGACTAGGCTTTTCGTATCGGTCTAGTGGATCAATTGTAAGCATTGTTTTCGGATTGTGCATTTGCATAAAATATTGTGACTGGGATCACGTGCTACGATATCCGCCACCACCTCATCCAGGCACATTTTCCCTCACGATTTTCGGTGCCTGCGAAGAAAAAAAAATTTCCACCTTCAGAACAAAAAGTTTGGGTTATCTGTTAAACATTTAACTCAAATATCTAGTTATCCTGCGAAGTTGTTGTCGGATCGTGTAGCACGTGATACTACGACCCTGCGCGAAACTTTCGGTCCCGGGCGAGCACGATTGTGTCAATCGAGTCGCCAAGCAGTACAGTACACGTACAGGGGTGGTGAGGTGCTTGCCGTAGAAGATGACAGGAAGGTTGACGTGAAGACGATGACATCGAAGTTCTTCGAGAAATGATTGGACCTCTTATACCCAACCATGCGCGCTCAGCCAAATTTTTTCAACGATTGCGAGGTGCGTCCCCCAAAGTCCCCTCGTCTCAAGGTGAAATTTGCAGAAGCAGCAGAATTCACGCAGTGAGAGTCTTCATTTGACGACCGCTTGTGGGTTTGCAGATTGCACATCCAGCCGATGAAACGTCAACTAACGGTGTGCGATGATCAGGTGGAATGCATGACGCCAAAGAGCCTCCTCCCAAATTTGACTCGGAAGAATGATTAAAAGCGGTGTTGATTGTGAGTTGAGGCAGCTTGCAAGCCGGAGCCAGAGATGGAATGTGGAGATGATGGTCGGGCGGCCAACGGTGCGGGCGGCGAGCCACTGACGGGAACTTCGACGAGAACTTCGAAACTCTGGTCAATGCCGCTGCTCCGACTGCCGGTCAGGAGAGTTTGAGCCATCTTCGAACTAACGACAAGACCATGATCTGAGGAAGGCGCAGGAGGCGGAGAGGCAGCACGGCCTTTGACTCTGCCTGCGAGAGGTAGACAATGCAATAAACTGGGTGTAGGGTAGGAGTAGACATTGATGTAGCTGTGGAAATATGATGAAGGCGTAGGCTGACATCCCGCCCTATCCTCTGTTTTTCGGAACTTTGGGAAGGGGCACGAGTCGTTAATCGTGCGTCAGGACTTGCACCAAAGCCCCTACATCCCTGCGGGTTTAATGCGTTTCAGCGATACGGTCATTTTGCAATAACTTCCACAATTTCACAAAATTCAAAAATTGAAAGAAGCCAAAAATTGTGCAATTATCAGGCGTACCTCTATATAAACTTTTTTTTCAAGATCTTGTATTACGTTGCGAAGTTATTAAAAATACTAGTTTTTTTTTGTTAGGGAAAAAAAGTGACCGTATCGCTCGCTAACCCGCAGGGACACAGGGGCAATAGTGCAAGTCTTGACGCACGATTATTGCGATCTCTCATTTATTTTAACCAAACGCGGCCGCCCTGCGGCGAGGCAGTGGTATAAGAAATATTATAATTTTTAAAAGAATTAAAAAAAATTTAAAAAATTTACAGGGTAGTTTTTAATTTAATAGTTTATAATATGAGTAATAATTATTTAAGATAACATCTATTTAATTTATATAATTCTTCATAATGTGATGGCGGAATCAATGCAATGGTCGGGACTCAAAGTTCAGAGAATCTCATGTATTGAAAATGCTAAGCTAGAGAGTAAAGGAGCAGGGGATTGCTTCGTCCTTTAGTAGTGCTTTGCCAACCTCTAGCTTACTATAAGTTTAAAAATTAGAGAAATTACGTCTTTTTGGTCATGTTTCTCTCCTTTTCTTCTTTAACTTTGAATTTTTGATTAAAGGTTTAATAAATTAATAGTCAAGTGGTTAAAGAATTAACGCCCAGGTCATCCATCCCCCTCCGTGAAGATTCCTACCCCAGACCGCCATATTCATACAAGTCTTCTCCGTGTTGGCCTGGAAGTTCCCAATCTCAATGGAAGACGACGCTCACTGCCAATTCTTTTCTTGCAGTCTTTGCCGCGGTCAACATAGCTATCCATGGACACCGCTTATCTGATCGTCCGACGAATGAAATGGAAGATCCCAGATCTCTACTGAGAAGAGGGTATCTACTGGTATTTCCATAGCTGGAACTTCAGATCCGTTGCCACCTGTTGCATTTGCATCCCCCCTTCGCCACGTAAGTCACCAAAACTGCCAATCTCATGAATGCTAAATAATAATGTCCCATTTTTGCCATAGCTGGATTTCTACATAGTATGATGGGTACCAAGCACACTCACGGCGCAGATTATAAAATGTTTCAAATGAGCTTCTTTATTGGATATCCACTTGCGGTCATTACCCCACATCACCATCAATAAGCTCTTCTTCCAAAGGGTCTCGGGCTGGAGCGCAGCTTTGCGGGCTCTGGTGAAACAACAATTGAGGGCGTGCCAGCAGATGGTTCTATAGAGAAGGAGGCGGAGAAGGCTGATGGTGGTATTTAGTTTTCGTAGTCAGAGATCGAGCAACTCAAGGCATCAGGAGAGAATTAATGGGAGAGGCATTCTCCTGTTCCCTAAGTCATTATGAAATTCCAGCTTCAAAACATATATTTTGAGAAACTCCTAGTCACTACAAGAAACCGCTGAACTGGACATCCAACTCGTAGTCGGCGTTCCAATTGTATTTTTGGAGCAACCGTCAGAGGCCTGGGGGGGGGGGGGGGGGGGGGGGGGGAATTCTCAGTCAAATGACAGGGTTGAAAATTAGTTGCAACTTTGGGTTTTTCTTCATTCCCCATTCTTGCCATTCAAATCTGCTACGTCCGCTTCTTCCCTTGCAGAGCATGGAACACTAGCATTACGAAGTATTACTTCTCGTTGCATCCTCATATCCCGGAAGCTCATCTGGGTCAACCTCCTCTGTGGCATTATTTTCTGGCTCGGAAGAAAAGTCATATGTTGGTGGCAAGGGGGCATCGGATTGGGCATCCCCAGAAGAGAAAGATGCAGCTGTACCTGAGAAGATCTCAATTTGAAATCGGAGAGGGACGAATACAGTTTGTGCCTGGTTAATTTATTGTCAGAAGTATGTCTCATAAGAAAAACGCAACTGGTGAGTTTAAGACATACTTGTGCATTCTGTGTGCCTCGGTACCCTAATCCAACTCCTACTTCCAAATCATATGTCCGTCTCAAATTACAAGTCTCAAATGAAGGTTCCACAGTGCTAGGTAGTAGAAGGCGATCCCAAAGCGTAGAGTCCAACATTGTATCCATTTCCGATGGAGCCCAGATGGGTATAGCTAGACCATCTAGACTTAAGATTGTCCGAGCATTTGTCTTTACTCGTACTACATCGCTAGCCCGAATCTCTGTAAAATCAAATAGCCGGAGCTGCAGGAATGCCAGGTATAACTGTTCCTCATTCTCATCTGACTTCCGCAATATTATCCGCAGCGGGATGTTCTGGTCCCAAGTCAGAACTGCCGGACTCGGCAAGCGGGCATCAACTTCCCCTCGTGGGCCGGCCTGGAATATGTATGGCCTGCGAGCATAGACCTCCTTGGAGGAAGTGAGGATTTTGGGTGGATCCAAAGGGATGAATCTGAAAGGGTGTTCAGATCTTTTGTTTCCCTTAAATCTCGAGGGGCGGTGGACAGTGACTTTGATGTAGTATCTGATTTCCGCTTGAATACCTAAGCCCGCTAGGGATGGTGGCAGTACTCTTTTGACATGCCGATATGGTAGATGTGGTCGCCCTTCTTCTTCCCAAAAAGCTCCCGGGTCGTAGTTCGGACGATTTTCACGAGATGGCAAGTGCGAACAGCCGTTCTCAAGTGGGATTTTGAACTTGAAGGGGTATTCGTGCTGGCCAGCTCTCAAGGTATAAACAGGATCTGTCGTCTTTCCACCTCCTGCAGTCGAATTTTGGTTTGGAAATACTTGACTGACTTCATATAAAATCTTGTGCTTCTCCGTTGCCACCCCTTGCCGTTGAAACCCAGCCCGTTGATCATTTTTGGTTACTAGTGCGCTGCTCGGATAACGACCCGTTCCTTGTGCCCTTTCAATGGCCGACTTGCTCTCTCCTTCTAGCTTGACCACGACTGCAGATACACTTTCGTCATGGCCAAGGCTCAACACTATGCGCCCGTTAATGAAGTCAAGATTTGTGTACGAGCTCTTGTTGTCGTCGAGTTGAATTTGGACAGACATCGAGAGAGAGGGGCGACTGAACTCCTCTAATAAAGACCATCAGAATGTTGGGCTGTGAAGGAGTTACTCTTGCGTGTGGCGAACCTTGCCTCTCAACAAGTCATCATACACTAGGAGTTGAGTTGACGCAGATGCTTGGCGACAGAACTTGGTGTCAGGGGAGGTTTTAAAAGCTTGCTATTTCATCGTTGCCTAGACTACCCACCAATTACAATACCCAGCCTCGTTACACAGGAAATTACCCCGCAGCATTGTTTCTAAAACGCTATTGGTGTACGCCACAGTCGTCACATCACATCTGGGGATTCTGCCTCTGCTATCTCTGATCCTCGCGGGGATTTACTGAAGTAAGTGGTTGAGTGGAAACGGGAAAGAAATGCCTTTCTTGGTTGTAATTGATATCAAGCTGCAGAAAAAAAAAATCGTGGACAACCCTGGAAGATATCCCTATCATACACCTACAGACGGAGCCTCCTCTTCAAATCCCAGGTATCATAGGTTCTACTGGGGTATCTCTTCCTCTCATCCTCCACTTTGATTCCCGTTGTGTTAGGAATACCTGCAAGCTCCTGTATTGACATTCTACCCGAAATTTCCGGATCTGGTGCTCGGTAATCATACACATCCGCATCATGCTCTGGAATATGTCTGTCCCTAAGTGCGAACAATAGCTCGTAGATGGCGTTGACATGGCTTCCCACTCCCGGAAGATTTCTCCAAACCTCCAGTCCAAGCTTCCCCAGTGGTGCGTACTCGACAATATGATTGTACACGTCCCCATCCCCGATTTTTCTGTCGTTAGAGAGGATTCTGTCTATAATATCCCTCTTTTCGAAACTCTCTATGACCAGGGAATTGGCGTCGTGCCTCTTGATGGATTCTAGCATCCACTTCAAAACGAGGTCGGCGAGGACGTGATTGGGTTCAATGACCTTGCTTACGAGTCCAATTTTTGCAAGTAAGCTTTCCGCTAACGAGACACCGACGCCATCTCGAAAGAATTTGAAGCGCTGGCGTCCAAGATCGTAGTGTGTTCCCGGGAACCACTTCTGGTGGATATTCCACTTCTGTCTATCCCCCCACTTCCTCTTCGTCGAGTCACGCCCAGCAAGACAAGGCTCGAACACATACATCCGATCATGCAGAGAAGTGGCTTGATAAACATGCTCGACGACGGATGAAACGTTCTGGTCGTAGAAGCCGGGCCATTCCAACCCTACACCACCGGTGAACGAGGGCATACCGAGGGAACCGACTGTGTCGAATAGACCCATGAATCGGATAGGCTCTCTGGTGACCTTCTGCTCATTTGCAGAATTATTAGTGGTGGACACAACTGATGCCTCATCGTCATCGTCATCCCCGATTTGAGGCCAGGAGACACCTTTTCGAAAAGCTTTCGATTGCGCGGAGTCGGGCTCATCAATCTTGTATCTCGAACGGTAGATCCTGTATACCTCTCGGCAAAGAAGGTCTATCTCGGTCTCAGAGAGGTTGTCGCGTTTGATAATACCACAATTGTTAATCATTCCGGCCACGCAACGGATAGTGTATGCTCCACGACTGAGACCAAACATCCAGATCTCATATTCTCCACCCACGTAATTGTCTACAATGTATCTGTACGCACCGATACATTGTTCTGCGATGTCTTGGGCTGTTATGCCATTGAAGACATAGTCCAAGAATGTGCTCCCCAGTCCAACACCGTGGATGTAGCGACCTTTTTTCCCTTTCATAGCTGGATTCGATTGAGAGATGAAATGGACATCATCCTTGTCGTTATCAGCTTGCGTCTTGAAGTCGATTCCAATCATTTTTGCCAGCTCGTAGATATTAGTCTCTGTGGAAGTCTCGCGACCACACCAGGTGCCATCGCAAAGGAGAATGAGAGGCTTGAGTTGAGGAGAGGACATGTTGTCGAAAAAAAACAGGCTGACTTGTCTGCAGAGAGTAATATTTATAGTAAAAGCTGCTTCGGCGAGAAGACGGCGGGAAGGAGGTGGAAAGTATGGAAGCGAGAGTAGCAAATGGTCAGATGAGCAAGGACAATATATAGTCTGGTGAATGGCAGCAGCAGAAGGACATTCATGTGCCTTGACTCATATTCAGCCACGAAACCCAACCATTCAACAAAAGGGTGGGGCGACGCGCGGTGGTGGCTTTTACACAAGACATGAAGGCTGTTGCACAGAAATATAAGTGGTCTCGTGCTGGATTGAGGCGGCTTGGTTTGCTCAAACCTCGCCCAACCACAACATGTTTCCTAGACACTCTAAACAGCCACTTCGCTAACTCGAGTTCACCACCTGAAAACCTGAACTTAATTAGAATTTGCTGAAAATTGAAACAACAAGTGCCTGGTGCGTTCACAAATTTTGTCCATTTCTCCTGATCCCAGCAACTTTCTCACGTGGGACTAGTTTGGGTCATGCCTTTATTAATTGTTACTTAGCAACTTTGAATACAGGAGGGAACTCCCCTGGAATTGGATTCTGTGTCACTAACGGATCTACAATCGGGCAGATGCCATTTTTGAATGTTTCGGTGGACCAGGTACTTCGGAGTATTGATATTTTGTTACCCAAAACAGGCTTCTTTCTTTCTTTACTCTATTGTTATCTTACTTAATTAGGCCTAGTTAAATATTAATAATATCATTTTTATTCTATATTGCTCTTAGTGTAACAGATAGGAGCCCAGAGAAATGTCTCACGCAAAAGACCGCTTTTCTGGCAGTGAGAAGTTTAATTCTATTGTTGAAAAAGACATCCTCGCTGAAGAGAGAACAACCCACAACTGTCTCATGTAGAAGAAAAATATGATTTATCAGACTTTTAATAGGGGTAAAGAAGCAGTGGCTTGTTCTTTTGACACCAGAAAGACAGATAGAAACAGCGGCCTACATCTTCAGCGTCAACTGAGTTAAAGATCCTCGTACGTGAATAATGTAGCTTTCTTGCTTCCGCATCTTGAGCCACTACTTTATCACTATGCCGTAGAATAGGGTAACCGCCGTCGACTCGGCAGATAATGAGATGAACCTTATAGCCAGTCTTTAGGAATTGTAAGGAGAGGTGTCCCTAACAATATATACCTCGGCAACAAGAACAGCAGAACTGATTGCCATTGCGAAGACAATAATAGGAAGATTCACTCGCGCAAAATCAAGACGTCGGACCCAGATCCCTTGCTTAGCAAGCACATCACGCCACATAATGCCAGTCAGCGATGCACCGAAGGTCAGACTAAAGGCCCCGTAGTTCACACCAAGCGCCATGCTATATACTGTTGCCCAGAACGTTCTGTCGCTGATAGGGATTCCGTTCTTTTGGTGGATTTCTTGCCACGCTTGGACGACGCAGGATAGCGGAATGCTGGCACCAATATTTGTGCCTGCAAACTACACGGTTGTAGCAGGTTAGCCAGTGACCTTCAATAATTGGTCTAGATATAGAAACTCACGTTGCACAGAATTGTAGACAGGAGACCCATGCCAAAAATGCTACCAACAGTCCCTGTTTTGTTTACCCAATGGTCCCATCCGTGAGCAAAGACGGGAACCCAACCCTTATGGACTAAAGCTTGTACGAGGACAAACATAGAGAATGCAAAGGGCACAAGTGCAAAAGGGAGGTTCGCTAATGCAACAGTAGCAGTAGGGAAGGTCATCTGGGACCAAAGATACGCATCTGCAACCAGTGAGGTGAGCGTTGGCCGATGCCGATCATTCCTGGGCTGATCCTCAGTGAAATTATTCTCAGCGTCCAGATCGCTCTTCTTCTCGCCCCCTCGGCTCGATTTTATTACTGGACGGCGTTGTGATGAATAGATAGAGTCCGTGTGGCCCAAAACCTGCTGCATCTCCTTCGCCCCGCTCGATAGTGTGTCTGGCAGTTCCTGCGGCGGTCCATTTTGAAGGTCTGAGGTAGCCAATGTACGCTTATTCTCCAGCTCAGTTATCTGACTCCTTGGTTCTCGATCGTTCTGCGGTTGGTCTCCCCGCATTATACTAAAAGGTTCAAGTCGATAGTTTATTACAAGAGTCAGGCAGTTCGCCTTCTCGGAAGCGGGAGGCGCTTGAGTAGCGCTTGGCAGTAACGTTGGAAAAGTCGAAGACGTATTAGTACTGCCAATCACTTGTGTGATCTCGTCTGTGTCCCCAATGTTATCGTGACCACTAATTGCGCCGTTTTGGCTCTGAAATTGACCCGGTGCCGAACTGGCGGGCTCTAGAGAAGAGATACACTGTTCGTCTTTGAGCTTTAGGCCAGCTCTCTCCTCTTCCTCCATCTCTCTGACCACTCGTTCTGCTCGAGTACGTTCAGCTCGAGCAAGCTCAGACTCGTGTAATGCCTTACGAGCGATCTCACGGGTTTCAAGCCGGTGATACCATCCAAATGCAAGGTCCCAGAAGAACATGACGAATGCAGCTGGCAATGCCACCTAGTAATCGGAATGTCCACCGCGGGTTAAGTAAACAGCGTTAAGAACCAGAAGGATAATAACTGTCGAGACCATGACGATGGCTCCGAACGCTGCACTTCTTTTATCTAGATAAGGATTTAGAATTTCTTCCATGGAAAGTGTCCCCTTGGATTCATCGAGATGGTCTTCAAGTTCACCGACTCTTATTCTGGGAACGGGGAGATTGACATTTCGGGGGGGCTTAGCTCTCGCTTCATAAGGGATCTCATGTAGCTTAATCGAAAGAGGGATCAGCGATTCGTCCGCAAAAACGATATACAACAAGATAGGAAGCAGTAGTATGGCCATAGCAAGAACGGGGAGTACCATGTTGGCGGTGTAAGTAACGAACTTGATATTGAAAGCTCCGGCGAGTACAAGGTTGGCCGGATTAGAAGTGACAAGGAGTGCGGTAGCAATATTAGCTACGGCGAACTGGGTATGTATCCATGCTCTTGGATGTACAATGTTGGACGCTATCCGGTTCATGTATGACAGGAACAATACCATAATGGGGTCGTTTCCAATAAAAATGCCTATGCCAAAGAAACAAGGATAGAGATATGCGTATAATCGATGCCCAACCGATCCTGCCCTTTGGAGCACTTTAAATACTAAGTATTTAATTAGACCGGATGCTTCCAGAGAGTTGGCGACAGTGTGTCAAAGGAATACTCAAACTACTTAAGTTACTTAAGTATATACTCATTGAGTATTGAGTAGAGTATAAGTAGCCCCTCTATGACTAAGCTTAAGTAGAGTAGAGTAGACTACTTAAGTAGTTTAACTACTCATCACGTGGTTTATTTTATTAAATATCTCTTTTTATGTTATAAATACTATTTAATTCTTTTCTTTATTATCTTTCTCTACCTTTATTATCTTTTGTACTACTTAAAATTCCTCTAATACTACTTATTATACTAGTAAAAATTTATATAGTAATCACGTGTTATTTTATATATGTGACTTCTAAATAATAAATCAAAGAGAAAAGAAATACATGGGGATTATTTTGACTTCTACTTACTCTTAGATATAATATAACCTTTTAAAGTAAATTTAAAGCTAATAAATAAGTCGGGGGACTCCCTTATAAGGATATGTGCTTGCACGTGACTCACTACTTAAGTCACTTAAGTATATACTCAATGAGTATTGAGTAGAGTATAAGTAGGACATATTTTGGCTGAGTAGAGTATGAGTAGGACCCACTACTCTACTCTACTCTACTCATTTGACACACTGGTTGGCGATGTATCCCAGCGAGAGAAAGACAAGTATAATATCGAATGGTGTAATGTTATCGGCCCCGATCGTGCCATTGTACACTTCCTGTCGGCCAATCGCCGAGATGGCAAGGAGAAAAAGATCTGCTATTAGAGGTGCCGTAACGTAGTTCATAGGGAGGTCGAGCCGCAAGAAGGGTTTGACTAGGTTATTCTCGCCAGCCCTGGAGCCATAATCAGAGCGGTCCTGCTGTGGTGATATGAATCGAACAGCACTTAAGGTGTATATGGCAGCATCCGAAAGTGGTCTAGGGATGTATACTGGAACATCAAATGGAAAAAGTACAACGATATCTGGAGAGTCAGAGGAGTCAGTTCTAGGGACATGATCAACCCTGGTCTCCTCGGCACTACTCACTGGTCAAGGCAAAAATGATAAGCGTGATAATTGATCGCCAATTTTCGATTTGGCTGGTATCAAGATCGTCTGACATTTCGACTGCCCTTTGCGAATGTCGTCGAGGCCGACGCGCTCCCTCAGGCCTTTCATAAAGCGAAGAAATAGAGTAACATCGATGGAGGCGCAGCCGATGCGTCACTGTGTCAGTGGCGCTGTTGCTTAATTGAATTGCAGACCGCCTTGTACAGCGCAGTCAACTTAAGGTGTTGATTCGTTGTAATCGTACCTCATTTCTCGTTTAAGAAACGTCGCTGGAAGCAAGCTTGGCGAATTAAGAGCCCCCAACGTTAGTCTGCCAATCGGGCTACTAAAAATCAAACGCACCTGCATTGGGAGTTTATGGAGCTGAAAGACATGGATGAGCGGATTATTGGTGGGTTTGTGAGGAAGCTGAAAAGATGTATTGGAAACTGTTCGCATTTGGATCTTTAAAAAGAATTAAGTTGGACTGTTTAAACATGGGATGTAAGATTACGTTGAACCTGATCAATGCTTTACCGAAGAACGAAGGTTGAATTGAACGCAAAAGGGTTCAAACCGAAAAGTCAAAACAGCCAACAGTTTGATAGGCTTTGTTGCCGCAGGGGGTTGCTTAGGCTGTAACTATGTTGAGTTGAGTAAGCTGACGGGGTAAATTGGAGTCACAATACACTCTAAACGAAAATAACTGCTTATAACCTCCCTCCTATAAAATCATCAGAGAAAGTGCAAAGGCTGTACCTGGGAACCCTTTATCGGTTTTCCTTGTGGGCACAGCTATTTTATCTTCCATGAATCGTATCGATGATGTCAATGGCGCCAAAGGTAGACCCACCATTACCCGATATCCGTTGGAGTTAAATGGTTTCTTATCTCCGTGCCGAGCTCTATATTGCCCTCCTCGTCTTCCCATCAATATCATTTCTCTTGGGTTTGATTTTCACTTCAGCAATCATTTATGATTTGTTTTGCCAGAACAATGTCGAAACTTACGATAAAATCAACCTTGCGTATGAATTCGGGATATGAGATTCCTATGCTTGGTTATGGGGTCTACCAAACGTATGATAAAGAAATTCCCGCCAATTTTCCTCTCGATACTAAAACAAAATGCAGACCAACCAACATCTGCGAAGAAGTAGTGACGAAAGCCTTCGAGACTGGCTACAGACATGCAAGTTTCACGTCCCAAGTCACTTGCCACCTCTAACACCCTCAGGTCGATTCCGCAGCCGCCTACCGGAACGAAGAGCCTTCCGCTGCAGCAGCCAAGAAGAGCTCCATCCCTCGCTCTCAAATATTCTTCACCTCCAAAGTCCCTCCCAGGAAGTTGTCCTATGAGAGTGCTTCCGCCCAAATCGACGCCTCTCTCAAGCTTACCGGTCTCGGCTACATCGACTTGATGCTCCTCCATGCTCCCTACGGGGGCAGAGAGGCACGAAAAGGAGCATGGAAAGCGCTCGTCGAGGCGAAGGAAGCGGGAAAGGTGCGCAGTATTGGCGTTTCTAACTACGGCGTCACCCATTTGGATGAATTGGAGGTGTACATCAAGGAACTAGAGAAAGAGTGCGGCGGTGAGCGGAAGGGCGGCAAGATCGATGTCGGGCAGTGGGAGGTGCATCCGTGGCTGCCGAGACGGGATATCGTGGAGTGGTGTGAGAAAAGAAGGGTGGTCGTGCAGGCTTATTGTCCAATTGTGAGGGGGAAGAGGATGGATGATCCGGCTTTGCTCTCATTGGTTAAGAAGCACGGGAAGACGGGCGCGCAAGTTCTGATAAGGTGGAGCTTGCAGAAGGGATTTGTGCCTCTGCCGAAGAGCGTGACGCCTGCACGGATTGTGGAGAATGCGGATGTGTACGATTTTGAGCTCGATGTGAAGGATATGAAGGCGCTGGAGTTGGATGTCTATGAGCCTTGTGCTTGGGATCCGACAGTGGCCGCGTTGGAAGACTAGAGACTCCAAGTGAAAGGTTGTGTAATTAGACCCCCTTGAGGGTGCATATACTTTTCCTGACCTCCGTCGTTCTCAAAGTATAGTGTCAGCGATGACCAAGTCTGCTCTTTGGTTTACGTACATTCAATCCTCTACATTTTCATTTTTTTTTTAGGTGGTAAGAACCTAGTTCATTGTGTGCACAAGCAAAGTACCCACCCACCAGACCTAAAGTTAGAGGGAATACTTGAGGATAACTATCAACTGAACGGGGCTTGTGTACAAATTTTTTCTCTTCTATCTGCAACTAGTGGCGTAATATCCCTTTAAACTTCCCATTTCTCTGTGGTGTTGATTGGTTTACCAGCACCGCCAATGCAAGTGAAAAGAGGGTAAGCCAAACCCAGACGGGCGTAGTACTTAAACTCCTCAAAACCTTATGAAGGAGCCAAGTTCGTGAACCCCCGCTCATTTCGAAGTCTCTCCACCTTGGAAAAAACGCAGCTTTCCAGAAGGTAAAAGCCAGTCCAGGCCATGAAGCCGAGTTTCGCCCAGCGCTGTTGATGTACCAGTTAGAGCACCCTGCAGAAAAAACAGTGTGCTCCAGAATTCCATCGAGATTCTGGATGAATTTCTCTTCCGTTTCTGCATTTACTTCAACGACATCTGCGTAGCGGTCGAGGATTGGTGAAATTAGTGTTTTCGCGACGTATTCAACCTGAACTTCAATAGAGAAAATAACTGAGTTGAATGCTGGAAAGGTGTTGGGCCCAAAACTACAGGTCGTGATATATTAGCATTCTATATTTTAGTTTTATCAGCATTAACAAACTTACAGGATGCTGAAGTTAGGACAGTTGTGTACAAAGGTTCCCATATATGCCTGCGCGCCATTCTTCTTTCCCCACTGCGTTGAGATGCTCTCACCTGTCTTGCCCACGATCTCCATGGGTGTCAGAAATGCCTGCACTTTGAAACCAGTTGCCAGTATGATGGCATCAAAATCCTCACTCTTGCCTGTCTGACTGACGATTCCAGTTTTAGTGATCTCCCGAATTCCCTCCGGTAATAAATCCACATTGGAACGGTGCAGTGATGCAAGATACCCTGGGTCAAATATTCTTCTTTTGCATCCGAGTGGAAATTCGGGCACAATGAAATCGTGGTACTCTTGTGGCGTCTCTCGATAGATATAATTTTTCGCCTTGTTCTCCACAGCAATCCGCTGCTTGACTTGCTTCGGTTCTGGCCCGTATACTGATGACAGTTGATCGGTGGCGAGGAAGACCTTCAGTCTGTGGTATCTCTGCCAAAATGGGACGTAACGGAAACAAAGCTTCTCGAATTTAGTGAAATGGTGATTTGGTCTTTCGTGGTACCATTGAGGGCTCCGGGCATATCCACAATCCAAATCAGCCTAGTTATAACAAATTCATTATTTATTTACCTACTGGGTCAGCTTCCGGACGCTTGGTGCAATTGATGGCACAACTTGAGCAGCGCTGCAACCGTTTCCAATCACAGCGATTCGTTTGTCCCGGTAATCGAAAGTGTGATCCCATTCAGCAGTGTGGAATACCTTGCCTCTGTATCCATCCAGTCCCGGAAAACACACGTCTCTCGGTTGAGAGAAACCACCTACAGCAGTTATTAAGATTGCGCAGTGCTTTTTAAATCTTTGCTTGGTCCCAAGATCAAGGAACGACACTTCCCATTCTTGTCGTTCCAAGGACCATTTGGCACCTAAGCATTCGCATCTGAACCTGATGTGCTGGCGAAGATCGAATTTGTTAGCGGTGTCCTCAATATCTACAAGACTATCAGCTGTGGTGTGAATTTGGGGTCCAGAAAATCCTATCTACTGACACTGTAGAATTTCTTCCTGCTCTGCCAGCTCTTGTGACCAATCGGGATTCAGATTGAAGCTGAACGAATAGAGATGGATGGGGACGTCGGACCCACTAGATATATATTAACAGTTAGAGAGAACGTTGCTTAGGGATTTGCTACAAACCAGCCTGGATAAGTATTTGCTCTCCATGTTCCCCCAAGACCTTCGCGTTTCTCGTATATCTGACCACTTAGCTTTGTGTGATGCAATTGCGATATGACATACCTCAAAATTGCTGTACCCAAGCTTCCACTTGAGCGTATGCCCCATGGCAATACCGGCCACCCCAGCACCCACGACAATGGCCTTTGGGCCCGACATAGTTTAAAAACCAGGAACTATTGCGGTGTTTTGCGCCGTATCATCAAGTCTGGAAACCACGCCCTGTGTTCAAAGCCCACGGCTTAGAACTGAATCGGAACAACAATGTAAGGGATCCCTTGCCCCAACGTGAGGCATTCGCAAATTTCTGAGCATACACCAGGTCTAATCAGATTACCGTTAACCACAGGACGGGAATACTGGAGTGCGGGATGTGGCTTTCAAATTACTCCTGAACGGGTTAAGCGAGATGTATTTCCGCAATCCCGCAATCCCGCTGACCAAACTTCCAACTTCCGTCAATTCATGCCCGCCTACGACTTCACTGACGGTCATCCTTCACGAAAAATTCGTACCTGTATGACGGCAAACTGCCTTGGCTGAAGAAAGAGGAGCTTGGCCATGGGGACTATCCCCACTCTGGGGGTTTCATCCACAACAACGGGTTTCCCGGATTCCCCAGATTCTCGACATCTCTAATTCCCCAGATTTCGCCGAATGGACTAGATAACCGAAGCGAAATCCCTAACATTGCCGCTTGCTCTGCTATAGTACCCTCTTCATAGTATTGAGGAGTCTCCCAGTTTTCAATTTACTTTTCGATCTCCTCTTCGCCTGCTACATCGTCACCAAATCAACATGGCGAAATTCACCAAAGCCCGGTTTGGAAGCAAGACATCATATCGTATGATGTCAATCAGTTGCGCTCTCGTAAGTGTCCTGTACTATCTTGACTGTCTTGCATGAATGGGGGCTGAGTTGACTACCGAAATTAGGCATTTGCGCTCTATGGCTACGACGCCGGCGTTCTTGGAGGTGTTCAAAACACCAAGCCCTTTCTCGACGCAATCGGAGTAAGTTTATCTGAAAGATCTCAACGAAGTAGCTGGCTAACACACTTAAGAATCCAACAGGTGTCTACGATATCCCCATGGTAGCTTCATCCTATGTTTTAGCCGCGACTGTCATCTCAGCCTTGGTCATCTTTATCGGCATGCCCTTTGGCAGACGGGGCTGTATCTTAATCGGTGACATGTGTGTAATTGTTGGGTCAGCAATTCAGGCCTCAGCCATGTCAATGCCACATATTATTGTCGGGAGAGTTATTTGCGGTTTCGGAATTGGAGTAAGTTCCATCTTCATAATTCCTGACCTGCTCGATGGTTATTCTAACAGTTAGAAAGTTCATCTCCAGCACCGTGCCAACCTACATGGCGGAAATGGGCATCATGAAAGAACAGCGTGGACCGGAAGTTGCTATTCAATGCGCATGGCTAATCACTGGAATTGCAATTGCTTACTGGATTGACTTTGGGTTCACTCGGACTCAGCATCAGATCTCTTGGGTAAGAATCCTTCGCCAACTACTCCCACTACGAAGACACGCTGCTGACATCGAACAAAGCGCTTCCCCATTGCATTCCAGGCTGTCTTTGCTATCATCTCCTTTGCTCTTCTCTGGTTTCTTCCAGACACACCACGCTGGTACTATGCCAGAGACAGGATCGAAGAGGGTGATTTAGTCCTCATGTTGCTTCATGATAAAGGCATCGATGGCGAAAGTGTGCAGAAGCAAAGAAAGGAAATTTTGTCTTCCATCCAAATGGAAGCTGAGAATGAGAACAAACTCATTCTCTGGAGTCTCGTCTGGGATAACACTGAGCTGCGAGTTGGCCGACGGATCCGTATTTCGTTTCTCATTCTCAGTATTCAGCAGATGATGGGTTTGTGTCCTGACTGACTTCTCCCTCCCAGACAGCCTTAGCTAAAGATTTACAGGAATCAATATGCTGGTCTACTACAGCACTCGAATATTTGCAAACATTGGTCTGTCGCCCTTTTTGTCCCAGCTCCTCGCTGCTGTGATGAACACCATTTTCGCAATCGGGACATATTTCACACCAGGAACTATTGAAAGGTTTGGAAGACGGCAAATCATGCTCTGGACAGCCTTTGGCTGCGGTGTTTCCATTATGATATTTACCATCATGATTGGGTTACCGAATCAGACACCCGCAACCCAATGGACTGCAGTTGCATTCGTCATCCTATACAATCTGTTCTACGGATACGGCTGGGTTGGATGCCCTTGGCTATACGGACCAGAGGTTAGTTGCTTCATAAGAATAATCAACTGTGTCAATACTAACACGTACCGACCTGCAGATTGCCCCTCTACGATATCGACATATTGGTGGGGCTGCTGGGTCACTGGGTGAATGGCTTTTCTCGTTCATCACAGTCTTTGCGGGTGGAATTGGTGTTGACAGAACTGGATGGAAAATCTGGATCTGGCAGATTATTGCTTGCTTCGGTGTTATTCCCTTCGTATATTTCATGTGCCCAGAGGTAAAAATCATCCTCGCACCAGCCACCAGCATATCTGACTGATGATTTCACTAGACGGCAGGAAAGTCCCTCGAAGAAATTGATGCGCTGTTTGCAGCGCCTGGCTATGATGGCTATCACCACGGGGCGGGTGCAGATGAAAAGATTATTGAGAGTGACGGAAGCAATACATCCCATTTGGAGGAGAAGATTGTGGGGAAGAACTAGAGTCCGTCAAAAGTGTGGCAGAACACAAGAAGCACATCATGTACCGTACCATACCTTGAGTGCATTTTTTGTTGGCTGTTTTTTCTGTGGTCGGGGAAAGTTACAGACTGGAGAAATTAGTCCAAAGCCGCGGTGACGGAGAGACAGATCCACGTGGAAACTGTTCTTCAAGGCGTTTCGTATCCTGCACTGTAAAGGAGCATTTTGCTTATTTGCAAACCGCGTTATAATATTCCGAACACTTCCAAATACTTCGCCAATTATTTTACCAATACTCAGACGAAGAAGGAGTATGACAATTATATGCCATTTAAACTTCTATTACATTTTTTTTTTACCGTTGACGACTTTTTGAAACGCCTTGAATTTTCCAAGTTGTTTCCCGGCAATACTGAGTACGAAGTAACCGAGAACCGATCCCGCAGCATCCAAATTTCGTGTGCTCTCGTAATCGTGAGAGCCCAAACTCCTCCGGTCACGACCCGCACCTTTCTTATGAATTCAATTGGTTGTAGACTGTCGGTAAGTACCGATAGCAAGGAGGGATTGGAGAGGATACGGATGCATGCTCCCATGAAATTGGAGACGGGGCGGGCACCCTGTCCAAAGTTCGGGGATCTTGGCATGCGGGGTCAAATCCTACCCCATTTCCACTTCCAAGGTTGAACTAATCTACCTTCACGTCGCCAAACTTTCTAAAAGTTACCTTATCTTTGGTCAACGCTTGAACGGTTACCGACCCAATTCTGCACCTCATGCCGCTCACTGCAAGTCGCGTAATGGAGGGGAAGAAACATGTTACGACCGCATGTTTGCACTGCCGGCGGAGAAAAATCAAGGTCAGCGGCACCGGGATGCCTCAGCCCCCAACTTTGGGGCCATATACTCTCCCACATGAATGTCACTAAATCAATTCTTGACAGTGCGACGGTCAATCGACTTGCTCGAACTGTGCTATGCTGAGTCAAAAATGTCTTTATAATGCGGAAGACGATAATAGAAGGCAAGGCAATCGAAGTGGCATACGACGGAATTCAGCTGACCGAGACCAAGAACTTCAGCAAAGAGGGCATCGAATGCCCTCAAGAACAGATTGGTGCAATTAGAGGAAGCTCTCAAAGCCAACAACATTGAACTGCCACCTCCACCGGCTCCGACAACAACCCGAAATCATGAGAACCAAGAGAACTCTCAAGATAATGCCAGGAGGTCCAGTGTGCGGGAAACTACGGAAGAGACACAACACCAACAATCTTCATCATTCTCTCAGGCAGCTTCTAATCCGCCGGATGAAGTGCAGTTTTCGAGCGATTGGGCTTCTAATGTTACGCAAGACAATGACGAGGTCCTTCGTGAGCGATCAATCAACGAAAGTTCTCTCATTCCGAGTGATGCTTTTGCGGGCACATCCATGCCGGCTTCTGATCTGGAAGCAATCTCCCTTAATTATTTCCAGTCGGGTAGCAGCTTTGATGCCTTAACTGCAGAGCCTAGAAACGCCAGCCCTGACCTTACCTTGCCCCTGAATGCAGACTCTCCACCAAGTCCTCGATTAACGTCATACATCCCAGATACAGGCGAATTCAGGGGTGGCACGGCATCCCGGGACAACATCACCAACTCCCTGGCAGCGCGTATGGGCTCTCTACAAATTGCTGAAGATGGTCAATTGCGTTACTACGGACCTACTTCCAATCTGCACCTCTACCACAATGGACTTCAATCTCTTTCGAGATCAACGATCCAGCACGTGGCGATTGAAGGAAATGAGGTTCTGAGACGTGCCGGTTTAGATCAAAAGATACCACTGGCTGTCGAAATGCATCTTGCACATTTGTACTTTTCTTGGGAAGACCCAGCTATCCACGTCGTAGATGAAGAAATATTCTTCTTGGAGAAGCAGAAGTGGATCGCGGGGAACAAGAATACCCCTTATTATTCAGAGACGCTAAATAACGCCATGTTAGTGTGCTGAGAAGAAACCTCCTCAATCTATGCCGAGTACTGATGAAGTTTTGTAGCTGCGCAATTGGAGCCAATCTGGCAGCAGGGGAGAGACTTGATGTGCCAGAACCAGCCCCCGAATTCTTCTCATCCCGAGCGAAAGCTCTGCTGGATATCGAGATGGATAGTCCCAACGTCGCCACTGTACAAGCTCTTGTGATTATGAGTGCTTCAGAAGCTGCGTTCACCCGAGATGCAAGAGGCTGGTTGTATAGCGGTAAACAATTTAGGCTAGAAAGGGTCACCGGCGGCTAACACTTTAGGAATGGCTGTACGACTAAGCGCAGACTTAGGGCTGCATTTAGACTTGAACGACCAGTACAGAAGTGGAATGCTAAGTCAGCGAGATATGGATGTGAGACGCACTACGTTCTGGGGGGTCTTCATACACGATAAGTTTGTCCTCTAAGGTCTTTGGTGGCAATGTTCCCTGTTAACTGTTTGCAGTATGTGGAGTCTCTATGTTGGCCGGCCTTGGGGAATTAGCATTAGAGATATCTCGGTGTCTCGCCCACTCAAGGAATTAGACGCCGTGAGAAGGAAGTTGTGGAAACCTTATCCAATCAACAATGGACAATCAACGGTACCTCCTGAAGGTCTCTTGGATCCGCTGGAAGCATGTACAGACGCGAACATCACTCTTTGCGGGTTCATGCGACGTATTAACCGCACATTGTGAGTTCTTCTGGAGTCGGAAATGGAGAATCACGTTGACGAAGTTAGGTACTCTGGTCGTAAAATCGGCATTGATGAACTCGCAAAATTTCTCTCGACTACCCAGAAGGAGCTCTCATTGTGGATGGATAACCTATCGCCCGAGTTACGTGTAGATCTGTCAAATACAGACAGGACATATATTCCTCATGTGCTCCAACTTCAGTAGGTGGACCCTGCATTTCCCACCTCCAAATGCTGATCACAACAGCATGCAATTTTATGCGGCGATCATCTTCTTATTTCGACCATATTTCTCGCACCATCTTTTGAGAGCAACCCAGTCCTTAAACACAATGGAGGATCGAGCAGCTGTTGCAAGGGTCAAGTCAGACTGCATCTCCGCAGCCCACAGCATGGTGGAAGTACTAAGATGCTTCCGGAAGCAACACTCACTGCGACATACGAACATCCAAATTGTTCACCTCATCTTCACGGCCTCACTCATTCACATTTACAACGCATGCACTTGCACTGGTGCCGATTCGCAGACCGCCTTAGATGATTTGCAATTTTGCTGCCAATCGCTGGGAGAGATTGGGCAAACTTACTGTTGAACTAGCTAAGTAATAAAGCTAGGGTCACGTGCTTGCAATGTAAACCAAGTAAACGATACTGAATTGACTGCTGTTCTACAGTGGTAAGTAGCCCGTATATATAGCCCTGAACCCCCTAAGTCACATGTACTAAATCCCTATGCCAGCTGAACCGATTACAGCTATACAGGGTATTCCAGCCGTACAGGGTATTCCAGCTATACAGGGTATCCCAGCCGTACAGGGTATTCCAGCTATACAGGGTATTCCAGCTGGACAGGGTATTAAGCTAGTGCACAGCCCCATGGCGTTCGGTTCCAGGGCTTACTAAGCCTATTGGGGGCCTCAGGCCCCTAATTTCAACACTTACGGAAATGCAACGAGGGCACTGGAAGTCATTATCCTTGTTAAGCGAGAGTGGCAAAAGGTCGCAGCTGTTCGGACAGCACAGGGCTTCAAGAGACCTAGTAATGCCCTGAACTACAGTCGGAGTGGAAGCGCAGATGGCGAAGACTTCCGCAAGAAACGTCGACCCTCTTCCAACGTCGCATTCGACCCGCTCAATCCTCCGCGGTTTCTTATGCCATCGGCTTTTGAGACTTTCCGTGTACCACCAAATGACTTGGCCTTGGGGCCTCAGGCTCTGAACGCACCCAGAGATGGTGGAGATATTTACGATGCTTGGGACTTTTTAAATTGGGCCGACCTTGGGGGCGAGATGGTCAGCGACCTTGCTGCACCTCCCGGACTTGGCGGCCAAGGTCTCTTGGAGCAGAATGGTACCAACGAGCAACTCTTTGGAGGAAACTCCATTCAAGACAGCTGAATTCATAATGCGGGTCAGTACGAGTAATTGACACAATTCCTTCAATTTACCACCATGAGCCTTGAGGTTCAATCACTCCACTGCACCGAGCTCTCCAAGAATGCGAGTATGGAGGCAGTACGTCATTGGGGGAAAGTCTCTGCGATTTGAGGACATCGATGGAGTGCCGAACCCTGGGGGACCAATCGGGAACTGAGCGGAAATTTAATCCCGCTTTTCCATATGTATGGCCGCATTTCCATGTTCCATACTCTAACACTGGGAGACGACCAATCACTAGTAAAGCAGATGACAAATGGTCACAGTTCGTTGGTTTTATAATTGCAGAACTTCAATGGTTCTTGAAGTCTCTTCTGTCACCATCCCCACTCTCCCGAACTTGAGATCACTTCAATTGAATTTTCTTAAAAATGGCAGCCAAGAAGGTCTTTATGTCAGTCTATTCCACTTAAATTGCCGTGTCGGGGCTGACATTATTCAGAACGGGAGCAACTGGTTTCATCGGTGGCAGCGTCTTGAATAAGCTTCTCGAGAAACACCCCCAACTTGAGATCACAGCCCTTCTACGCAGTCCTTCTTCAGCATTTTCTGCCAAATACAGCTCAGTTGAAGGGGTCAAGGGCTCATTTGACGATTTCGGAATCATTGAAAAGGCAGCACATGAAGCAGACATTGTAATTCGTAGGCTCTCTCCATTCCTGCAGCTTCGGGTTTGCTGACTCGGCCATAGATACTGGTGACATTAGTCATCCGGGATGCGCCAAAGCCATTCTCTCCGGACTGAACAAGCGAACAGAAGAAAGCTTCTTGATTCACCTAACCGGAACTGGATGTATCTCCGATGAGCGCGAGCAGACGTGGGAAGGAAAATACAATCCGCATGTATGGGACGATGTCAAAGAAATCAACGAGATTTACGACCTCCCCGAGACGGCGCAGCATCATGTCATCGATCAGTGGATTATGGATGCCAGCAACGAGAAACTGAAAACTGTGATTATCTGTCCACCTGATATATACGGCCAGAGTTCGACCATTGGCAATCGGGCGACATTTCTGGTTCCGGATTATGTTGAGGCAATTATCAAGCACAAAGAATCCTTTTATCTAGGTTCTGGAGAGAACATCCGCGGTGTTACACATATCGATGATGTAGTGGATCTCTTCTTACTGATTTTGGCGAAACAACTCGAAGGCCGGAAAGAATTGGACTATGGTAGACAGGTTTGTGGGCGCTCAAAAGTGGGCGTTACTGAAATATGCTGATCAAGGGCGAAGGGATTCTATTTTGCAGTCTCGGATGGCATTCCGTGGAAGAACGCAGCCGAAAAGATCAATGAGCTGGGTCAACATCAGGGCTGGCTGCCCAAAGGAACGAAAGCAGTGTCTTGGAATGAGAGTCAACTGGCGGCTTTGCTACCAAGCGATCCTGGCCGAGTCCTGTACCTATGGGGCTCTAATAGCAGAGCTGAATCTTCGAGAGCGAAGAAATTGGGTTGGAGACCACATGGACCGAGTTTCTGGGAGGCTCTTCCTGAGGACTGTAAAGTAGCTGCGGAGAAGTTGAAGGTTTAAGCAAAATGTCATGGTGAGTTCAGCGGTTGACAACTCGACATGAAAGTCAGGGTTCAAGGAAGATCAATTTATACAGAAACGATGTTTTGAGGTTTGGCTATGAACCTGATTTGGAGGAATGGGCTCTGTATGAGAGATCATCCAATGATAGATGACTAAAAGCTTGAGCAGCAAATGCAATTAAGACTTCCACTTATTATTGGTTTCCCGCTGAAATAATTTAGCCTACACGCACAGAGATAAAATTCGAAATGAATAATAGATATCGAGGGGCGTAAGAGTGCATTAAATAACATATTGCCTAGATAAGAGTTGGAAATGATGTGAATGGGGGCTGTGATTGTGAAGTGTTAAGAGCGAACTTCAGCCTTGGTGATTTCATTATAGTGTGAATGACCTGATATAGTGTGTACTGTGTAGGGTTTACATCTTCTCTTTCTAACGTATCCATCGCCTAAAACCATGGCAGTACATTTCCAAGTATATATTTACGCATCTCCAATTTTCCTTTAATCTCTTGCACTTGGAAATTCTCAGATATACTTATTTAGGCATACTGTGTAATTCTAGGCGCAATTCTTAGCTCCGGGGCTAACTACTCGACATCCCGCATTTCCGCAATCCCGCAATACCGCCAATGAGAAACAGAGACGGCAGCATATGTTTTGAGAACAATGTGAACCCCGGCCGAGCGAAACTACAGGAGGTCAAAAACGAGTAAATTAGAAGTCATGTTCACGTGCTGCCCACGGAATTGTTGGAGCTACAGTTGATCCACCCAAACATTCCGATAGCTCACAACACTTCGAAATTTCAAAACAACCACTAGACTTCTACCCTCTAGAACTTTAGACGTAATATCAATCTGTATCCTTTGCTCCAAAACTGTTGTGATCAACAAATGTATTGCTAAGAAATTGTTGAACTTGGAAGTGTTACCACTAACTCTTTGGGGTTTAAGCATAGTCTTCAAGGAATCTAGAGAGAACATAATACACCCACGTTGCCCCATGGTCACCACATGCGTTACACAACAATAGTTCGACTATAAATTGCGCAGTTATTTGCTATTCTTTCTACCAGCCGTACCACAGACTAACTTAATGCGGAGTACGTCAATAACGCTTCCGGCATTCCTATTCCCGCAAAATTCCCAGACCGGAGATGAACCTGCAATGACGATCCCTTGTTGCCCGCCCCTTCCTGCTTTTCGGGTTTTACAGCAAATTGCCTCGATCTGTCAATTAGTGCCTATTGTATGTATGTATTATTTTCTGCCAAAACTCACTCCATCTATAATCGAATGAACCATGCACTTCACACAGCTAGAAAATAAATCATTGTTCAAGCTTCCTGAAAACACCTCAAACAGAATGGGAATCCAGGGGGAGCCGATCGTTTCAACAACAAGTGCCCTAGGCGTGCCAGGCTTTGCACTCGTTACTGGTGCCGCATCTGGAATTGGTCGAGCTATCGTCCACCTCCTTGCCAGAGAAGGGTGTGCCGGCATTGCACTCGCAGACATCAATCTCGCCAGTGCACAAGCTGTGCAAGCCGAATTAGAATCCTCATCTCCAAACCCTAAATTCAAATGCGTGGCTATGCGAGTAGACGTACAGGATGAGGAGTCCATCATCGCTATGGTGAAAGAGACGGTGGCAGCATTCAGCAGGATAGACTATGCTGTTAATTGTGCCGGTATTGGGATGAAGAAGCCACTTGCGGATACGGAGCTGCAGGATTGGAATCGAATGGTTGGGATTAATATGACGGGTGTCTTCCTATGCTTGAAGGCAGAAGTTAAGCAGATGATGTCTCAACAATCTTTGACTACTGATCGGTAAGCTATACCTGCGTTGTAAATTTGAATTTGTTCTGAAAAATATGACAAATAGTGCATACGCGCCACTTCAAAGAGGTGCAATCGTCAACATCGCCTCCCTTGCTGCCATCAACGGCCTTCGCCATTCAGGTGCCTATACGGCAGCAAAGCACGGCGTAGCAGGGATAACTCGAACGGCCGCTCTTGACTATCCCGAGATCAAGTGCAATGCAATTGTGCCCGGGTACATCAAAACCCCTTTAACGGACGCCCCTGGAGAGATGCGTACGAACGCTCTGATCAAGGTCAATGACTGGACTCCCATGCAGCGATTCGGGCTTCCTGAGGAGATCGCAGAGGGTGTGGTATGGCTTTTAGGTTATCGAAGTAACTTCGTGCATGGAAGTTGTCTTGTGATGGACGGTGGATATCTGACACATTAGAAGTCATTCAATTTAAATAGTAGAACCCTGCATGGCCTTTCCCGTACAGTACAAAACACCAAGTCCACTATTCCTATGCGTTCAAAGCTTAGTAAGAACATCCTGAGTATGAGTTTATAGCTCCTCAGCCATCTTGTGCTCGTCACGGTCTCGTCCAACCGATCGTTGCTCAACCACCTGATGGGTATGTAGTATTCTCCATTTGCCAGATTATCTTTCTTTGTGCTTGCCGCGGCCTAGAGCTGGCTGAGACTGCCATGCTTCACCTCCATGAATGAAACGCCTAAGAATAAGAAAATAATCTTCATCACGATTTCATGACCGAATGATATAGTGGTCATGAGATCAGTGTAACTTGCCTCGGGGTGCATTATGAGAACCCAGCCTCGCAATATTACGGCACTGAGATTTGCAACTGAGTAGCTTTCCCCAGAGTTGATGGCGAACTTCGGTTTTGTTCGAGAACGCCACAAAACTTTTTTTATTTTATATTTTATCTATGCTTAAGGTATTAAATACCGCGGTTCCGATATGGAGTGGCCGATGCCATGTGTTTTCACTGAGTATAAAAGCTCTTGGAGCCGGTCTGCCTCCCAAGGAAGCCTTTATACGGGAGAAGAAAGAAACAATTCTGAACAAAGGAGTCCGAGATCGAGCTCTTGGAGCAAACTATGGCAAACTGATCCAAGTCATGCCGGAGTCCCAGCGCGAGGAGCTACTATTGGTCCGAGAGAGGACAAGAACGACGATATAGTAAGCAGTGGGATATAGTAAGAGGTGGATGAGCTAAAGAAGGCACGAGAGAACTGTTTGAATGGCTTGATAGTCAGGAGAGCTCAAATTGGATAGCTCAATGTCGATTTGACAGGATTGAAGAGCGCGTTGCCAGAGTTTGCGTAAGCGTGGATGAAGTTGGCGAATAGTTGCTTTGAACGACAACTGCACTGGAAACTTGCCTAAACTCAGGTCTCAAATATTATACTATCTCAAAACTTCAATTCTGTAGAATATATGGAGGATCGGAAATGGGGTCTTCTCTCTCGGATACAATCAGTCTTCGTCCTCTGTAAATCCACAAGATTATACACAGCTCCTTCTCTAAAGTCCTCTTATACGTCCACCTTCCAACAATCATCTTTTGCCACTCCGAAACCATCATAAGGGTCTCATTTCTTCCTCGACACCTCACTTTGCATTACTATATCCATCAGGAAACTCATATAAAAGACCACCCCATCCTCTTCCCCGCAAACCACTTTCTCTCCTCATCAAGAATGTACTCTATCACCCAGAAAGTGACCGACAGCAAGCCTCACGAGAAGTCTACCAAGCTGCCGAAATCAACGCACCAGTCTACCTTGCTCCAAAAGACTCTCGGGAAAAGAGTGGAAAATGCTTTCACAAAAACTGAAAGGCATCGTAAGCGCCATTATTCCTCGTCTGATGATGCCAAGTGAGGTTCCGTTGACCTCACAGCGCTGAAGTTTTCAGGGTCGAAAGGCGTTCGCCCTTTCCAACCAACCGGAGCCGAGAGCCGATCACGAATGGTTGATCTCATGCCAAAACGATGCACTATCAATCTTTCGGTTTATTTCTCCAACGAAGATTTTTCCCCGTCAAACAGAGCACTCTAGTAGATTCGAAGACGCAAAATTGAAACAGCAAGCTACATTAAGGCTGGAGTAAGCCGTTGGAACAGCTAATCACGAAACACACCAAGTTCTTTATTCTTAAAGAAAAGAAAATCACGCTGTTGTTTGTGTAGATGCATAAAAGGAGATGGAGTAGCGGCGCCGGGCCCCGTCTGGGACTTTTCGGCCCATCGCGTTGAACAAGAGAAATGCTCCTGACAGCTACCGGTAACTCATTCTCGGAGTCGATGGCATAACTCAGATACTTCTCGACTGTCACTTCAATGCGTTCGGTGATCAAATAATCGTTGACAGCTAGGGCTGCTGTCATAGGGTACACTCCCCTGCGTCAGGTAGCAACTCTGTTTTCCAGATCTCGCAGACTTTTGTTTGGCAATGCCGTGTGAGCCGTTCGTCTCGAACGCAAACTGAGGGTTTGTCTGTCCCCAAAATACTGCACGGAGTTTGAAATGGCCCAGGCAAAAGGAAAGCCGAAACAAAAACATACAACAGCAGGTATTCGCTGGTGGTCACCCACCCAACTACTAATCTGCCGATCTGAGGCTTGTGTATGGCAGAGCGGACGGGATGCCCATTTCTCCTCAGTCTATGGTCGTATGTGACGGTAAAGCTGCTATTTGACAATATAGCCTACATAAAGCTCAAATTTCAACAAAATCCGAAGATCAATACAGAAATCCAGCAAATTCGACGATACCTCAGCACCAGATCGGATCGTCAATACAGTGATTAGGTTTCAAGACCTTAGAACCGATATTTGCGAATACCGCTTTTTCCCCTGTGTAATCGATCGAAAACTCAAAAGCCACTGCTTAAATAATTTATCAGCTGGCGACCTGCGCAAGAGCGAGATCGAGGAAAATCAAGGCAACGCAAGCGTTAGCGTCCTCTTGCGACGTGCTCCACAACTTTTGAGCTAAGCGGAACCAGGTGCCGAATGGGGCCTAGTCTGTAGGGACAGGTACAGCGTACTGCATGGTTGAAAATACAGACAGAAACTGGAACCCGCATATCTACGCCACACTCGAAATTTCCAGACCAGCCATAAGGATCAGAAGACCAAGCGATTTTCGAATCTGGTTTTCGACCTTCAATGTCTGATTTGTGGTACGTGCGCACCCCACCAAAAATCGCCTGTAACTAAAATACCGCATTCTGCGGGCACAATTACTATTATACTCGTATATATAACTTATATAGAGATAGCCAAAATAAAGTTATTTATAGTTACTAAATATACCGATATTTATATTTATCTTTGCTATAATATCTCTAGTACTTCCTCTGCCTCTATTCCTGCCTCTATTTCCCCTTTTTAACTACTATTAACTCCTCTTTAACTTATATAATCCGTATAGTAGATCCTATAGATTATAAGATATATTTTCTTTATTATTATTATCTTTACTATTATCTCTTATAATATTCGAAATATCTCTATCTTTATTATCCTCTTTATTCTTATTTTTACTCTTTTCCTCTTTCTCTCTCTTTTCCTTTATTAGTCTCTTTACTTTATTACTTTATTTCGAGGGTATTTATAGTTTTAAAGATTAAGGTTTTATAGAGGCTAACTTAGAAAAAGCTAGATCTTTTAGTACTATATTAAGGCAGTATGAGATATATATTCTACTATTATTATTATATCTGTAATTATAATAGATTTAATTAAATTTGCCTTAAACTTATATATATTTCTGCTATAGGCCTTTAGGGTTCTTTTTTATATAATTAATATAAGATATAGATACTAAATAGCCTCGAGTTTAACTATATACTACCTCTAGATTTACTATAATTTTCGGATTATCTAAGTTAGCTAACTTCTTTCTAAAATAAAACTTTATATTTCAAACCTCTAGTATTTTATAGATATTTTTTATAACTTGTATTATCTTATTAGAGATATTAAAAAGCTTGAAATAGTACTATTTATTAGTAGTAATAGAAGAAAGCTATAAGGTATTTAAGAAAAAAAAGAAGTTTAGTAGATTTAATAAATTATTATTCTAGCCTTTTATATAAGAAGAATATAACTTATTACTTCTCTATAATACCTCGAATCTTAAAGCCTTTATATTCGAGCTATATTATATTACTTATTTTTACTAGATAAATATAAATTATTAATATTATATATATTATATATATTATATTTCTTCTTTTTCTTTAAGAACTTCTTTAGTAATATAATAAAGAATTATATTTACCTTATAGTAAAAAGAAAGGCTTAAATAATACTTAAAAGAAAAAGAAGAAAGGCAAAAAGAAGATTAAATATAGTATTATAATTAAAAGAAAAAGAATTAGTTAGAAGAAAAAGAAGGCCTTTTTATAATACTTTTTTCCCGAAAAGTAATTGCGAATTCGAAATTACTTTTATATTATAAAGGCCCAAAAAATATAAAAGAACGAATTTATAAATAAATTAGGAGATTAGATTAACTTTTTTAAGCTTTTTTTTTTATAAAGTAATAATAAATTCGCAAATAGAGGTAATAATAAAATTAATAAGCTAATTAGAAGATAGAATTAATTTTATAAGTAATAGTATTTGCTATACTAATACTACTTTTATAAAAAGAAACTATAAGATATAATTTCTGGGCCAAATAAGCAGATTAGATAAACTATATTTATAGGTCTATTACTAATATAATACTAGAGTATAGATAAAGAGTTCCTAGTTAAACCTAAAAAGTATAGAATTAGATTAGAAAGCCTAATAATTTTGGAATTATATAAATAGCAAGTTATTTTCTCTAAATTTTATATTAGTTTCTCGGATCTAGAGAATTATATAATTATATAATACTAAAAATAATTTTTTTTATATATAAGAAATAAAATATTAGTATTATTTTATAATCTAGATAATATAATATAAAAACAAGACTATTTTTAATAATTATAATATTATATTTTATATAAATATAAAAGTAGGATTTTTATATTAGTATAAACTAATATTTAAAAACTATATATTTCCTTTTTTTCTTATTCTTTATTTCTAATTACTATTACTATAACTTATAAACTATATTATATTATAGGAACTAATAGAATTAATTTTTAATTATAGAAATAATATCGAGTTTAAATTAAAAAGCTTTATTATATTTAAGAGAAAACTCTTTAGAATATTAGATATATTTTATAACTAGAAGGGTTTAATACTAGTAAAACTAGCTATATTATTTAATTATAATAATAGAATACTAAACTCTTTCCGAATTAATAATAAATAAAATATAAGATATATTTCTATAATAAAAAGCTAATTGAAATAATATATTATTTCTAGTATTAGAACTATTTACTTAAATATATATTTCGGATCTTTAATTA